CCTGTCGGCATCTTGATCCGACTCATCCCCGATACACTCGTGCTCAAACTCATTCCCGCTTCGCTGAAGCGACGGTCGTCACGTGCTCCTGGTCTCACGGTTTCGGATGAGGAACGGTTCAACTACTACCCCGATGCTCTTACCGATGTCCGAGACGAACTAGCCTTCATCAAGAGACTCAAGGGAGGACGTATCAACAGTCTCAAATTTGCGGTTAAGCATCCTAAGGAAGCCTTTATGCAGATCCGCAGCCCTTCCCATTCGAGATCGAACTCGATGAGAGAAGCCGCACCTCGGACTCCTGTTAGAGAGGACAGCACAGGGGAGTCACCTGCGCCGACTCCGGATTCACGCGCGCGTTCCAGATCTATGAGATCGGGCAGGAGTCGGTCAAACTCTGCACTTGGAGCCACGACTGTGATGGCCGGCATCATCGCCAGTAGTGTGGGTGCCGGTTGGTCTCCGGTCACAGAGCGCAGCAATGCAGAGTTCCCGCCGCGCTCTGGTCCATCTCCTTCTCCTCTCGCATTTACCGAGGAGCCCGAGCCGATCGAGGAGGGTTCAAAAGCGGACGTCCCGACACTTAAAGTGCCCGAGCCTCCCTCTAAATCATAGACAATAATTTCTTTTCTGTATCTAGCTTTTGGGCAATAGAAATGTTGGTATTCAAGCTGCCGTCGCACTAATAACCCCATGTGGCTGTCAGTGTCGTGAGCAGTCTACACCACTCAACACTACTGTCGATAAATGGCTCTCATGTAGCTCGAGAAGCTCTTTTCTCTCTCCTTTTTTTCTTTCCCCTTTTTCTCCCTTGTCATCTTTGCCATCTTCACCCTAGGCTCTACAATGGGTCTCCAGGGATCAAAACTAGGGCTTATCATTCAGGCGTTTGGGGAGTCCGGACGGACACGTGTGTGGATATACCAAAGGACGAAAAGCAACAGCATTGGGTTCTAGACTTAATATGTAAAGCTACCTATTCTTCTATGTCAGGAAATTTTTGATTACGATCGAAAATATAAAAATACATGAGTGACACTCTACTACTACTACTACTTTGCTGGCACATGTCGTCAGCCTCGAGTTACTGGTCTTCTGAGACAGGTTGTAAACATCTTATCCGCAGAGCGAGTGTAGTTTTATGTGCGTAACGTGACGTGTGGAGGAGTCCGATCGATCGGGGAAGGGCAACGTTATCAAATCCATCTTCTTTCATGCCCATCCATTGTTGTTGAGTCTCGAGGTAGAAGAACCCACGCTTGACTACTGGATTATTCAATCCCACGGTCGTCTTCTTACAATGCGGTTTGAGGACTCACCTTCGGGAGAGCATTCATTCAACGACAGGTCTTCAGCCCATACCACTCCTACCTTTGGGGCAAGAGTGGAAAGTAGAGATAATATTGTGTCTTTTCCAGTTTGAGGCCGCATAGATGAAGACCTCAATCAGCACGATGCTTTGATACATTTGAGTTCGCTTACCACACGAGTGAAAGTCATAATCTGAAGAGTCCTTATTCCCCCGGAGTGGTCGGTATTTTAGCTTGTGTTCTCTTCGCTCACAAGTTCGCATTAGTATAGACAATGGCTGCTTTACACTGATATGTCCATACTTCATATGAACTATAGGTGTCAATTCGTAACCGAGATGCGAACTAACACGTTGTTCTTTCGTATCTGTTTCATTGCATATTTCATCAGCCATGAAGGTAATTCTACCTGAAAGCGGTACACACACATCAACTAGCTGAAGCCCAATTTGAGTGGTATCAGCTCTTGATGCGCCCAGCGGACGGACCTATCAATCTTCAACCTGCTAGGGAGTACTTTGTTTATGCTATTTTCTTTCCCTTTTCAATGTGTTCCCGAGGCTTGAAAGATACAGGAAATTATTTCTCTAACCGTGTATGATTGAGAAAGATTTGAGGGGGCTGACCTACCCACGCGAGATGATCTGCAGTGGACAGTAATTGCTTTTCACTTGATTCGCCATGGCGACATGACTTGAGTCACAGTGCAGCATGTAACCAATCTCCTAGCTACAGTGCCAAATGTGGTGGAAGCTGTACATATGTCCCAGATTCGGCCGGGTGAATTCACACCGTAACCTGCGCGGTTCAGGGCTTCCCTTGAACGCAGCGTCGATTGAGCTTAACCCTCGAAGCATTCGGTTGTGAGGCAATTTTCAGATGCCTTGACACAAGGAGTCGTCGACGTTTTGTCAGGCCCGGAGAAGACTTTTTACAGGTACAGTGCATCGACAGTCTATCTTATCAGACGATGATCCTCGACCGTGGACTCCATTATTGAGTTCGATAAGCGGTCAAAACAACGACACCGCATCTCTCGTAGGAGGCGTTCAATCCAAAGGTGGATTGCAGACTCGCAGCTTGTGCCTTCGGGCCATACTTCCGACGTAGAACTTAGCTGGAAATCACGGCAAGTAGACCTGCCTGTCTACACAGGGTCGCAGATCGACGCCTAGGCAGGTTTGGATGCCATCTCCAATGACTGTTGATCAGGCGGCCGCAGCTCGAACTTTGGGGAAATGTCGAGGCCATGTTGGCCGTATTATTTTACTCTGTGGGTACTAGTAGGAATGTCGCAAGCATGATTCCGGATGAGCCCCGGAGATCCTGGGATGTGGCCGCTCATTCCGTCACATTCCCTGCTCCTCACACCTTGGCCATAAACCAACAGCCATACCATCTGAAAGATTAGCTATGACACTTGAAGGAGCAGAAATATGTCATATGAACTCGATTGTCCTATTTCACAACCTATTCTGGGGACTTGTTGATGGCGGTGGCGGACAGGGAATTTGGTTGAGTTGTTATAGTGGGGCGCATGGAACAAAGGCAACGTTTGAGGCCACACTGTGGAAACTGCATTCTTGGAGATTCAATAAGAGGCAACGGCCACCGGCCCGGATCATTCCTGTCGAACGACAATTGGACTTAGAAACCCCGAGACTTTCATCACTGGGTTCTGGTCAACCCGGCCTCTCTTGTGATGTAACTCTCGTCTATGAGCAAAGCTATACCGGCTTCTTCAAGGGCCAGGCATAGCAGGTTTGATGCGATGTAGCACATGGAGGGGTGGCTTGACTGAGAATTGCCTTTGTCGCTACAGTAAGATGCAAGGAAAAAGCCGGTGCCTTTTCGTTGAGCCATGCGGCATATGGCAAACTTCGGGGCCTAACATGCGGCACCAAAGATGTGTACAAGGGCTGAACACACCCCCGTCACTGTATTTGCGCCATTCTGAACTTGCTCTGAAATTCCTCGCACGACTTGCTTGAACTTATCATTTATAGAGTAGTAACCCATTCTATAACAAGTCGGCTTTGAGCAGTGACTACCTACCTTTCTTTCACAATCAGCCCGCCGGCCTTGGCCGCATGTCCCCAGTTTATTAGGTGTCACATGTATGTGATTATTAGGCGGCAGGCATTGCGACTGGCCGATGACTAAATTTGGAGCAACAGACGAATGGCAGCGAGGAGGGTATACTTGCAACAAAGGCTGTCTGTGCCAGGATTGCCAGCAGGAATCGACTGCCACGTACAACCAAATGGGCCCCGGACATCGACATCGACATCAGATAATCGTCTGACCGCAAGGTCGAAAGACACCAAAAACTAAGGTGATAGATAGATAAGTTAGATAGTCCAAATCTCATCTGGTACTAGGGCGACAGAGTCCCGCTAGTGGTGCTATTGATCGCTCTGCGTGGATTAATTAGAGCAGACGGGCAGGAGGAGAGACAAGCGGCCGTCAGAGGATTCTGCATGCCTTGGATTGTCGGCAAACAGAGGTTTTTAATCTCCTGGCAAACCGCTGGGCATAGTTAGGGAACTTAAACAAGCAGTGTCCACCCCCAGGCGCCTTTGCAGTCGATGGACGCCGTCGACTGTGTGGACGGATCGTGTGGAAGTGGCACTTAGCCTGGCTGGGCCTATCGGGACTTCGCTTAGTCGAACATCTTGGTTTCAAAGCCTTCCCTCTGCTTCTTTATTTCTCCCTCTCCTACTTGCACCCAATTAATTCCCACCCTCCCAAAACATACACCTCATTTACTTAGTCCGCAACACGCGTCAACTCGAGGTTTCTTGACCACCCTCGTTCTGGTGAATTTTGCAACTCTGCAAAAGTCCCACTGCGAGCCAGACCAGTTTTTTTTTCGTATTTTCTCTTCGCGTCTTAGGGAAACCCACCTATCTGCGTCGCATCCGCAGAACCTCTGCTTCTCGCCTCTGCCACTTTCGGCAAGTCTTCTGTTACTAGAAGTATCGCGGTGCAGAGCACTTTTACGTTAACTGCAACCAACGCACACACTCTCCATACACAATCCACCTCCAAGTTCACTCTGTTCCCTTCCGTTTACACATTTTTCACATCCGCCATTTCCCCAACAACAACGAAAATTCTCTCTTCATCAACCATGCAGCCAGTCAAACGCCGCCGCGGCCGTCCGAAGGGCTCTGGCGTGAAGCCGAAGGTCCCCGGACTGAAGGACGCTGGTTTGAAGGGCCCTGGCGTGAAGGGTCCTGGCTTGAAGAGAGGCCCCAAGCCCAAGGTCCAAATCAAGGTTGAGGAGATCCCCGTTGATGACGATCAGCAAGTAGCCCACCTCTCTATGAGGGAGGCTATTGAGAACCAGCACCCTCACCTATCTGAGCTGGAGCATAGAGTCAACGATCTTGAAGAGACGTGGGAAACGGAGTCCATCTTTGAGGATATTATTGATGACCTCGCTGACGAGTCCTGTTTCAAGAATGGTAACTAAGCCTCTCCACTATGTTCTACTTTTGGAATTACAATTCAGGCGTCGCAACGCGATTCTTAGTGTCTTCTAACATTGCCATAGATCCCAACGCCTGCAACCCTAATGAAGCAGTCAAGTATCGCCAACTACTGCGCTCCGTCGGACCGGAGGAGTTTTGCAGGCGCACCATTCTCAGCGGAGACATCACTGCAAAGAAGATGATCACGGCATTCGGTGTTCGGCCGCCGCCTTTTCTCGAGGGCGCAGATGATGATCAGTACTACGGCCTACTTACCCTGGCCTTGAGTCGCGAGCTGAGTAAACGCGCCAAGCTCATGAAGTACAACACCGTCAATGATGCTGTCTCATTGATCCAAAATGCCAAGAACATCATCGTCCTGACCGGAGCGGGCATCTCAACGTCTCTTGGTATACCGGATTTTCGATCTGCTCAGAATGGCCTATACACTCAATTGGCGAACCTTGACCTGCCCATCAACGACCCGCAAGAGGTCTTTAACATTGACATCTTCCGGGAGGATCCCACCATTTTCTACACTGTGGCCAAGGACATTCTACCTAACACCAAGAAATTCTCGCCCACGCACGCATTCATCGCGATGCTTCAGCAGAAGGGCAAGCTCTTGACCAACTACTCGCAGAACATTGATAATATCGAGGCGAACGCGGGTATCTCGCCCGACAAGCTGATCCAGTGCCACGGGTCATTTGCGACCGCCACCTGTCAAAAATGTGGCCACAAGGTCATCGGCGATGCCATCTTTTCCGACATCAAGGAAGGAAGGATCCCCCGCTGTGACAAGTGCATCTCCACTCTTCGTGCTGCTGGCACCTCCAAGCGCAAGCGAGGTGGTAAGAGGTCCTCGTCGGGCAAGCGGTCGCGGTACAACTCCGACGACACCGATGACGATGACAACTTCGACATCCCCCAAGCCGGTGTGATGAAGCCCGACATCACGTTCTTCGGCGAGGCTCTCCCTGACACGTTTCATGATCGATTGGTGAAGCACGACAAGGACCTCGTGGATTTGGTCATTGTCATTGGAACCTCTCTCAAGGTCGCCCCCGTCTCTGAGGTAGTTCCCTACCTACCCCCGCACATTCCTCAGATCTACATATCGAGGACACCCGTCAGCCATATCAACTTTGATATTGACCTCCTCGGCGACTGCGATGTCGTCGTTGCGGAACTCTGTCGACGTGCGGGCTGGGATCTGAAACACGAGATGATCCCCCCGGACCAGAAGGTGCAGACCATCCCGCAGGAGGGCTACTGGCATCGACACAACTTCACAACGTACGACGGCTCCCAGAAGAAAGAGCCTGCGCCCAGTCTGCCTATTAAGATTGGGGAGTCTGGACTATTGACGCGCGTGGACTAGGACGACTAGCCGTCTGAGTCTAGACATCTCGTTGTTTTGTCCCGAATGCTTAGAAGGACACAAAATTCACTCAACCTGCACGACTGGCTTCTGGATCTCCATGTTCGTTTCTTTGATACTGGAAGAAATACTCCCTGGTGGATTCAAATTGTTGTGCAACGCGTTGAACTATGCAGGAATAGTTCGCGCTTGTGCCTCCATCCCATCATGGGGCTTTTTTTTCTTTCTCTTCTTCCTTCCTTCGATTTCGATTTGCAAGGCGTACCGGTTGCTTTGGGTCTGAACTCACGGAGTTCTAAAGAGGGACATTTGCGATACTTTGCGTTTGCCGGTAGTGGGCTGAACGCCCAGTCTGCACAGCGGGGTTCACTAGAGAGACACGGTCCTACAGTAGTATACATACTAGTAATGAGAATCCGGACTTTCGACGCGTTTCTTCTTTGTCCATGAGGACCTAGCAAGCTAGGCACCAATACAAACCCTCGTCAACTCACAGCACAACCAGGGCTGGTTCATTTTGCCCATGGGAGGACACAGCAAATCGATCAAGTCAGATGGTGAGCGCTTCGGCGCGCAAGTCCACTGAGAGCAGCCCCGTAGAATCCAGTGAATGAAACCCAAATGCGCTGAAAGTTAATCCCTTGCACACACGACCTGTAGTTAGCTCTGAGCAAAAAAGCATCGGAGGGAGTAATGGTGGCTCAGTACGGCAGTACAGAGCCTAATTCTGAGTCAAGCTCGGCGCCACCATCCGCACGCTGGGTTTGCACCATGGGCGATTCCCCCGAGGAGTCTAGGCCTCTCTAGAACTGAGCCACCACTGTGAACCATGCTTTGGGCGGTGAACGTCAGTATGTGGTTTTGGCTATTCTTCCCCCAATCGCAGGACACAAGCTGGACACTCGGAAACATTGGTAGCATCCATCAGCGAAACGAAAGAATTAGCACTCCCAATATCAAGGTGAAGGGCGTTGCCGCTTCAGGCGTTTCTGAAACCAACCACCTGAAACTACCGTAGTAGCAACGTCCCGGTTGAATCCAGGATGTGCTATAATGGAGTATGCTACAGCGCCCAGCGACGTGAACCTTTGGTAATAACACCCGTGTGAGGAATTCTATTTAGAGAAGTATCGATGCGATTGATTCTTTACATTCAGTTGGGCGCCCAACCGCCATAGCAACAAATTTACATCAGGTGTTTGGTTGAGCATAACAGCTTGGTTCAAGTGTGAGTATGCGTGGCCGTATCTGATACTGCCCCGCGATGCCCCGCAGCGAATCTCTCCATTACCGCCATATGAATCACCCATCGAAACGCGGCGCAGTTAGCACACCAAGCAGACCTAGGTTGTACCCCATAATAACACAACGAAACTTTGGAGGGACAAGACATATAGACTGCTTCTGTTCGACGGCAAGGTGGCGCTGTTACGGACAGCAGCGCCTGCGTGTGGCGGGGATGCCGAGCTGGCGCCTACAAAGGTTATAGTCTTGCCCCTAGATGGAGATCGGAACGACGGGTAGGAAGGCGTCGTTGATGCGTTCGCCGCGATCCTTCCCACGCCGTTCCGTCATGCCCAAGTTGCCAGGAATAGCAGTATCAAGATTAGTTGCGTTCCTTATCTGTCAGATCAGACTGGGTCAGGAATCACTCTGCATCCCCTACGTTGCAGTGATCGCTGCCCAGCCACGCCGCAGGCATTTGTCGCATGATCCTAAAGACCTGCAAGGACCTCAGGAAGATTGATCTTCCATGACTGTGTACGCGATGCTGAAAGCTATCAAGGGCCCTTTTTTTCTGGCTGTGTTGCCTGCGTCTGGGAACTTTCGCTTAGACGCACCATACTAAGCTACCGAGTCCATGATCATTAACGAGATATTTATTGATGTGGTTTCATTCGTCCGCATTTGCGCCTTGATTCTCCTTTGGGAATCTGCAAGGTCATTGCAGATACATATATGCAGAAGTGTGGCACAGGTCCCTTGTGGTCAATGTGACTGGAGGACAACGATATGTAGGTCCTTACCAGGTTGTAAGCATGCAGCAGGCCAATCCAATACAACCGCTAATAATAAGCACATTGCCACAGGAGCGAGTTTTGTTGCCGGGTTTTCCTGATATTCCTGGGCTCTCTCTTCCTGAAGCGTGACTTAAAATCCTCACTTACAGCTTTGGGGCCCGTAGTATTCCGCAGGTTAAACGTAGTCATGCTATATCGAGAAACGCCGAGACTGTAACTCGAGGGTTGATGGTGAATTTACTATGATCTCTGGCATATCATTTTTCTTCTGCAATGCATGCAATGCAGTAACATAATTATCGTCCACAAGGATTGAATCATTGTTAGTGATGGCGTTGGAAGTCATATTTTCTAAACCTCGCCGCAGTAACAACCTAGGGAATAACGTGGAAACGGCGGATTGTGTGTCGGGGTTCTTTTGGCCGCGGGGTATGCGCAGCTTCCAACGTCGACGCCGGAAAGACCAATCAGCTCCCGACATTACACAGCTCCTATGTTCTGATCCGACAGGCAACAGAAGGGCCCTTGCAGATGGGCTGTCACTTCGCTACTCGCTGAAAATACATAACTCGTCGTTTCTCCTCGGCTAAGTGGCCATGAAGCCTTCCTTCGGTCTTGGCACGTTACTGCTGGACCTACTGCTAGGCACGGCGCTAGCATCCCAGAAGGTCATGTCTGGAGGTCGACGGGATCCGCTGGATGCAGACTTTGAGAAACTCGCTGTCAAGACTCTGGAGCAATGGCATGTCCCTGGACTCGCAATTGCTGTCGTTGATGGAGATGATACGTGGGCTGCTGTGAGTGCCCAACCCACCCCTCTGTTCAGATGACACCCCACGGTGAGCAGAAGGTATCGTGAGCTGTTTGAGGCAAACCCTCTCTGAGGATGATGTATATAATTGCTCAATGAGTTATCTGTATGTCAAGGCACAGTAGTTATCTCTAGACATGCTCTTGGAAGATTGCTCTCGACTCGTGGTCTTCAGTCCCACGGATATCAGCTGCTGTGGGATAAACACCACATCATCTCACCCAGACTCTCAGCGAGAGCGAGAATCTTCTACCGGAACTTCAAACTGATTGAGATTAGGGCTATGGAAACGCCAGCATTGGTTCGACCCCGGTGACACCAAGCACCCTGTTCTACAGCGGCAGCACCACCAAGGCCTTCACGGCAGCCGTGCTCTCGCTGCTTGTCGACTCGGACGCGCACCCGGGCGTGACCTGGCGGACGCCCATCTCGCAGCTCATCCGGGACGACTTCGTGCTCCAGCCCGAGTATGCCTGGGCGCAGGAGCACCTCACCATCGAGGACGCGCTGACGCACCGGACCGGGTTCCCGCGGCACGACAAGTCGCTACCGGCACGCAGCGGGCCCGATGCCCATGTGACGGCGGTGCGCGACATCACGCGCAGCCTGCGCGACTTGCCCATGGTGCTGGAGCCGCGCACCCGCTGGAAGTACTGCAACCTGATGTTCATGGTCCTGTCGCACGCGATCCAGACGCTGACGCGGCGCTGGCTCGGCGACGTCATGCGCGAGTGGATCTGGGAGCCCCTCGGCATGCGCAGCACGTACTTCTCGCTCGACGCCGCGCTGGAGGCGCCCGAGGACCTGGCCAGGGGCTACTACTGGGAGTACAAGGACCAAGAGGGCGGCTACAAGGAGGTGCCGTGGCTGAAGCTGCAGGAGGCGAGCGGCGCCGGGGCCGTGGTGAGCAATGTGCTCGACTATGCCAAGTGGATACGCTGTCTGGTGAACGAGGCAGCGCCTCTGAGCAAGGAGGGACACAAGGCCATCAGGACGCCGAGGATGGTGCCCTCTGCGGAAGGCAAGGGGCTCGACGGGCCCTCGAGCTACGCCCTCGGCTGGCATACGAACACTTATAAGGGACACAGGATGTACACGCACAGCGGCGGGATGGAGGCATACGGCGCGGACGTGTTCTTCTTCCCCGACCTCAAGTACGGCATCGTGGCCATGGGCAACACGGCTATCACGAGCAACTTCGCGGGCAGGCTACTGACCTGGAAGCTGATCAACGACAGACTGGCCATCCCGGAGAGCGAGAGATACGACTGGTCGTCTCAGTAAGTGAAAGGAAGAGCGTCTGGGCTGAACCATTGCTTACGTTCTACACAGATTCGAAAAAGCACTCAACAGCAGCCTAGAACAGTTCGACAAGGCGATAGACAAGCTCTATCCAGGCCGAGCGAACCCCGCCTTGCCCCGGGGCTTGGAACTGAAAGAGTATACGGGGACTTACTCCCATCCGGCCTACCACGATCTCACCATCGACCTCGGCGATGATCCGGGTCGTCTGAGGGCGGTGCGTGTTGATTTTGTGTGGCCAATGACGTTCGATTTTGTACATGTGTCTGGGGAGTACTGGGTTATCCACATCGATATGAAGAACTCGCCCAATGCGTTGAACGGGCAATCGGCCAGAGCCGAGTTCAAGATTGGACCCAACGGGAAGTGTGACCAGGTCCTCATTGAATTCCTCGAGGATGGCAGCGAAGGAGTCATTCCATTTACAAGAGCCACAAAGACAACGTAGGAAGAAGAGACAAGATGTCAAGTTGCATGAAGAACAAAATGTTTTCTTTTCTTTTTTTCTACTTTTAGGATAACTGTGCCTTGACATCTCAAGACGATACATATCCAGAGCAATAGTGCAGACTACGTGACCTTGAGCAGCGAGTACCAGAGTGCATGACCGAACCGTGCTTGGGTCCGGCATGACTTCATGCACGGCAGGCCGACGAAGTCCCGTTGTAACGCCGGTGACCGGCTGGGAGAGAACCTACACTTCAGACAGGTCAGCAGAGTCCAGGCAGGCAGATGAAATGTCATGAAGATAGGGGATTGTAGTGTGTATCAGACTGTTGAGCTTGATAATTTAAGAAAATCAACACGAAAAAATTCAGTTGGCCGTTCTTAAGAAGTAGTTTGTCATCAGGGGACCGCGGGAGGCGCCATTGGCAACCGAGAGCAATAAAATATTCAAGACTTACAGTGAGGAGACGGGTGCTTAGAATGCATCCATGGTGAATGTTGTGTCCAAGGCGACTGCTCGTGCTTGTTACGAGCCTTGTGCGGAACAGTTGCTGTGATGAAGAGTTTTGAAAACGAGGAGCAGTGGCTCTCAAAAAGTTTCGTGACCTGATGTAATCCCACGACGGTCACGTGACGCTGGGACCCGCATCGTCCGCTCGGCCGTCCTGCACCACTGGTTCGCTGGACTAACGTGGATCGCCAGAAACCGGCCCAGCTCTCCTCAATTGCTGCTCTCAACGACATCCCATCGATCCCCCCGACTCGCCCTCTCACCGTCCGGTCGGGTCCCCCCTCTCCACTCTACCGCTCTCAATCGTTTACGTCGCCGCCCACCAACACACGCAACGCAGGCGCCCGACGCAGAGAACACAGACACAACCCGGAATCATGCCCGCCGTCCGAGCTGCCGTCCGCGCCAGCCGCGCCCTCACCACCAGCGCTGCGACCCGGTCCTTCTCCGCCACTGCCACCCAGAAGGCCAGCCACGGCCCCCAGTACGACCCCCCGAGCGGCTGGCTGTTTGGCGTCAAGCCCGGCGAGAAGTACCAGAAGGAGGGCTGGGAGACGCCCTTCTTCTACGGCTTCTGCGGCTCCCTGGTGCTTGCGGCCATTGCGTACGGTTTCAAACCCGATACTTCGTAAGTGGTTCTCCGTACACTTGTGGGATGTAGAGCGGTTATCTTGCGACCTTAGGGAAGCGGCGAGCGGACGAGACTAGCTCGTGAGGGGGCGGATTCGCATTAGAAAGCAGAGAGAGGGAATATTCCAGTCATGGCTGGATATATCTTGGCATGCCATTACTAGGCGCTTACGGGAAGCTGCAAAGCTATATCAGGTGCTAACGATTTCGCAGGATACAAACCTGGGCTCTCGAGGAGGCCCGCAGGAGATTAGAAGCCGAAGGTATCCTGGAGGACCCGGAGAAGAAGTAAAGCCGGACCAAGCCTATCTGGATGCGTGCAGGAAAGACGATGGATGGCCGGGGAGGAAGTAGAGGATAACACCTTCAGACCCATCTGTATATGAACCGCGAGTTGTTTTGCAAATTCCATTCTTTCTTTTGTTGTGGTATCGGCCCTTCCCTCGAAGGGTCTCGTTGCGGTTAGAGGAGGACCATCATCATAGACGGATCGCTCCCACCCGGGGATGCGATTAGCTGACCGGCACAATCGAACTGACTTATTTCTACATTTGGTAACCCATCGCTTGACTCTTCAAGACCATGGTCGGATGTGTGGCCTGCAAGTCCAGGCATGAGAATTAGAGGCTAGGCAACCGTGCTAGTTACCGTAACTGGCAAAGAAGAGGCACAGGCCGTCGACTCATCCATCGTCCCTTGGCCATCTGGGTGACTCACTTTGGACAAGCTCATTCGTCCCCGAGGAAAAGAAGACCTGTCCAAAGCCAATCAAGTGACTACTTGAATGCTACGATCCTTGAGTACCTATGTACCTGGGTCTACTTTACCCAGCAAGCAAGCAAGCAACCCAGGCAACCACCAGGCCTCCTGGCAAACCGCTCGGATGCCTAAAGCGGTCTGCGTACTGCCGGCGCATGGAAATCTTCGGAATCTTTTACTATTTAAGGGCCTCCTCCCGCCTGCTTCTCTCACCCTTCTTCTCCTTTTCTCCTCAGCTCTTCTTTGCCGTATGGCTTAGATCAAGTGTAGTATCTGTTCTTTTCACTTTAAACCGTGAAACCGGACTTCGACAAAGTCCAGGTTTGCTGTCCTTAAAGCATATTTTTGAAGCTCTGGGTGGCGCGCCCTCTGGGCCTGCTCCATGGTGCCGCCTGCCACAGTGACCGTGATCTTACACTGCCTTCACGTGTCGCGAAACCGCGCCTCTTGCTTTCGTTGCATGCCTCATCTGGGGCTGCGAGGAAGGTCTTGTGATCTTGGTGAGAAATCGAGCTGAGTATATATGTGGAGGATTTCGGCGTCTCCCGGTGAATGGTGGTCTTCTGATCTGACACTATCCGTCGACTTCATTACATTTCAGGGAACTAATGATGAATACGGCTCACTGGAAATGGAGTTTTGGTTCTGTACTGGTTTAATCTCGTAAAAATTTCGCGGATAACTCTCCAAGAGCGTGTACGGCAAGCGCTATATCTAGGTACATCTGGGGAAAAAACTGACGCCGGGCGGCTACAAATCCTAGCCAATGCTCATCATCTTTTTCGTGCTCGCTTTCTAGCAGACGTAGCTCCACTCGTGCTCCTCGTCGCCGTACTGCCGCGCCTCGATCCAGCCCTTCATGCGCAGCGCGATCTCGCCCGACTCCTCCTGGTCGCTCAGGCCACAGTCGACGAGGTTGCCCTTCCAGCTGATCTTGCGGACGGGGCTCACGATGGCGGCGGTGCCGGCACCGAACGCCTCCATCAGGCGGCCGTCCGCCGACGCCTCGGCCAGCTCCTTCATGGTGTACTTGCGCTCGACGATGGCCCAGCCCTCGGGCGCCAGCTTCTCGCGCGCCAGGGACAATATCGAGTCGCGGGTGACGCCCTCGAGGATGGTGCCGTCCAGCGGGGCAGTGATCAGCTCCTTCTGGCCCGTCTCCTTGTTCTTGAGGGCCACGAACATGTTCATGGTGCCAACCTCGGTCACGTACTCCTCCTCGCCAAACAGCCACAGGTTCTGCTGGAAACCGCGGCTCGCCGCCTCAAGCTGGGGAACAATGCAAGGCGCGTAGTTCGCGCCGAGCTTCTTGTCGCCGACACCACCGGGCCATGCGCGGACGGCGTAGTCGGTCGCCTCGAGGGAGACAGCCTTGAAGCCGGTAGGGTAGTAAGGGCCGACGGGGCTGGCAATGACGTAGAGCAGGGCGCTGCCGGGGGCGCCGACACCCAGGGTCTTCTGGGTGCCGATCATGGTCGGGCGCAGGTAGAGCGAGTAGCCGCGCTCGTTGGGGATGAAGCGCTCGTCGAGCTTGACGAACTTGGTGATCAGTTCGATGAGGGCGGTGGGCTCAAAGGTGGGCAATGCGATACGGGCCGAGGACTTGTTCAGACGCTCCATGTTCTTGTCTGGCCGGAAGAGTCGGACGTTGCCGCTCTTGTCCTTGTACGCCTTCATGCCCTCAAAGCACTCGAAGGCGTAGTGGAACACACATGTTGCCGGGTCGAGGGAGAGGTTCTGGTAGGGTGTGATCTGGGGAGTTAACCAGCCGTCGGTCTGGGTCCATTCTATCGTGAGCATGTGGTCTATGAGGTAAAGGTCAGTATGATCCGTCTCTATGGGAGCACTTCATAGTGAGAGGCTCTCGCACCTGTGAATTCCCTGCCAAACACGAGGGTCTTGGGATCATGAGGTTCCTTCGGATTCGTCGTCTTGGTGATCTGCAGCTTGGTCGCATCGAGACCGACGGGCTTGGCAGCCGAAGCCGCCTCGGGCTGGATGCTATACCATCTGGCGGCGTGTCTCGCGCTCAATGGCAGTAGTTGGCGGGCAGCGGGCGCTCTGAAAGCCCTCCCGGCGCGAGGGAGCATCTGTCGCAACATGATGCCCGTCTGGTTTGCTAAGATTCCGGGACCAATACCTGCAGCGTAACACCTGATAGGAGGGAAGCAAAGTCTATGATGGTCTGGCACGCTTATAAACAGAGCTTATGAGTCAATTGGATTGCCAGGAGATATGGGTAGGAGTGAACTAGTAGCAGGTAGAGGCCGTCGCCGATATCACGGCAGGAAAAGAAATCCCACAGACCGGCCGCTAAAAGGCGAGTCTAGCCTTCCCAGCAGCGTTATCGGAGGACCCTGGGCCTGGCGGTCGGGAAGGGCGTCTGACATGTACATAAGTCATCCCCTGTCAGGGCCTCTTTGGGAAGCTTGAGCCAATGAACAGGGAGATGTCTCAGTAGCGTCTACGGAGTACGGAGTAGGTAGCTACTTGCTTACACGGTAGGATGGCACCAGTTTCCTGATACACGGTGTTCTGAATCGACTCTATCCTGCCATCCCAGAATGATCCATGCGCTCGGAGTGACTTTCGTCAAATACGGATGGAGTGGAAAGCCGCCTTAGAAAACAGCCTTCTCCAAAATAGGTACATCATCGTGTGCAGCCAAGTGCTTTGTTGCCAGAAATGTATCATGTCTTCGTTTGCCATCTGTGCATTGTCTGCTCTGCCCCACTAGCGGTGGACGGGTTGAATGCCCAAGCTGTAGCACTATGGTGGTTTGCGACAGGAACGGCCGGAAAGTCAAGATGAACCATCGGACTAGCCAGGAAAACAAAACAAATCCGCACGGGAAATCTCTCTGGCACCGCAAATTCGTACAGTGGCGTCTTTGGCGTGTTTTGCGACCTCATCCAGTTGTCCTTTTGTGCCCATTGGCCGAGAGCTGGATCATTGCTGACCGCGCGATAACGATATCGAGTTAGACGTGAGCTGTGTCGCAGGAAATCAGGGGCGTTTCCGCAGCTGATGCCAGGTTGACACGACGACAACATCATATCTCTTCGGGCGCGGTGCACAACGAGCATTGAGCTGTTCGCCTCACCCTCCCGACATCGAGTAGCACCGAGCTGGGCCGACCCGATTGTACAAGCACGAGTTCAAGGAGCGGCAAGAGCAGCTGGGCTGACAACGCCCAAGACTTGGCAGCCAAAGTGTCGTCCGGCCTCATCGCGATCGAATACTTGACACTCGGGGCTATGGTCGCCGACCGCCTCGCTCATACCTGTTGCTAGATCGCGCCAACTGTGGCAATCGAAACGCGTTCTGCCCGTCCGCCAGGATTGCGACAGCCCAACATACACCCGTGCGAGATTCACGACTTGGCCCGCGGTCGCGTGTGGGCCCCCTTCAGTAAGCATGTTCTCCTCACTGAAGAGCAGCTTTACTTCCAATATCACGAGCAATTATACCATTTCGACGAGCGTGACTTCGACGGCCGGGCCATGGAAGATCTACGATGCAACGTCCAAAAAGACAAAGAAGGCCTGCTCGCTGTTCGTCTTCGATAGGAAGTCCCTCGAATCCCACGGCAACTCCCTAGGTCGGTCAAGCGCAACCGCGTTCAAAAGAGCTACGGAAGAGGTTGTCGAGCGCTTAAAAAAAGAAGCTTCGTCGCTTGCCAGGCTGCGGCACCCAAGCATCTTGGAACTGGTCGAGCCGGCCGAGGAGACGCGGGGAGGCGGCCTGCAGTTTGTGACCGAGGCCGTGACCGCGTCGCTGAGCAGTCTGCTGGCCGAAAAGGACGACCAAGAAAGGGCTGGCGGTGTCGGCGGCCGGTCCAGTCGCTACGTCACCGAAGATGCCAACGGCACGAGGCGGAGGAGGGAGCTCGAAATCGACGAGCTGGAGATCCAGAAGGGCTTGCTGCAAGTCGGCAAGGCTCTAGAGTTCCTCCACGAGAACGCGGGCCTGGTCCATGGCAACCTGACGCCGGATGCCATTCTGATCAACGCCAAGGGGGACTGGAAGATCAGTGGACTGGCCTACTCTACCCCTCCAGAGGGTTCAACAAAGCCCACGTCGGTTCAACCCATCAGTCTGTCAGAGGCGCTCAACCTCGATCCCAGGCTGCCCCGATTTGTGCAGCTGAATCTCGATTTCACATCGCCGGATTTTGTCCTGGACAACAATCTCACCACATCAGCCGATATGTTCTCACTGGGCCTCCTGTGTGTTGCGCTATACAACTCACCCCACCATTCCCCGATAGAGTGCCACTCAAGTATATCAACGTACAAAAGGGTCTTCAACTCATCCTCAACCGTACCATCACTGCAGAATAACTTCCTCTCGAAGCAGCCTGTACCGAAAGAGCTTGCCAATCACGTACTTGGGCGGCTGATCACAAGACGGCCTGCCCAACGCATGACGGCCAAGGAATTCCAGGACAGCGAGTACTTCAACAACGTTCTAGTGTCCACGATACGGTTTTTGGATAAATTCCCGGCAAAGACCCCTGGCGAGAAGCAGTCATTCATGAGGGGCCTGAATAAGGTTTTGCCCTCATTCCCCAAATCAGTTATGGAGAGGAAGATCCTGCCGTCATTGCTCGAAGAACTCAAGGACAGGGAACTCTTGTCTCTGATCTTGCAGAACGTCTTCAAGATCATCGATTTGCTTCCTTCCGGTAGGCAACCCTTTTCGGAGCAAGTTAGGCCGCGCCTGAAGGAGATATTCGTCACAAATGTCAAGAAGGAACAAGCGCAAGAGAAAGACCCGGCGAGAGACGCTGGTCTCATGATGGTGCTTGAGAATACAGACACCATCGCAAGTAACAGTTCTGGCAAGGAGTTCAAAGATGGTAAGTCGATACGAGGATAATGATTTCTCGCCAATGCTAACTCGATACAAGATATCCTGCCTATCCTCATGACTGCCGTCGAGTCGCCAACGCCAGCGCTGGTGGATGTTGCGATGCGCGGCTTGCCCGCCATTCTCCCTATATTGGACTTCAGCACCATTAAAAACGAACTATTCCCCGTCATCGCGATGGTTTTCAGCAGGACAAACAGTCTCGCCATCAAAGTCAGGGGTCTGCAGGCCTTTGTCATTCTCTGTGGCGGGTCAAACGATTCATCTGGAGGCAGTGATGGGCTTGATGGGTTCGGTGTTGAGAAGAAGAAGACGTCATCCTCGAGTGCGCTCGACAAATACACCATGCAGGAAAAGATCGTGCCACTCATCAAAGCGATCAAGACGAAGGAGCCGGCAGTAATGATAGCTGCATTGAATGTTCTTAGGGTGGTTGGAGATGTCGCAGATGCCGAGTTCGTGGCGATGGATATTCTGCCCGTCCTATGGAGTATGAGTCTGGGCCCCTTGCTGGACCTGAAGCAATTCCATACCTTCATGGATCTGATCAAGTCTCTATCCAAGCGAGTAGAGGATGAGCAAACAAAGAAATTGCAAGAGCTCTCGGGAGGAGGAACCAACGGCAAAGCCCTGGAGAGCGAAGACTTCATGGCCTTTGGTGGCATCACGGGAACAGGATTTGACGCAACCAATGGTGCCAGCGAGGATGATTTCGAACGCTTGGTCAAGGGACGGACGACGGCAAGCGGAGGGCTGAGCAGCCCAATGGACGCGGGCGGCTGGGATTCGGCACCCGCTGCGAGGGCGACGTCACCACCTGCGAAGTCGCCAACGCCCGCCTTCTCGTGGTCGACGCCCAGCCCGACGAGCGCCGCCCCGAGTTCCGCCGGGGCCTTCGGCGCGACCAAGGCGCAAGCATCCTTCCGGACCGTCACGCCCGATCTGGCGCGCTTCGAATCGCTCACGCCGTCGTCGACCCAATACTCGCAGCCGATGCAACCCACGCTCTCCAGCCCGCCGGCGGCGACGCCGGCAAACCCGTGGGCGTCTTCCGCATCGGCAGCAGCGCCCGCGAACCCGTGGGCTTCGCCGGCGATGGCGACGAGCACGGCCGGCAATCCTCTATCGCCGCCATCGACATCCATGGCAGGCATGAGCCTGAACCAGCAGCGCCCCGCCATACAGTCCTCCACGTCGTCCTTCTCGCTCGCGCCTCCGCCGGGCGCAAGCAGCAGCAGCAGCGGCATCAGCAAGCCGGCCGGCTTCAGCTTACCACCGCCATCCGGCCCGCAACGCACCGTTTCGTCCTCTTCGTTCGGCCAGCCGTCGGCGTACGGCGGGTTCAACACCAACAACAGCATGAGCGGTGGTAATACGATGGGCATGGGCGGCATGGCGGCCATGAAGCCCATGAACACCGGGAGCATGAACAGCAGTATGAACTCGATGAATTCCATGAACGGCGGCGGCATGAATAGCATGGGCATGGGCATGGGCATGGGTATGGGAGGCATGAGTGCCCAGCAGCAGCCGGCGCAACAGCCACAACAGCCGCCACAGCAGCAGAAGTCGGGCTTGTCCAAGTACGAGAGTCTGCTGTAGGCTTAAGGAAGGAAGGGAAGCATATTGGCAGGGGCCGGAGCGGTCGAGGCGCTTACGGCAGGGCGGGATCATGTATAGTTGGCCACAAGATGGGAATGAGAGACGAGATAGAACGATAGAATGTCGGGGGGTTACGTTTGAATAGGACAGACGGAGATCGGGTTCGGCTGTCTGCTGCCATCTCAGGACCTCAAATCTCGCTCTCGGCCCGGAAAACAACCATGCGCTGTTTCCCCAGTGTGTTAATATGAATGCTCTGATCTACGTGGAGGAATGCCAGGGAGAAAGAATATGTTGGGCAAGGTATAGGGAAACTAGCATGCAGACAAACAGACACGGGACCAACTCCCCGATAGATCCGTCCTGCAACACGACTAGGGTCAAGCACATCGTACGGGTGAAATGGTGTCACCTAGTATTCAATAGGGACCCAAGGCTTGCACCATTATACAAAGTACTCATTCTCTGGCAGAAAACTATCTATCCTAGTGCAGGAGCAAATTTCCCCTCCCTCGCGATAAAAAGAATGCCCCGCCCGTCTGCTTGACATAGCGGGCACATGAGGGACAAAGGGCAATCGGACTCCGGCGAAAATACCATCTAAAACATGCCACACAAAATTGGGCAGGTAAAACAAGACTTGCTGAGTATCATGTACCCTTGGCTTTCTCCCTTAACGCCTTGCCATTCTGAGATCGTAACCATTTGGCTCCGTCCTGTTGTTGAGCGACTTGCCATCGCGACAAAAATGAAGAAACACGGTTCGCCAGTAGAAACACTACTATTCAAGACGGTGCCGCGAGTATGCGATAGCCATGTCCCGCACGTCTCGAGTTGCCGCCTAAGCACGTTGACGCTTCGATGCTCCCTCGTTCGGCAGCGCAGCTTCGGCCTCTCGCTTCTGGCCGTGCGGCGCAGTGCCGCTCTTGGCGCGTCGCCAGCTGTCGAAGGGGCTGCGGGCCTTGGAAGGGCGCTTCACCGGAGTGTGCTCGGCAGGTGGCTTCTGGCTCACACGGGTCGCCCGACCAGTAGTCGGAGGAGATGCAGGTGCGAAGCGGGGCGCTGCGGGCGTGTCTGGGGCCTTCTGTTCGACTGGTGTGTCGACTTGCTCCTCCTCAAGCTGAACAGTGGGGTTCATGATGTGATCCTCAATATCGGTGGCGGCCTCCTCGTCGTCAGTGTTATGGCTTTGCCGAAGCTTCTCGGCCGGAGGGAAGAGAAGTCGTGGCTTGATTGACGAGCGCGTAGTCCGTCGAGGTGGCGATCCAGATCGCTGGATTGAGCTCTCACCATCCACGTCCAGCTCATCAGCGGGGTTTACATCACTGTTGGGCTTCCAGAAGGTCTTTCCGCGGCTATCGTGAATGTTAGTCGTCTGATCATGAAAGTTTTCCTCACCATGGGGGGAAAAAAGTGATGATGAGGTGGAAACTTACAATACGTAGACAGTGCCATCCTCACGATTGACTGCATCCTCCACTGGTACTCTGCCTGAGCCAGGAATGACCACCTTCTTGGGTCGGGTGCTGCGGCGCCTGGTAGGCTCTGGGTTGGCGACTGTCTCACCGAAGAAGGGGTTCTCGGCGCTGTCGTCGACCTTGGGCAGTCGATCACGAGAGTCGGTGAAAATGGCGATGTCCTCCTCAGCGTCCTCGGCTCTGAAGCTCTCCAACGAGATGCCGGTGTACTTCTTGGCCTTCTTCTTGCGCGGGGACGGCAGCGCCTCGGCTGCCGGTTCACTGGAGAAGAGGTTGCGGGCGATGGCGCGGACGCCGGCGTCGACCTTCTCGTCGGACTGCTTGCGCGGGGTCTTGGCAGGGGTGGGGAGCATGGCAGTTGTGGTCTTGTTCTGCGACCGGGACGAGATGCCCAGCAGATCAGCTGCAGTAGCAGAACCCTCGGCAGTCAAGGTGACGCCGGAGGCGCGACGAACAGAATCCATGGCGGGTGCGCGCTTCTTCTGGGGTGAGGCGCCGGGTGTAGAAAAGGTGGATTTCCTCGATGCAGAATTGCGGGATGCTGCTGAAAAAGTAGATGCATGGGGTGAAGGTGTGCGGTTGGCGATCCGGGCGGATTTGCGCGGGGAGTAGGGTTCCCAGTTGTCGCCAAAGGTGCCAAACTTGGGCGTTTGCGGCGTCCTGACACGCGGGGGAGGTGAGGGCGTTTTGGACATGACCTCAGCCATCTTTGCTTTCTTTTCCTCCCTTCCCTTCACTTCAAGGCCAAAAGCGGGCAAAACGGGTAAAACGGGGCAGCCAGCAACAGATGCAGAGCTCGTTGGTCGGTCAGCCAATCTCGACTAACCACTTGCACAGCAACGCAACGCAACGCAACGCAACAGTCGAGTAAGCAGCCGGACAGCCAGCTGAGCTTCTCAGTCTCCTATTTCCTGTCTTTCCGATTTTCGAATAGACCCGCGGGTCGCCGGCACCAAAGCACTGAAGTCGGGAGTAAGACCAGGACAGGACCGCGATTCCGCTAGCACCACTCGGGACGTGTCTTGCGAAAGCGAGCGCAGGTTGCGAAAATGGACAAAGTCGTCGTTCAAGCAATGCGTATATCCGTCAAGTAGATGAGCGGAGAGACAAGCGCGAAGCAGAACCGTCTGTGGTTGTGTCGAGAATCCGACGTGGTTCGATCTGCTGAAGGGCTCGTCCGATGGTTGAAATTGAGACCTCGTCTTCCGTCCAAAGAGCCTTCCGGTTCGATTATGTCGATTGTTCGGCGCGAGTGTCGCAGATACGAAATAATATTGATCAAGCTTATACAATCCAAGCAAATGCGCAGATAGGGGTATAAGACAATCGACGGGGCGACAGGATGCAGGAGTCGACGACAGAGCTGGTGAGAGATGTGGGCAAGGGAAAGGGAAGAGGTTGACGACCATGCCAGATGCGCGGGAAAGTGGCTGGGGCGGGCATGGCTGGAGACTGGGAAGATTCCGGGCTGGCGCGCATCATTCTTGTCCAGGGGTTCGGACAGCATAAACACCAACCCCCCTGTCTGCCTCTATACAGCAGCAAAATACCCCACCGACACCGACATGCAGAGAGAGTGTGTGAGAGGGGGGTGTCTCTGTCAATTCTACCCTGGTCTGTTTCGTCTATCGCAATTGCCCATCGCATTGTGCGTAGAACGGGGAGCTCGTAGAGATGATAGCAGACTTGCGCCAGTATACTAGGGAATTTTACGAATATTAGAGCACGCTTAACCATCAGTCTCCCATGGGGTTCGATATCACGTACATTCGCAGGGTACCCAGACATTCACCGACCTTTTGCTCCCACAATCCGACTGTCCCAATTCAACCTGCCACAATGCGAGCCAGCGCAATGCACCCACTCTGACCCCTGCCAACAATGATGTCTGTTTAATTTACGCCAACGAGACGCGTCGTGGCGGGTCCCGGCCCAGGGGACCAGACGATAAACAGGCGAGACCCCTGGGGCCGGGGGACGCGTCGCGTTTCTTGCCAACCAGCCAGCGCCCAACCCAAAGCCTGCCCAGTCCCATCTGCAATCCACTGCCATCGATGCATGGAAGCCAGAGAAAAGTGCCCCGCATCCCATGCATCGCGGCCCCAAATCTTCGCCCACGTTTGAGCCCTATCGACCCGGGCCGGCCTGCCAGCCTATCGTCGTATCAACAACAGTAAACACACCGTTTCGGGAGTTTCACGCCCATTGAACAACATACAGCTACGTCATCGCATCGCGGGACACCACCACCAACACCACCACCATTTTCCACCAGCGCATCGGGTTGGGGTCACGCAATCCCCACCTCCACCCGCAATCCAGCCTCTAGCCACTCGGGCTTGACCCTGCAGGCAAACGAACCCCGCCATCGACAACGAAGACTCAGATCAAGGTTCCCAGACGCCACCATGGCCGATCTCTTCGATCCGGACGAGTCGTCCCTGCTGGACTCCCCAGACCGGAAACAGACGACCACCACCAATACCAACACCAACACCAGCACGACTCCCCCCGAACGGCCCAAGACCCCCAAGACCCCGACGGGCCCGCCGCCCACCGGCGACCCCTTCGCCAGCGCCGGCCCGCCCAGCGAGGAGGCGCGCGAGGCGGCCCTGCAGCGCGAGCTGGCGGGCGTGCGCTCCATCAACGAGCTGCTCGAGGGCGTGCTGGGCACGCTGGAGCGCGCGCGCGGCAACATGGACACGGTCTCGCAGACGGTCGGCACGGCGTCGGCCCTGCTGGGCACCTGGACCCGCATCCTGGGCCAGACGGAGCACAACCAGCGCCTGCTGCTGGACCCGACCTGGAAGGGCGCCACCGACGACCTCGCGCAGGTCGAGGGCGAGGCCCTGCGCCGCCAGGCCGAGGCCGAGCGCCGCGCCGCCGAGGAGGAGAGGCGGAGGGCCGAGGCGCAGCGGCGGCGTGAGGAGGAGGCCCGCGCCCGTGAGGCCGGGGCCAACACCGCCGTCAACCGGAGGGGCAGCGTCAGGGGGACCCGGGGGACCAGGGCGTCGAGTAGTGGTGTCAGGGGCGTCCGGGGCACCAGGACGGGGACCGGGAGTATGGCGAGGGCGGGCAGCGCTGCCGGTCGAGGTGCGGCCGCGGCAGCATCGTCTGGCGCTGACCGGAGCTCGTCCAGCATTGCCAGCGCTAGGAGCGCGTCGGGCATTGGGAGGGGCTTTGGAAGCACGAGAGGACGGGCCAGAGGCACGAGGGGGACATGAACGAGCAGGTGACGTGGAGACAATGCCATGCTTACCGCATCATGTTCAGGCTGGTGCGTCGACCGAGCATCAACGAAACTTGGTGGGCAACGTGGAGGAGCAGCAAGGATTCAGACCATGCGTATTGGGAACCTGATACTTCATGTACATTTTGACGTGATATCCGGCTGGCTGATTTCCTATCTACAGCCCGGTCTTATACTATACGTACGACCTAAACAAAACAACCCAATCATGATGATACCCAAAAACGCCAGGCTCGTTTGATACAAGATTCCGCAGGACCATGCTTGATGCTTTCCCTTTCCCAACCCCCCACAAGAGCTGTCTTCCCTGATTCCCTAAACCTCCGTTCTTAAGCCCCCCTTCCTCCCCTCAACATGCTCATTTCTTCTTGAAGAAGTCGCTCATCTTCTTCATGCCGCTCGTGTTGACCTTGCCGAGGGTCTTGACGCCGCGCGACAGGCCGGCCTTCTTGCGCTTGTCGTCCTCGTCCTTGCGGCGCTTCTTCTCGGCGCGCTCGGCCAGCTCCTCGTCGTCCAGCACGCGCTTGCGCGAGTAGTCGGCCATGGACCGCGCCGCCACGGCCTCCTGGCGCAGCGCCGCCACCCGCCCCAGGTAGTCGTCCAGCGGCCCGAACTCGGCCTGCAGCTCCGCCCGCGCCCCCAGCTGCTCCCGCAGCCGCGCCGCCTGGGCCGGCGCCACGTACGACGACAGGATGAAGGACAGGGCCGTCCGCAGGCGCTGCAGCGAGATGACCTCGGGCGACGCCACTATGGCCGGCTTGAGCTCGAAGGCTTCCGAGTTGGCCGCCTCCTCCTCGGCCACCGCGACCGACGTGGCGGCCGTGGAGGCGTCCGAGACAGTGGTCAATGTCGTGTCGGCGGAGGAGACGGATGATTGCGACTCGGAATTCTCGACCTTGGGCGTCGAGACCGCGGACTGTGAGGCTGGTGTTTCCGTAGACGCCTGGGGTGCGGCAGCAGGTGTCTCCCGCTTGACGCTCAAGACGGGCGCTTCCAGGGCCTTGGCCACGAACTTTTCCTCCATGCTGGGCGGCAGCGATGTCGTGCTCATGCTGCGGGCCTTGTCCAGCAGCACGGCCAGCAGCTTCTCCTCGCTCAGGCGGTACATGGACTCGTCGCCGGCGTCGACCGTGTCGCAAACGACGGCCATGCGGCTCTCGAACAGCGCCCTAATGTTGCCCCAGCGCAGGACCTCGCCGAGGTGTGGCGACAGGGCGTCTTGACCCCCGCGCGCCAGGTTGTCAAAGTGGTCGTCGCTCGACAGAAATAGCTTCTTCTTTTTGTTGCTCGCGCCGCCCTCCTCAGCCGAGCTCGAACTCAGCGCCGGCAGAACCAAGAAGACCGGGTCGACGGGCGTGGCGACAAAGAGCTCGGCGCCCCTGGTGATGTATGCTCCGAACTCGTCCTCATCCTGGCCCTTCTCGGTTGTCGTCGTCTCCTCGTCTTTCTCCTCACGTTGGGAGGCAGAAGGTGGTTCTGAGTTGCTGGTGGTGGGGGAGGAAGTGCTGTGCTCAATCAGCCAGCTCCGCGGGGTGCTCTTCGGGGCGGCGATGCGAGTGAACTCGTAGACGCCCGTCGAGGGGCATACGAGGTAGCGGGTCGGCTTGCCGTAGCGAGGGTTGAGTAGGGATACCACGCGGGCCTCCGGGGTGGCTTTCCTGGGGAGGATGAAGATCTTGGGCGGGTTTGGCGATTCGTCGGGGAGGGTGTATCTCGATTCTGTGCTGGCCGAGGACTGTGACTTTGAGGCTGATTTGGTGGTTGTGGTTGCGCCGCCCTTGGAGCGGGTGCGCGCCATGATGGTGGGTGGCGGGACGGACTTGTTGGTGCGGTATAGTTGCGGTGCAGTCTTGACTTGAGAAACACCCAATCGAGTTTGCTTGGTCCTAAACTTGTCACAAATCGTTCATGTCTCCTCAATAACTTGCCTATGCTGTGCTCGTAGTAACTCGCACCAACATCGAGAGCAGTCGATAGTCGATGCTCGGACCAGAAAAAGAACCCCTGCCGGCCGACGCGTGTGTGGAGACGCGTTTCTGCTCCTCAGCGACACGCCCGTTTCCCCTTCCCGGAACTCATTTAGTTATCACAAGCGCGTGTTATCGTGGGGACCTGGGCGCCGGCTGGGGGCTTGTCGATAAGCACCGTCCTGCAATTATTCCCAGAAATTGCATTGCGTCGCATCTTGAGTCCATGCCGTCGCTCTAGCCATAGACCATAGCCCCGTACCGCCCACCACTCCGACGATACACTCCAAACTAACTCGGTCTTCATCGCTCCCGTGCTACGGCCTCCGCTCCTCCCTCTGCCGTGTTGCCCCCCAGCCCATAGCGATTGGCTACTATACCACCCGGTCCCTGCAAGAGCACACAACCTGTTTGGCCCTCTTGTCTTGTGGGAAGACGGATGCAGAGAGGCCTTGCTGCCCTTGACCGGAACACAACAAACGGCGACTTCGAGCCCAGAGATGGTAGGGAGGTAGCAGCGCCGCCGTCATCTGGCTACGATGCCTCTCAGTATGTCGTTCCAGACTCCCCGAATTCCCCTCCATGGGTAGTGCCCGGCTTCGATGCTGATCCCACCCGCAGGACCCGGCCAACAAGAGGCCCAATGGCCCCCGCGCTCGCCCCGCGAAGCCCTGGTCAGCACACCCGGCGGCCGCGAACGTCTGCGACGCCTGGCAGAGCGCGCATCGCCCTCGCCATCGCCGTTGAAGAAATCGAGGTCCATGTCGGGACTTGCGCTTCGTCCGGATCACATGCGCACCGCCAGCTACGACGACGACGACGGTAACCTAAACATTGGGGAGGACGACGACGATGCGGAAGACGAGGATGAGGAGACGCTGCGCCTCAAGTTACAGGCCATCGAGGCCAAGCTCAAACTCAAGGCCCTACAGAAGAAGCAGCAGAAGAAGGCCGTCAGCAGTTCCTCGGATGCCGAGAATAGCTTGCCCAGCACTAGCAGGCCCGTGTCGGCGGCACCAGATGTCCTGGCCGCAAGCAGAGCGCAATCTCGCGCCGCAATGCTGGCCGAGGGCCCGAGGATGCGCGCGCAGTCCCAGGGGGATGTGCAGGTCCCTGTGTCACCGGTGAGGAGGACACAGACAGTTAGCGAGCAGAGATCGCCCAGCCGGGTGTTGCTGGGCATAGACAAGGGGCTCAAGGCGAAGGATGTCTCGCTCAAGCGGGCCTCGAGTGTGCGAAAGCCTAGTGAGACCTACGAGGGGCAGACAGGAGGCTACCTTCGTCGCGCTCATACGCCAGCATCCGCCAGCCAGAGTTTCCCGCCAGGCGTGGAACGACCCAAGACCTTCAGTGAGAGACTGGCCGCGGCGAGGAACGACGAGGCAACCCGAGAGGACAGACAGGCACGAATACGGAAGGTCAGGAGCAAGGCTTTCGAGGTCGGCCAAGACGAGGTCGAGAGGTACAAGAGTCGAGCAGCAGAGATACCCGATATACCCCAACAAGCGGAGTCTTTCAGTCGAGAAGAGGTCTTGGCTGGGGCCCGACCCAGACAGAACAACACAGTACCCGGCGGAGGTGTGGAACAAAACACAGCGAATGCATTAACACAGAAGACCAAAGTTGCGCCTTCAGAAGTCACCGAAGATGAAGCAACATCCTTTGAGCCATATTCCGGCTTTCACCTCTCTAAACGTATCCTACCACATAACCTACTAACGCGGACCTTCTCCGGGCGGAAGATACTCCTGATCAAGGACCTTCTGGCCCAAGTAAAGGCACCGAACTTCGAACTCCCCGAGGTCGAGCAGGACATTGTCGTCCTTGCCATTCTCGCAGACAAATCTGAGCCCAAGACGCATAACAAGCCACCGGGCACGGAGATGAAGGAGAAGAAATCTCGTTTTGCGGAGGAGGAGCATCGGGGCAAGTACATGGTCACCACCATCGTCGACTTGACCTGGCAGATGGAGCTATTCCTTTTCAACAGCGCATTCAACCGATACTGGAAGATGACTCCCGGGACTGTGATTGCTATACTGAACCCTACCGTCATGCCGCCGCCCAAGGGCCGCGAACACACGAATCGCTTCAGTCTGGTGCTCAACAGCGATGAAGACGCAGTTCTCGAGCTCGGGAATGCGAGGGATCTGGGCTTTTGCAAGAGCACCAAAAAGGACGGCTCCCTGTGCAACTCCTGGGTCAACAAGAAGCGCACCGAGTTTTGCGAGTTCCACATGAACCTCGCGCTCGGCAAACACAGGCTCGCCCGCCAGGACATCAACACCGGCAGCGGCATCGGTCCCTACGAGAAGAAGAGCCGGGAGAAGATGGCACGAAACAAGAAGGACGAGGAGAGGGACCGCAGGAACGGCAAATACGACCGCGAGACGAACAGCCATTTCTTCGTCAGTCAGGCGTCCGCTGCCAGTCTGCTCGACGGCGAGCAGACGCTCGGCAAGGTCGAGAAGCGCGAGGCCCTGCGCCGCAAGCTCGCCCACCAGGAGAAGGAGCGCGAGATCATGAAGCAGCTGGGCAGCACGGGCCGCGCCGCCGGCAGGGAGTACATGAACCTGACGCGCGCCAAGCTGGGCTCCAGCATGTCGTCGGCCGCCGACTCGGAACCGGGGAGCAGCTCGCTCGCCGACCAGCCGGCCAACCCCCCGGACGCCCGCAGCCTGGGCCTCCTCGCGCCGAGGGACGGCAGCGCCGCCCGGGTCCACCTCAGCCCCGTGAAGCGGAAGCGCAACCTCTCGGCCGCGACGAGCGGCACCGAGGGCTCGGTCTCGGGCTCCTCCACCGCCGCGTCCGGCCGCGTGCCCCTGGGCTGGGGCGGCGGCCTGCACGACAAGCTGTCCCGGATGAAGGACGGCGAGCGGCTGGACGGCAAGGCCGCGGCTGTGCGCGAAGAGAAGACGAGCACGGCTGCGGCTCAACAGCCCGCCAAGAAGAAGACGCGCTTCGTGACCGACAAGGGCATCCGCGAGGCCGGCCGCGAGAGCCTCGGCGGCGAGCTGGCTAAGAAGGAGGTCTTGCAGCTGGGACTCGATAGCGACGACGAGCTGGAGATCTTGATGTAGTAGCGCCGCGACTACTCCTCGATAACTCGACTTCTCTGGGGTCTCGAGCCAACGTCTCTTTTTCTTACCGGGGTTCTGGATCGCGTTTCGTGAGGCTGATTTGAGGGACGAAAAACATGTTAAGCGTCGGCGGTCTGTTTTGAGGGATTATGGCTTTAGGAACCCCCCCTATAGCCCTATAGGGTTTGGTTTTGGGATACGACGTTAGATAGTCACGATACGTGCCCACATTGCCATGATGTGTTGTTTTTGAATGAGACACAGATTGAGCTTTCTATGAGTACTTTCCATATGTGAAATCGTGTTTAAAGGCTAAGGGGCGCTCCTTTAAGTCCTTATGGTACTCTTAGCACCAGATATCGGGTGATCTGTGATTCTTTTCGAGAGAACAAGTCGTTCCTTGTTGGTGAATACGGAGTATTTTCCTATCCGGTGTTTAGTTTTCGTTTGCTTATACTTGATGCCGTCAACGATATGCCCCAGGATGGGTTCACCCTTTAATAGCACGTGAGCCAACTCTGTTGGTTAGTAGACAGCCGAGTTTGGGATAAGTTCCATGTGGCAGTGAGTATATATCAAGCCGGGTGGCTGTATCTTCTACAGTGTTGGAGCAATGGCCTCAGTAGCACCACCTATGCTTGACACTGCTCACGGTGCTTCTATTATGACACCACTATAGTTATAGAATTGCAATATCAGATGACGCACAGCAAAGCTAGCCGTTCTCAAAGCAAGAAGGTGGTTGAGTCCCGCGGATGAAGGGGCCTTGTTGCTTTTGCGAAATCAACAGTCGTCGACAGGCTGGAGCCAAACCTGGCCCCTTAACATATATCACGTTGGCTGAGAATACTGGCGTTAGCAACACTTCTTCTTTGTCCTCCGAAGTAAGTACCCGCAAGGTCACGGTGTTTGTTACGAAAAGGACGGCTAATGATCACCAACCAACTCTCCTGGGAATCACGCGCAAGGAGATTTCTTTGCATGTTTGTAAATGCGTGCATCGCCATGTGGACCTGGTTTGTTTGTCTGTGTACAAGGATCGGAGCTAAGGGGTAGATTAGACTTGACAGCATGTACTACCTCTATCGTTTGTGTTATTGGCTATACGCAACATTGCGATGAATTAGATCAAGGCACTATGTCGCAAATCAAGCAGGAGACAGTAGACTTGGCGGCCGCGGGCGTGGGCAGGGTCTTCTACCAGCAGCAAAAGTGGGATCATGTCAGTGGGGGCAACGGCAGCTTGGTAGAACTGTCGGCTGGGGTGATGGGCCTTGGAGAGTCGCTATCAGAATGTGATGAGGAGTTAAAGAAATCACTCCTCGGTAAATTCAGTACATAATTTTCAGATAAGGTCGATTCCTTGTTGGACGACGGCAGTTTTAGAAGGACAATCGTTCTCTGGCAAGGACTCAATCGCAGGCCGGTCACGGTGTTGAGACATCTCGGCCTTGTCTACCTGGAGAATTTCATGATGGCACTGACAGAGAATTCGCCTTGGCCCAAAATGGGAAGCATGGCGTCTGCAAAGAGCATGGCTCCGTCTCATCATCCAAGAAATCATCACTCATGCGTTGATTCCTTTCTTCTTCTTCTCCTTTTCCCCCTTACCCTCTTGGTGCTATTTGTTTCATCCGCCGTCGTTGCGCCGAAGTCATGATTATCAATCTATCGTTTCTTCCCCTTCCGTGCCTTTGCAGCTTTCTTGGCAGATAATCGGATGTGGACCAATTGGCTGATCGTTCATGACCTCTGTGTCTGCTTCATAGAGACTAGAATTTTCTTGTTTCCCTGGTATCATCATAACAGGAAAGGCTCCCATAACAATAGAAGAGTTCGGTATAAAAGCTTCTTGCGTGATCACCTAAAATCATCTGCGAGCCCGCGGCAGCAGTTGGGCAACATAAGAGATACTTGCTTCGCAATTATTGCAGGGGCATGCGTAATGAAAACATTCCATGAAATTATCGAACCAACTGATAGTGAAACAGTCCATGTTGTGAATCCTGTTCTGGGATGTTTGCCAACTGTGGTAACGTTGTTAGTAGAAATTCTCTTTGTCTTCCAAGATAAGCTACCAACGCTCTCCATTTCCGTAACGCTGGCAGCACGACGACCGATTCTGTGCGATCAAACTTGGCTTCACGCGCACATGAAGTCATGAGGTCTCTGTCTTATGCGGTCAAGTCCGTGTCTTTACTCGTCCATCAGGCGCGGATGTGTAGCAGGTAATTGCGGCCAGCGGGATCTATTTAAGAATGAATCCATGTAGACTATCTTTGCCACCCACTGCCTGGGCCAAACAGACTACCGCGTAGAATTTGTGACCGGCATCATGTCAGACGCTCAGCACCAGAGTAGCAGCCTTCCTAGTATCACCCAGTTTGCACTGTTTCCCCGTCTGCCTCGAAAGATCAAACACCAGATCATCTGCAGAGCAGCAGAAGGTGCCGTGGAACACCTCGACAGGGTCTTCTTCCAGCAATACGAGTATGGCCCGCTGCCGCCGCAAGTCTTCTGGCTCAATTCATCCTACTCCGTGACGAATTCCGGAGAGCAACCCACCCTGTGCGACGAGCGCCTGTCCGGCGCCCTTAGGTCGATAGCTGGAGTTGCGAGGGAGTTCAAAGGTGTAGTCCATGGTCTTCTCAACCACATAACATTGCAATACAGTAATATTGATGGGGTTTACCGGCTTCCTCTGCGTATCAAGGTGCTGAGGACGCACGAGTATGTATACTTGCAAAACTTCCTCCGAGTACAGTGCAAGCCCACAATTAGGCCATGCTTTTTGCAGGGGTTCCGACTTCATTTCGAGCACGTCCAAAGCTACCCGATCGTCCTGCTAGATATTAACGATATCTACGGCCGCTTGACTGCAGTCAACCATGCCCCTGACCCACCGTCCGATGAAATCTGGCTGGCAAGCACGATCCAGGACCGCTCGCTCATGGGGCCCCTGGTGGCAAAGAAGTCTCGCATAAACACGATCATGGTGCTTGTCCATAAGACTGACGGCAGCAATGGGGAGAAGCGGCCGGGTTTCGACTTGGACTCACTCAGGCCCAGCAACCTTGTCACACTGGCCTCTTCCCACACCACGAGTACTGCCCGGGATCTAGTCGAGAAGATCAATAGATACAGGGGCAGTCATCTGGACGGCAGCGCCAGGAAAGTCATTGAGAAGACCGAGGAGCACCTGAGGGAGTTGGAGGCCGCCGGGATGGGACTGCACGTGCCGCGGCGGAGGTATGTCGCCTGGAAAGACGTGCCGGACTTGACGTTTGTCGAGGATCTCCCGAACGAGTCGCTACAGCGGGCGCCTCCTGCACCAGCTACTCCCGACAGACGCAGTAATATTGCAGACGAAGTCAGTTGAGTAAATATTTCAGAGGTGTCGCTCTTTCACAGCCGGACGAGGGGAACAGGACAGGGGCATGCGCTTAGGATCATGATGGGCGGATAGAAGACTAGGGGCCACGGGCAATATGGTCTCAAGCAGCTTGAACAGCGGCACCGATGTCAACATGAGGAATAAGGCCGACGAGACAGGGGCGGAGGATACCGGGGAAGTGACGAAGCTATTAGAAGCGTGTCAGCATCAGCACTGACACTGTAGCTCCATATAGACAGATCGCTAGGTTCAAGTGTAGCAAAAAGAGAGAAACAGGGACCTTAAAACACCCACATAGCGAAGCCCCGATCCTTATGTGCAAATGTAAACTGCTTCTTGCTGTGTGCAGATTCGAGGAACATGGCATCTACATATCGTTCCAACAGCGGCCTATGCTCAGCAGTCCCACTTCAAACATTGGATATGCAGTTCCAACGTTTATAGCCTGGAGAACAACGGAAACTACATGGCACACTTGTTACGTTGGAGGAGTCGACTTAAACTACGCCGCCGATAGAGAGTAGGATATATATATCTCAGTTACAGGCGTACACACAACCGAGTAGCCGCTTTGAACTCCGATCATACAAGTGAATACTCACGCCACCTCCTTGCCAGACACACAACCACGCAATTGTAGACTCAAAGAAGCCAGGTCCACCACACTAGACAAACACGTTCACACGCTCACAGCTCTATATAAGGGTCTTGTTTCCATCTTGTCTTTTTTTACTATTTCAGCCGACCAGGCTCGGCCGGGCATTGGAAGCTTTGCATTAAAGCACCTTGCTCGAGTCAACCCTCGCCCCCGCCTTACCAGTCCTGTCGTCTAAAGCCTTACTCGTCTCGTGCCTTTGCCCTTGGCCCTAAATCTCATCGCTGGGTTTCTGTTGGCTGGCTACAAGGGTCCGAGGAGAAAAAATAACTGCTTGCTTGTCAGAAGGCAGGAGGTTTACAAAGCAGCTCGTGTGTCTTCATCCAACCCGCTCTCTCTCCTCGCTCCCCACATCAAGAAAGGAACTGCCCATCTTCATTGCCCATACGGAACGCGCTACAGCTCCTCGTCGCTCTCGTCCTTCGGCCCCAGCGCCGCGGGCGGCGCCTGTGCTGTCTCCTTCATTTGCTGGTTCGCCGTGGCCCGGCCCAGCACGTCGCCCAGAGCCGAGGGGAACCCAGCAGACCTGTCCTTGGCCCCTTCGTCGGCGCTTGGACGATGCTTCTTCAACGGACTGCCGATTGTCGTCTCTCCGGCGGGCTGGGCCATGAGGTTGGCAACGCCGGCAGCAGGTGCCACGTTCGACGCGGAATCCGTCGGCGTCGTTGCGCTGGTGGGACCTGTGCTCGGGGATTTCCTGTTCGCGGCAGCTGCTGCGCTGTCGGGTTCGGCGGAATGCTGTCTCTTTAGCTGTTCACGGGGTTAGCAATCTTTGGGTCTGCGAAGGTGAAGCTGCCAACATACCCGAATCCTGTCAATACCAGCTTTCAGCTCGGCCTGTATCTCTGCGTCCTCGGGAGCCAGGTGGGACTTGTCGACCTTGTTAAGGTCATACTCAGCCTCCATCTTCTTCAGGGGGTTCGCGTCGTCATCGTCATCGTCACTATCCTCAACCATGGCGCCGCCTATGCTGCCGTTGCTCTTCTTTCTCGATTTCCGCCGTTCGGTATCCTGATCTCGGAAGGCCGAGAAGCCGACGGTGCCAGTCGTCTTGAGCGGCCCCAGGTTCGAGAAATCGAGCTGCGTACTACGCCGCTTGGCTCCGGGCGTGGTTGTTTTGGCGTCCTTTGCCGAGGGGAGAATACCCATCTTCGATAGTTGTCCTGTAGACCGCTAGTCAGTATGTAATGCACTATAATGCACTTGGGCTCCTGGTTGTGGTATGCAAAGAAGAACGTACGCTGGCCGCGGTAAAAGAAGGTAAAGACAGCATAGGGCTTATCTGGCCCATCAATGCCGGTTACGGTTTGGGTGCTAATCGTCTTAGGATCGAGCGTCTTGGGCTTGGCAAAGCTGGTGGTGTGCTCGACGCTGGCGTCGACGCCGTTGCTGCCTCCCTGCTGCGCGCCGCTGTTCTCGTCGTCGTCGTCATCGTGCGCGTCAAACTGCGGCGAGTACTCGCCCTTCTTGATCTCGCCCGAGGCGATGACGCGGAACATGGCGACCTTGATCTGGCCCGTGGCCTCGGGCGGCTCGTCGTCGTCGTCCGAGAGCGAGTCCGAGTCCGAGTCCTCCATGCCGTCGGCCAGGGGCGACTGTTCGCTGTTGCCGTAGGCCAGGGTGTCCCGGGAGCGGTTCGTCTTCTCCAGGTCCATGCCGGTGCCGGCGGCGGCCGACTTTTGGCGGCGGTGGCGCCTCTCGAACTTCTGCCTCCTCTTCTCAACCTTCTCGGCAGCATCGTGGCCCTGCAGATCCAGGCCGTTGAGCCAGCGCTCCAGGCCGACCTCGCGGAACAGGAACTCGCGCTCGGCGAGGCCGCCGCCCTCGCTATCGGGGACCTGGACCCAGCGGCTGTTGACCCAGGTCTCCTCGCCGGGGCGGAGCAAGGTGGCGACCTCCTCCTTAGCGCGGCCGTCGAAGTAGATGTAGGCGGCTATGGTCTCGTTCTCCGAGTTGGTCATGGGGATGTAGGGGGTGACGGTGTTGGCGTGCTTGGAGGGGTCGGCGGCGGCCGAGGGCAGGGGCCCGGCGTAGAGGGGCTTCGGGTCCGGGTTGGCGGGCGACTTCTTGGGCTGGGTGTAGGGGATGGGATGGCCCGGGGTCAGCAGGGTGATGCTGATGGCGAAGCGGGCGGGCTCATGCTGCGAGGTGTCCGGGTTCAGCTGCGGGGAGGGCACGGGGATGTAGGTGCTGATGCGTGACATGCGGGACTGCTTCTGCATGCCGTACTCGCTGAGCGGGGAGCTATTCGCGTGAATGCTCACGGCGATGCCCTTGAAGCAGGGCATCGTGGCGGCGGGGAGGGACGGGGGGCTGCCGTCGTTGTCGTCGGCGCGAGTCGGGTTCGCGGGAGGCGTGTGGTTGTTGAGATTGGGACAGGGCGGAGGGCGACAGTCGCCGGCCGAAGGGTATCACGACTGTGACTGTACTTTTTTTTTCTTTCCTGGGTCGGGAGGGGTCGCAGATGCGAAGCCGGCGGTCTGGTATTCGCCTGAGGGGTGTGCGACCTGCTCGGGGCGCGTTGGTGAGGTTCTAGCGGTTTGCCCAAGCGGAGCCGCGTGCCAAAAGCCCAACGTGGATGGGTGTTGATATCTGGGGAGGTGGTGAGAGCAGCGGTGGTGTTTTGGTTTGGCGGCGGCGGCGGTAGTCAAGTGGTTTAGTGGTGGTGGTGGTAGTGGTGGTAGTGGTGGTGCTACTGTTGGCACCGTACCCCAGGCCAAGGTAACTTAGCCCGCAGTGTTGCCAGGCCAGACCCGGGAGAGACCCAGGCGCAGAGAGGTCGGTGAAGAAGACCACCGCCGGCAGCTCCACGTTCACAAAGTCGACGACTGCCAATGTACGAGACGGAGAGAGGAGAGACACAGAGGCCCGCCCGCTCTGCAAGGCTGCTGCACCTTTTTTCTTTCTTTTCCACACTAAAATACTGCGCGCAACGGCGATGCAGCTGGGAGGGATATGTATGCGACCTTGTATGTAAGTGTGTGTATGTATATGTATGGACTGTCGTCAGCGAGCCAGACCTGGACCTGGAGCTGCACCACAGACCTGAACCTTGGTGGTCATCCATGCACCTCAAGCTCCGTCAGCTGCGAGCGACCACGGGCAGCCAGTCATCTCGGATAGCACCAGCTGATGGCCATGAGGAGGACGACGACTTCTCGCCCGTCCTCCTTTCCGTCTCTTCTCACTCCTCTGCCACGCTGGCCACGGTATTTAGCACACTGCACCGTGACTACATGGCCAACTACATAACTAGTCACTCGTAACTCGTAACTCGTATCCCGGGCCTCCTTCTTGCTGCGAGCATAGCGGTCAAGCACCTGATCAGTAGCCACGCAGACTGCCCCTCAGATGGATTATGTAGCGGGCCCTCGGGCTGCTGCTAGCTACGAACTACTACCTCAAGGCAGTTAGCCAGGGTCCCCTAAATCATGTCTCGTCTCTTGTCTCTTGTCTCTGCCGTCCCGTCGCGTGAGAGCGTCACCACTTCCAATCCACTGTCAATAGTTCCAAAACATTCAACAAATCTTGCCAGAGTCTGGTGGTCTGGTGGGGGCCGAAAAAATCCAGTGAGGGACTCCAGATCGCAACCTTCAGGTTGCTGGGGAGCTCTCGCGGTGCCACGTTGGAGCAAAGCGGCCACAGGCCACCACTAATTACCTAAGTCAAGTAATCAGGTAGGAACCTAGGTCGCTTCACTTTCGTCCAGGGCAACGAGCATAGCATCCGACCTGACTGGCAATCACATCGATCACGTCAGGAGATGCCAATTGGGACGCTGCCTTTAGATAGACTGCGGTAGACCCGGGCTCGCCCCGGCTGGTGCCCGCGACGGCACCGCACGAGCACGCATCCCTGCTAGCCAAAGGCTTCTTGATCTTCATTTTTGGCTTGGCAATGGTTTAGAGTTTACTGCTTAATCTAGAACTCGGGATGTTCGTCTGAACACTCATGAGTTAAAGCACATGTCAGCTCTCGGCTTCGGGGGGTCTGAGGATGAAAATGTCGTATTTTCCCCCCTTGCTATAATGTCACGCAAATAGACCCGCGATGAAACGAGATATGACCTGTTCGAAGAAACCCACCTATACATTATCCGGAAGACTACTACCGAACTGGCAACCTGAGTTATCAACCTTGCAATAAGATCCATATAGAAATACGAGCTGTTATGCGCAACTCGATCAGCAACTGCCGCAATATCAATGATGCGATTTCAGTCATCGTACTACCACAGCTGGTTTTGACTCACTCAGTTGGATGCTAATAAGAGATGGGATCTTATCAACATCCCCGAAGACGTCCCAGGCGCCAGAGTCGAGCATTTGTGGATAGCCTGAACAGAGCATATGGTCAAGATAGGGAAAGGGGCGATTAATTGTATTACTAGTCTGTCATGCCGCGAAATCCAGCCGCCAGGACGAACAAGCATTTACTCATGCCCACCCAGTTCTCTGGACGACCGCTTCCTCACTGCGCTCTTCGCCTTGCCGTAGCTGGACCCCGTGCCCTCTGCCCCGTCGTCCTCTCCGTACCCGATGCGCCGGGCCGGCAGGTCTCGTTCCACGCTCTCCTCCTTGATGTACTTCTTCTCGTCATCGTCGTCGTCGTCTTCGTGCTTCACACTCCGGCTCTTGTCGTAGTAGGTCGAGGAACTCGGCCCGCTGGTGGTCTCGGAGCCGCGGTCCGCACTCCCGCGCTTCAGCACCGCGCTGCGGTCGCTCTTCCAGGCGCTGTCGTCGAGATCCGTGTCGCGAGCGACGACGGCAGCCCCGCCCTCCCCATCCTGCTTGCCCCGGAGCACGTAGGCGAGGACCAGCCACCCGACGCCCATGGACAGCATCTCGGCGAGCCAGAAGAGGGCGGTGAAGGCGACGAAGCTCAGGATGCGGTGGTTGTACATCAGCCAGCGGAGGCCGGTCAGGCGCGCCACGAGCTCGATGCGGGCGGCGTAGACCTGCAGGGTCTGGCCGGCCTGGACGTCGAGCAGCAGGCTCAGGGGCAGCTGGTGGCGGAACTCGACGAGCTCGCCCATGGGGACGGTCAGGGTCTCGAGCTCGGCGGCGGCGGGCGAGACGACGAGGTGCCACAGCAGGAAGAGCAGGCGGCCGGCGGTCGATAGGAGCGGGTCGCGGTACGGGACCAGGGCCGGGCGGCGCGACGAGAAGACCACGTTGTCCGGCTGCACGTGCGCGTAGGGGTCCGACGGGATGGTCCACGACTGGGCCGGGTTCTCGAGCTCCGACTTGGTCGCAAACAGGGCGATCATGAAGTTGCCGCGGTCGACGTTGGGCGGGGACCGCGGGAGCGTCAGCTCGACCGTCACGTCGTAGGCCGTCTCGAGCATCAGGCTCTTGGAGAGCGAGGTCACCCCAAAGGGATTAAGCCCGGCACTGCAGCAGAGAGAACGCGGCGCATGTTAGTTCTCTATTTATAGGATGCCAGTACAAGCAATGGAAAGCCCGCCAACCGTTCAGAGATTATGCACGTACTTGTATTGGAGGTGCACCGGGACCGACACGAGCTTCTTTGGGACGTAGGCGTAGTAGAAGACGGGGTACACGACGGCGGCAATGCCGAGCAGTACGAGCGAGGTCGTAACGAAGAGGAAAGTGTTGAGGTAGATCCTCTGCGCCGCAGGAGCCGTGGCAGCTCGGATGGGGCGTTTTACGTATTCCTGTAGTGGTGCGAGACGTGTTAGAGAATTGACGAGTTGAGCTCTGCAGGGAGGGAGCACAGCTCTTACCATGGAGTCGGGAGATGCGCCATGCGGCGCGACAGCTCTGAATGCCGCCTCCGTCTCCGTCTCCGGTTGCGCCTCCGAGAACTGGTCGGTGCGAGGAAGGAAGCCGGTCGAGGGAAGGAAAGCCGGAGCGGTGATGCGTGATGCCCAAGCCGAAGTTGGAGCTGGAGCTTGGTCGGCGGTGATCCCTGTCGGGTGACGGTGGTGGTGGTGTTGACGTTGATGCGGGTGGTGGTGCTGGTGCTGGAGCTGGAGCTGGAGCTGGAGCTGGTGCTGGCTGGAGCTGGAGCTACGGCTGCCGGTAGTGCCCCGCGGCGATTGGCCCTGGCAGTGGCCGACGTCATGCCCGTGACCGTAACGGCTCTCGCTCAGCCAGGGGCTGGCATGGTCTATGTCGTCGTCGAGATTCATCATTTGACTAAGCATTTGTTCATACACGTTTGGCACCGAGCAAGATCGAGCAGTTCAGAAGTTTGAGATGAAACATGCTACCATCATTGGCCGGAATTTGTATGCAATACCGTCTGGTTTTATATTTGAAAAAAGGACGTAGTTGATGAACGCCAGCCCAAGACCCAAACTCATTATGTGACTTACATACTCCGCGACAAAACAAACCTGTCGCCGAGACAAAGAACCCAACTTGCTAACGCTTCGCCTTTCCGCTTGTCGTATCGTCAACTCAAATGCAAAGTCTCTTTCGTACACCAGGTCCGCATACCCCTTGTCTTCAACCTCCCTTGATGCCTCCTCTATATAGGCTGCAGGTAGTTGCTGGGTACCAACCCGCTCCTGCCGGCCCCGTTGCCTGCGTGAATCTCGGCCTCCCACCAGCCATCGTCCTGGTGCCGCAGGACGGCCAAGGTATCGCCCTTGCTGAAGCCCAGCTCCTCGGGGATCGCTGCCTGGTACACATACAAAGCCCGTGCTGTGCGACGTGTCAGCTTTGGTTCTCACCACCCACTTGCCTTCTTCGGCATTGTGACGAGGTATAGCAGGGGACAACTTACCTAGATGCAAAATCGGCCGGCCATCCTTAGTGTACTGTCGACTTGGATCCGCAAGACTCTTACTGCGCTGTCGGGAGGTTGACATCTGTCGGCCGTCGTAGAAGGCCACCTGTCCGCCTTGGCTGGTACCGGGTCTGCCGTTGCGTCCACGTTGAGATCCATACCCGTCCTCGGCGCCAGGGGACAACTGGACAGCCATGTCACTGCTGCTCGGGCGGTCGTAGTCGTTACGGAACGGCGCCGGCGACGCTGATCTAGCCATCTCGTTGGGAGAGTTGTGGCGGAAGTACCCCTGATCCGAGCCGCGAGGAGCGGCCGCGCCCATCGACGACTGGCTGCGTTGGTGTTGGCTCCCGCTGTAAGGGTTGGGTGATGCGGATCGGTGGTGCTGGCGAGGGTCGACTCTCGGAGATGCGCTGCGGGGCGGTGCCGGGGATGCAGTGCGAGGCATGTCGCTCCCTCTGGTGCCTGGTCGTGACTGGCTTCGTGCATAGGCTCCCGAACCCGGGCGGTTGGGGTTGAACATGTCTCGTGTTTGCTGTTCGTACTTCCGCGTCGTCTCTTGCATCGCTCTCTTGGTGCATGCTGCTGCAGGGACGCCAAGTCGTTGCACTTGCTGATCGTAAGACGGTGGCGGTGTGCCTCTCATGCCCGCCGCCACGTCGCTGCCTCCCCTAGGAGCCGGAACGGACCTGGAGAATGGTCGGGACGGATCATGCCCAGGTGCTGGCGTGGCAATCCCATGATAGTGGTCTGCCGATACCCGCACAGTAGCCTGCTTGTTTCCTGCCACCTCCTTGAGTTCCGCGAGCGCCAGTGCGATCGGGTCCATGTCTTCTTGAGGCGCCTTGTCCACGGACTTCTTAAGTCTGTCAGGCGTAGACACGGCAAAGACATTCTGACCGACGTTGAGAGCCAGGCTGGCGTTGGCGTCGATGGGATCGGGACTGACGGTCCTGTCGGGCAGTGCGTTCTGCTCCGGTTGATACTGAGGTCTTTGCGATGAGGGACCCCAGGTATTTCTGTTGGACGCACTGATGTCCTTGGTGCTCTTTCGCCGGAACGGACTGTGGTTCTGGAAGAAGCCGCTCTTCTTCTTAAGGATGCGTTTCTCCGGCTGTGCCTCCACCAGGGGCTGTGGCTGCTTGACTGGCGACACCTTGCCGCTCGGCGGTTCCTGACTAGAGAACGAAGTCGGGTTGGAGTATTCGCTGTTGTCGTCACGGCTCGATGGTCTGTTGGAGGACAGATTAGAGCTAGTAGCAGAGTTCATGCCCGAGTTCATGCCATCCGTGCGGCACAACATGGTCATGCCGTCCATAGGGTACGGATCATGCGGCACGGCTGCGAATTGACCAGCGTCATATTGTTGCTGCTGCTGCATGCCGTGTCCCGCCCGGCTGCCCGAGGGAGGCATGACGGCGCCTGGTCCCTTGTGTGGGGTTACTGTAGCCTCCCTGCTCCGTGGTGTATCCATGTCATGGTGGGCAAGATCGCGTGCCAGGGCCGAGTTGGGATCATGGTGGGACTCAAAAGTCGAAGGCTGAGGCGAGGAAGTGCGATAGGCCGGGTTGATGCTGCGTGGGAATTGGGCCACTGAATAACTGTCATCGTCGACCGAGGCTATCGACTCGTGATCGTCCACATCTCCTCGGCAGAAGTTGATGTACTTTGGCGGATCCGGTATCTCCTGGCCCGTGCCCCTCTCGCTGATGAAGGTCATGATATCCTTTTCGACCTCCAAGTCCTCGAGGGCCAGCCGCATCTTCTCGCAGGAGGCGTCATCGCTGACGCACACGGTCGATGCGACGTTTGCAAACGTCCACAAGGAGCTCTTGGAGAAGTCGAGGCGCTCCTCCTCCAGGTCCTGGAACTTGTCGGCGGCAGCCTTCCACTCACGGTTCCACCTCGCCGTGGTGTCTTCCAAGGCCTTGACGGCATTCTCGTACTCGGTATTCGAGGTGGCCAGGCTGATCTGTGTCTTCTCCAGCTTGGCCTTGTTCTTCCGCTCCTCCTGGCCCATGACCATGTGGCCCTGGGCGAGGTAGCCCTTGATCTTCAGACATTCTTGCTCGTAGCGGTCTCGTGTCTTGTTGACGGTCTGAGTCTGCTGGATCTTGGTCTTGAGCAGCTTCTCGACCGTGTTCTGGACGATCTTGCGTCTCTCCTTCATGCCCCCGGCGAACGCGGCCAGCGGCTCTTCGAGTTCTGTCTTCATCTGCTGGGCGATGCTGGCATGCTGCTTGGCCATGGCCTCGGTCTCGCCGCGCACGGTGTCGAGTGATGACTTCAGCGAGCCCATCTCGTGCGACCCTAGGGCTTTCCGGGACAAGGACATGAGCTTGCGGGCGTATTCATCTTCGATGGAAGCGCGGGCACTGTAGAACGATCTAAGCTCGTCGCATGTCTGCTTCGCAGCCAGCATGCGATCGAGCAGCGGGCCGACGCCGGCATCTTCCTTTCCCCAGAAATTGTTGGCGACTGTTACGGTCAGTATCACTGCTCTTCGCGCGGTAGTAAAGTACGAGCGAAATACGTACACGACAGTGCCACTGTCGGCGCCTCTGTAGCAGCAGGCATACTGCCCGACACTTGTGATGGATACGCGATGGAGGACTATCGACGGAGCCAAATTAGGGCTGGGACGGTGATTGCAACGAATTCCTCCGTCTCGTGAATGTCGGTTCCCCGGATGTCTCGAATGGAAATGACGGCTGTGGAAAGGAAAGCCCGCTTCCGCAATGGAGGGCTTACTTGTCTGCGATATCGACGGCTTTGGAATGTGTAAAGCAGCAAATGGTCGTAACTGCTCTTCGCTGCACGAGTGGCACAATCAAGATATTGACATTGATACCTTGTTGCGCGGGGCAACCATCGGGCTGAGTGGGCGACCCCGGAGTTGGATGCAAAGTTACCCGCTCTGGCGCACGGGCGTGGGGCATCCAGTGGCACCCCGGTCAGAGCGACAAGAAAAGACATCCAACTTGCCAACATCCTCTGTAACAACTGTATTAACTTGCCTGATAACTAATCAATTGGCTCCACTTGAGCTGAGCGTGAAAGTAAAAGCCCGTAATGCACATTCACCAATCCCTTTACTTGAGTCGTAATTCATCCTCTCACTCTATAGCAATTTACGACCCCCATTTCCTCATCCATTTCCCTGCAACCAGCTGATCTGCTGAGATCCTCTCCTCTGGCCGCCATCTAATCATGCTTTCTAGCAAGTCGTAGAGGTCCGCCATTTCCTCGGTAGCGACGTTGCCACGTCTGTCCTCTTGAATGTAGCCCACCCTAGTAGCCAACGAACGGGACTCTCCATCGCAGATCCTAGGGGACTTGACCGCCCATTCTCCACTCTCGTTAAAGAACTGCTTGCGAGCCCCCCAAGCCTCCCACCAATCCCCAGGCGGCTTACCCAGCGCACTTATGTTCTCGGCCAGGATGTCGTCCTCGTCTGGTGAAAACCCTTCAAACAAGTCCCTCTGGGCAAAGATGGAGTAAATAGTACAGCCCAGAGTCCATATATCTGCGGCAAACCCGATTGGCCTCCGCTCGGCCTCGGCGAACATAGCCTCAGGTGGGCGGAACACGCAAGGCGTATTCAAGGTGAGCCGCGAGCAGGCCAGAGGCTGCCAAGCTTCTCCAAAGTCGGTGATTAGGGCATCAGCATGTTGGACAGTGATATCTTCGCAGGGCTTCCCAAGCCAGACCGGAAGCACAACGTATGGTGGGACGTGCTTGGATAGCGGAGCTTGATCTAGACGCACCACGGCTTCTCTTATTGGTGAACCGTACTCGGCATAGAGATCCTCGACGGAGAGCGAGCTCAGGTCCTGTGGCTGGAGGAGGACATTGCCGGGATGTAGGTCTCCCTCCCAGAATTAGGGTCAGCTTTTCTAAATGGGGCAAACACATATCTAGGGTTGGCCGACGGGAACTCACCTCCATGAACGACACCTTGTGAATGTAAGAATGCCACTGTCCGGATCAGTTGTGCTGTCAGGGAACGGGCCACGTCCAGGTCAAATAGCCATACTCCATCTGAAGCTGACTTGCTCGCGGAAAGACTACACATTCCTGGGTTGATGGCGAGGCATTCATGCGTGCCATTGGGACCGCTTTGGGTGAATGCGGCCAAAACTGTAGGCAGATGGTCTCGGGCGGCGCTGCATGCTGGGGTCGATTCCTGTATCCGCTCCAGCGTATGTCTCTCCACCGGGTTGACAGAGTCTGTTGACAATGCAATCTTGATTGCCACGTACCGGCTGTTTCTCTCGTCACGTGCCAGCCATACGGTAGAGTGACCACCGAAGCCTAACTTGTGAACAACATAGTACTGGCCGTCCGGGCCAAGGCGGTCGCCAATCTGGACTGGGTGGTAACCCCCCGCTTCGTATTTTTCGATCGATTCAACATTCTCAACTGGCATGTATTGTGCGCATCTGGAGTCTGGATCTCTGCCTTCCATAGGCTGCTGCATAATGCCGGCGCGCGACGGTGAAGACGTCAGCCACTTCCGAATTCGAGAACTCGACGGAATATGATGAACATTATGGCATCTGTAGGTTGATATGCCAGTCAAGGGTCGACAAATAATTTGTGTTCGGGACAGGAACGATCCAATGCTCGTGACGGTGTCGGCATAATGTTTCGAGTGCATAGTCGATGTGAGACTTGGAGGTTGACGCCTTCGACGTTGACCCGTGCACAATGTCGATGACCAGTGGGCACTAGACCCACTGAGCCGCAACGCCTTATGGAGACAACGCAGGACCAATTAACTCATGCTATGATGATCGCGTACGCACCTTGAGTGCTCTTAGAGCCTAGAAACTCTGTAATAACCAAGGTATCGTTTCAAGCCTAGTGATTCTACGGGCGCCATGTTTAAAGCAACACCAGATGGAGTAGAGCATTTAAAGAGTCGACTAGGGTAGTATACGAAAGTGATTGTAATCCATGTAATGAAAAATGGTAAGCTAGGAATAAGCGAGAGAGCGGGTGGTGGCCATCTTAGATAAATATATATATCACAGGGGGGAAGAGTTCTTGTACAGCGGAAACTCCGTCATAGTCTCTGACATCAGCCAACTAGGATTTCCTGCCTGATCCAGCCTCCGTTAGTGGTCGATATAAGCCTCGAGGCTGATTCAGGGGCATAGACAGGTTCTATGCGCTCGAAATGGGGAGATCCTGGCGGTTGATAAAGAACCAAGAGACTCAGTTTATCAACTACTCGAAATGACTCTGTGGGACGATCCAGCAGAAGCAGAGTCAGCTGGAATGAGTCGCCTTTGAACCCCTGTACTAGGTGAGAATACTGGACTGCCTGTTTTGAAAACCATTGGCAGAACTGTTGTGTTTCGGGCTGGAAAGTTCCGCCTGAAAGATCGTCGTCGTCGGCGGTTATTTCCTCGCTATTAGGCCCGCCATCGTTGTATTCCAACGTGTTGTGGCCATCTGCAAATACCGACACGGTGAGGGCCAAACCAGTAATACGAAGAAAGCGTAAGACAAAGCCCGATCGATCCCGAGCTAGAATGCGATCCCACTCTTCTTTAAATGACAGTACAAGCCCATCGTCGTATTCAACATCAATGTCAACATCAGCGGTGGAGAAGGAGGCGCGGTAAAGCCAGCCTTCGCGGAAACGGACGTTAGACAGTTTTCAACCCGCCCACGTCCAACTTGGAAATCCAGGTCGCCTCGTTCGCTGTTGATGTATATCAGTCTCCCACGACAAGCTTCTAACCAACGCATCCAGATCTGGCTCGTGCCTCTTTTTAAAGATTGGGACTCCCACTAGGCTTTTTACCGGGTCCGGGAAGTTGTGCTCGCAGGCTGTGAGAATACCCCTAAAAGCATCCAATATGTCACTGTCGAAGGAGAGCGATCTTTGTAGGTATTCATTCAACCGGTACTGCAGATCTAGTGTCGTCCTGCCTAGTCCGCGAAGAGGAAAGACTCTTGACATGTCCACAGAGTCTTGCATTCGTGTATTCCCAAAGATGTGAAGGTTTTCGAGCGGTGCATCTATGCTTTCGAGGCAGTGCATTGCATTACACTGGAAATAAACCTGCGTGTCAGTGAAAACAAGCTTTCTTCGACAGAGAAGCCCTTCTTGATACGTCCAACCCCGGCTGTTCCATTTCGATTCCAGGATTTCTTTCCTCACGTATGGAATGTATGTGAAAGTCCTGGATCTTACCTTAACCAGGGGCTGGGCTTCTCTCAGCGTTGTGTTAATCCCAGGAAGTCCATATTGAGGGCCGTCTCCTGCTGCTGCGACAATTGTGAGAACGGACTGCCCATAAATGGTATGCATATTCTGAATTTGTGACTCCCTGGCCTCTGCATTGTTATTAGGGATGCAATACCGATCTATCCATAGATAGCGGTAACCGAGTCTTGCTGTCAAAAGAAGAGTGTCCTCAACGGTCTTAGGCGAGGGACGTGGGACTGCGTCAAAAGATGTAGAAGCTTCCTGATTATCTCCCCAGACGTAACTCAGGGTGACGTAGTGCTTCGGTTCGTCGATAGTTTCCCACAAGACGATTTGTCGCGTGAAGCAGTCTATCACACGGAGACTGTGGTGCGTGGCTTCGTTAAACTTCCAACAGAGAGTCTCGTGGTTGTCACCACAAAAATCCAGCCATCTTTTTAAGATTGAAACATCGACAGAAGGCTGTAATTGGTAGCCGGACAGCCTATGAGGCCTTTCATCAACTTCCATCACGATCCCACACGTTGTTTTGAAGCCATCTGGATAATCATCACAGCTGGGAATCACGGCAAAGACCGGTGCATCGTCGACATTGCACTTCCAAGCGCCAAACTCGCTCTTAGCAGAGCCGACGTGAAGCCTGTATGACGGGTTCACTACAGCCTTGTCTTTAGGTGGGACTCTTGCGCGGTAGAAGAGCTGACACAGAGCACAATTGCTTTGCCGATTGATATGCTGCAGAGAAAACCCCTGCCTACCCCAAATCTTGTGGGTTTTTTTATCCCTTCTATCTTGGCTGAAACTCGCTTTGAAGTTCAGCTGCCAACAATCAGGGCATATTTGGTTGCCTTTATCGGGACAAGTCTTGTCGCGCTCAATTTGCGTGTCGAGCTGGCTTCGTTCATCAGTTTCGGCACGTGGACGCTTATTGCTGGGCAAAATAGGATCCATCGTGTAGCGAGACTTTCTCGATCAACTAGGCGTGTCTTGATCCTTCTTTGTCGAAAGAAATCAAGATTATCTCGGAAGTACAAGTTAAATGAATATGCCAATAGGTATGGTTGCACCTCGAATTCTCAGAGTTATCAGCAAGATTCTGCCCGAAAACCTCTTGCCACGATCGGTGTTCGTAAAGATACCAATGACTTCGAATCAGCCTGGCAAGAGAGCCTAGCTTATGTAGCTCCATGCGCCTGATACGACGCAGAAAGACGTGGCTATAATGCCAGTGAGCACCATAGGGGGATGGACTACATGGTTCACCGTGGCTATGCACAACGCCAACTCTCGAGTTGGGCCTTCAGAACACCTACTCAGATGGTGCGCTACCGTGTGTCTGGTTCACGCACCGCCCCACTACTTAGATGGTCCACCTGTGAGTAAGGAACGCCATTTCAAACGAGATTTGGAGAGCGAAACACACATCACGCTTTTCCTCTTGTGGAAAATCTGACATGCTTAAGCAAGTTGACATCTTCAACGTTGTCACCAAGCCAGATCTAAACAAGGAGCGCCTATCGTATGCGTGGGTGCCCACATGATTCCCTTCTTGTCAAACAGAAATCGCGGGTACCTACGATTCTATTGACGCGAAACTTACATTGCTGGAACAATCTGGATATACTGTACTTTGTCCATAACGAGAGTGCCGTTTCAGCGCATGGTCGAATTTGATACACCTAGAAACTACACAGTCACAAAAGTTCTTCCTGGTGGAGGAGAAACAGCAGAATGAAATAGGAAAGATAGAAGGTTCAAGTAAGCTGAGCTGCAGATCCTAACTTCACCAGAATGGTGTTGTTTTGGCTGCTTACTGTGCACAATATGACGCGAGGAACGCAACTGACAAAAGTGACACGCACCGCGGTTTCCTTGGGTAATCGTGATATACACTGTCTATAGGAGAATTTATAGCATGAAACGAAAAAATGTCCATTTTTCAAATAGGAACCTAATCAACCTGACAAGAAGATACAGGAAACAAGATGCCCATAGAACCCGCTATACGCCTGTCCTTTCCCCTTATCATTCAACTTTCATCCAGAGAGTCTTCTTTGTACACGTCAAACTTATAAGTGCTCCCAACGTGGTCATCCCTCAAGCTCTTCTGCCCCTTGCCCAGTATCCGCTCTCGGATGGTCAACCCCTCAGCGTCCTCGCTACTTGCCTTCGGATAGACACCGCGCCGCCTCAGCTCCGGCACAAGCAGCTCGACGATGTCCTCCAGGCTGCCGGGGGCCGTCATCTGCGCGATGGTGAAGCCGTCGATGTCGGCCTCGCGCACCCAGCGCTGCATCTCGTCGGCGACGGTGGCCGGGCCGCCGACCATGAGGGGCGCGAGCCCGCCGAGCGAGGCGCGCTCCGCCACCATGCGCGGCGTCCACTTGGTCTCGTCGTCCATGGTCAGGTTGGCCAGCTGGCTGTGGATCTTGTTGGCGTCGGTGCTGTCCGAGGTGCGCAGCTCCTGGTCCAGGGGCACCTGGGCGAGGTCGATGCCCGTCAGGCCGCTCATGAAGACCAGGCCGCCCGTCGTGCTCGCGTGATTGCGGAGCTCCTGGTACTTCGCTTGCGCCTCCTCGTCCGTGCGGCCCACAACCGGCACCACCATGGAGAAGAACTTGATGCTCCGGGGATCGCGGCCCTTGGCTGCCACGGCGGCGCGGATGGTGGCTACTTTGGATGCTGTTGCGGCCGGCGTAAAGCCTCCCAGGAAGATGCCCTCCGCGTGCTGTGAGGCGAAGGCGATCCCGGCCGGGGATGTGCCGGCCTGGAATAGGAAAGGTGTCCGCTGGGGTGATGGGTCCACGATGAACTTGGATTCAAGCTTGAAGTATTTGCCGTTGTGTTTGATGTTACGGACCTTACTTGCGTCGGTGTAGATGTCGCTCTCTGCGTCAGGACTAAGAGCATCACTTGCCCAGGAGCCTTCCCATAATCTATATAGCAGCTTAATAATTCAAAGTTCGCGTGAAAGGCATCTCAAAGGCATTGAGAGAAGGGGTGGTGGAACTTACTTATACGTCAAACGGACATATTCATCTGCCTGCAAATACCTCTCATCATGCTCAACGGGACTATCGAACCCAATGGCCTTGAACGCGGCTTTCTTCCACGACGTCACAATGTTCCAAGCTATGCGCCCCTTTGTAAGGTGATCAAGAGTAGAGTAGCGCCGGGCCAGCAAGAACGGAAGCTCGCCCGCAGTCGAACCGGTGACACCGAATCCCAGGTTCTTGGTCACGGCAGCCATCGCGGATACCAGCTGATTGCGTTCCTGTCAGTAGGTTCTAAATCATCAGGTAGATAACCGTATGCACCCACCACAATGGGATCCAACACAGGCCATTGGACCGCTCTCGAGACGCAGTTATCGAGACTGCCCTCGTACGTCTCGTACCCTCCATACGTGTCCGCGATGAAGAGCGACAAGAACCCTCCTTGCTCCAGCACCTTTGCCAACTCGACCCAGTACGAGAGATCACGCTTTGTGTCGCCCTTGTCCGCGGGGTTCTGCGGTACGACGATCAGCAGACGCCTGTGGCGGGTTGTCAAGGCTGCTGGCCTACTTTCCACTGCCCAAAGTTCATATGGGTTGGTGTGAACATATCAAATGCATTGAGGAATATCTGCGTCCTTCCATGACCGAGGTCATGTACCCCATTGAAGTCTGTATCTGAAGCCATAGTTTGCGAATGGCGTGTGCCGAGGGAGTGTGAAAATGATGTTCTCTATAACGTATCCCGTTCATGTTGGGTTCGCATTTGGTGGAGATCGTACGTTCCCGGGCTTTCCGCGGTAAACTTGCCATCCTGCCGTGCAACCTACCTACCTATACCGGCAGTATTATCCAGAGCTACCGGATCAGTGCATCCTAGAGCAAACCATCTTATGGACTCGATAAACTTTGCACACGCCCCAATGAGAACACATACTTCGTGCCTATGTTCATGAACCATGAATAACGCCTCCCAGTTTCATCTATGCTGGCCGAGAGCCAGGCCCGAGATCCGGTGTTGCATCACCAGCGACTTTGGCTAGCGGTTTCCGTCGAATCGCCGTGCTCATGGCGGGGGATCGGCAGTCCTGTGATATGGGGGTTCACAAAGCCAGACTTGACCAAGACAAGATACACGATGACGACCCACGGAACAGAGCCATTCGTGTCATGTAGGAATGAAACCTTGGAAGAGTCACACATGTTTTATACTTGACTAAGCAGTGTGGCAAATAGTGGGACGCTGGTGCTTGGCGTTGCATACTTTCAGGGACCTAGGTATTATAATAGAGAGGGTGTTCAGTTAGCGAACAGCCAATGCTCGATCAACAGACCCGACAATAGAGGTACATGCCATTGGCTGTTCAATTATGCCATATCATGGATAGATGGCTATTATTAGCTACAAGATACTTTCCTCATTCTGAGCTTGTTTCCGAGGAAGGGAGGGAGTCACGAGCGAGGCCATGAGGACGGCATTGCTATAGGATCTCTGTATTTAAAAACCTATCTGCTATCTTATCTGGGGAGAAACCAACCAGATCGACGTCGTAAAGGAAGGAGGGAACTACAAATTTCGTATGGAGTGAAAAGTCTCGAAGGAGTGAAGAAAGCGACACAAGGACCGACAGATTTTTAAGATGAAAACGCAAAGAGGTCACCTGGTCTACGGGCCGTACCCAACCAAACTAGTTCTAACCCCCAATCATTCCCTACAACAGAACCAAACCCTTTGAATTGGAAGAGGAGCAGTCGTCTGAAACCAGAGGAGGTGAAAAAGCTTGGGAGGGAACACGGGAAAACAGTCTCACTAGCAAAAGCGTACTCGAAGTAATTAGTTGACCACATCGTCCTTGACACTCTCAACACCCGCCACCTGATCGCCCTCCGGCTTCTTGTCGATTGTCTCCTCCAATATCGACTCGCCTGCCGTGTTAGTTGCTAGAGTTTTCGTCTCCTCCTGTGTACTCGATTCCGTACTTGAGGCGGTCTCGGCGGGTTTGTCGGATCTTTCCGGTATCGAGACTGGTTCCGTATGCTCATGTCGGATCGGCTCCTGGGCCTGCTTACTTTCCTCAACAGACTTGAACTCTGCTTCCGAAGGCTCCTCCTCTTGGTCGACCGTCATAGTACCCTCTTCATCGATGCACCAAAGTGTCCGGGTAGAAGAGAAACTCAACACGGGCTTTCCGTTAGAGGCAGGGGGAGCAGCACCACTCGGGCTTGAACTCTTGGTAGGCGCGCGGCGTTGGGGACCGCGTGCGCGTCCCTTACGGGCATCTGCTAATGGGGCCTTCTCCTTTTCCTCCGTTACGTCCTCAGCCGGGGGCTCTTCCTTCTTAGGAGCTTGAGGACCCAACTGCAGGCGCTTGTTCAAATCCGACATGAAACCAGCCTGAAGAGCAGCGATCTTGCCTCCAACAGGTCTTGCTGGAACGGCAGGCTTCTGTCTTGCTGCAGGGTCCGACTCCTTGGACTCTGCGGCCGCTTTCGAGGGACGGGCAGGGATTTGTGGCTTCAGGCGGTCTGGAACGGCCGGCTTGTCATCGCCCGAATATTTCTTCACAGGTCTCGCGGGTATCGCCGGCTTTTCTGTCTTCTCCACAGGGCTGTCTGCACCGGCCGACTGTGGATCCTTCTCAGACTGTGGAGTCGAGACGGTAGTTTGCAGCTGAAGAGAGTCAGGGGTGTCTTCCCAGACATCGCGACTCGGGAAGCGCTGAGACAACCCGGGTCTCGAGGTCGATTGCATTTCCTTGGCCAAGTGAGGCTGTGCCTGGGCCCACGAACGAGGCCGCGGTTTTTGGTTTCGATAGCTGTCCGGACTACGGTCTTCTTGCTCGGCGAGCTCTTCCTGCTTCCTAGCGAAGGCTTGGGCAGGCGTCTCACCTTCACGTAGAGGAATATCCATGGTGGAATCCTCCGGTTTCCTGAACGCGGCCGATGGCTCTGGGGTAGACACTTCAGCCGTTCCGTGAACACTGTCAGGAGCGTCTTCCCAGATGTCACGGCTGGGGAATCGCTGAGCTCTCTTCTGCGCCGCAATGGCCGCCTTCTGGCTCTTCTCGTCTTCTGGGAACAGTGGCTCATACTCCTCAACATCGTCCAGTGGGGTCGACACCATTTCTGAAGGGGGCGGGCTGTACACGCTTGAAGGACGACTAGTAGGTCGGCTCTTAGGTCGCTCCATCTCATAAGAACTACCGCGGCGTTCCGGACCAAGTTCAACGGCGGGCGTTCCGTGATGAGAGTGACTCTTAGCGACCTCATCCTCGGCGAGGATGGGGGCGTCATACCCCTCTTCAGCGCCTTCGCCGAGAGCGGACTGCTCGTCACCAAACTTGGCAAAACCCTTGCGGTTGCCATGCTCGTCGACATGAATGACCTCGTCATCATCGGCCTCAGTATCAGATACCGAGATCTCGGGCCCAGTGGCATTCTTCAGGGGAGAAGTAATGCTGTCACGCTTCCTGGAAGCGGCCGAGGGTGGGCGAGGAGAGGAAATGCGAGAGGTGTATTCGTCGGTGGCTTGGAAGCCAACCTGCTCGCTGGGCGTGCCCACATACTCGGTTGCACCTATGACTAGTTAGAAGGACTCCAAAGTTTGTCGAGTGATATCGTTACCATGGCCACGGCTGGCAGTATCGCGCACGATCTTGTTCAGTTCCTCACTGCTCATGTGATAATCCTTGACCCGGTCGTGCAAGTGGTGGTTGTAGAGGTCAAACTTCTTGGCCTCGGGGTGTTTCTCATAGTATGCCTTCTCAAGCTTGTCAGTGTTCTCGACACCGTGGCCGTGAAGACCATAGCTGTCAGGGGGGAGAGCGCCGAAAGTGCTGCGACCGCTTGTTCTTCTAGCATGGTGGCGGGTGCTGGACTTCGCATTGTCAGGAGTTCCAGACTGACCCGGTCCTGGAGTCGGGGCCTGGACGTCTCCAGCGTTGCCGAACAACGGAACCCGTTGCCCGATTTCAGGAATGCCCTGCTCGTCTTCATCGTGGCTGACGTGCGACAGCTGACTCGTCGTGCTAGCCTTCTTCTTCAGGCTGCGAGGATACGGGTCCTCGCTGGAGGGGCGTCCAATGCCAAAGGCAGCAGCCCGATCCGAGTCGGTGCGGGTGACAGCAGCAACTCGCTGTTTGGCACTCTGCGCAGGCATGGTCGGCTTGGGTGCATGGAGCTTGATGTCCTCGCCGATGGTTCGCGTCTGCTCAGGCGAATTCGAAGGCCGGCGCTCCGTCTCGGGAGACGAGCTGAGCTCATCAGTGACAGCCGCATATTCCTGGCCTTCCTGCCCGATTGTAGGCAGGTCAACACTGCCGGAGCGGTCGACGGGCTCAGCCATCAAGTGACCCGGGCTATAGCGCCGCCCAGGGCTCTTTGGGTGGAAAGGGCTCTCGTTGAAAGGCGAGGGCGCGAACCGATCCGGATTCGGAGAGATGGACCGGTTAAAGCGTTTCGCAGGTCGCGGAGGAATAGTCGGGACCGAGGAGCCATTGTCCTTATCCTGACTCCTCGACGGACGAGGCGGAATTACTGGTGCTTGTTGCATTGTCGCGGCGGTGGACATTGGAAATGTGGGAGGTTGCTGAAAACAGATTTTTTTTTTCTTGTTTAGATGTTGTTAGATGTCGGGCTCGAAGATCTCGATGATGCAATCGTCATTAAACGAGGAAAGCTGTGACCTGTTACGGGTCTTCGAGTCAGCTTCAACAAAAAAAAAGAAAAAAAAAAGCCGAGATCAAAACAACATATGCCAGAATATGTTGCACAAGAGGGATGCTGAAGTCCGCCTAAAACATAAAGGAAAAGCGATTGATGTCCAATCCAGTCCGAAACTCAGCTCCCTTGCAAACTTGACGATGCATGGGTCCAGTCCGGCAAAAGGGCAGCAAATCAGCTTGTAGTGATAAGTCATGGGGATACACACCGCATAAAGACGACGAGTTTTCTCGCCTAGGAAGATAAGAATGTTGGGGTACCAGTCTAGCGAGGCGCTGCAGCGCAGGTACAAATTTCTCGTGTGTAAGTCTGGGTTGGATTCCTCTAGTCTGCGAACGGGTCGAGCTGCGGTCAGTTAAGACGGTCAGGCTTGGAGGCTGTAGATAACGTAGACCGAGTGATAAGGGGGAGCAGGGTTGGGTTGGGAGAGAGATAAATGACTAGTTTGTATGGGAAACAAGGCCGTAGAAGGCAGACGGGAGCTGAGATCAACAGAGGTGTGAATAACAGCAGGAATGCTAGGTTGATCGGCGCCCGCTTTCTTGGTGAATGACTCTAGTGCTCAAGGATACCTTGCTATAATCCTAAACCACCAATGGATGTTGTTCGGGTGCAGAAAGCTGGCAACAACAGAGGAGCAAAACAGAGTTGGCCTTGGGAAAGGGTTTTACGATTGACTGGCTTACCAGGAATTGCTACCCGAATCTCAGCTATGATGCTATATTTACGCTTTGGGCGGAGGGGGAACCTAAACTGCTTCCGTAGTCTGTTCCTGAATCGATGCTGCCGATGGTGTGTAGCCGGGTGGGACAGCAGTGACGTGACGTGAACTGCAGGATGAGAGTAGAATCGGTTCAACGCGAGGTGGGAGAGAAGTCCAACTGAGATGCAATTGGAGTTGCTAATAAAGCCTTGCAGCAGTCTACGATGATGAAACCTCGCGGGCAGCAGATCGCTTTAATACGTTCCACATGTTTCTCGCCAGTGCTGCTGGGCCTGGTCGATTTCGATGTCATGATTTTACCTTGGTTTCTATTAGCTACAGCAACGGCACGCCGTGCAGGGATGATCCGCCTGCTGCAGGTGCTCAGGTGAGCAGGTCCCACGATGGCCTCCGGGTTTTATGGACTCTGGGTCGTGTTCCCAGCGGTTCCTGCTGGTACTCTGCGCGTACCGGCATGGACTTTCCGTAAGAGACCACGAGGGCAGCCGAGAATCTGCTCAGAGCCGGCCGTGGGCGCGGCGCAAAACAGCAACAGTCCAGAAGGCCCGGGGAAGCTTGCCTCGAACTCTGGTGAAGCGGGCGCTGTGGGGTGTACGGCCAAGGTACATGGCAGGTTCCTGGACGGTGTCATCATCCGTTGGGGGGGCTCTTGGGGCGGTGTTGCGCCTCGACGGGCGAATGACCAGCGCCCGAGCCTGGGCCTATCAGCAGCCAAGCGGGGTGGAATGACCCCCCTCTATGCGCTGTGAGGTTTAACTCGATGAAGCCTGGCTTGCCGTCTCGACGCTCGCCTAGGCATGGCGTTATGCGTGTGATGGCAACGCAACAGTGATTGACCGCTGGGATCTCTGCAGTTCTTCTCGCCAATTGACGGTGTTGCCGGCCCTTTGGGGGGATCTTGGAACAACGTGTCCGAGGGAGCTCTGTTCCGAAACAGGGACTGACACGTCGTTCTGAAGTGCAACGACGGCGATTTCCACAGCTTCAGGACTCTGAGGCAAAACCTAATCTCGTGCCCCCGTGAGATCTAGGCCGTAAAAAGTGTTCAGGGTAATTCCATTGCTGCCCGTCAGATGACAAGGAAAGGTCTGTTTTGGGACGAACTACGGACGACTTGGGAAGCTTCACCCCCCGGTGGGTCTGCCCAAGGTGTCGTGTAAGTACTTGTTGACGCTGGCCAGGAACCGCTGAAGCCTATCACGATGCGGTCCCGTAGCACACATACATGATTGCCCGCCCTCGAATTCTGCACGATCAAGCGGTCAGAGCAGGTCCCTCGTTCAGGCATCCCGGTGCTCTCGGCAATTGGCAGTTGCTATGAGGCCTTTGTGTTAAATTGCATGCTGCCTCATCTCGATACCTACCTGTTCGGGGGAGGCCTCTGTTACCGTTCCCCTGATAGCCGGAAGACTGGCAGACTGGAGCCGCAAGTAGCCACCCGCCAGGTCGCCCAGGGTTCTGCTGCCGACTTGACTGAGAACCCAGTTGCCAGCCATGCCGTTTGGTGCCGGTCGAGAACATTTGAACACGGTCCACGACAAATCCACAATGACTATAATCTCGCGGCCGCTTTAAACGTACTGGGCGTATTGGATTTGACGGCTTGCTCACGTCCTTGTGCAGACGAGCCACATGCCCTGGAAATTGTGGGCTAGGTGGCGTAAAGGCGCATCATTGCTTTCCCACACGACCCCACCACGAGGGGCTCGCCGGTTTTGCGTGATTGAGGAACATCGATCCCAATCGAAGCTCTCGTGGGGCTGCAAGAAAAAGCTGCCGCCGTTGCAGACGGGTAACTGGAATGCCACGGCAGCAGATCCCCCGCAAAATCCAAACGACCAGGGCAGGAAGGGACAAAAAAATATAGACCTCCACGAACTGACAGTCTGCTCCGGGAATGACGACATAAGACACACAATAGATGGTTCTGCCCCAACCAGCGGCACTGTACTCCCCGCGCATTCATCGATGGGATGGAGAAGAGCAACCAGTATACTGATCAAAGGGACAGCAAGTTAATAGACAACGCACGGGTATTCACTTCTGTCTCGTTGTCTGTCTCAGTCAGACTCCACCTGGCCAGTCGGGTTCTTCGACGAGCAAGCACACAAAGCTACCATAGGATACCTAACTTATACATATGCGCCGTAACCCAGTATTTATCCACACCTCCTTTACAGCTTCTACCGTTCACGATTGCCGGCTTGACTTGATGTCTCAGCTATACTATACTGACTCGTAACGTGCAGAAAGATTGCGTATTCATAGTCCTGGTGTCTATATCGTAAGATACTGGACAAACCCTGTGTAGTATTATATGTTACCTGGCCAACACTTGTCACATATCAATCATTTGCCGGTGCACTGCATTCTGTGGACTCTCATTTGGACACCTTCTACTTTAGATCTGTATAATAGGATAGTATTTAATTAGACCTTTGTCTGATAGACTGGTTCTATAAGCTTGGCTACTTCGGCCAAGGGGATCAGAGGCATTTAGCACAGGGAACTTTACGTGCCCTCTCAAGCCTCCGACAGGGGAGATGGCGAACCCTTTGGAGGCTACTAACAATGTCTCCAGACTGCCTGGATAATTCGGGTGCTTTGGTCCGCAGGTGGTTTCTCAGGGCTGAGGGGGTTTCACGACTTGTTCGCCAGGATCGAATCCATTAAGACTTTGTTAAACCCATCCATGATCTGTTGATACTGAGATCATATGTTGGCTGGCCGGAGTACGACCCATGGGAAGCGAGGGGGCTACATCAATCTTTTCTCGGGCGTCAAACTGAGCGTGCAAAATGTCAGGCTGTCACCATGGTCATTTGAATTGGGTTTGAGGCGAGCAGTGAGATAACTGATTCGATTCAGGAACACCAGGTATCATCCGAGCCGGACTTAGAAAAACAGATCTGCAAAGCAAAAACCTAGCTTTCGCAATCACCTTACGCCAAACCCCAAGCCGAAAGTATGCTGAAACCCCTCCTCCCCTTCTCAACTCAACCACTTAGCAGTGGACTTCATTTTCCTCGTCTCCGCCCCAGTACCCCTTGGCGGATAGGGGGGATGGGGTAGATCCAGCCTCGCTTTTGATCATATCCATCCCAAGCGCCTTCTGCTCTTGCACGCGTGGCCACGGCCTCTGCGCGTGAGTAATCTTACAGGTATTTGACATGTACCAGCTTATACGATCATCTGAGCCACGCCCTGACCTCCGAGCGTCTTGCTTCCGACAAAAGCCTGGTGCTTGACAGCGGCCAGGAGGTAGCAGATGGCTGTGAAGCTGAGGAAGACGGCACAGGCGATCAGACTCGTCCTCGCCGGAATCATGCTCAGCCATTGAACGACAGCCATGGCGGCGTAGACGCCGGCGCGCATGTAGTTCGTCGAGACCTTGCGGATCGTGGCATCGAAGGTCGCCGAAGTAGGGCAGATTCGGAGAAGAAGGGGGACCTCAATGAAGAGAATGATGAATGAGGAGGCGCTGTGTTGATGTTTAGTAACGGGACTAGGCTGACGCAGAAGATGGTTGTCGCGCAAGAGCGTCGTCGACTTACAGCGCAAGGGCACAGAAGATGATGATCCCGATATTGAACAGGAAGATGTCCGCAATGCCGATCGCAAAGCAAAGAATCATGGACAGGATCCCGAGCCTGTGAGGTGGGTGGTTAGCACATGTCATGACCGATGGTCAGTGTTGGTAGCGACATCGGATGTCTTCGGCACGGCTGGAACTGCCATGCACGAGGTGCAAACGACACCGAGCACAGGCATATGTTGAAGAGGGAAGCAGCACGAGAGAGCCGGAGAGGTGGAAGGAAGGCTCACCATTGCCCGTAAATGCCTGTGGTGAAGCTCTTTGTCAGTCCCAGCGTCCAGAAGGTTTCCGCCTCGCATGACGATGCGACCGGTGCTCGGTGTAGGGCGACTTACTGAAGTTCCTAGTCGCGAACTCCTCCTTGAGAGTCATCTTGAAGGCTGGTTCTCAAAGCAGTTGGGTTGGTGTGCTTCGTCTGCTTGCAGCTGTTGCAAGCACTGGTGTAGCTGACGACGACGATCGATGGACACCAGAACCAGACCAGAGCTAGAGAGGCCAGGTACAAGTAGTCGGGAGCTTGTAGGTGAACGCAAAGACGGATGCTTGCCGCGGCAGAGAACAAAGTATTCTGTAGTGTTATGAAGTGTACTCTCAACGGCTGCTACAAAGCGGCGAATTGACGGGATTGGTGAGTGAGATGGATGCTCTTGTCGGGTGTTGTTGACGGTGTTCTTGTTGCTGTACAACGGCAAGATGCGAAAGATGACCAGATGTCCAGTTCCAACCAATGGTGAGGGTGTTTCTGTGGGGCCCCTTCGGTGGACCTGTCGCTGGACCTCTGCTGGACCTGGACCCTGACAGGCCTGAGAGGTACCTAACTTGTTCGGTGTCAGTTACTGTGGTAAGCCTGCTACGCAACTACGCTACAGTAAGGTGACTAACCCTCCCAGCGCCCGGGAGCCGATGAATCAACGTGGCGCTTGGGCCACTCACTTGAAATGTTTCAGGCCGCGGGATCTGAAGCCTGGGAAAGCTTGGACGGCCGCTGGCTGAGCTCGGTACTTCTGAATCTGTCTGGCCTTGGACACGCAGGTTTTCTTCTGCTACTCGTTTGGCAATCTCGCAGCAAAACTGGACTACCGTCTACGTGGCCGACACGCTTATTCGTGCCGTGGTGTGTCTTGATCCTCGGAAACGCCTGAGAGGTGGTGTTGATGCGGTACAGACCGAGGGGCTCTGGTGCTGTAATTCTGTAACTACCTTCTCCCCTTAATATACACAGATAGAGCACCGGCGATCACCCGAGTATTTCCAGGCATCCGAATATCTCCAGTAAGCTAGTTATACCAGTCCTCCGTTCTCGCGGTACCCTCGTGTTGATGGCAGCCTGGGTCAGCCCTCCGCCCACTCTCATTGCGCACGCCTGTACGCGTACACCATGGCAGTGCTGGCTTTTAGGCTGGCACATTTTCACCGTCTTCCTGCGCCGTCCCGACTTTCCACGCAGGTACACTCCTGTGTTACCCCTGGATCCATGAAACACTCACGGTGCATGTAAGAAGAACAGAATGAAAGAATGGAATCTTTGCTCAAAGGGCATGGTTTTATTTTTTTCTTCCTTCGTTAACAGTCTTTACTATCGTAATTCTCCACATGCACTCCTTCTATAGGCTTGCTACCAAGCTCGCGAAAGCACTTCCATCGGCACCATCCCGCGAGCTCCACAGGGACCTCTTATCTTGGATCAGTCGCCTTCATATTCAACCATATCGAGAAAGCTTATATAGAGCGGGCTCTGTGCGGATGAAGCCACTTAACCGTAGACGAGCTTGAAGATGTCGTTGAAGACGAAGAAAGAGCCAGACTCGGGCATGAGCTGGAAGGTCTGGGTGTAGTTCATCGGTCGCTGCTCCTCGTCGACCTGGTGGGCTGTGTTAGTCTCTCTCGCGGCAGCCAAGTCTCGACATGTATGAACGTACCAGGAGCTGGCCAGTCACCAAGACCAAGACACCGCCGTTAACACCGGGCTGGGCATCCAGGGTCGCGACCTGGTGCTTCACCTGCTGGAAGGGAAGGGCCTGCGAATCAATCGTCAGCCAAGGAGGTTTACTTTCGGGGCGTGTCCCTACTCACGCTAAGCTTCTCGACAATGGCGTTGGTGCCCAGAACAGCCGAGGACTCGAAGGTCAGCATGGACTGGTCTCGCTGTGATCCAGATGTCAGCCACTTTGTTACCCGGCAGCTCCTGATAGATGCCGTAGTCGCTTACGTAGAGGGCAGCAAGCTGCTTGCGGTCGGTGTCGAACTGCTGGTAGTAGAAGTTGACGAATTGCTCTGTTCACAGACCCTAGTTAGTTCCGTCCAGGTCCGGGCCAAGCCACGCCCTCGGACGCAGCAGGCATCTGCAGCAGAAAGAGAATACTAACTCGCGACGTCCTCGAAGTCTGTTTATTCGTTAGCCACCTCAGGTCGGCCGGAATCGACAACAGTGTGCTACCCCATTGCGGGGTGATTGGGCACAAAAGGGGATGATGCGACGGGATGCGCCGAGCGTGCGTGACTTACTTGCGGCCATCGTGACGATGTGGGCTAGAGATTTATGCCGAATGAGTGATCTGGTGTTTTGTTCGCTGCTTGTCTAGGACAAGGAAAGTCAGGCAGAGTCGTCGCGGGCGAGGCGCAGATGGAAGAAGCGTTTGTTGATGTTGACGACGCTGAGGCTTTGGAGGGGCAGCCAAATTTCGAATGCTGTCGACTCCCAGCACGGCGGGGTAACCGACCCGCTTAGGCCATAAGGCGACCTTGAACGGGCGCCGGCCAGCTGGCTTATGTAACTACTGCAGCACTCCGACGTCTCATTTCATGCATACGATCCGTCCCGGCCTAAAAAGATACGAGGGAAGACCCAGTCGAGCCAGTCAAGCCTAGGCGAGCAAGACCGGATGGGGCTACCAAGTTTAGTTCACCAGCAAGACCGGGCACCTACAGCTCTCACACATCACGGCCCAGTAGCTAAGGCTCTTCGAATGACATGTCCTGCCAATATCGCAAGAGAGTCATCCAACACGCGGCTCCCACTGATTGAATGCGTCCTTATCGCAAAAGCACAAATTTCGCCCGAGGCTCAGCTTCTGTATGAGACGCTTCCCGAATGAGACGTGGCGCGACGTGCCATTGGCTGCTGCACCATGGCAACCGCCAACGACCACCAGGCGGGAACCACAGAGGTCGCCGCGAGCCTGACAACTGATAGGAGAGGTGCCAATGACTCTCTCGCCCCAGATCTCGGAGGGCGGCTTCTGCGACGACGAAGCCCCCGGCATCGTCCGGCGTCCGTTAGTTCTCTAGACCGGATATATGACACGCGGCGGGAGAACGAGGACCCCGATCCTCGCAACGATCCTACCCGGGACGAGAATGAAGTCCTCAACACCTATGGCATCACCGAGCTGCGAGACAGCTTCTTTGATGCCGCCTTCTTCCCGCCCGAGGAGGTCGATCCTGATGAGCTCATGAGACATGCTGAATTGACCCTCCCATACGCTTTTCGAAAACAACATCCACTCTCGCTGACCAATTTCTTTCCCAAACAATGGCACGAGATCCAGACCGTCGTACGTAGAGTCACACAGACCCGGGCAGGAATCAAATTGCTCAAGTCTTTCCTCGGTTTCTTCATTGCCTACGTCTTGTGCCTCGTGCCGCCTGTTCGTGCCTGGCTGGGGCGGCATAGCTATATTATGGTGATTTCGAGCCTCCTAAACCACTCGGGGAGAAGCATTGGGGCTCAGGTGGAAGGGACGGTCCTCACGATAATTGGAACCGCTACGGGATTGGGCTGGGGCGCATTTGGGCTCTGGCTGTCAACGATCACAGCCACTGCTCGTGTAGGTTTCGGTGGTATCTTGGCGACTTTCTTATGCCTGTACATCTTCGTCATCGCATGCCTTCGTTCTTACTACATCAGGACATACCAGCTCGTCCTATGCGCTGGCATTTCTATTTGTTATACCTGCTTGGCCGAAGTATCCGGAAACGAGGTCTCCTGGTCTAAACTTCTGGCCTACGGAGTACCATGGGTTCTCGGACAATGCATAGCATTGGTCCCTTGTTTTCTGTTGGCTCCAGATGCCGGTGCTCGCCCGTTGGCTGTCTCCTTACACAATGCCTTTTCCATCATGGTGGTATGTCAATTGGCCCCCTCAAACAGCACCTATACTAACATCTGCACGCAGGACGGGTTGACCAAATCTCGGACAGACAGGCTCACGCGCCGAAGACTTGCTCTGACCTTCGTCAATCTGTCACAAGCGTATCGCGATCTTGTCCTTGACTTCTCTATCACGCTGTTCAGCCCCGCTGATGTGAAAGAGCTGCGAAATCTCATGCAAGCCGTTGTGCGCGGGTTGTTGAGTCTCAAGTCAGATGCGCGACTGTTCGATAAATTCGACCAAGTTCAAGCCGCAAACATACGTGGGAGCACAGCTGAGCCCGGAGAGTTTGTTGTAGAGATTGGTCACGGCCCAGAATCTGAGACGACTGCTCATGAGAGAGAAGTGATCAGATTTGTGTCAGAGAACCTTGTCGAACCTACGGAACGCTTGCTTTCAGGCATGAAAGACTGTCTGCAGAGTTGCGATGCTGTACTCATGGAGATGTGCGGCCACAGACAATATATTGGGCCCCCTTCGAACATCTCCAACGATGTTTCTGGCACGTTGGTCAAACTTAGGCGGCGGATCATTACGTTCACGACAACTCAGGATAGCGTTCTGGCGAGCAAAACATTACCTCCAACGTATGCAGAATATCCTGAGGTTGTCAAGCTCTTTGCGTACTGTCGTCCTATTCACCAAGCTGCAACGGCGGTGGAGGCTTTGGCTGTCAAGGTGAACCAGATGGAGCAGAGAAAGCCACAATATCCCAAGTTTCATCGGCCTTCTTACCCCTTTCGAAAGTCTTTGCACCGAACAAACGCACAGGTTCGGCACGATCGAGGTGGATTGACAGCAGGTAAGGAAGCACTGCAGAATCAGCACCCATGTCTTGTATACCTACTAGATGCCTTATTTTGTCCCCATCGCTTTTCATACCATTCTCTTGTCACACTGGCTGGCGTTGCAATGGGCTTCGGGATTCCGGCCCGCTCCCCAGATGCAATGATGTCCCTGGGAAATGGTAAGCTGTATCATGCTAATCCCCGTTATTTCTAGGTTCTTACTTTCGGAGCTTTAATGATATTGCAAACCTGATTAACAACATCACATCGAGAGAGTTCAAGCCGCTTTCCCGAAAAGAAGATATCCAAGATAACGGGCTTGAGAAAATGACATCAACTATGACCGCAACGGAACTTGAGGACGAGTCTCTCACAAATACCGCACGTGTTGGGCACTCGATATGGACTGTCATGCATCGGCTGCAGGGCTTTGAAACCCGTTTCGGCCTGAAGACAGCTGCAGTCACGTCGCTACTCTCAGTTCCAGCATGGTTAGTACAGAGCAACGGCTGGTGGACTCAATGTACGTCACCCTGTATTTCATACTCTGTTTTTTCTTGTGACTCTATAAAATTGTAGAGGAAGCATCATGGCGTCGAGCAACAAGTAAATCAAGCATAAGACTCAGCGGTTGCAGGCCTACAAGTTATGCAGAGAATGAAAACTAATATGTTCATTTTCTCTAGACGAAGTATGGTGGGCCGTCGTCATGGCTTGGCTGATAATGGCACCTCGGTGAGCCTATGTCTGACTGGTTTCCTTGTACGTGCGAACTGACACCGCTGTACAGGGTTGGAGGAAACATTCAAGACCTATTTACGAGAGCGTTCTGCGCAGTTCTAGGTGCTGTATGGGGCGGCTTGGCATATGTTGCTGGAGACGGCAATCCCTACGTTACCGCAGTCTTCGCTGTAATATTCATGCTTCCGATGATATACAGGTTCACGCAGAGCACGCATCCGGTGAGTGTTATTTTTATCTGTCCCGTATTGATTAGTAGCCCGTCTGACATGATACTAGCGATCCGGACTGGTTGGATGTATCTCGTTCACTGTAGTGTCGCTTACAGAATATACACACGCAGTTGAACAGTCGCCAGCTGTCATAGCAGCAACCCGTGGAGGGGCGATTGCCGTTGGCGTCTGCGCTTCCATCCTCGTCAACTGGGTAATCTGGCCTTTCGTAGCCAGGCATGATCTACGCGTGAGTCCCACACACCTTCTCTTCGTTTTCTGTATTGATTGGGGAGGAGCCATGGGCACTTTTCTGCTTGATACGCTGGCACCTAGTTGTGACCATACGCGGTAGTTTCGAGCTCTTTTCTTTACAAGCTGAACGAATGCTAATAGTTTCACCCTTCATATGTAGAAGGCGATATCAATGATGCTGTTCTACTGCAGTGTTATCTACAGAAGTACGTTATCCACCCCTTTGAAGTCCTTCATCTAATCATTTCAGGCATTGTTTCAAAATATGTTTACTATGAAGAAGGCGAGGAACCGTCCAAGCAAGATATCGTAGCATCTGAAATCCTGGAGGGACATCTTCGCGAAGGTTTCGTCCGACTACGGCAGCTAATGGTATGGGCTGCAACCGCCTGCACAAAGGCCTGAGGGAGCTAACAGGATCCAGGGCTTGACCAGACATGAAATCCGCCTTCGGTCTCCGTACGACCCCCTGCCTTACTCAGCGCTGATCGACGCTTGTGAAAGCTTCTTCGAATACGTCGTGGCCCTACGCCAATCCTCCCTCTTTTATCACCCTCATTTTGTCCGAGACAACCCTGAAGCAGCGGCTCGACTCCTAGGTTATCGTAGAGATGCTATTGCCACTATAATGACTAACCTCTACGTCCTTTCGGGGGCTCTGAGAGCCGGCAGGAAGGTCCCAGTAAGAGACCGTCCATCATCTCTGTTAGAAGGCACTCGTCACTAATCATGGATTAGAAATACCTCCCGAACGCTGCTGTGGCCCGTAAGGAGTTGTTAGACCAGACAAAGGTACTCGAAACCGAGTTAGCGAAGAGCGGAAGGTATTCCGTCGTCAAGAAAACCGAAAGCGAGAAATGGGCGCAAATATACAGTTACTCCTACAATGAGAGCTTGACAGGATGTGTGGATCAGTTGAAGGAGCTCGAAAAGTATACGAAGGTTATCGTAGGAGAGCAGGGGTATGTTTTTCTGAACAATGTTGATTCTATATTCGCTGACAAGAAGCAACTTCAGGTTTGATTCTGGTCTCGACAGGAACGAATGGGTGATTCCTTGATATCGCAAGACAGAGAAATACATATGTTTCACAGGATGCTTCCAATCGTCACCAGGTAGCACCCACCTCAAATCTACTGCCAACTTTATAGAATTTGCCAAGCCTTTGACAACTATATATGCTTATTGCGAAAATCAAGCAACGTGCTGGGCATCACCAATGTCGGTTAGTAACTGCTCGAGGCAGAAACCGCCATCTGTGTCAGAATCTTCGTCAGTTCCTTCTCTTAGCCTAGCCGGCTCGGGAATGTTATCCCAGAAAGATGGACCATAGCCTCTGACATCATGTCGATACTCATCTACGGTAAGGCCGTGGTCCGCATCCTCTTCCTCTGCCGCCTTGACCCAAGTCCAGAAGTCCAAACTCGATTTGTCCTTGACTTCCTCCCCTCTGAGAGCCTGGTAGTCTCCATACTCTTCGTCGTCCTCGTCAACTTCTCCAACCTCCTCGACGACAAACCTACCACCGGTTGCAGGGCCGTAGCCGTAGGGAAACCACTTCGCTGCCCGGGCATGCATGGCCTGCTTCGCCCTCTGGATTTCATCCGGCGAGCGCTCGTTCTGGAGAACATTGGGGTCCGCTTTCTTCGCAGCAGGCTTGACCCACTGCGTGGGATTTGTTGGCAGCCTTGCAAAGTGTGACTCGTTGTCCTCGCCCCAGTCCAGATGTATGACATAGATGGGGATGATCTGCGCCGTATCGAACACGATGTACTCAAGCTCGCGATTAGCCACGTGCGAGTCGGCGCCCTCGTACGGCCTGCCCTGGTCGCGCCAGTTGTCGTCTCGGAACATCTGCCGCGCGCGGCCCATGAGCGTCGCGCACACAATCAGCTTCAGCCCGAAGTACTGGTCCGGCCGGGTGGCGTGGCACGACCAGTCCGAGTAGCTGAGCGCGAACTCGGCGCTCGGCGAGCTGTAGATGCCGCGCCCGTACGTCGACCCGCAGCGCACCTCGTGCGCCGCCGCCGTCCCCGGGTTCCGCGCCCCCGGCGCCAGGAACCCGTGCCGCACGATGGACGGCACGAACTGCCGCTGCGTGCCGTGGAACGTCAGCCGCGGCCGCGCCAGGTGCTCGACCAGGTCCTCCCTCCGCTGGCTGCGCTGCAGCTGAGCCGGCACGTGGCGCCGCAGGGTGCGGAGGGACTGGCGGTCGAGCTCGCGCCGGAGCTCCTCCTGCCGGTTGTCGAAGGCCTGCGCGAGGTTCCCGCGCAGCACCTGCTCCACGTGCAGGACGCGGAAGGCCGACGGGACCTCAGCACATATCTGCTCCGTAGTCCTCTGCAGGTATTGGAAAGCCTTGCCGCCGGGCGACGAGGCGACTGTGCTTGCTTTCTTCATTGCGAAAGCGAGCTGCGGTTTGCGGTCCTTCACTTCGGGTCTCGTCTTCTTGCGGAACTCCTCGAGGTGGTTTCTGGTCGTTTTGGCCAGGTCCAGAACCACCATGCTGGGTTCGTAGAAGCCCGTTTCCTCCCGTTCCTCCCATCGCGAGTGGTTATTGATGAGGTTTGCTTCATGGACGAGCTGTTTCAGCTGCTCTCGAAGCTCGATGATAGATGTCCGAGGTAGTGATATGTTGTCAACCCAGTAATACGAGACCGAAATGGCAGGATACCCGCGACCGGCTGTGACATGGAGGGCGAGCTCTTCATACTCTAAGACCAGTTCCTCATCCAATGGCGATTCTAATTGTCTGTCTTTGTCAAGGAAGTTTTCCGCTATCAGCTGATCTGCCTCGAGATCCCGTAGAAATGAGAGCTCGATCAGCTCATCTTCTGAGAAATCAATTTCATTCGCGGTTGCCATTTTGACATCTAATCATGCTGTATTCTATTTCGAGGGAAACAATGACTGGATTCGATATAATAGATAAGCCATTGCCATTGTCGGGATTGTACTTCGTGAAGTTGTTCAGCTGAGGATGCTTAGCGTTGTTCAGTGACTCAGGCCGCCAGAGCACAGCCTCTTTCTCGAAGCTATCACAATGAATCATAATCCGATAGTTTTATTTACCGCCGGTGACCTTTGACAGAAGAACACATGAAGAACAAAAGGATTTACGAATAAGAGAAAAGAAGAAAGAGCAGCACTGGGAGTGTGCCACGCAGCACGCACAGCTTAATTGCCATCTATAGCAGAAGGGCCATAGCACAATACGTATGAACATGAAATAACATTCTGAAGCAATCACCGTAATCAGAGTCTGTCCGTGATGAATTTCTCCCTGATTTTGGGCCGACCCAAACAGAACGAACTATCCCACTTCTTGTTACGTGCTTTGTACAATAGTTGTAGTAAAGTTGTCGCATCTACACTGCTGTGACTTTCGTGTCTCTCAAGCTAGTGACAATGCTAGAGCCGCCTTTGTCCGTGGCATATTATTCCCATGCCCCCTGCTGTGGACTTCCGCTCGGAAAACAAGAAAAGAGGAACGAAACCCGTGTGGGCGTTTCCCTAAGCCAGACCCAAGCCACAACACCAGCAACGAATATCAAGGCCGCGGTCTGCAGGGTAAGGAACATGGCTGTAAGGTGGGCTCCAGAGGGCGAATATGACTGCTGCCACAGCGAGGTCTCGCGAATCTGCGCAGTGCGGCCATTTTCCCGTTTCTGAGACTATGGGGATTCATCAGGCTGGCAAAGTACGTGAAACTGACACGTCGTAGGTGACAAGTGTAGTCAGAAGTCGTGTCGTTCAACCACCTCGTCATTTGGCTGATCGTACTTCGCGAATGTTATCTCGTGCGCTCACTGGGGTCACTGTCCGCCTCATGGAATGCAGTTACTGACTGCCCGTTAGCCATGCCGTTATGTATCAAACAACTTTGCCCGGGTTGGATGCAAGATGCTTGTCCCTAGGACGAACCAGCATCCTTTCCCATCATTAGACGAGCTTCCAGCCAGCCGTGGAGGTGAAGGCGATTGAAGGTCTTGACTTTGGGTTTGAAACAAACCGTTGGATGTCTTGCTCGTGACGGGCCTCGACATGGGGGCATTAAACATTCTGGATCTGGGTTTGAGACCCGGGAATACGGAATTGCCCGGCGCCAAGCCAGATCGCAGCTGGCATGGCTGGGTGTGACTGGGGTCGGTCAGTCTGTCGCCCATTTTAGAGTTAGGCCGTTGAAGGGCACTAGAACGGACGGCGAGTTGGTGGATTCGGTCAATCACTCCTAACGTTATGTAGAGCCAACAAGGTCGATGTGCCCCCCCTCCTAGTAGGCCCCTAGGCCGCCCTTCAGGTGTGGGTGAACGTCGATAGGCAAGGGATCGCGTACGACGGCTCGACGTCACTTGGCATAGCCCGACGCCATCCATCTCCACCTGCGACAGCGTCCTCTTCTCTGATAAAGTGTTCGTAAACGGGCCTTCTTGAAACACCAACCCGGCAATGGAATGATTGTTTGAAATCTCACTACCAGCCCGAAACCGTGGGGTGCCGCATTGGTCGGCCACAGACTCGATTGAAACGCGATTCGACAGCGCGCTCCGCCTCTAAGCGCCAACGTCCCGTCCCGCAGCAGGGCAGCACAAACGCCGGACCGTCGACCTGTCGTTTCTGCCTGTAGGAGAGCGTCTTGTACGAAGCAGCCAACGCAGAACTTTTACCATACGATCGAGTGAATGAATGAATGGCAGGTGTCGACTATGACGAGATAGCCGTGATGGACGATTTGAAGGACGGAGAAGGCGAGCCGGTGGGAGGTGGCGGTCTGCTGAGTGCGGAGCGTCGCGGCGGCCGTGGTGGGTGCGATGGAGCCGCCTCGTTGGAAAGGTCACCGCATTCCCTCTCCAAGACGCGCAGTCTGTCGGACGGCGGCGGCGCCCAACTGTCTCCCTCGCCCTTCATCGTCGAGGCAAGACGCACCTCGAAGGATGATAGCTCCCTGAGAGACCCCTCCTCAACGACGGCGGCGTCCTATGCCGCACCACCCGTCACACCGAGACGACCCGATTTCGCCCTCCGCGGCCTGTCACTGCAGATGCCCAGCAGCGACGCCTCGACTCCAGCGCAGGCACAGGCTGCTCCATACGTCAAGCCGAGCCCTCTGTCCCCCAAGCTCGACCAATCTCACATCTACGCTTCGCCGACTAACATTCTGCCGCGACGGTCGCGAGGCATGGATTTCTCCAGGGCCGCCACCAGCCTGCACCACTCCACTCTCGCCGAGCAGTCGTCGCCCGACACCTCGCCCACCATTGGCGGCGGCAGAGCGGTGAACATCCCCGGCCGCGCAATCGGAGACTTCGGCGCCGAGCTTAGGACCAATTCGCTATGGTCTATGATGGGGAACCAAGAGCGTAACAGATTCTCCAGCTCGGTGGGGAGCGCCAACCACGCCGGTTTGGGCTCGGACTCCTCCTCGAGCTCTGACGACGATGACCTGATGGACGAGGAGATGGACGATGCCTTCCTGGGGACCCCGCAGGCTGCAAAGACCACCCAGGGTGCTGGGATACCATGGATGCCCGGCAACTCGCCCGCGGCAAACAGCCTCTCTAGCTTTAGATCGAGACCTCGTAAACCGCCTAAGAAACGGCTTCGGGGCCTTTTGGGTTTGGGCTTCAACCCTGCCGCGCCATCCGGCTTGTCCAAGTCGCCACCCTCGAACGGCGTCATGAAAGAGATGAAGGACAGCTCCGGTGCGCACTCGCGCAGAGAGAGCATCAGCTGGGCTGCCAATCAGCTACACATATCCGCCGACAACGACGACAAGGCTCTCGACTCGATCGAAATTCCTAAGGATGGACAGAGGGGAGTTATCAGACGAGCCGTCACTCGGCGGAGCAACCTTCTGGTATGTGTCTCTTGTCTATGCCGTCTTCTTGTTGCCCATTTCTAACTCAATAACACTACAGCCGAAAACCAAAGGCTTCGCCCGCATTCGAGCTGCTCTTGCTGAGGAAGGCGCCCCCGTAGACTCCGAGTTTCGTCGTGAAGCCGAGGTCATCCGCCAAGTACGCGAGAGCGACATGGATCTTGAACCTCGAATGCCGCCGCCTCTCGACATATCGACGGCAAAGTCCTCGCCTAACCTCAACAACGATAACCTGGATGATGTACTGGACGAAGATCTACTCGGAGATCCTGGCCTCTCAAGCAGCTTCAAACAACAGGCCCTGAAGAACTCCAAAGGCAAGCAGTTCTGGGACAACTTCTCAGAGACGAGCAGTGTGGCTGGTAGTCGCGTCACGCCGCCTCCCCCGGCTTTCCTACCTCGTGGTTCCTCGTCTGGCATCAGTGAAGACGTGAATATGGATTCGCCCTTGACCGGCACCGCGAGCTTGTTTGGGCCCGGGCCGGCTCTGGCCATGATTGGAAACGAAAGCGACAGCCAACGCTCCGACACGCCACAGGTTCCTGGGTCAGCCTCTGGGTCGCAAGGCCCGCGCATTCCTCCTACTGCGGAGGAAATCACTCGCCGCATCAACAACAAGCGCAGAAGGGACGATGACTTTGATTCCAACAGTTTCAAGCGGAGAGCTGTAAGCCCTGGCATGAGCGTGCACAACTCTCCCATTATGCAGAGTCCCCTACAGCGAGACATGGCCCCGTGGGGCTCTCGGCCAGGAAGCAACCATGGAGGCGACAAGGCCTCGGGCACCCCCAGTGAGAACGGTAGCAACAACGGAGGAGCGAATAACGGACGCCCCATCAACGGCGCAAAGGGTAGAGTCGGGTTTCAGGGCATGGTGGATACCAACGATGGTCTAATGCGGATGAGCATTGAGTAATTATTGTGTACGGGCATTGGGCTGGCGTTCTGAGCGTTGCATTTTGAGAGTCACTAGTCTCGCAGACGAAACGATTGGAGCCATACGGGGATACTGTTTATATGGATTAAGAGCAGTACTTATCTGCTATCTATTTAAGGGTGCTATTTTGGGCCGGCGTTGCTCTATCGTGAGTTTCGAGCTGCGACGAATTGTATTAAACTCAGATAATACCAGATCGCACATACGAATCATCATCACTTCCCAAAAAGGGGATGGGCTTTCAATACTCGGCAACTCGTTACTGATCCTTTACTTCCATGTAAATGGCGTTGCAGGCGATTTTGAGTAGCGGCCTGATGCTAACGCTGGCCGTGTGGTTGTGATTTGCCAGTAGCAACTGCGGACCTCGGGACCGAAGGTCCTTGTATCGTCTTCCGAGTATGGACGTCAGCGGACCTCCGGCTCCCCGACCTCGCGCCTCGCGCCACAACGTCACCGAGACAGAGCGACCTCCTACAAAAGTGGCAGAACAAAGCATAATGAAATCCATCACAATTGAATCCTGAGGTCGACTGCAGTTATATCTCAAATCCCCTAGCTCAAGAACACACTAAAGGTCCGAACCTTTCGAGAAAAGCATACTTACACCTAGACACGCACTATTCAACCCCTTCAGCCTTCCACCCACCCCCCTCTACCTTTTCCAAACCCACCCCTTTTCGCCGGAGTCATCCCTCTACCCCCTAGACCAAAAGCCAAGATGCCTCTCCGCGGGCCCGTCCCCGTCATCCACAGCACTCGCGACAAGAACAGCGAGAAGGTCCAGGTGGGGCCGACCACCATCTACATCATGGAGGACGGCTCGCACACGGACAATCGCATCGGCTGCATGGTGCTGGAGCTGCCCGCCGGCACCTCGGGCCCGCCCATGCACTGGCACCGCTTCCACGACGAGTGCTTCTTCGTGACCAAGGGCCGCGTGGCCTTCGTCACGCCCGACGGCGAGGTCGAGGTCGGCACCGGGGAGCTGTAAGTTCTACGGGAGACGCCCTTTCCCCCCCGTTTTCTGGCCTATCGTGTTGGCACGAGAATAGTAGGTGATGGCTATGGTCAAAGTAGTAGGGCTGATGAAAGTACACACGGTTGCAGATTGACAGTGCCGCCCAGAGCCATCCACACATTCAAGAACGCGAGCAAGACCGAGGATGCCGAGTTTTTCATGACGGCGACACCAGGTGAGATGCTGCCCTCCCTAAGCTCTTATTTCGTTCAGCTTTGTTATCCGCATCATTCTCTGCTAACCGTTTATACCTCTCTCCAGGCTACTACATGGATTGTGAGTTCTGCCTACTATATTGTGCGGATGGCCGGTCGAGGGAGACGTTGCGCTAATCAAATTATAGATTTCCGCACGATGAGCAAAGTTACGACCTCGGGGCAGAAACTAATGCCCGAGCAAACGCAGCATATCATGGAGCTGTTTGGAACATTCCCACCGGATGTTGAATCTGAGCCCTGAGTGATGAGGGCGTAGTGCGTGATTAGTTAGGTTTGGCACTCCGCGGCTTGACGTTAGCTGATGAAGTAGATGGTATTTCGAGTCTAGGCCCGAAAAGTACTTTTGATCATCTTTCTTGGAATATTCATGCTCGCTCTAGTTAGGCTATTTATGTCAAAGAACAGATTGAAGAGCCCATGTGTTAGGAGTCAACATTACAGGTCCGCTTCAAAATCAGGTGCTCTAAATCTTGCTAGCTGTATCGCCCCCTCTATCTAACATTTGGAAATCACGAGTTGGACTTGGGTTTGAAAAAACTCCATGTGGCGGCACCGACGGACTTCCTCGAACACACGACCACGTCTTCGGCATGCGCCTTATAGCTTTGCCTTGGATGAAGCCAAGGACAGCTTGGCTGTCAGAGTCTCCTCCGCCTCCTTCTCGATGCGTGTAACCAGCTCGTGGCACGTGGGAATATCATGGATGAGCCCAATGACCTGGCCGGCAGTCCAAACCTACACATAGTCAGCATAGTATTCAAATGGTCAACTTGCAGGTAAACTTACACCGTAGTCTGGGTCGCCATTGATGAAAACTTCGCGGCCACGCTTTCCGCTCATGAGCGGCGCCATGTCGTCGAATTTGTCGCCGGTAGCTGCCTTCTCAACTTTGATGGCCTCGTCTGTGACCTTGTTCTTGTACAGACGGGTGGTGTTGGTCCACTTCCGCATGACCAGAGCCGTGTCGGTCTCCTGGGCCTTGACGATGGTCTCCTTGATGTTACGGTGGATTGGGGCCTCAACGGTGCACATGAAGCGCGTTCCCATGTTGATGCCCTCGGCGCCGAGGCACAACGCAGCGGCCAGGCCCTGGCCGTCGGCGAATCCGCCCGAGGCGATGAACGGAACCTTGAGCGACTGGCGCGCACGGCTCAGCAGAATGAAGTTGGTGATGTCTGACTCGCCCACGTGTCTGCAGTCACGGTCAGCGAAACGATACGCAAGCAGCCGCGCCCGGTGCGAGCTCGGGCTCGTCGGCCAACAACTTACCCAGCACACTCGAAGCCATCTATCGAGAGGAAGTCAACGCCGAGCTTGATGGCGCTCTGCGCGTGTCGTATGGTGGTACACTTGTGGAGGATAATGACACCCGCGGCCTTGAGTTTCTTGATGACTGGCCCGGGGCTGTTGCCGGCCGTTTCCACAATGTTTATACCCTCGTCAATGACGGCCTGGGCGTAGGCGGCATAGTCCGGGGGGACGAGGGCGGGCAGCAGGGTGATGTTGACGCCGAAGGGGTACTTGGTCATGGTCTTGGTCTTCCGGATCTCCTTCCTGAGGTCGTCCGGAGTTGGCTGGGTCAAGGCGGTCAGGATGCCCAGGCCGCCCGCATTGGAGACGGCAGCAGCCAATTCGGCGTAGCCAACATGCTGCATGCCGCCTTGTACGACGGGGATTCTGATGCCTAGGCGGCGGGTGAGCTCCGTGTCGAACGGCATGTTGTTGTCGTCGTCGTCGTCAGCTGTCAGCTGATCCTGGACGCTCAAAGCTAGTGTCGCAACGTAGCGAAGTTGAGTGTTCTCACTCAACCGAAGTGGTACAAAGGCAGTGCACCTTGCGAATGAGCCGGGACACAAGGCAATGTATATTCGAAGGCAGAGTGGCTAAAGAGAGAGCGTGGTCGCGACGGCTGCAAACATTCTGTGGAAGTTGTCTGGGCAGCTCAGGCCGATGCCAGAAGATGCCGAGGTACTCCACAGCCTCCACATCCGGAGACCCTTGGGACCTTGGGGAACGGCGTCGGTCCAGAGTGGGATGAGCTAGCCTGGACCGAGACCCCGCCGCGTGACTCGCCTTTCATGACTGGGCGCTGTCTGGTGCCATGAGCCGAAGCCTCCTGGGCTGTCGTCCACCTCGACTCGCAGACAAACCTGGCCAAACTCGAATCAGTTTGTATGCTATAGCCAACGTACCTAGGTAGGAATGGTGACGGGCGCACCCATCCCGCACGAACTAAAATCTACCATCGGCGCCGCTTCGCCGCACAGGACTTGAACCCATCCGGCACGTGACACAGGGTGCATCCTCGTTGATCTCTGGCGGTTTGCTGCAATCGCCCGCTGTTTCACTTCCTATGCGGGTGTGTCCATGACTCTCGGCTCGCCAGAGGCGAAGGCATCACGACGGACGACGGGTGACTGGGTGACTGAGCTCTTCTAACAGGCTTCGCTGCCGTCCTACGGTCCATTGTGCGACCGAGCGGCTCGAAGTTTGGGCGTGTGTCATACCAGCGCGTCTGCTGATAGCGTGCCGACACCCAATGCCAATCGGCCATGTATGTCTCGCTCCCTCGTGGATCGGTGAGACCAAAAGAACACCCATCCAAGGACGGGGTCCCTGATCGGTTCGATGCCACCGCCGGAGAAGCATTGTGCCCTGCGGGACGGGATTGCTTTCTGCCGCCTCGGCCCTTTACTGCGCTTCTGTAGCGTTCCGTCCGGTGGCAGGCAGCAGATTCGGTCCTCAAGAGATGCACGATGAGGCACTCCCGGGTTGGGAGCATGAGGTGTGCATTCTCCAAGAATACACAGGAGCCGGAGGTGTTGACGAGACATTGTGTCTGCATGGTCCAAGCATATCCTCCCCTGCCCTCTGGCGGAAATGCTTCTTCCCGCCGCGCTGTCCGCTCCGAGAGACAGAAAAGAAAACATACCAGGACACACAAGTATTCTTCACCATTCTTTCAGAGAGGTGTATACATTCAAATTAGTATTGACTATGCTTGCAACCACTGAACCCGGCCTCCCATAGTGCGCCCCACTACCTTGCGGCTATACACAGTAGGGGAGGGCAGGAGTGACCCAACGTAGAAGCTAGTGTATTCGTCCCCTTCATCGTGCAGTCGCCCCGGAATGAAACCATGCAGCAGCGGAGCGACGGGAACCCTATCCTCTTTTGACTGGCTTACATTTGCTCAGCTCTATGTATCGATGATCGTCGCGGGGGTCTACCAGGCCCACATGCTCTGGGGACGGGACCCCTGCTTCGTACGTGGATTGCGGATAGGGGTTGTCAACTTAGGCGGATTCTATCATTTTTCTAGCCTCAACACTCTCAGCCAACACTCCTTTCTTTTCCGTGAACTGTGTTCTTCTCACTCCTACAACAGCGCTACAGTAATCCTCCGAACTCTCCGATGGAACACAACTTCTTGTTCCATGTTCCACTACGGTACCGAGTACCGAGCCGTGATGGCGGGACCTGCACTAAGGTAGTTATACAATGTTCGTCGCGAACCCTGCTGGTCTGCCAGGTGATGGGAAACCCGCTTCTTCTGATGTTATCGAAACCGGAAACCGCTATACTTTATGGAGAGTTCTCGTGATGATGTCTTTGCCCCCGGTACGACTCCAGACACTGCAAGGCGCAGTATTGATCGACATGGCTGCAGTCAATACTCCCACCGACTCTAGATACATATTTCAGGGCATAGGGCCTATGAGATACGATTGAGCGGAGAAGCTATATTGTTTTGTGCTTGGCATACGCGAGGAAAGAAGCACGACTCTCATAGTGATGCGGACTGAGGATTCCGTCTGCATATCATCTCAGTTGACCCCACTCACATTGTCAGGTGTCAGGGCATCTGTTGGTACGTATTGTCGAGAAAAAAGCAACCCAACTTCAGAGCGCCAAATAGCCCAATTCGTGATGTGAGTAGGATGATGAGATAAGCTGTCAAACGCTTGTCTAGGCCGAATCAAACTCCGATCGAACGGTGGCTTTGTGGGTTTCGCAATCACTTTCCCTCCATGGAATGTCATGTGAATCTTTGCAGTTGTTAAAGTCTCTTATATTAACAACCCTTTCAAAACTTATCCCAATCGATCAACCGGTCTGTCTATCAGGCGCTCCTGTCGCTTTCCGGTGGCTCTCTTCAGTTGAAGTCATCAGTGCCTGATCCCTGGCCATAGGCCCACACATCCACTGAGAGAGAAGAAAAAAGCAAACATGGCGTTTTTTCCCACAGAGACACGAGGATGATTGCGCCAACGCAAATCAGTCTCGCGAAGGAGCATCGCATTGGGCTTAATCCAGTCATCGTTCATGTTGCACACGACATCGCAAAAGACGAAGAATGGTGGAAATACCTTGAAGACAACTTGTTAGAGCCACGTTGTCATGCCACAACATCGCAACGTATGATTAGTGATTGAGCCTCTTGCTGTTCACCGGTGAGGTGCGCCGAGCAGCCCTCCTGACAGCAGAGTAAAGGGCCCTTGAATGCGTGCAATCGGGCGGAAGCACATGCAATGCCAGCAATCCACATCCATGCTACAATCAGTCTCATCTGGTCAAGAGATTCGAATCTATGGCGCCCTCGCTTGCCTCAGATGCGCTGATGCAACCTGAGCCTCGGTTGCAGCCCATTGCCGTTCCATCGGGCCTGATCAGGACGTGGAATGACGATTAGGATGAGTCTTTGCCTGCCGCCAATATGTAGCTAGTCAGAACCGCAAACTAAACCCCAATCGTGCATTGAACGTTTGTCTACCAAGCTGAACACTCGGAAGTACTGTCGTTCGACAACAATATAGGGCCGCTGCATAGCGTAAATCGAGAGGAAGAGGCCAGCTTGGGGGTTAGGCCACGAGCGTACGCAAGCGGGCTGTTGTGCATCCTCACGCAGGAGTTCGACTGCCGACGACCCGATGAGCCTCAGAAACGTCAGTCTTCTGTCCACAATGGCAAGGTCCTTCCTCCTACCGCTGATAACCAGCGGCCGAGGGTGGACGGGCTTTTCTCCGGTGGACATGCTCGGCACCTAGGTAGGTCTGAAACAAACCACAGCACGGGGAGGTGGCATGCCACCTTGCAAACAAAACGTAGGTACCGGCTTCCCTATCTCAGTTTAAACCGCTACGACACCCCAAACAAGGATTGTCTTCAGTCCTGCTCAAAAAGCAATTCGTGGAGCAGGGTCTATTTCAGTTCCGAGCTATCGCTAAAAAGGAAATACCCATTCTCGGCCACCATGTTAGATATAGACCTCGTCCTTTCCTTCCACGATGCATCATGCCGTCTTTCGCTCGAATAGACTTCCCATCACTACCGCCTGCATCGCAAACAACTAGAAACGAGCCAACCAAGGCTCTGCTGCCACATCATAGTCTCATGCTCTGATCCTTGGGATCATTATTACTTCAAGACCCTCCACCGGCTCTCAGGCTGCAGAGTTCCATGGGTCTTATGTTTCGTTCAGACGTCTCTGTTATGAAGCAATAGTTCTCGTATAATCGATTCTCATCATCAACCTTGGACACCCACCTGGCTTTTACGCGTCAGTTCTACTCGATCGATATAATGCCATCCTCACGTCACAGCGGTAGCGCCCCATGGCAAGAACTGCTTCAACGTACGTATCCTCGATCCATAACCGCCTTATATGACGGTACTGATGATACGACGTAGAAAAATGTCAACAATGCAGCTTCCCATCACCAACATACCAGATTGTCTCAGACAGACGAGGTGAGGCCTCTCGATCAGCAACTGGCTAACGCTTGCAATGAACATATGGAACTGACTTTTCTCTCAGGAGGCCGTACAGCTTGGTCATGTGTAGTAAAAGTCGCTGGTCAACCTGTAAAAGCACGGTTCTGGTACGATGGCAGAAACCTGAATGGTGCCCAGGAGGACGCAGCCGAAGCAGCACTCAACTGGTTGGAAAACAACGGCTATTGAAATAAGCTGCTTCTTTGCACCTTTACACCTCTTTCACATGCTGTCTTTTTGGCCATTCCGGCTTTCTGCTCCAATCTCCTCTCTCTTAGTTGCGTATTCTTCTGTCCGACATCTTACGGCGTTGGGAAAGGTTCAGGTGGCCTCGCGGCTCTATAGGGAAAGAGATAGGCGGCATGGAAAGACTTCTCAGCTCATTGGGCTGAGCGCACGAGCATGGGATGCAAATGGCGGGCAAATCACCGGTTTCACGTTTTTCTTCGACGTTCTTCTCTAGCCCCCTTGCCTTTCCTTGGTAGCGAGAATCTTTGGCGGGGGGCCCGCACCACACGGATCAGAACAGGGGCAGGACCCGGGACGCATCGCCTGTCACAACAGACGGGGAACGTTCCTGTTGGTGACAAACAGGACACACAATGCTTTGACGTTCGTGATTGTGATTGAGTTTCCGAATGGGCTGTTCGGTGACGCCGGCGTGACAGCCCTCCTCATTTCACCCCAAGACAAGGGGAAACCACCTCACCCGCAGGGAGTTTGGTCCGGCACTATCGGGGCCACTCATGGTGGTACAAAATGTCAGCAGGCGATTCTTGACCTCCTTCTCGTTGCCTTGAACTCATGAAAGCCCTCAAGGTCACGATCACGAAAAACTGGGGCCCATGCGCAAGGAGCTGTCACTGCAAAGGCATCTGCTACCCTACAGCGTGGAAAGAAACATGTTCGGAACAGGAAATGCAAAAAGCATTATGCTGCCTAGCACGCAATGAAATAACGACTTGGCACGATAGGAGATGTCGATCTGGGCGTTAGTGATTGTATGACTTTCCTTTTTGTGGAGCTCTAACTTGCAAATAAAACCACGTTTTCTATGACATTGACCACCATCATCAGTGCTGAAAACGGCTGAAGATTGTTATCTGAGCACAGATGTCGGTTTAGGTCCTGCTTGGCTAGTATCTTAAAACACGCCTCGCACTAACTGGGCTGTTCCATCGCTTTTCGAGAACGAAATGAACGTACATGATACCCATGCAGTACTGACGACATGGGCTTTCACTCGCCTGCCAGCCTGCGAATAAGTTGTACCCATAGTTAATTCTCCGAGGCGTGCTTCCTTGCCGCATTGGCAGCTCGGCGGCTTACACGTACATTCGTACCATCTCTATTTGGCACCTGTTGCGAGTTTGCTGAGTGCTGGTGTGTGTGCTTGTCTACGTAGCTTTGCTGCAGGCATAGGTTACATACATACATAGTTAGGTTGGGAGCTTCCTCGATTTTCCAATCACCCGCCGCAGGCCCGGGGATCTGGCATGGCCAGGGGTCTGAGGGCGGCATCCACTCGTGCTGATCTGATCTATCAGATTCCCGTTGGGAGGGGACCCTCCTGCCCAACGTCTAACTGCAAAGGAAACCGGTCTGCAGAAAGAAATGTTATTGCCGGCCCCACGGCGCGACAATGACACTGCCCTCCTCCGGACTGGTGCCATCGTGAGCTTCAACGACACGGCATGGCACCATAAACCGAGAAAAGTAACGACCGCACGAAAACGTCTCGTGGTATCTCTTCCATGCACCTCGGATAATGAGCAGTTTTGACAGGTCGCCAATAGAGTCTCAGCTGGCAACTCCCCTGTCGCGCATTCCAAGACTGTCCAGCCGTTGGGCGGCTCACCGAAATGGCGCGGCAAGTCACGGAAGAGGAGCTCGCCAGCCCAATATTACGAAACACTATTTACTGTAGCTGCTGCTTATCAGCGGCTGCGTGCTCAGCTGGAAAGTCTGGCGGCGCTGGACTCACGATAAACTGTAGGCAGGTGGGACACGTTGCCTCAGCGTCCCCCGAACAACTCGACTCTGTAGATGCGCATCTCTTACCTGATGACCATCAGCTGCGAGCCTTCGATGTTTCATGTTTCCACCCAGGAGCTGTCAGAAGTACTATCGAAGGCGAGCCGGCGCCCGTTCCTGTGTGGCTTCCTTATGTCATCTCCCTGTTGGGGGTCAAGGGGTGGGCATTCGATCACCACGCCTGTCAAGGGCCCCCAAACCGCTGTCTAGTGCCGCGAGTGCATGGGGCTCTTTTCTGCGCCTCGACAAGGATTGCAGAAGCTCGGCACCGTCCGGCTTCAGGCTTGCCCAAAAAGGGCAATTAAGGCGCCGCACAGCAATGGAGGGTGAGAAGTGCCCCCAAGACCCGGCCGCCTCATGCCGCGAGGATCAACTATACAGCTGGGCCCAATGAGAGGGAGGTCTTGAGAGTCAAAGGATTACTAGAAAGGGTATACCAACTGATACACCATCCTACCGCTGTGGGGCCGGTCTAGCTGAAGCTACCAAATTCTTGACGACGTCAGCTCTGGAGATGGTTTCTGATGGATGGGCAGGGGCTCAGATGTACCATAGTATAGCGGCATCAGGCTAACGCCTCAAGTACAAGATGCCTGGTTGCCTGAAAAGTCGTGCCTCACCGTTATTTCTCTCGGTGTAGATCTCACGCGAGACGGGCCTCGTGTTTGCATTTACACAAGCGAAGGGATATGATAGACGAGAGCTGAGACAATTCAAAACAGGTCTTAGCAGTGATACATGTTCGTCGAGAGCTTCGGCAACTGCCTTGCCTCTGAGACTTGCCGGGCCCTATAGGGAAACCGTCGGTGGCTGGGGTGTGGAAGCGTCATGAGCCTAGTATCCTTGTCCGCCATGTGCTCATCTGCTTTGCAGCAACTTTGATGAAGCAGAGACTTGCTTCCCATGGACGGTGGCCCAAGACTTTCTCTAGCAGCTTCGTGGCTTGGGGCCAGGGGACAGGGGCCTTGCTGTCAACGGCACGTTTCTCAAACCAAACAACGCCAATGTGCGGAAAACGTGGAGCATAAAATCTCCGGTGCATGATCACGAGGTCGGTGTCTTGATTTCTAAAATTGCCTAACGCATGATCAAGCTTCAAATCAAGCTATCCCCCCAAGCCCTATGCCGCATAAACCCTGATCCGATTCCAAGTCCTGATCACAAATCTTGGACTGACCGCCCCCAACCCCTGGAACGGGTACAGAGAATAAGCAATGGGAACTCAGAGGAATAGCAATCGACTCGTTCACCATTCGTATTTGAATCAAAAAGAAGCAGTCTGCTCCCGTACTTTGACTCAGCCATATTGAAATAGACTGCTCAGACTCTCGCCATGGTGGATCCGTCTGATAGCTTCAGCAAAGATTGGTGCAACGTCGAGGACCTCAAGCTTAGGACAGATCGCCTGATGCTCTTCCTGGGGCACTGAATTGGTCACGATAACCTTGTCGATGGCGGATGCATTGATACGTGTGAGAGCATCGCCACTGAAAACCCCGTGGGACAGTAACGCGTACACCGCCGTGGCCCCTTCACGCCGAACCAACTTCGCTGCCCGCGTAATGGTGTTGGATGTATCTGCAAGGTCATCGATCACGATGCATACGCGATTCTCAACTGACCCCACAAGCATCATCGTCGCATTTTGACGATCAGTGATGTTGGTCGGGCGACGTTCCTTAGAAAAGGGTCAGCTGGTAATTCTTTGTTTTCCAAAAGAGAGAAAAATCTTACCTTATGAATGAGAGCGAATTCCATGCCTAGAGCGTCAGCAATAGCAGTTGCTCGCTTCGCTCCTCCAGCGTCCGGGCTCACAATCACCGCGTCTTTGTAATCCGGAATGCGTTGTTGGATATAGCGCTTCAGCAGAGGCCGGGCATACAGGTTATCCATAGGAATGTCGAAGAAGCCTTGGTATTGAGGATCGTGAAGATCTAGAGCCACGACACTGGGACGACCCATCAGCATTGATGACTCACCACAAAAATAAAGCGTCGGCCCTTGGCGAGATTGTCAAGGTAGCAAGTATACGTACTGGTCAGCGCCGGCACATGTCAGCAGATCTGCTACTAGAGTGCCAGCTTGCGCAACCCAGCGCTTGTAGCCGGGTTTGGCTTCAAACTGATCGATAGTAGAGGGGTCAATGTTGTCATAATCGTGCTTCGTATAAGAACCGGGCTGGGAAGTTATGGAACTGGAGTGTGATCTGACTCCTGCCGCATCAGTCGTGAAAGCTATCTTGTTGAGCATTTTACTGAGGTCGGCTCCGTGGTTGAACCCGGCACTCTTGACCCTGCCTGGGCCTGGCGTAGGAGGGACACTCTCGAACGTATACCTGTCGTTTGGCACCACAGCAGCGGGCTTCGACAAGGGTGCTCCGGCCTTGCGGTACGGAAGGTCGGGTTGGCGGGAGTACGGAAAGAGAGGAGTCACAGCGGTAACTCTCTTTGCTGATCCGATCTTGCAAGCAGATATCACTTTGGAACCATCACATTAGATGCGGATCTGTAGAGGTGAAACTCGTCAGCAGCAGGTGGGACGACTCACTTATGCACAGTTCCATGAGATGGTCGTTGACGGCACCTCCGCCAGTCTGGATGATGAAGACATCTTTGCCTCTGACGGAATCTTGGATCTCACATCTACTCTCGCCACCCGAAAATTTACTTAATATTCGGTCGCCAGGTGCAATCCCAAGGTGACTGCAGACACTGTCCGTTAGACGCGGGTGGGAATTGCCCGAGAGGACTATGATGTTTCTGACCATCTTTGTAGACCTCTTGCCTCATGTACTCAACCCCACCAAAGACAGTGACAGACAGGCCGAGGCTACTATTTGACAGAGACTGAGCAACCGGCGGAACTCTCAGACTTGGGCGTCCGTGAAAGGACCCCAACTTCATCAATCGTGTAGATTAGGTATGATGAGTTGTGGGTACAGGCGATCACGATGGAGCTGGACTGCCTGGAGTTGGTAGAGACTTGGCCGCTAGGTATGGGTTCCGATGCACTCATAAGGTGGAGGACAAGTCATTACCAACGTTTATGAGTAAAGATACGATGAGAAGCAAGCCTAGAAGGGCGAGGCGATGCCTGTACGGATCATTGAGATTGTAGGTTGGTGAGAAAAGACACCTGGAAACAATTTGCGGGGCATCGAACGGGGATCAGGTCAGGACGATGGTCCCCCGGCAGAGGCCTAGTAGACGGAACCACTACGCTAAGCCCGGCGCTAAAAGCTAGGGAGCTCTGACCATTGGGGCGGCGCCAAACGGGGTTTAGCTGCCTGGAATACATGATGAAAGGCGCGCCAGACTGCGGCCCTAGTGATGCTGGAAGTGACTGGGACACCCTCGGAGTTCTCCTGTCCCCGGATAGCCTGCCCTACTGCAACAAAAGTAAAACGACATCTGGCCCATCTGAAAGCTGGGAGTCTAAACAACTGCTTTCGAAGTGTAATATAGCGCAATTGAGGTCGTCATGCCTGAAATCGCCGAAGGTGGGCGCGGCTTGCCCAAGTACTACCTGAAAACGCGTACTGACATGTCACAAAGTTGCACGGATTACTCATTTCCTACGCCTTCATCTGGTTGGCAAGACGATCAAGAAGGCAACGGCCCCAGAAGATGCCAATGTTTTCGGCAAAGTTGGTACCAGCGGGCCCGCCTTTGAGAAGGCTGTGACTGGCAAGAAGGTCGTCGGCGCCGGCAGCCAAGGGAAATATTTCTGGATATTGCTCGACAGTCCTCCTCATCCGGTTATGCATTTCGGGATGACCGGCTGGATACACATCCGCGGCGAGCAGACGGCATACACCCGGTACTATGAGAAGTCCAAGGACGACAAGGCCCAGTGGCCGCCCAAGTTTTGGAAATTCCAACTGGAAACGGACAGCGACCCCAAGGTCGAAGTAGCCTTTACCGACGCACGTCGCTTCGGCCGGGTTAGGCTTGTCGATTGCCCTGGCGAGGACATTCGAAAGCATTCTCCCCTGAAGGAGAATGGGCCGGACCCTGTCGTCGACAAGGACATCTTCACCGAGGATTACCTAAGACAGAAGATGAAAAACAGACACGTTCCCATCAAGGCCCTGCTCCTTGATCAAGCCATGATCAGTGGAATTGGCAACTGGGTTGGAGATGAGATCATGTACCAGGCAAAGCTGCATCCGGAGCAGTACAGCGACGACTTCAGTGATCAAGATGTCGCAAAGCTATACAAGGCGGCAAGATATGTCTGCGACACGGCTGTTGGCGTCCTTGGAGACTCTGATCAATTTCCTTCCGACTGGCTGTTTAACCACCGATGGGGCAAGGGCAAGAAGGACCACCCAACCACCCTCCCCACTGGCGAGAAGATTGTGTTCATCACGGTGGGTGGACGGACTAGTTGTGTCGTTCCCAGCGTCCAGAAAAAAACCGGCAAAGCAACTGTTCCCGACACCAAGGAGGAGATTGAGGCTTTAGATGATGAGACGGAGAGCAAGTACTTTGGTAGGAAAGGCAACTCCACCGCCAAAAGCGAAACGAAACCGGCGACCAAGAAGCCAAATGGAACAAAGCGGAAGGCAATCAAGGAGGAAGAGGCGGAGAACGAAGCCCCAGTCCTGTCTAACGGAGCCAAAAAGGCTAGGAAGGTCAGTCAAGTGAAGCAGGAAGATGATGTGCCAGCCGCGGAGAAGCAGAAGTCAAGAAAGACTAAGGATGAGGCTGTTGTTCCTCAACCCATCCCTGAGCTGGGAAGACGGCGGTCTGGAAGACTCAGCGGCAGAGCTTCCTGAACGCGGTCTCTGTGCGGCTTTCAACAAATACTAGTCTTACAGACTACATCGTGATGTCACTACATACGAGCCCGCCCATGTAAAGTAGACTTGGCCATAAAGTATCAGCGCGGAGTGATTTCCCAAGGGATGGTTCAAGGAACTGTACACTGGGGTTACTGACTCCCTTCGTCTTGTATAATGCGGTAGATGAATAGAACTTTGAATAAGCAATATGTAACCACAGTAAGGGATTCTACTACTCTCTCACGACAAGTGCGGCCCGTCATTGACTTTGCCTACGCCATTCAACTCACTTTGGCCTTCAACGTTCTGTTGCATCGAGTCCACCACCTCATTTGTCCGGTCTTCCTGTTCATCAGCACCCAAGTCAGTGTCTTCAGCCAAGGCCGTCTCGTTTTCTACGCCTCGATTCAGAATTCTATTCACTGAGTCCTCAAGTAAGCTCCCGATGATACCCTTGTTCTCCTCATCATCCTTTATCATTCTTGCGAAGATCTCTGTTTCCTGTCTGTCAAGCTCCTCGCGTTGCTTCTGGAGAACTTGCAAAGCAGTCGTCGTGTTGTTCTTGAGGTCATTCTTGTTAAGCTCCATAGCCTGAATGCTGTTGTCGATCTCCCGACAGAAGTCTTCCAGTTGCAGTGCTCGCGCGTGGTCCTGGAGCATTGATGCGAGTTCCACTCCTCTGCAATCATGTCAGTCACTGTGCCCCCGGGAGTAGAACTAGTGAGTATGTGAGAGTCGTGTCCTGCTTGACAGACAATGTAACGAAAAGGACCTACGCCGCCCTTGTAGGAACTAGGCAGACTTACGATTTGATAAGATCTCGGATTCCGCGAGCGGATGTAGACAGCCGGTGGACCGCACTATGCCTCAAATTGCTTGTGGCGAACAGGATCTCTTTCGCGCGGAGCTCCCCTTGATCGATCGCCCCTTGAGGAAGCTTTCCTACCCTGTGGGCAAGGAGCCGAACCCACTCGGTCAATTCGATAGCACAAGGCGCCTCACATTTCTTGTCCTCGAGGAGTTGGGGGATCCATCTCTGGGCAAAATCGAAACAACTCTCTTCCAGTAGACGCTGTGCCTCGTTCAGTATCAGGTGCTGTGCCTTATATGGGATGAAAGACGGATACAGCGACGGCATCGGTGGCAAGACTGCGCCGGCGGGTGTTGCTTCATCTGGCTTCAACGTGAGAACAAGTTACCAAGCTGGAGAGTTAGCATTACCTTCACTATTCTTGATCTCGTACACCAAGCCATCAACTTCTACTTCCTCGGTGTCTTCAGCTTCAGCAATGTCCTCGAGAGCCTCAGACATTGATCTCGCAGCATCGAGCTCGGACTCCTCACGCATCGCATGCTGTTCGGGCGAGACTTGAAACAACTCTGGAAACTCAAGTTTGGCTCTGATATCCGACTCGAATATTCGTCGTTCCAGCATGCCCATCAGGATCTTGGTGAGTTCCTCCTGGCCAAAGTCTTTGATGAGGGAAGCCATGGCCTTTGGCCGTCTTGCGATTTCATCTTGTATCTTTCTCTTCTTTCGAAGCAGCGCTTTGTCACCAGTGAAGACGTTGCGGCAGGCAAGATAGACCCTGCGTTGTTGAGCTTTGGTAACCATGGCGAATTTTGTTTTATTATGGATTCTGGTCTTGGTTGGTTACTTCGCCGAGCAGTGGGAGGGCTCATAGAGAATATAAATGGATGTTCGTTGGGTTGCGAATGGCCTGATGGATGAAGCTAATGTACCCGACATCTGATTCCTGTCGAGCCAGAGGGTGCATACGGACCATCTGCATTACAGTAATCGCATATAAAAGCAACAACTATGTTCATACGTTGATTGAGTGAACCCCACAGCTGCAGGCTTCTGGATAACGACCCAAGACTTGGTATCAACCCAACGTGGTAGATTACTCAAGTATGTTCAATGTTGACTGTGGGACCTACTGAAGCTGTTGGACAACAACTGTCACTGCAGCCTGATTAAATGCCCAATCTCAAACGCGGCTGTGCCAAAATGATTGGGCATGTTGGCTCGGTGCTGGCATGTTACCAACGTGCATATGCATGAGGCCGGATGTGGGCAAAGCGAAGCTAAGCATAGTCTCCGCACAAGGAGGTCGCTCATCAAGACTTTGTTCTTGAACATGACCGATCATGTCAAGACAAGCACTTGGGCGCCCCATACCAACACAATAACCCACTTGCAGTAAACCACTAAACGATGAGCGACACAAATAAACCGTAACGCTGATATAAACCTGGGAGTCTCGGTTGTGCATTTCCCCTATTCTGATTAAGCTCATATTGTCGGGAAAGTCGCTTCTCGCTAAGATAGTTCTGGACATACGAGGATCAATTTCTGTATTGTTGACAATCTTCTGCCTGTACGGAGTAAAGACCTGACCCTCAGGTCAATACCATACTGATGCAACAACAACAAGGACGAGCTTCAGTTGATATTTGCAACACATTTGGCCCGCCATCAATTCCACGGTTGTGACAACAGATGCACACGGGTCTCTTCTGTTTCTTATTCCCAGAGCTATCAATTCTGATACTACTGTTGCCGGTACAATTCCTGGTTTGATTCTGTGCTACCGGCCAATCTTCAGCATAAAACTCCATTCCCCAACTTCTCCGAGCTCATACATAATCAGATATGGAAACTTGGTATACGCTATAACAATACGCCATCTGGAAATCATGCCTGACACCTGGCCCCCGTACACGACTATTTCTTGCCATCATCTCCCGCCTCCCCATCCTGGGCACCGTCTTCGCCCCCCTCCTGTCCCTCCCCTTGATCTTCACCCCCTTCACCCGGAACCCTCGTCCCGGCGATGCCACCCTTCCAGACCATCAGGCCCAAGCCGCCGGTACCCAGGACGATGGCGACCTTGAGGAAGCCCAGGACGACGCTGCCGTACTGCAGGACCCAGACGCCGAGCCAGCGCAGGACGGGGGTGACGATCTCGACGCGCTCGCGCTCCGTCTCCGGGTTGAGCACGAAGAGCAGGCCGATCAGGGCGGCGAAGTTGAGCACCAGCACCAGCGCCACGAAGACCTGCAGGAAGGCCAGCAGGATGGCGATGTTCTTGGTGGTCTTGAGCACCTCGAAGCCCGCGGCGACCAGCGGCGTCACCTGGTCGAAGGCGTGGTTGATCTGCTTGCTGTAGGGGATCCCCATCCTTTTTCTCTCGCCCTTGCTTGGCTATGATCTTCCGATCTTCCTTCTAGAAAGTTGAACGCCGATGGCACTGTCTTGGAAACTTTATAAGGGATGCGTATGATATGGGTTTCTTACCCGAGCAAGCGGTTGTATATGGCGCGCCCCTATACTGGACAGATAAAGTAGATAAAGTAGAATTATGGTATACAAACATCAATGTATAAACCCCTGTTATGAAGCCGACGATCGACCAAGTTTCAAAAAGACGTATTCGGTGATGTCAGTGCTGCATTACTGATGGTGTTGGGGCGTGGCCAATCATGCGCCGCCCGGACAGGGATTGTGGCGACCCCAAAACAGGTCTTTGCCAGTCGTGGAAAGGCATCGCATTGGTTGGAGTGAAGCTCGGCTTGCACGATCAGTGATCCAGAACTTCATAGTTTCTCTTCATGGCGAACATGCAAATCAGGATCTCACAACTAGCACCGCCATGCCCTCTAAATGTCCCCGACTTTGACACTGTCAAAGTATTATCAATGTTCTTTGCCGCGATCCTTTTCCAGAAACGCACGTAACGCCCGGCGTATAATCAATGTGACAGCTGAAATCCCGAAAATGCAATAAAAGAACACGATGATCTCCAAACGGTTCGATCACTGAGTGTCAGGTGGAGGCATCTCCCAGCTCCTCACAGTTTTCCCTTTCTCTTTCCTCTTTCCCAAAGACGTCCCACCGCCGCCCACGAAATTCAGAACCCAGTCCCGTACTCTCCGAGTCTTTAAAAGCTGTGGATGCGTACGCCGGCGGGAGGCAAGATCCCTCGTACTGTAAAATCCTCCTATATCCTCCTCGTCTAGCTTGCGGCGGTAAAGGAGGTCGATCTTGGTCAAGTCCTTCCGCAGGCTGTGGCCATGGACCTTTTGCATAAAGTCACTGAGGGCCACGTTTCGAAGCAGGACAATGTCCTGCCGTCGCAGGCTCTTGAGGGTCTGGTCCGTACTCGATCTGGAGTCCTGAGATGACCAGAATGTGATGCTGAAGCCGGATTTTGTCTCATCGCCGACCAGGAGCTCGACCAGAGATTTGGAAGTGCCCCACCTGGTCCTGACGGCTCTGGGCTCTGCAACGGAAATAAGTCCTACTATCAGGTTGACTGACATGGTCTGTGGAGAGATAGACTTGAGGTAGGTTGCATTCGGCAGATCCTCGAGATCGCTCAAGTGGGAAGTGCCAATGCCCAGGGTGCGGTCTCCTTGGGTGGAGAAGCTGGTCGTCTGCAAAGAATCCTCACGACTGTCATCGTAAGTAGTGTCGAATGAAGAGACGGCCGTCGAGCCAGTTTCATCCGGCAACTGGGAGGAAGGTATGTCGTGAACGCGCAATGAGTGTTCGTAAAAATCATCTCGCACAGACTGGCTCCCAGCGTCTGTGTTTTGTGTGTCGGCAGTGCTGAAGAAGTCGTGGTTGCCTTGGTACTGGCCTTCAAACTCGTGAAGTTGAGAGAATCCCGTTCTCAGTTTGGTCCTCTCCAGTGGGATAGACCTCCAGACTGCCGTATCAAGAGCTGAGTCGTCTACAGCGTCGGCTGTGAGCGAAGGGGGAGGCTCGTATATACCAGCGAACCGTGCCAGCGGCTCCAAGAAGGCGCCCAAGAGATCTGTCGACTCCCAGTTCAAGGTCTTGTTATCTGGGGCTCCTGCAAGAACGAGGATCTTTGGTGGCATCTCTTATAGAGTTTATCCAGTGGTAGGAGCATGGTGTGGGAGGCAAACAAAGGATGCAAGGGGGGAGCAAGAGAAAATCGACAGGCTTGGCACCAAGTGTGCAATGTTCAGACCCTGATTGAAGTGTGCTTGGATTGTGTTCAGGGTGGAAGCGAAACCGTAATCAGCAAACCAGATGTTGTTGAAGATGATGCTCACATGGAGTCGTCAATAGGCAGCTGTGAGCCGCCAAAATCGTCAATCCGTTCGTTGACATGGGACAGGTATGTACGTACCAGCGGCAGCTACGGCGGACATTAGCCTGGCAAGCCTGGGCCCCACGGGCATCTTGGGCGCCAGACCCCACCACCTGGGCACACTGAAGGGCTGCATGACAGGCCATGGGGCGGACAGCCCTCAACAGCCAATCAGCAGCCCGGTCGGGTTTGTTTACTTACGGCCAGGGCAACACCACGTCAAATCTAAAGGAGGGACCATCTTCGTGCGCTATCTTTCGCCTCGCATCGCATCGCATCGCATCCCAACTTTTTGGAGCACTGCACCCCGAGTCGAACAGCCACCAACCGCCCTAGCGAACCAGCGCTGTGCAGACACTGCATCGCCGGTTGTCGCGCACACTTGAAGTGCCACGCAGCAGACCGTTGCTCTGCATTATGTCGCAGGAAACTGGTCTTTGGAGCGTCCGAAGGCCGCGAGAGGTCAGTAGCATCACGGCATCGGTTGGGCTGCGTGCCCTCACGCCCGCCCGCCCGCCGTCGCCCAATCCCTATCTCGACTCCGTTTCGATGGCGACAGAAACAAGAACTGACCTTCCCACCCGCTGCGCAGACCCTTGGAGGCATCAACTCGAACTCGAACTCAAACCTACCCCAGCCCGCCTCGGCCATGAAGAGATCCAACTCTGCCAGCGGCTTCGGCGGCAACCATGTGCGCTCCTTGTCGGGATCTAGGCAGTCCCTCGCCATGAGCCGCCCCTCCCAGCCCATATTCTCCCGCTCCTCCTCCGGCGGCAACTTGGCAGATGCCGGCATGTCCTCCGTCAAGCGCGCCTCCATCAACCCGCACTCGGCCCTCAAGAGCTACGCGCCTGGGGGTCTGCCCACCCGCGCCTCCGAGGGAGACCAGCGGAGGAGCAGCATATACCGGTCGCGCCCTTCCAACAACGGTCCTATGAGCCACCAGAGTTTCTTCCAGCAGGCACCACAAGCCGCGGGCGTCCCGCGCGACCCCCGGCCCCTGAGAGACCGTTCCTTCCAGGCTCGCATCGGCCAGGAGCTCCTCGATTATCTGGTCCAGCACAACTTCGAGATGGAGATGAAGCACAACCTATCGCAAAACATCCTCAAGTCGCCCACGCAGAAGGACTTCAACTACATGTTCCAGTGGCTCTATCACCGGATAGACCCCAGCTACCGTTTTCTGAAGAGCATCGACCAGGAGGTTCCGCCCATATTGAAGCAACTACGGTATCCCTTTGAGAGGGGCATCACGAAATCTCAGATCGCAGCTGTCGGCGGCCAGAATTGGAGCACCTTTCTCGGACTCCTGCACTGGATGATGCAACTGGCGCAGATGCTGGAGGGATACACAAATAACAGATACGACGATGCCTGCATAGAGGCTGGCATCGATATCTCCGGCGACCACATCATCTTCGATTTCCTCAGCAAGGCTTATCGCGACTGGTTAGACATGGGTGAGGACGCCGGTGACGAAGACGCCGAGAGGGCATTGGCACCGCACATTGAGGACATGGCCAGCGCATTTGAGCGATCAAACTCGAAGTATCAATCCGAGCTTGAGATGCTAGAGGCCGAAAACGCAAGGCTGCAACAGGAGATCGAGGACCTCGAAAAGTCGACTCCGGACCCACGAGTGCTGGACGACCACTTCAAGATCATGGAGGAGGACAAGGTCAAATTCGAAGAGTACAACATGCTCGCCCAGCAACGCTCAGAAAAGTACGAGAGCAGGATTACCGTCCTCCAAGAAGAGTATGACAAATTGATGGAGGAACTCAAGGAGGCGGACGACGAGCGCCGTGGCCTGCAGAACGAAGTCGACAGTCAGGGTATAGGCATGTCGGATATTGACCGCATGACCTCGGAGCGTGAACGACTGCAACGCGGGATCGAGTCGGCCGCACAGCGTCTGGAGGACGTGAAGAAGAAGGTGGCTGAAAAGGAGATCGAGGCAAGCCGGAGGTTGGACGAACTCGAACGCTTAGTCGACAAGTACAACACCATGGCCTACCAAAACCTCCTGATCCCAGCAAGCGCCGAGAACGCCAAGGGCGTGCACTACGAGCTGTCTGTTACGGTGAACGAATCAGATTTTACGGGCTCGGTCATGAGAGGCGGCTCTTACGGCACCTCGTCAGCCGGCACCGAGCGTCTACTGGCGGACTCGGTGACGGGCTACCAGCCAGCGCATATCCTCAACCTCGACCTGCGCGGGCAGGTTAAGAACCAGTTCGCACAGCTACGCAAGGAGGTTAGCGAGCGCCGCGCCTCGGCCATGGACGCCATGCTGAAGGACCATGAGCTGCTCGATGGTATCAAGGAGACCATCGAGGACAAGAAGAACGAGGTCGAGGCACTTCGCCACCGTGTCCGCGCCGCAGAGGACGAGTACGAAAAGACCAAGGAGGTTACAACCACGCAGAAGCACGCAAGCGATGCCCAGATCGAAAAGATGGAAAAGGAACTTGCCAAGATGCGAGCTCAGCTTACCGAGAGCGTGCAGCTACTTGAGCAACGAGAGATGAACACAAATATTGAGTAGGTATTCAGTCCTGGATTACTGCACCAGCTACTAACGCCGTTACAGATACGAGCAATTGACTCTCAAGGCCAACGCTCTGCGTGAAGAGCTACACACGGAGATCGAGCGCATGCTCAACGACGTCATCAAGTTCAAGGTGCACATCCAAAAGAACCTCGAGGACTACGAAAGCTTTGTCGCCGACGAGCTCGAGAAGGAGCTAGTCCCTGAGGAGGTGCCCCAGGAAGAGGATGAGGACGAAGAGCTCTGAGCTCGGACACGTCCAGAAGTATAAGGAAGCTTCGTTTTTTACATTCATCCTTGTGAATAAGGCATTAGCGCTTGTGGATATCAGGCTTTGGGTATATTGGAGTTTGGATCCTTGTTTGGTCGTTTCTGGCTACGATACGATACCTTACTGCATGAGTTTGCACACGAATTGATGAGGGCTGGGTGGATGTAGATATTGATACCGCTGTTTGTCTATGGTTAGGTTTTTGCGCTTTGGGGATCGAATGATACATCTTTCAACCGTTCAATGCATGAAAAAAAGGCGGGAGTTCTGGCCACTGCTGTTTGTGAGTCTACCCTCGCCCTCTTATTTCGCCCCTGCGTGGAAAAGTGCTATGGAGTGCCGTCTCATACTGTTCACTGGCAACGAGTTGCAGCCCGAATCTGTGCTCACCTACCATTTACTCCCCCAACACATGTTCCTCTCCTCCTGCTGTTCTAACTTGTCAAGCCCGGTCAGCATATTTATAGCATGCATTTTGCGTTGGCATCCAAGAACACGACGGCGCCGGCAAAGCTAATCACAACCGACTATTATTCACAGTTCCTAAAGGTTTACAATTAGACCAGATCGAGAACACAAAGCTCCGGGCGCTGGGCTGACAGGTCCGCGATGGTATACTCTTCCGTGTGGCCGAACCCTCTTGCTGTCTGGTACTGAACGGGCGGGCCCTCCGCAGCCGAGGTGCGATCGAAGATGGAGCTCGGGAACAGCCAGAACCCAAACACGGTGGGTATGTCTTCCTCCTCCCGCTGATCCCCGCCGTCGCTGCCGTCGCTGCCGTCGCCGTCCCCAGCGCCGCCCGCCCTCGGCTTGTCCACAAAGTCCTTCCACGTCTTGATGTTGCGCTTGGCGCGGCGCCGGCGCACCAGCACGTCGCGGTCCTCGAGCGAGCACGCCTCGTCCTCGGACGTCACCTCGCCGCTGACGAACATGTCCTCGTGGCGCAGCAGGGCGCGCTGCAGGCGGCGGTCGATCTCGCGGCGGCTGTGGCAGGCCAGGTCGGCCGCGACGACGAAGCGCACGTCGAGCGGGTCGCGGCGCGCGATGCCCAGGTACGCCTCGAGGCGGGCCCAGCGGCGCAGGTGCGCGGCCGGGCTGGGCGGGCACGGCACGTGGGCCAGGTCGCCGTCGATGGGCCGCGGGTCGCGCGCCAGCCGCTCGAACCCGCTCGCGTCCGCCTTGATCGGCAGCGAGTGGTTGAAGTAGCCCCACGGCCGCGCCCGCCCGCACGCCGGCATGATGCGGTGGTCGACGGGCAGCTTGAGCCACAGGCTGCGCAGCCCGGCCAGCGTCGCCGCCAGCGACTCGCGCGCCGCCGTCGTCAGCTTGTTGAGCACGTACGTCACGGGCCGCGCCTCGCGGTAGTACAGCATCAGGTTCAGCGCGCCGGCGCCGCGCGGGTCGAAGGCCTTGACGTCGTGCAGCAGGTCGACCAGGTGCTGGACGTCGGCCACGTCCGTGTCGAGGAAGTCGTGCTCCGGGTTGAGGTACAGCGGCCAGACCCGGGCGGCCTCGGGCTCGCGCAGCAGGCCGCCACTGCCGTGCTGGTCCTCGCGGAAGAAGGGCAGGCGCACGCGGTAGAAGACCAGGGCGGCGTCACGAGATTCGCGGTTGACGCGCAGCAGGGCCGGCCGCGGCAGGCTGTCGGCGTACAGCGAGTACATGTTGCCGCTCACGACGTGGCCCAGCTCGTTGCGGGTCGAGTACCGCTCCGGTTGCTTCTCCCAGCTCGGCCGCCAGCCCGCCCAGGCCCGGATCGTGATGATACGGCTTCGCTGCAGCGCCGCCTCCCACACCTTGAGGCGCAGCTCCGCTGGCAGGTCCGGAAACCGCGGGAAGCTGCTGGTTGAGGCCGGGCGGAACCCATCGTACGTCTCGTTGAAGACGGGGCGCGCCTTGTAGGATGATGAGGATGCTGCCGCTGCCATGGCCTCAGGTATCCCGCAATGGGGAAGGATGCCGGAGGGGGAGGTACTCTTCTAGAAGTTCCGTACAAATCAGAATAGACGGGTTTCTAGGGACAGGGAAGATATTTCTATTCCATGCGGGAAAAGACTACACGGGCATAATGGATTGAGACAGTGCCTGAGTAAGCTGCTAGACTCTCTAAGTGAAACCATCACACACAGTAGATGGGATGCGAGACGCGTATATCTTGGTATGCTGAACCTGCAGCAACTAGCCGAGTGTCGAACAAAAAGCAAGCAAGCAAGCTGTTATACGCAGGCGGTCCTGGGCCCTAACATGGTTTGTGTCCAGGTTGGACGGCAATCTGCAACGGAGGTGAGAAGCTTTGCTGACGAGGCGAGGCGATGTGTTCGTCATCGCCAAAAGCCGAGCTGCACCTGTCGCCAAGAAGCGCATCGTCACATGTCGTGAGTTTCCTACTGGAAAGCCTACCGTGTGTATGTTGTGCGCAGCGTTGAGTCAGGTCAGACATGCATATACTCTAGGCAAGTCTATGTATGTGCCTAACCTAGGCTGTTGAATCTGTCAGCCGCAGGGGAACTATACGCGGGAGTTCCCCCCTCTGCCATTGATGTGACCCCGCGGCCCCAACTGGAGCTACGTACTGGTTGGCCCCTTTAGTGAAGGTCCCCACTGTAGTCTAACTGGCGTCCGCCCCGCAGCTGGGATCCCCCCCACTATGGCACATGTAGATCGGGCATCATAAGTCGCAGTAGTGGCTCCAAGGTTGCAAATGCCACGAGCCGCCAGCTTTATTCCCACTTTACGAAGGCATGTTGTATGCCAGTCGCAACCTTACCTGACGGAACCGCGACCGTGCCTCACTCACTCGTTCCCTCCCGCTCACTCACTCACGATCTGCGACCTGCAAGGGGCGTCCGCTCTGGCCTCGCTCCCTCCCGTTTCTCGCTCCCCGCCCACCCGACCTCTACCTGTCCGCACTCGGGAAGACGCAGCACACGGAACAAAAATGGCGACGCCCTCCGCGACCGCGACCGTAACAGCGACGACGACCGCCACAGGCAAGCCGGCCTTCGAGTTCCCGCGCGAGTACCACTTCCCGCCCTTCTTCACGCGGCAGGTCAACAGCACGACGCGCCACAGCCAGCTGGAGAAGTGGTCGTCGCTGATCCTGGCCTACTGCGCGCACCACCGGCTGTTCCGGCTGTCGCTCAGCGGCAGCAGCAGCGGCGCCACCGAGGAGCTGTTCCACAACCGCGCCCTGGGCCGCCGCCTGGGCCTGGCCGACGCCCGCGAGGTCCTCGAGTTCATGCGCCGCGAGGGCCGCGCCGAGTGGGTGTCCGGCGGCAGCGGCGGTAGCGGCGGCGGTGACGGTGCGGGCGACGGAGGCGGCGATGTCGTCTGGGTGTACTGGAAGACGCCCGAGGAGTGGGCGCGCGAGCTCGAGGGCTGGGTCGACGCCACGGGCCAGAAGAACGCCGTGCTGACGCTGTACGAGCTGACCGAGGGCGAGACGACGTTGGGCACGGGTAAGTTGTTTCACGGGCCCCTACTATTACTTCCCTGGGGGATTTTCGTGGTAAGCCTTACGGTGCCGGTGCTAATCGGAAGGTATAGAGTTCCATGGCCTGGACCCGGACCTGTTACAAAAGGCGCTGCAGGTCCTCGTCAAGCGAGGCAAGGCGCAGGTATTCGGACAGGAGGACCAACGGGGTGTCAAGTTCTTCTGATCTCATGCATGCGTGCAAAGAAGGGATCGGTAATGGATTTAATCAGTGCAAAGCTAATCGCAAAGTCATGCTATGCTACGCTCAACAAGGACCACATGACGCCCCCTTCAGCCCGGCTGCTGCTCTACGAGGGCACACCGACATACCACCTAACGCCACGCTCCACGCTCGACTAAATGGCAAAGACCGGCAGGCTCGGCAAGTGATGCTAGCTAGTCTAGCTGAAGAAATTCGTCACCAGGTATTTCTTGTCGAAGCTCACTTGCTGCTTCATTACGACATCAAGCAACCAGTCCGATGCAACCACCCTGGGCTCCATGTTACCCTGGCGCGCCATGGCCTCAAACCGTGGCCACAACTTCTTCTCTTCCGGGCTGGCGGTGCTGAGGAGGTATACTGGTTCCGGGGCACCCTCATCCTCCTCCGGCTTGGTTGGCTTGATCGTTGTCCCGCTCCTTGCTGCGTACACCAGGAAAATAGCTCCGTTGGCGTCGGCAATGGCCTTGTAGCTGTCGGTGCCATTCTTTATACACGATGTACAGTAGATGGGCACGTTCCACAGCAACCTGCCCTTGTTCTTGGCTGCCCGGTCCACCGAGTTCTGGAGCTTGAAATCAAACTTCTTCTCGTTGGCCTTATCATGGAGGAGGTAGTCTTCTGGTGGTGGAACCTTGCCCGAGTCCAGGCATTTCTCGATCCAATCCGATGACAGCACTGTAGCACCCTTGGACAGATTGCGAAGAAACTTGACAGTGCGTACTACATGAGGCGCCACCAAGAAATCGCATGGCTGGCCGTCCGTCACCACGGCGATGCCGAGGTCTCGCAACTTTTTCTGTAGAGAATGATTAGCAGGTCGCTCCGACGACGACAAGACCCGTCCATGCAGGCACTTACCCGGTCGGCATCCTCCTTGTACTTGTCGTTTACCCATCTCTTGAACCCTGTGAGAACCACTCTCATTTCAATCTCAGGCAAGGTTGGTCGTGCCTTCTTGGCCGCCCGCTTTTTGGCCGCCCCTTCGTCGTCGTCTTCGTCGGCTGGGCTGGACGCACTCCGGCGGTTCAGGTTTTCCCGATCGATGTGGTCGGCAGCGCGCTTCCCACCCCATAGCCCCGGGCCGTCCTTGGCTCCCCGCTTCTTCTCCTTCTCGTATAGAGCAATGTCAGGTGCCAGATCCGATAAGCGTTTCTGTGCCTTATCCTTGGCGCTGCGGCTCCCGGTCGACACCGTCGATGGTGTCTCGTTCTCTTTCCCGGAGCGCACGTGGCGGCCTCGCGCCGGAGTTGCGACCTGGGTGGCTCGTCGTTTTGCGGGCGCCGGTACTCCAAACTCTTCCGTAGTCTTTGTGGCGTAGTCGGCATCCGTATCCTTCATCACATCAAAGTCCTTGCGCGCCTGGCGGCCGATTGCTACACCCTCGGCCGGACCGTCCGAGTAGGCGTTCTCGTTTGCCATGTCGAGCATCTTGCGCTTCCTTGACGCGGCCGGCGTGAGCTTCTCTGGGCCGCCCGGGTAGTACATGTTGCGAAGCTTAGACTCGTCAAAGAAGGTCTGGCCTATAACCTCGCCAAGATTTGTCCTTGCTGGAAAGTGGGTGTATTTTGAAACTGTCAGACTCTGCATTTCGCACTTGGCATAACTCTCCTCGATCCAGAGGTGATTGACCATGTGGATGTTCCAGTCCCGGGCGGCCTCGCACTTCTCGCTGTTGTCTCTCGCCGTGATAAGATGGGTGTTGTCCGCCTTCATTGTCTTGGTGTAGGTGGCACCGGCGGCGGTGATCAAGTTCTCGAGGTAAATCCGGGCCTCACCGCCGTAGTTGGAGACGGTGATCTTCTGGTCCTTGAACCCGGGGATCCCATCCCTGGGTACAGGGTAGTGCAACAGACGGCGCATGGGGGATGTCCACTCGTTCTGGGTGATCAGGTGGTACAGCCACGAAAGGTTCCCGACGTTCTTGCCCGCATGGCAGGCGCGAATGTATTGATCTCCATCGCGGTATTGACAGATGAAGAAATCGCAGTCGTCGACGGATTCGGTCAGCTGGCCGCCGCCGTCCTGGATGAGGTCTTGCACAATTTCCCTCAGGCGTGCCGTGATGGACAGGTCCCAGGACAGCATGACTTTCTTGTGATCAAAGACGGTCAGCGTGGGACGCACGCCTGTCATGGAGTCGGCCGGGGTTGGAAGATACTGCGGGCGGGCCGAGGTCGCACCCTCCAGGTGTTGGCTTGCAGGCACTGGCACATCATCCTCGGGGCGCGCACGCAATATCTCGGCGTCTGGCAGAAGGTACGGGCCTTCGTCGATCCTCTTTCCTAGTCGGAAGCAGTCGTCGAACCTGCAGCTATGTCAGCGCGCTACCTCAATGCACAGTCGGGGGTGGGATGCTGTGCCTACCAGTGTGGCAAGACGATCTTGGCCTTGAGCTTCTTCTCGAGGGCTATCTGGCACTTTGGGTGGTCCAAAGACAAGGCGCAGATGTGGGTGACGAGCTTGGTGATGTTTTCCGAGTCCACGCCGCCCATGGCCATGGTGGCGCCGATGATGGACTCCTTGTCGGTTGGCGGGACGTCGGCGACGGAGAGAACGACCTCGCTGAAGAATAGGCGGGGGTCTGGGGAGTAGGGCCGTATCTGGGCCTGCTTGTTCCGGGTGAGGGAGGCGGATACCCACGAGGACTTGACGACGGGAATCATCATGGCCGACGCGTCGCCGTACTGTGGGAAGTCGATGGTGTTGGCGATGATATGGGTGACCTTCTCGAGGGACAGGGACTTGTCGCGTTTCTGCTCGACGACCTGGCCGCCGAAGTTGACGACATTCTTGGAGAGCTGGGCGGAAGAAAGCGCGTCAGCTTCTGGTAGAGGGATATACTACAGGTTGGAGTGGGAGTGGGAGTGGGAGTGGGATAGAATAGAGTAGGGTAGAGTAGAGTAGAGCAAGCAATGCGCGCGCAAGTACCTCGTCAATAAGAGTGTCCTGCAAGTCTCGACTCGGGACAAAGGTAAAAACGCACGAGCTGAACAATTGCCCGCCCGCGTCGTCCTGGTACGCCATGGCTGGGTTTGAGGCCGGGATGGAATGTCGTGGGCTGGTGCTGCTACTGCTGCCGCTGCTGCTGGGTGAGATGGGCGACCAACAGAAGCATCGGCGGTGCTCGACGACCGTGTAGATGCGACGATATAACAAGAGCGAATAGCGACCGACCGACCGACCGACGTGGATCCGCTGTTTCTCGTCCACCTCTGCCGTTGCCTGGGCAGGAGAGCTCGTGACTGGTATGGAAGTGCTATGGATGAGCAGTTCCCAGTCCTACTAGGTAGGCAATCATGCGGGCGGCAAGGGACGAATTGTTTTCACGCCAGCCAAGCCCCAAGTCGCGTCTGGGACGGGACCAATTGGCGCACCACTCAACGCGAACTCGAGGGCGCGGCCACGTGACAGACGAGTTAACGTAGCTGGGTACCCAGGTACTTCATTAGGCAGTTTCCTTGGCGGCCCACAATCCTGTGCTTGATTGCATATATGACTTCTCTCGCCCTTGGAATGGCTTCACCTCCGCCAGGCCCCCAACCCGTTCTCCCCCCGGCAGCACTAGTGGAAGCGTGGCGTGTGAACGTCTCCACTGAATCTGCACCATAGCTTGAACTCGACCTCGGCCGCTTTAGCTGTCCGTCCGTCCAGCCGTCTCGAGCGACCATGGTTCATAACACACCCTAGATTGCCAGGCACCTTCCTGCCTGCCTGCGTGTACTCGTAGTTCACGGAGGCACGATGACGAGGCAATTGCGACCATGCAAGCCGATGGATAAGTCAGCTGCGAGCAGGATCAGGCGTCTGTCTGCCTCTCGTGGGGATCCAGAGTCCACTCTGCGCCGTGTTCAGACATCAACTAGGTCGTGCTCGGATTCCATGGGCAATTGCTCCGTGAACAGTCGAGTTGAGAAATACAGAAACAGTATCTTGTGGCAAAGATGACCAGTTCTTGGATTTAGGGCTGGGCATGGGCAGTTCCAAACTACCCAAGTTACCGGGAGCTATACTCGCCCATGCAAAGGACTATACAGGTCTTGGCTGGCTTGGCGTGGCTCTTCGTCCGCCCTCGCGTTGCAGTCATGAAGCCAACCCGATCCCTCACCTGTGATGGGAAACTCAATTGGGTAAAGTGCCGGTGTAACATGGCGGGCATAAGCAGGGTCTTGTCGATCCTCACACGAATTGCTCCATCACGATGCGCCTTGCCCTGCTTGCACGGCCATTCGACGGGAATAGGTTTCCTCGACTCCAGTTTTTCCTCAACCACGGCCTGGCCCGGCCGCTCACACAACCCCCTCTTCCCGGTCGCCCACTTCACTAAAACCCATTTTCAGGCCCTGGCAACAATTGCGGCCTTCTCAGCAGTCTCTTTTTATTCTCATCCAGTTTTCGAAAGGATCCACTTGAGGGACAAGGGTGTAAGGTCAACAAGCACTTGTACCTCGCCATCTGCCCAAGTACCGGACCCTCTCCAGAACCTGCTTATGCCTGCCTTGTGCATGCATAAATAGACGTGAATTATGATCGTATGCACGTTGCGTGTAGACTGTTATATGCTTGGGGAAGGTAGTGTACTCGATGCTGTCTTCAATCTATATCCCGTCCATCGTGTCCACGAGGTTTGCGTGCAGCGGCCTCTGTATTCCCCCGTCCCTATCAGGGTCTTGGTCTCAATATCAACCTCGAAGCCCCTCATAGAGCTACTCAAACTCTGTTAAGGTCTATCAATTGCTTCTTCGTGTTTCCATTTTACTTCAGGGGCCAACTTATGGTCAATGTATTTTAGAGACATGAAATTGAATATACGTAGCTATGAAATACTTCTTACTCCTTCTTCTTCTTCTTCTTCTTCTTCTCACACACTAAATCCCCCTAACGACCTGAAATACATGAAATCCATAAAAGACACGGAAGACAAAACTAATCAGCAAATAGCTAACAGATACCATTCCCGCAATTCTTGGTAACGTAGTTGAAGGTCAGCTCGCCCTTATTCACGTCGTTGGTCTTGGGGAAGTCAATCGGCACGCTGCCGCAGATGGTGCAGCCGTGTTCGGGGATGTACTTGGCGATCTTGCGGATGTCGCCGCCCGAGAGGCCGTTGGGCGTCTTCTGCAGGAACGCGCAGATCGACGACCGCCCGTAGCACGCGATCTGCTCGCCGTTCTTGTAGATGCGGTCCGAGTTGATGGCCACCGGCTGGTACCCCTCGGCCTCGATGCCCTGGATCCAGTCCGCCAGCACCTTGGCCTCGTGGCCGGTTGCCGCCCCGTTGAAGAACTGGCTGCATATCGCGCTGCCGCGGCAGTTGATCCCCAGCGCCTGAGCAGGGGAGGGCAGGGCCGTCAGGAGGAGGAGTGCGAGCGCACTGGGCGAGAAGGCCGTTGCGAGCATGGTTTGCGAGATGTCGTGACTGCAAAGGATGGTTAGGCAGGAACGACAGCGGGGATATAGGCAATACTTACACTGCAAATTGTGTTACTGCTCTGACTGTGAGAATTGCGGGACTTGGGATATTTTTCTCGTCTGTTTCTGGATGTACTAACTGATGAATGTTGAATTAAGTAGAGTGTGATTTGTTAAATTTATACTCATTTCTGCTGAGAGCCGCAATCATGTGGTGTGGCTATGGTAGATTAGCAAAAAAAAAAAACCTGGGTATGTTGCGTCTTCCCGTCAAACTGCATAGCCCCAAAAGTAGGCGGAACAACAACAGAATATGACCTCAGCAGCATAAATCCTATCAATTGCCAAGACTATATTTGGATTTTAGGCTTCTACAGTTTCGAAACCAATGATCTGGATGGAAATGAGGTCAAAGACTTGGAATGGTGACTAGTGGCGCGGCTGAAAGCGTCTCGCTTCTGAAAAGTGGTGGTGGCTAATAAGAAGCCACCGTCGTATGTCCCCGGCCGAAGGAGCCGTATAACCCGTATGGCCCCTCAAAGGATTGAGTTCGAACCACCCTGCAAGCGTTACATGGTTCTTATCTTAAACGCAACTAGAATTAGTAGCAGGTTATAGGCGAGAGATATCACAGGGGGCCAAAGGAGGATAAGGCTCAACGCCATGGAGCGAGGCTGTACAATCATGAGGAGGGAAAGAATTCACGTCAACTGCTAAAATTAAATATCCGACGAGGCTTCATTCCAAGTCTGATAGACATTATATTTTTAGAAAGACTTTGAAGACCGTAGCTTGACGAGTTACGAATATTTAAATCTCTCAGTTCACCCACGACGACCAGGCAAAAAATATCAGATCAGTACCAGACTTACATCTTCCTATCCACATTATCTATTGCTTCCTATCCAAGTGCCGAATTCCTCGAGATAATTCACTCGAAAATCATCTTTGCAACAATGCATCTCCAACAAGTCACCTACATCTCGGCCATAGTCGCTCTCGGCCTTGTTTCCGTGTCCAATGGGCTCGGTATCAATTGCCGCGGCAGCAGCATGTGTAGCACCGGGGACGTCTTGACGGCGCAAAACCTCAGGAACAGCATCAACGGCCTCCCCGACGACAAGTACTTCAAATCAGGGGAGCACATCGCCTGCGACCCGGCCGGTCTCGCCAACCCGATCCCGTGGGCTCCAAGGATTGGGGGCAGCATCTGCGCCTTCGTCCAAAATAAAGACGGTCTCAATGGGAAGGAGCTGAAGAGACTAGCCCAATTCATCGTAGACCACGGCTGTAAAATGTGCGGCAGTGTGCCGACCGACTTCCCGGATAAGAACGACGTCAAGAACGGCGAGCTTACCTTTAACTACGTCGCCAAACCTAAGTGCAGGGAGGGTCTTTGTTAAAGCTGGCCATTGTCATGAGTGGTCTCGGAAGGGTTTACCAAGTAGGCGTTTGAGAACTTGACAGTTTAAGAGGGTGTTACAATATCTCACGCAGTGTTTACATTGTTTTAAGGCTTTTATAGGTTGTTTTTTATGGAAATATATATACGAATCATGCAGAAGGCGATACAGGTGACTGCCTAAAGCGTGTCTAGTATAGCTAAAAGTAGCAGTAAACTCTTTAAATTCTGCCATCAAGCGCACAGTGCCTCAACTAGCAAGAACCCAGTGAGCCTGTCTCATGGCTGTATTTCGCCATGCAGTCATCTTTTGCTCAATTAGTAGGAAAGTTTGAATACTTTTTTTTTCTGTGAATGTGGAACATCTCGATGAAACATTAAAAAAGAATAACAGCTTGGTATGTGGTGTTTTATCACTATTTGTAGCAGTTGTTGTAGAAGAGTTGGAAATGAAAAGTTTGGTAGATTTCGGGACAATGGAATACTCGTAGGAACGGTATAGTATAACGAGGCGCATCCGGTAGAAGTGAAAGTCAGGCAAGTATGGGGGCCAGTGTTGGGAGAATACTATTAAGGTACGCTTGGGAGCATTCCATCATTCGAGACGACCTGTTTTACACAAGGCAGTGGTCACAAGGCATGGTGCCACATATATGGTATTGAATATGCCATGTAGGCACGAAGAAGGTCTGTTTATGCGTGCATAAGGGGGCGTAAGCAGATCTAAAAATGGGTCCGGTACTTGAACATATGGTGGGGTACATACGATCAGCTTACGTCCCTGTGTAGGTGGACCCTTTCCGAAGACTGAAGAAGAATAAAACAAGGACGCTGGTTGTGCTAGCGGCTGTAACATACAGTACGGGTCTCAGTCATGTCAAGTGTGTTCGCTTTTGGCGCCATAGGCGGGGTGTTATGGGCCTGTGTCGCAACCTAGCATACTTGGGTACGACGCCAGATGCGGGCGACTTTTCCATCTGACCCCTCACTAGTATGTGGACTTCTTCTTCCATGTATCGATGCCAAGTCTTCGTATAGCTGTGCGGATAGAGAGTATACCTAGAACAGAGCAGAAATTGACGCCTGATATTCTTGAGATCTCCCTGCGTACAGAAAGTCAGACAGACCAGTTGCGATTCTCGGATTGGCACGGCCTTACTCCGGGCTCCGCAGCATCGACCCCGGGATTGGAGTGCGGTCGGGAGGAGGGTTCCTAGTTCCCGTACCTACGTCTCCGCTGCGGTGGCTAGCCCGTCCCGGCTTGATGTCAATGCTCACCAGCAGACGTTGTAATAGGTCTACCCAGACGGCTCGCTGCAACCCCTCACTGATCAACTTGTTCATTCATTCTCGGTTCCTCAGGAACTTGAACTCTGTATCAATACCTAGACATTAAAGTTCGACCGGCAGCTCTGGCTCACCCGTTGCTTTACATCTGCATCCATACAATCCAACGCAGCGCGGGTTTCTCCAACTAACCCTCTCTTCCCTTTTGTCACCGCGATGACCGCGGAAGACATAACCACTGCGGCGGAGCCGCCATCTGAAAAGCACGAAATGGCGGATCAATTCGACCAGGCTGGCCGGAAATCAGACGAGATCCAGGCCGTGACGACCATCGAGCCCGCGCTGGAAAAGCGTGTGGTACGTAAGATGGACATGCGCTTGATTCCGCTGGTCACGGCTCTTTGTGCGTTTGCTCCTTCTCCCGCAATGTGAGACGTGAACTGTGCTGACCAGCCGAGACAGATCTTGTGGCCTTTCTTGACCGCTCTAATATAGGCAATGCAGAGACTGCGGGCATGTCTGTAGACTTGGGTTTCGATGATGCCCATTACCAGGTGCGACCGGTGCCCCGAAACTCCGAGATGGGTCGGATACTGACTGCACCTATAGTGGCTATTGACCATATTCTATATCCCCTATAGTACGTATCATGCCAAGACCATCTCCACTGAAGTAGCAGGCACTTACGCACCGTTTAGTCGTATTCGAATGGCTGGCCCTGATGTGGAAACTGGTTCCTCCGTAGGCACCCTCGGCATTATCTAACGATATAGACTAGCGTCTGACTTACTTCATGTAGACACATCTGGGCATTCGCTTGCGTGCTCGTTTGGTGCGTGCTCTATCCCTTCGTTTACACCAAGTCACTAACACGAAACCCAGGGGCTTGGCGTCAACACTGCAGGCCACAGCCATCAACTGGCAGGGCCTGATGGTTTGCCGGTTCTTCCTGGCAGCGGCCGAGGCAGGCTACGGGCCGGGGATTCCCTACCTTCTCAGTTTCTTCTATAAGCGCCACGAGCTCGGCCTGCGATGCGGTATATTCGTCTCGGCGGCGCCGCTGGCCAGCACCTTTGCTGGGGCCTTGGCGTACGGCATCACATCGGGCCATCCCAGCATCGCCAACTGGAGGTTGCTGTTCCTCGTGGAGGGCATCCCCTCCGTCCTGCTGGCCTTTGCCGCCTTCTTCTTCATGCCGGATTCCCCGGACACGGCCCGGTTCCTCGACGAGAAGGAGAAGCAGGTGGCCCGCGTCCGTGCGATCCAGCAGACGGGCAGCGAGGGCTCAGCGCGGGTTGGGCATGTCAACTTCAAGGAGGTCTTCGCCGCCCTCGCCGACGTCAAGACCTGGATCACCCCGCTGATGTATTTCTCCTGCAACGTATCCTATAGCAGTCTGCCCGTCTTCCTGCCAACGATCCTCCAGAGCATGGGGTTCACCGCCATCAACGCGCAGGGCCTGAGCGCACCCCCGTACTTCCTCGCGTTCCTGATTTGCATCTTGACGACCTGGCTGGCCGACAAGACGCGGCAGCGCGGGTTCATGATTGCCGGGCTGTCCGTGATGGGCGGAATCGGCTATATCCTGCTGGCGACGGTCAAGAGTGTCGGCGTGCGCTACTTCGGCGTGTTCCTGGCCGCGGCCGGCGTGTTCCCGGCCACGGCGAACGTTTTGCCCTGGGCCATCAACAATCAGGGCAGTGACTCGAAGCGAGGGTCCGGCATCGCGCTGCTCAACATCATCGGCCAGTGCGGGCCGCTGCTGGGCACCCGCATGTTCCCGGCCGCGGACAAGCCGTATTATGTCACGGGCATGTCGGTCTGCGCTGCCTTCATGTTCTTCAACGCGCTCCTGGCCCTGGGGCTGCGCTGCCTGCTGGCGTGGGAGAACAGGAAGTTCGAGAAGAAGGATGCGGCTGAGAGAGCGGAAGGATTTGACCCGCGCAAGGGGGCCATTGGCAACGAAAACGAAGGGTACGGATTCAGGAACATCCTTTAGGAGCGTTGCAGCTGAGCGAGCCTGCCGACGTGAGATTCGGTGCGTAGCGGCAATGTCTCTCTGCGTCTAAGGATGTTTCAGGTCGTATATCCTTTGAGTCGTCCGATCTCTCGTCCACACAGTCAAAAGCGAGCATACTGAGCGAAACAAGCTAGACTGCTTTTGGTAGTGATAGAAGAAGAAAAAGGCCTACCTTCGGCTTGAGTGTCAAAGTTATGGCGCGTCCAAAGTGTCCTAGTGAGCCATGCAGCAGTCTGCATCATGTTGACTGCTGATTGACCTGAAAATGACCACCAAATCAAAGCTCAGACGGCCTTGATTGGATTGTACCGATGTTTTTAAAGCTGCCCTGAAATCCGCCCTGGAATCCCTAAGCCTGAAACTGAAACAAGATACCGCTAGGACCGTCAACCGCTCACGGTCAGAACATCTTCCGAGATATCGTTTTGCTCAGTTGTGCAATGGCTAGGGTGTCGGCTAATTCAATTAGCCGGCTTCGTAGATCATTCAGAGGGACGAAATCGCATTCCTGTCCAATGACTTGAGACCTATACACCCCACGCATGCGACCTGTTGAATCAAGCTTTGATAGACTTGGTAGTTCATGTTGTTTAGTATTGTAGGTGCCGTTATGTAGATAACTTACCTCGGGTTCGGTATAGAGAAATGGATAGGTTCACACGGGAACTCAGGAACCCAAGGGCAATCACCGAGCATATCGCCCCTTCAATGGCCATGTTGGTAGCGCCATCTTTCCTAGACCATGGAAACGGCAACAGAGCAAGATTAATGGAGGATGAACGCAGTGTCTTGAGTGCCTGATCCATGCTGACGACGTTACGGCGCCAAGGAATTGCTCTCCTCGAGTTGTGGGTTCTTGCGGCGATTCATCCAATGTACTAGATCCGCCTGATGCTTCCTGGTAAGGTTGCGACTGGATAGGTTCATATATGATGGGAACTGTTGGTAGTTTGTGAGGTCTCACCCTTCCAAGGCAAGACCGGCGTCTTCGTGTCGCTGATTCTGCCGCAAATGTTTTCTTCGTCCAGTGTGATCTAGGTGTCGATCTCGAATGAAATGTTATCAAATCAATAGGAAGAAATTTCCGCCGCGCCGCCTCAGAAACGGTTCAATCGTGATTCAATTCAAATACGGTGGTCTCAGGTAATGTGCGGCCTTGTGTGATTGGCTACCAAATATCGAAGTCGCGATTGGAAGTGTTCTACCAGAGAAGTTGCAGTAAACAGGCCGAGTTGAAGAATGATGTGAGCATTAACTGTGCCATCCCATCGCATGCATAAACGACAAGGACAGGCCAATGAGCAGGTCGTTGACCCTGCACAGCCTCATAAATAACAAACCGACTTTCGCGTAAGCGCAGTCAGATACTTGCAGACTGTAATACGGGTGAACCTCGTGTTCTACGAGTATATGTCTACAAAAACGGGAAGAAGGGACGTGCCGTTCTGACATCATCCGAATCGTAGGGCGGTCAGAACACAGAAACGAGCCCTCGTGTTTGCGGAGCTTGAAAGAGTGTTGCGTAAAACTGAGGCCATCGTGACCGACAGATCGGCGGACGTTCTTTTAGCACTTTAAGTTAGCGGATGAGGTTAATTTTAGAGTAGTGGATCGTGACTCTGGGAGATGAACCGACGCGTAATGGCAGCAGTTGTCAGGCGTGCGCATCAACAGGCACGAGAGGGCTCCGTGCAACCCAAATAGTTTGTTCAGACGTCCTCTCAGGACATTGGGAGGGTCCGTTTAGTCATTAGCGACGAGGGACGTTTGCCAGGGTCTTTTTACGGGTAGTCGTTGACCAAGAACCCGGAGACGGCTGATGCAGTCTCAATCGACGATGCTCAACTCGGATGCATGCATAAAGCAACAAAGTATAGCACGATCAGCCCCAGAACTGGAATGCAGGAGCGAATGTTCTAAAGCCACTCGTGAAGGACTGGGCTGGTCAGCCGGCACGGGAGTCCAATCAGCTGGCTCTGTGGAGGGCCAATGGGCGGGCGACGGGCTGGACGAGGGGGACAGAAATAGCACTGCCACGCTAAAATTGGCAAATACGAATTCTTGGTAAATGGCCAGTCTCTCGGTGGTTAGGCCTGCCGCTCGTCCCCCAACCTAAGACACCTGGACGTCCCGACAGGCAGTCGGCAGACCGAGGGGGGCAAATGACTCAACGAGCAGGCGGGCGCAGTCGAACAACAACGTTTCATGGCATTGCGCTGCAAAGTGCTCTCTGGAGGGAGGCGTCTCGCCTGGCCGAGCATGGTGCCGGCCCTGGCCGCTTGACTGGTCGCCAGCGTGCTGCTTTTGGCAACTCGGCCAAGGCTGGGGGGCGCTGCTCCAAAGGTTGTGGCCAGTCGAGTCAGGCGATTTGTAGACAGTTTCGCTGGGCTCTGTTTCAACCCCTGTCGGCCAGGCTAGCAATGGCGCACGGCTCACGGCAGCGAGCTGCAGCGGGACAATTGCACAATCTGGTGCATGCCAGATCGAAGCTGTGGAAGCTTGGCAGTGCTCTCTGCGACATCTGTTTGGTCTGTCGAGTGCGCGACTAACGTTTGGAACTAACTACGACAGCGAGCGGGAGGTCGAGGGTACCATGCTGCGTACTCCGTACTCCGTGAAAGAAATCGGTGGGGGTAGCTGGGCCAGGTCCACCGAGTCGCAAATGCCAAATGCTTGTTCTCGCCGACCAGAGCACTTGATGGTGCCTGCGTGGGTAGGTAATGAACAGCAGGTGACTGACAGGTGGGTGTAGTGCTGGGTCACTGGTAAGTTAGTGGTAGGGCAGCACAAGCCTGTCCTGCCTGTCTATCCCCGACGTGGAGGGAGAGTAGCACCGGGTCATACGCCTGATCTGATATATGTGGGCTAATGATCGAAGGCCTTTGACGAGATGAACTCGCTCAAGTGGCCTCCAGCTTGTTTGGAACCCCTATTCGGCACGTCAGAGGGCGCCGTTGATTGGCGGAGGAGCGCATAGATGGAGACTGCGGTCCTAGGCTACCCAGGCTACCCAGGCGACGGAAGAGGCAAACCAGGGGTCCTTTTCCTGTCCCGCCGTTTGCTAGCCTGGCCCAATCCGGTGTGCGTGACGGATCATAATTCTCTCGGTCGCTCTCTGGCCTCCCTCCCTCGGCGCCTGTCGTGAACCGCGGTGTAACTTGCCGAGCAGCCAAAGGGTCCGCAATGGACAGCGAACGAGCACCGCATGAAATGGGCTGCAGAAGTTGCAGATGGTAGATGGCAGATGGCACATGCAGGCGCCAGCCATCCTCATCAATGTGCAAGCCCAGTTTCTCTCCCTTTCTACTGTGTAAAACTTGCGTTCGGCATGGCATTCCCGGGTCTGGCAGGCCGGCTCCCAAGTGGAAGCCGTCTGGAATTCCCGGCACAGGTCGATCGATGACTTCACACGACCAGCCGCTGGGCCGCTGGCGAAACCCGCGCAAGTGCGATACAACGTCGCTTCTCGGGCAAAGCGCGACCAAGTCTGGCACTTTTAGGATCTGTCGTAAGGATCCGGTGCGACAGGGGGTCATCACGAGCTGTTATGTCAGGCACAGACGGCGGGCCCCAGGCATGCCCAGGGCACCCCCCTGGTCGCCGGCGCAGGCTGAAATAAGCAGTGCCACACCCCTAGAGCGCTTCTGGCAAGGTCGGACGCGCCGTCGAGGAGATTGTTCAATGGACCCTACCCACAGGGCGACATGTAGTACCAGACAACCCAGCGTTGCCAGCGTCCAGCAGTCGGCCCTCATGGAGCCGTATGGGATCCGAGGGTGAATTAAAACCGCCGCCGTGCCCCCAGAAACCTGGAGACGCCTCCGACTTGCTCCCTCAACACATTCGTTCATCACCATCCAACAGGCGCGTGCTTCAGCTCCCTGTTTTTCTTTTTCTGCCCCTTAGTGTCTCTCGTTAACACACTATTCTGCGTCTCCCACGTACAAAACACGCGGTCCTTGCCAACTGTCCATACAACCGCCTTCTCGCGCCTTCTTCGCGTATTACTATTATAAATTATCTCTTAATCTTCCCAACCCGTCTCCTCTACCACTTGACCGTCCAGATCCTCCACAACAGCCAACATGTACTCCAAGATCCTCTCCTCGGCCGCCGTGGCCCTGGCCGCCTCCCAGCTGGTCTCTGCCCAGACCTTCACCAAGTGCAACCCCATGGAGAAGAGTAAGCCTCCCGTCTCGTCAGCGAGTTCCGCGCCGCTAACATTCGCCTCCAGAGTGCCCTGATGACCCGGCTCTGGGTACCAGCATCTCCATTGACTTCACCAAGGGCAACAACGACTTCTTCGAGGAGCTCGATGGCACCGACCTCACCTACGACAACAGCCTCGGCGCCGTCTACACCATCGAGAAGGAGTCCAACGCCCCTACCGTCCAGAGCACCAAGTACATCTTCTTCGGCAAGGTCGACGTGACTCTGCGCGCCTCCGTCGGACAGGGTGTCGTCACCAGCTTCGTCCTCCAGTCGGATGACCTCGACGAGATCGACTGGGAGTGGCTCGGCGGTGACGTTACCCAGGTCCAGACCAACTACTTCGGCAAGGGTGACACGACCACCTACGACCGTGGTGCCTACCACAACGTCAACAACCCCCAGGACGAGTTCCACACCTACACCATCGACTGGACCCAGGAGTACGTCAAGTGGTACATCGATGGCAGCCTGGTCCGCACTCTGAACTACGCCGACGCCAAGGAGGGTACTCGCTTCCCCCAGACCCCCATGCAGATCAAGCTCGGTACCTGGGTCGCTGGTGGCAAGGACTCCCCCAAGGGCACCGTCGAGTGGGCTGGTGGCTACACCGACTTCAGCAAGGGTCCCTTCCACGCCTACTACAAGTCCATCACCATTGAGGACTACGCCAACGGTGTCCAGGGTGCCAAGTCCTACAGCTGGAACGAGGGCTCCGACGGTTCCTACGGCAGCATCAAGGTCATCACTGACGAGAAGGAGGTCACCACCTCTACCTCCTCCAGCTCTGACTCCAAGGCCACTGTCGTCTCTACCCTGAGCGACGGCTCCAAGACCACCCTGACCACTGCCAGCATCACCAGCGCCAAGGGTCTTACCCAGGCCACCAACGGTGCTGATGTCAACACCACCATCACCAGCCAGACTGCCTCCGAGACTATTGCTACTACCCTTCAGACCGGCAGCAGAACCACCAGCACCTCCAGCTCTTCTACCAGCGCCCCCGCCGGTAGCGGTGCTTTCAAGCAGGGTTTCAACTTCGCCCTGCTCGGTGCCTCTGCTTTCCTCGGCTTCCTCCTTCTGTAAGCCTGGTTTTGAAGTAGCATGAAACCATGTTTCACGGTGATCATGGGCCCAGGATTGAGACCAACGAACCGGAATTTTTTGCTTCTCGACGATCCTTAGCCTATTCAGCCAGCCTGAGTGCCTTTTACCCGGTGGATACAACTTTGCTACGGGCAGATCGGCGGGTCGGCTTTGAACAATACACTTGATTATAATTACGGTTCAACGGGTTACCTGGTGGTGATGTTAAGATACGTGTGACCAAGATGTTATCTGATGACTACATGCAGAGGAACGGAATGCATTCAATTGCGAAGAAAGGGCGTCATTTGGGCCTAATGGGCACGGGAGAGAATAAAGATGTTATAGTGGGTGAGGGAGCTTCATTGTCCTACAAGAGATACCATAGAGAATTATATTTCCAATATTGTTATCTTGTTGCTACATTTTGCTCTTCGACCTTTCATTACGCCATGTATCATTCGTCGCGATTCAGCAGCATCCGCGCGCGTCGTAGCGATCTTCCCCATGTCGCAACCGTTGCGCTTCTGACTAGATATTTCATCATATTCTGTAATAACCTTGTACATACGTCTAGGTACTAAGTATCACGCTACCAGCATGGCGCTTACCGGCTGTTTGAAAGCTCTCGTAAGGCATGCGGAGGACGGCTTGCTAATTGTTATACTAATGCTTTTTTTGGCCGACCGGTAGATTCGAGCCAAATGGTAAAGGACCAAGGCAGGATTTCCGCTTCATGCGCTCATTTCAGAGAGTTTGCTGTGCCGCCGGCGTGCCTGAGAACTCCACGATCCCGGGCGCTCTCGCTCTCTTGGCCCTCACCCTGCTCACTTGACCATTTTGCCCAGACAATGAAATAACACCGCGCGTTGTTGGTCTTGCCCAAAAAGTGCCCCCTGGCAATCTTGTGTCGCCGAGGCAGACATGGGAAATACCCAGAAACACCATTGCTTTCTAGCGGGGCTTGGCCCCCCTGATCGAAATGCCTCCCAATCTCCGCCCTATTGGCGCCGTGTATATCCCCTGCGTGCCGAAACTATCGCAAAAGTCCGAGGATTTGAGTTTCCATGGGACATGGGGCGACCCGTCTTTCCCGTGATTGCCCATCCACGCCCATCCACGCCCACTGACGTTTGAGTTTATGATGATTGACAGCGCTTGGGGGTTTGGTTCCGGGCTGGCGGCTCCTCCCCCCCCAAAAAGGATGGGACGATCTGGGTTTGGCGCACGCCCAAAAACGATCGATCGCCGGCCGGCCTGTAATTTGGTAGAGCCGCAAAGCCAAGCGCCGCGAGTGATGAGCGTTGTGAATTGCCCAAGTAGGCAATCATGGCTTTTTTTGGAGCCTCCTGAGAGTCCACTGCGGACTCCGAGAAAGTTGTGGGTTTGCGCAGACGATAGTTCCGTCCGACCAAGTGGGTAGTGTGATGGGTACCATAGTACGCTTGACTGCTTAGTTGCTTAATTTCTGCGGATGGCAACTTGGACGTCGGGCAGATAACGGACGGGTTCGGTCCGAACAGCGGGGGTATACTATGTAGAGTAGTAGTCAACGTTGAAAGTGGCGTATCAGAGATAATTTTCGCGCGGTGATCTGACGTCAGTCGTCCGTGTTAGTTAGACAATACTATACTGAAGTGGCTTGAGGTTGCTTCTGGCAACGACAACTGTAAGGTTTGGGCGGCCCTAAGGCACCCTTCTGAATAACCCTGAGCCACCAGGACTACTTTACTTCGCCATGAAATGGCATGACACGAATCTAACTACAGTTATCGAAAATAGTAACAATTGGCTGCACGTGCTGGCATATACTGTAGTGGTCACTATCTGGGGTCGGTGAAGTTTTACACTCAGAACATTATGGAGCTATGCGAGACATTCGGCTAACAGATGATGGTCGAGATGTCAGTCAATTCGGATCAAGTCGTCGTCTAAGCAGATGAGGCATTAGCGGCTTCTTTGCCTGCTCCAGCGAGAACACATCAAAATGATTATTCCGTCTTTCTCTTTGTTTAAATAAGTTGAGGCAATCCTTGTTTATAAGTTTCTCCTGGCAGTCAGTGCCAAGTTTGGATTGAGCTTCTTCTGAGGCAGATGAAATGTCATGGGCAAGAAAGAAATCCAGGCACACAAAGGCCAATGCACTGGATAAGTGGCAGGCGCCCGTCGCCGCTGCTTTCGTGGCTTGAGACAAGTCACTGAAGCGAGGAATCTGTTTGCCGAACATGGCTTTCTCAATCCGCCCTGGCCAGACCCAAGTCGTCGGCGGGCAGCCCCGATCCGCAAGTAACTTGTCTTCTGCTTCAAGATCGACATGGGACGCATGCAGAATTCTAGATACCAAGACTATGGGAAAGGGGCTGTTTACAGCCACAGACATACCTCGTGGTGGATACATCGTTACGGAGAGTCCTCTGATCTCCATAGCCACCCCTCAGAAACAGTCAAGGCTCAAGAATCAGCCAGTCAGGATATTCTTGAATTTCCTGTATGGTCCGGACCTGTCCAAGGAGAAATTCAATCAATTCATGAAGCTGTGCTGCAGTCAAGCGAGCCTGCAGCGGCTTCTACAGGACAAGGAGACTCAGGAGCGAGTGCGCATCTGGTGTAGAATGAACAGAAGGGGCATCAACCTCGCGAATGCGATGAGAGAAGCCAACAGAGCTCTAAGCATATGGATTACAAATAGGGCAATAACGTATACGTCCGACGCTGGGGAGCCAAGTGGCACTGCGGTTTATAATGCACTAAGCCGCATCAACCACTCATGCATTCCAAATGCACAATGGTCGTATATAAGCCATCAGCCCGGCCAGCAGCGAATAGCAGTCCGGGCTCTCCGGGAGATCACAAAGGGAGAGCAGGTGCTGATTAGCTATTTTGAGGTAGGGGACCTCTCAACAGACGAGAAGCAGTCCATATCTAGAGAGACTTGGGGGTTCACTTGCCGTTGCGAGGCGTGCACGGAAATGGAAGACTTGGTGAAGCTGTACACGGAAGACTAGCCTTATTGAAGTAGCTCTCAATTAATCCCTCAAGGTCTCGCATCCGAGTCGGTTCACTAATATCGATAATATCGCATGAAAATGTGCTCCGGCCGACTAGAAAAGCGTATCATTGTAAATAAAACCTCCAAGGAAAACGTTGTTCTGGTCACGCTTCAGTCGAGGATTTGAGACATTGACAAGTGAATTTCGTTTTCAGTGATCCGGACTCGGCAATTCTGATATGGCACAAAGCACACACAAAAACAACATCCGGTTGCGTAAAGATAGATCGCATTGTCCGGTCCTATATCCTATGCCGTACCGCCGTAATATTTTACGGATAGCTGTAGGTGGTCATTTTCCCTATTTGTCACACTTAGCTTCATTTAAACAAGATTGAGGCCCCAAGCCAAGATGTCGAGACCATGGACGCCGACGCCGCCAGCCAAGACACCCGCGAGGCTTGACCTCGTAACCCTGCCCATTGAAGATGGCCATGATTTGCCTACAGATGAGCAGCCAGAGGATGTGGACATGGTGGCAGAACTTGATCCCGGAAGCTATGAATTCCTAAACCATCGGGCGTTCGTAGCTAGTGATCATATTCGAAGGGCATTGCCATGGGTTCCTCAAAATGCCTGTTACCGAAACGCGGCGCTGTCTGCTATATTCAACACCGCGCCCTTTGTCAACTTCTTAAACCTGATTGCCGCCTTGAACGACCCGCAGAACGACATCACCGGGGTCTCAGCGCGCGGCAGCAACGTCATGTTCCAAGACTTGTGGAGGCTTCATCACGTATTTCGTGACTTGAGCCCGAGGTCTGACCCAGAGGTCCGTAATAGCCTTACGGGACCGATTATGAACCTTTGGCGCCAGCTCTGGAACCAGCGGCCAAGAGCACAGCCAGGCGGCGTGGGAACCTGGCAACAACGTATTGCAGCTCATGATGAAACCGCCATCTCTGATCCTGGAGAGTTTCTCTCATATTTACTAGACAGACTGTGTTTTGGGGAACTAGAGGAGGGCCAACTGACCCTTGGCGATGGCACGTACGTCTTCAAAGGCCTTTGGCAATGACGTTCTTGACACCTCATTGCACGCATGTTGATAGCTGACAATTGTTTTCAGGTTGCTAGAGTTAATTTTCAGGAGGCTCTTCCAGATTAAGTTGGTGGAAAGAACTGCTTTCACATGTTGCAACGTAAGAAAGCGTCGGTCACCGGCTATAGCCCTGCAGAATTGGTTTCTACAAGCGCCTTTTTTCAACGACGCTGGGTTACTCCGTCCTGATTTGGTTGACGTACTTTCAGTTTCGGTATTCAGTTCTGATAGCCTGATACTCGAAACGTGTCCTGACTGCAAGACGGAGGCTCGACACCCGCGATTTGCCAAGATGCGTTGGCTGCCAGAGGTCCTTATAATCAATTGCGAGTACCATGCTGGCCCCGATGGTCACCGCGAAATAGAGAACCAGACGACCTGCGACTATCCGGACTTCCTGGACTTCACTGCGGTTATAGATAATCCCAAGGAGGCTGCACCGCCAGTTGCTGATGGCCATGCTGACAACATCTATCGACTTGAATCGGTAATCACGGTGGGAAAGGGAGCACGTGCCGCCGTTGGACATTATATCGCTTACCTACGTCTGGAAACGGGCATGTGGGCTGAAGTCAACGACATTAGGCAGAGGCACCCGCGGATATGTCCAGAATTCACCAGCCAACAGCTGCGCGACCACCCTGAGACCCAGCATTACCGGCCTCGAAACCTAGTCTATGTGCGAAACCGGGAGTACACGAAGGCAGATATGGCCAAACTCAATGTCGGCACGCCGAAAAGCCCCCCTCCAACACCACCGAGACAAAAGCGCGAGACTTCCGAGGAAAGAGTACAAAGGGAGGCGCTAGAAGAGCAACAAAAGACCAAGGACATCGCCGAGCGGAAGAAGAAACAGGACCTTCTGGCCCGAAAGCAGAAGGAGAATGCAGAACTGAGAAAGAAGCAGGAAGAGGCGAAGAAACTGGCGGATGCACAGGACAGGGCAGATAGGCAGGCCAAGCAAGCCATTCTGATTGAACAGCAGGATGCAGCAATGAGAAAGAGGCAGCAAGAGGCAAAGAAACTGGCTGATGCACAGGCCAGGGCAGATAGGCAGGCCAAGCAAGCCCTTCTGATCGAACAGCAGAAGCAGGATGCAGCACTGAGAAAGAGACAAGATGCAGAACTGAGAAAGAGACAAGATGCAGAACTGAAAAAGAGACAGGATGCAGAACTGAGAAAGAGGCAGGATGCAGAACTGAGAAAGAGGCAGCAAGAGGCAAGGAAATTGGCAGATGCACAGGCCAGGGCAGATAGGCAGGCTAGACAGGCCCTTTTGGTCGAACAGCAGAGACAGCAAGCAGAGCTGGAGAGGAAGCAGGAGGCAAGAGCACATACAATCGCAAGAGACAAAGAGGCTCTCAGACAAGAGAGGAGACGGAGGGCTCGAGAAATGCTTAAAAAGGCGAAGGAGGCCAGGAAAGGCGATCAAGATGATGTGGCGAGCCACGGTGCCACACGCGGTCCATTCAGACCCAGAGTACAAGAGGCGCCCGTCCGCACACCTTTTGTTTATCCCCCAAGAGGCCGGAATCTCGCTTCCTTCATCCTCGGACCTAACGCACCCAAGGATCCTGCCAAAGGCGGCAAGTTCCCGCTGGTGTCACTCATCTTGACAGACCCCAAGGACCCGCGGATCGAGAAGGCAAAGACCTGGACCTTGTCCAAGTTCAAGCAGGTTTTCAGGTACGAGGGGCTGAGAAGCGCCTCATCCAGTGGGAAGAACACCCAGCCGTGGCTCCAGAGGTGGCTCTTGCACTTCAAGTACCCAAGGAACTACGACATCTACCTTCGTGAACACCTCGCGGAGATCGCGGAACACGAGGGCTTGGAGGCCCGGCGAGGAGGGCCCCTGAGGCGCGGCGCGGATAAGAGGCAACTGGTGTCGGCGTTCAAGGCCTGGGATCAGACCATGCTGATGCAGGCCGCCAAGAACATCGAGAAGGTGAGGGCGGCGATGGCACCGACGAAAGTCTCAGCAGGCATCTCAACTGCTGGTAAAACGACTCGTGACGGGAGGAAGAGGAATCGGGATGAGGACGTTGGCAACGCCGACGCGACAGTGCCTGACCCCAAGAGGCCAAAGAAAGTTCCTGACAGTACAACGGCAACAGCCCGACCGCGAACCAGGAAATACCCACAACGCCTGTTGAACTACTCCGAGCTGTTCCCCGATCCTGCAGCGTATCTCGCAGCATCCGAGGAGCAGAGAATCGTCATGGAGACAGCTAGGCGCAAGAAGATGTTGGATGACATCTGGGCAAACTACCGCGGACCCGCCGTAAGGGGCGTTCCCATGGCCAGGGCCTCGGGGACAAGAGGGCCAACAAGATTACGAGCGCCGGCGGCAACAACAACTGGAGCGCCGGCAACGCCGGGTGCAACACCTGCGCCGGCAGCAAACTCAGCACCGTCATTATCATCATCAGCAACGCCAGCATTTCCACCAACAGGAGCTCCATCATACCTACCAACAGCATCGCCATCAACACCAGGAGGAGCATCGCCTGCGCCTGCGCCCGAGGCCGAGCACTCGGCGGAGTTGGACTCAGCAGCCTACGAGGATGACGAGGATGACGAGGATGATAAGGATGATGAAGTTGGTGAGGATGATGAGGATGATGAAGATGATGGGGATGGGAGCGTGGAAGGTTCCGCGACGAACTAGAAGGAGACGAGCGCACCTAGGAAATAGGGAGGCGAAGTGAGGCGCGAGGGACAGGTGGGTAGTAGAAAGCTTTGTTTCCAGTCTTACACGGCAAGATTTCTTCTCTTCAGGATAGACACTGACACGAAGCAGGCGAGACAGCACATGCAGGATTTTGAGAAGCTTGGCGAGGATTTCTGACGCTCACTTGGATTTGCATTTGGCACCGTAATTGAGAGGAATTGTCTGGGCACACGATGGGACAGGATCTCCTTAATTTCCCACCTTTCGTCGTCATAGTTTTGCAGCGGAGAAATTCTTGCTATTGGTTTAGAGCAATTGATTTTCAATAATACGTACTGTCCGATGTAGCCACTGGGATGATGTAAGGTCGTGATGGTTGAGCTCCGCTAAAAGAAAAAGGGGCTCAGGGGCTAAGGATCCCGCACACTTGACCGCCATGCTACTATCACAGCAAACGATGGGCATGACAGACTGAACAAATAGCGGAAAACTTCAACCATGTTGGTGAATCCCAACCATCAACCCAGAATGACAGTATCAGGAGAGTAATGAGCGGCGTTACATGCAGCAGCGCAACGTCCACAAAGTGTTCCACAAGCAACTTTATTCTATATAGAAGTTTCTCTTATTATGTACACTTGGTAAAAGTGGGTATACACATGATGGTGATCTCGCCTCGACTCGTCCAAAGAGTTGCAAGTGCGACCTGATAACTTCAAACCTCCGGCATTTTCCCATTCTAAGTGAAAGCTCAGTTGTGTAGAAGGAACTCTCCAGATACCACTCCAGATCAGTGCCTGGCGATTGTCTGCCCAGTAACTCATTTATAGTCTTTCTTTCATCCGTGACCAGAGTGCACGTTCTGTCTTGGACCAAAAGCCCGCGCCATACCGGCCCAACACACCGTTTCCAGCCTGTCACACAGCTGTTGGTCGCGCATGGCTTTCGCAACCCGGCAAGCCTGTCTCCTCACACTCATTCGATCCCACGACCATACCGGTTGAGGTGCTTACGGGATCTTCTTGTTGAACGAGATGATCCACACAGCTGCAAAAGCGGCCGTAAAACCCATGGAGGATATCGAGAAGATCTTGGAAGTGCTCGCGGCCTCACTGTTGAGGATAAGCTGAGTGACGACAAAAAGATAGGCGGGAGCCCGCATCAAGCTGTAAACAGTCGCGCGGACACCCTCCTCGATCAAGCGAGCCTTCAAGGTCGAGATGCAGGGGTAGTACAGCCCAATCAACAGGCCAAACAGGCAGGACAGCCAGAAGGTGCCGCGTTCGGTCTTGGGCCTCGAAAGCTTGAAGAAGACGAAGTTGGATAGAACCAGAATGCCAGTCAGAAGTCGAGAGAACCTCAACTTCCTCCTAACCATGACTATGTTGAAGCTCAGGGATCCAACGAGGGCCGAAGCCATGATGCAAGCGAACACGTATGTAAGCGGAAGCTCCCTACTAGACTTGTGTACGGACTTCAGGACAGGGGCGGCAGAGAAGGCGAACAGCAGGGCGGAGCCTTCGAAGACAGTGATCGCGAGCGTCAGGGCCCACATGTAGGGGCGCTTGAAGACCTTAATAACACTAGGAGTGTTCTTAATCATCTCCCGGTCGTCGGTCGCTGAAGCACCGTAGACTTCTTTCTGTGACGATGTTAGCGATGGCTTTGAATTAGCAGAAGGTCTACACCTACGAATTTTGACCACAACGCTTGCATGGCTTGCCACATAACAAGCCAGCTGACGATAAAGGGGGCCTTGTTGGATCCCGTGGCCCAGACGAGGCGATCTCCGATGACAGAGCATGCCACGGCAGCGAAGGCGTTGATTACAGCCAATGTCCCGAAGGTTCGGTACAAATCGCAGCCCTGGTGGATCAGCTTCCGGGCAAAGAAGTCGAACACAATCCAGCTGTCCATGACACTGAACACGATGGCGGTGGCGAAGCCTCCAAGCACCCGACCGGCATAGAGCGCTGGAAGCTCGGGGATCATAGCAAGGCAGACCGAGGCTCCATAGCAGCCCGAGAATAGCACGTTGGTCGACTTGCGGCCATACTTGTCAGCGAGAGCACCAACGAACAAGGAGGAAAGTCCACTGGTGACCAGGCTCGTCAGGGTCAGGTAGTTAATCTGCCGGGAAGTGAGGTCGTAGTCTTGGCGGTACAGGTTGTTGAGGAATATCTCCTTTAGGGGCCGTGTCAGCTCTGGCGACGGCAGAGGGAGCGGAGGACGAGAGGACTTACATTGAACCAAGCCGAGATGGCAATGAAGAAGTAGACCTTGTAGATAGTGCCCTGTGGATGTCTGACGGCCTGGGGCGGAAGCTTGACGGTGGGATCCTTCTTGAGCACTCTCTCCTCCTGGGTGTTCAGCATGGACCGACGTGTGGGCTGGCTCACAAGCAGCACCCAGTTGAGAGCAGCGAGTCCCAGCAGGTTGTTCCGGTACGATACATCCATGGCGGCGGCGGGTGGAGGATGTGTTCCTGGGATTATAGGAGCGAGGTCGAAGAAAGTTCAGGATGGCGCAATTCCACGAGGCGGCTGCCGTGCCATGTCTATTAAATGGGCTCCTGGGCCAGCCGCTTCACATAGAGCGTCTCACATGGCGGAAAGGGATCTGTAGGACCACCTGTCGTTTCTGGCACAATTACCCGGGTCTGGTTGCGGTCGAGCACCACATGCTGCGACGACACATGTTGGAGATGGAGGGTAGGGGGCCGCAACATGCAGATTGATTGGGGACGTCGTCAGCCTCTCACCAGCGCGAACAAGGAGGCACGCTGGACGAGGGGCGATGGAATGGCCACGAGCATTGGGGATAACAAAGTGCCATTCTTGGCATTATAAGATAAGTCCAAAGTCGTCTCAATAGGGAAAGCCCTGAACAGTTCGTCGACTGCCGGAGACCTGCGACGTCGAAGAGACCTTACAGATTGGGGAGGTGGGGCCGGGGGCAGTCGCTAGCAGATCGGCAGCTCGGAGCTCGGGCTGGCACCGGGCTAATTGGAGCACATTTAGGCTTCTAGAAAGCCTCAGGGAGCAGCCCATCAGGGAGACCTTGGCTCAAAGGGCAGCTGGGCAGGCAGGCAGGCAGGCAGGGCGCTCCTGAGGTGTGCGTGTATGTTACCGTATAGGCCGTCGAGCCGGCAGTCGGTGCGGCTAGGCGGTTGGGCGGTTTGCCGTCTTGGTCCAATCTACAACCTGTACCTGACTTGGCGCTTGGTGCACTTGCATGCTGGCCAGAAGATAGGAGGGATAAGGGATGCGCAATTGAGATAGCTGGGGTGGCCATGACATGTGCACCTACAAAACCACGTAACTCACCCAAGAATCGAGAGACAGGGTGTGAGAGGGAGATAGAGTGCTGCTACTTTTGGCCGCCGACTGTTGATAACCGCTAGGAGGAGCGACCGTACGACGAGTAACGAACCTTGAGTTAAGACGCCAATGCCACTGCCAATTGCAGTGGGGAGTCTTTTGTGCTGGAACGCAAAGCTCTTTCCTGTACAAGAGTCTTGTCGACTTGGATCTTTCATGTCGTGCCCGTGCCTCAGCCGGTTCATCCAGCTGTTGGTACTGTAACTTTTCCCGTCTTGTCCCGGGCGGGATGAGACTCAATCAATTCAAGAGCCATGGGAGCTCCTTTACGACGACCTCCAGCGAGTTGCTGCGTGCCGTACCCCGGACTCTCGCCCACCCCTGGCCACGTGCCTGTGTGTTTCCGAAAAGGTGGGTTTCAGTTTCTGGGAAGGACGACCAATGAGGGCCCAGATGTTGCCGATTCACCGCCCTTCTGAAGCATGTACCTCCGTACCACTCTACAGCGAGATGAGCAACACCCTTTTTGACTGGCGGCCAGCATTATTATTAGACACGACCGACGAGGAGGATGCGAGCGACGATAATGGGACGGAAGCCGATGATGAGGCGGCGCTCTCGCTTGGGGCTGACGGCGATCTGATAGAAAGAAAGCGCATCTTTTCTGTAGCCAGCAGCCGCTCGCTCGCTCATACTCGAAGCCTTTCAGATGCACCGATCAGTTTGAGTCGTGACTGAGGGCCTTTTGAGCACATACAGAAAGAAGTACGAGCTTATACTGAGGACCTTGAGCAGCAGTCCCGTACTGTACTGTACCAGAGTAGATCGCGAAGCTTATCCACTAGCGCGGGTGGAGAGTAGCCTTCGATACGGGGGAGGCTTTTCTCGCACTCGAGCACCTGGAAGGCAGCCATTACGTCGTGCTCCCGCTCCCGCTCCCATTCCCCCGAATTTTTGGGCTTCGGCTGCGGTGTTATTCACTCACGCCACGGCATCCCGCCTCCTGGCCCTGAGTCCTCCGCCATTGACTGCTCACCCGAGACACAATTGCTCTGCGGGCCCGTGTTGTGTCGGAACATCGATACCGGGGGGTCGCAGCGCTCGCATTGGGTACCAGGTCCCAAGCAAAAGCAGATCATTATTGCATTGCAGCAACAGCGCTTACACACAGGATTCGTGGGCGGGCTGCAAGAGAAAGAGGGAGAGAGTGAGAGCTAGCCAACCAGCCAGCCAGCGTTGTCGAATAGGACAGCACTCGCGACGCACCGCTGGCCAATCCGAGAGCAACGGACGGTACAATTGGCAGAGAGGAGAAGGAAAAGAAAAGCATGGCCAGGGATCGAGACAGTGACACCTCGGGCGCGGGCGGCCAATCAAAGCGGCCGCCGCTCAACCACCATGTCTCGCATGACAGCGACTCCCAGGTCAGCGATCATACGACGGCCTCCAGTCACCGCCCCAAGCATCACAAGCACGTCGTCGGCGGCGGCGGACGTCTGCACTCGCACTCGCGCGTCCCGTCCTCCAAGGCCCTGCACACCAAGCCGCATCCGCACCACGCCACCGCGTCCACCGCCAAACTACAACACCACCACCGCCGCCACCACTCGCCTTCCCCCGAGCGGCCAGAGCGACCAGACCGCCCCCCGATGCTCTCCGCCGCCCACCGCCGCACCACCTCGGACGTGCGGCTGTCGCGTGACTCGTCCTCCTCCAACCTCAGGAAGAACTCGTCCCACACCAGCCTGAAGCGCAACCGCTCCCACGTCGAGGTTGCCAAGAAGTCCAAGTCGGCCGCCAACATCAAGCGCTCCTCGTCGCACAAGGACGTCAGCAAGCTCAAGGGCAGCAAGACCACCGTCCACTTTGATCTCGGCCACGACGGCCAGGACGATGAGTGGGTCGATGCAAGCGCCTCTGCCTCCCCGTACCTGTCGCGCCGCGGATCCGTCGTCAGCAGCGGCCAGGGCTCCGCGAAGCCCGCCACCAGCGACAACGAGAACGAGGACGACAGCAACGGCGACACCGTGACCTCGCAGTCGCAGTCGCAGACCCTGCCCGCCGCCTCTCCGGACCAGGACAAGGCCACCCCGGACCGCGAGCGCGTGCAGCACAAGGAATACCTGACATCGCGCTTGCTCCAGAGAACCCCATCCCACGGCGCGCCACCCAAGATGACGGCCGACACCGCCCAGGTGCACCCGCGCACCGGCTCCCCCGATTCAGCCATCAGTCGCGCGTCTTCTACGCTCTACGGTTCGCCCAAACCCGTCGGCTCTGCTGGCGTGGGCCGCTCCGCTGACGAGCTTACCTCCCGTTTCGTCAGTGGCCCCGGCTCCGGCGTCAACACCGAGACCGGCTCCTTCTATTCTCCCACGCGCAAGCTCGAACGGGTCAAGAGACCGCGGTCTTTGGCAAACATACGTCATGAGCACCGCGACTCTATCACGGACGACCCCGATGATGATAACGACAATGACGAGGACGACAGCGCACTGGCGCCGAGGACGAGGAAGCCAGCGCACAAGGCCCCCCCTGCAGAGAAGTCACGGACGCAGCAGAAGCTTAATCTGCAACGCGCCAGCTCGACTATAGAGCCCGTCCCGGCTGGGGGAGGTGTTGGAGCAGTTGGCGCCAGCCCGCTGTTGGGTGGTGCCGGCTACGACAACCGCGATCCGCGCATCGGCAAGCTGATTGAGCGCACCGGCATGGAATATCTAGTAGTACGACGCTATCAAAACCCCATTGCGAGGTCGATCGCGCGGCTCCAACAGCTTCCGGGTGCCGAAAAGACCCTGCACATCCCTAAGCAGAATGGCAGCAATGGGTCGGCCCACAGCAAAAAGCCATCGGAATCAGGAGCAGTCGCTAGATACGCGCTCTCATCAAGCATGGGGGACGCTCACAGGTCGCGGCCAGTAACACCAAGGCGTCACACCTCATTACACATTAATGGTGCGAACTCGAGCTATGAAGCTGAAGAAGAGAGGGCCCGCATCAGTGATCCGAGTTATATGGGTGGCGAGGGTGATACGGTCGCCGCCCTGCTCAGGAATCTTTGGGATAAGAACATGGACCTTTCGGCAAGTCAGGACTAGGAGGATACTGGCATCCTTGAGGGCCAGACACGGTCAGCGGCTGAGCAGGAACAGCGGGAGCGCTCGTTCGAGGCAACAGCCAAAGCACTTCCAAAGGGGAAGGGCAAGAGTCTTCAGCGGCCGACACCCCAGCGCAATGTATCCAAACATGATGCCCGGGTTGGTCGCGTGGTTTCAGGGCATCGAAGGGCGAAGACATAGGCTTGATTCGGCATCGATGGACCCAGAGTGGAAATAAGTGATACATAAGAGCCAGGTGATGGTCAATGACCATTACCGTATGGACAACGGTTCTGGGGCGGCGTTTTCATTTTCGGCACTAGCCGCGGTTGTGTTCGTGAGGTTTGGTTGATTCATCAAGCATCAAGGGTGGAGCAGCATTGACACACAAAGGTCGCATGGCGTTTCTGGTATTACATGGCTGCATCTCGAATGCGTTTGATTCCAGCGGTTCACTGGTCACAGGTACCCGAGAGTGCACGGTACATTACAGCACTGATAATGATAAAGTAGTGAATGCATAATGGCTAGTTTAATGCGAACGACATCATCATTAGTATTCTCCTCTACAAACGGCTTCACCCACGATTGATTTCTGCCGCCAGCCTAGATCTCCTTATAGCTTCTGGGCTCCTACGAGGCATCCAATAAGGCGAATGTCACCTTGCGTGTAGACGTATCAGAGAGCCGGACATGACGAGATCGACCAGCCACTATACCAGATATCACAATCCACATTTGTATGCGGGCCCTTTTTTAATACATCTACGTTTGGAACTCTTCCCTTCACGTTAGTGAGTATAACGCAGACTAATTGGCAGTCCAAACGACCACTGACGTATTTGGGTCTTCGGTCCATCCGCCTTGCCCAGACTCTCGGGTCGCAGCAGTCAGGCAACAAAATGCTACCACAAAAGTACGTCTCCTCACACCAGCCCCCCGCATACGTGGGTTACAACCAGGAAACTTGTGAGTCCCTCTCCCATGTATCGTACTTTTACTTCTGCTTTTTTATGCACGAATGAGGTGGACAGAACGCGCCAAAGTACGACAAAAGCACGTCAAAAGTACGGCTCGTCGTTGTTACACACAACGCATGGCAGTGGAGCCAACAACAAAAGCACCTCTCTCTGGACAGCCCTCTGTTACCGTAGCACAGAACGGAAAGATAAGGGAGCGGCTTTCGGACGTATTGCGTTCTTGCTTATGCAGAGGGCCAACATACCGAAGAAAAAGCACGGCTGGTTCTTGTCACACAACCAGTGGCAAGGGGGCTGCTGAGGGCATGGCGAACTTGCAACTGATTCTATGGACTTGTGTTGTGTCTCCAATACCCTCTGAATGCACAGTGAGTATGCTGTTGGTACCAAGAAAGAGTTGAACCAACGAGAAAGGACACGGGAGAAGCATGAGCGAGTGTCGCAGGGGAACAATGTGATATGTCTGAAGATCGCAAGATGTACTACAAGGACGAGATGGTTGCACAAGGCCTGCTTACAGATGTATCGTACTTCTGTTGCTGTATCGTACTTTTGTTTCCGTGCCTCTTGATTACATAAGGGCAAAGGCGTGCTCAATGGTTTTAACAATCCGAATGAGTACCGATCGTCCTTCCTATTCTCGAGATGCGCAAGTTCGAGGTCATACTTCGCCTACTTGAGCGTTAATAGTCCTGATTGATGGACGGAGAGAGCTACTAGTTGCCAGGAGGCTCATACCAGTCGGCTGCTACTGACTTATGATACCTTCAATAGTGCAGGCATCGGGAAAAAGGCCTACAAGATTAAGCACAAGGCACATGGAGCGGGCCCCAATGTTGTTGATCGAAAGAAGAAAGCTGTCTATCTCCACACAAACTTATCAAAGACAGAGGCACCGCCGCTTGGTCAGTATGAATACTATGTGTACGTGCATATACTACAAGACAGAATGTCCGTCGCCCGAACGGCACCTTCACCCGAGCGGCCCGGTCACCGAAGCCACCCAACCCGAAAATTACGATGACGAATATATCTCAGTATTAGCCTTCTCTTGGGCGTAAAGCATAGGTTCCAAGGTTCTCATTGCCTTGCCGTGCAGCATATATCAACGGTCTCATCTAATCGACGGAAAGGGCCGCGCCGGTTCTCGACGTAAGACTTCCGGTCGACGGGGATTTACAGAACTACTTTGAGGATTTTCGTGTCTCTTCGGTATCAATAATCAATCGACCGCTGAGAAAGAAATCGCACCGGTTCCGTACTGGTGTTCAATCACGGTTCGCGGCGGTTGAGGGGACCCGTATGGACGAAGCACAGGCCTTTCTCAAGGTGACATACGCGACCGTCTTCACAGCAAGTAATGCCATATGGGTGCTGCGTCGTCGTTCGGAACGTTCTTTTCGGCTCGGGGGGCGCCGCTGCCTTTTAAACTGGTACTTCCAACGCTCCTGGCCTGAGATTATCATCATGCACGGTACCTTTGCACGAAGCGCGGTACTTTTCACACTTTTCCACGGCCAAGTGGGACAAGCAGAATCAGCTTAAACCAATCCGAGTCGGTTGAGAGAGTCGAGAATCGGGGGACATGTTCTTTTCTCGCTCCGGGCGGTGCGATGCCTTTTATACGGGTACTTGGGTGGTCGGGTGGAGTTCTGCAAGGTACTTTTGCGAACGCGCGTGGTACTTTTGCAATGAGTTTTTTTGAACCGGTTCCGTCAGCCTCATTGGGCCTTTGCGACTCCGGGCCCGAGTCAAGGAACCACCGTCCCGCTTGACATTGATTTGTCTCCGTTGTACAGGGCGCCAGTAAGCACCCGTTGGCCGTCGGGAAATATTGCTTGCTTGCTCGGGACCTCGGGGCTTGGCATTGCGATACGCCTAACGGGGCAAGTTCAGGAGTAGCGTCGACTTCAAGAGGCTAACAACCACGCTTCATGCTAGCAAGCCCAGAGAAGTCCTTGAACAACTATAGTGAAGATAGATGTGCAGCAGTCAGAATTATGCTGCATTGTGCTATGAACGTGATGCGTGGTTGACCTTGAAGATGAACTGACTTACGCCTGGGTCCACACTGGTTACACTACTTGCGGATAAGGCAGCAAGATTTTGGGCTGCAGTGAGTGCAATGACCCGAACAAGCGCCCTATAAACGTGACAGGTAAGAAGCAGCCCGGAAACCTGTTCAGTCGGTGCATTGATATCACACAGCATAGTAACTCGTCCAGGGAATACCCTGTTGAAGTGCCGTTAGTGGTACCTGCTCCTACCTCATGGATCCGCTTACTCAGTCATAAAGTAAGCGAATCCTAAACCTTCATTTACTGCGGTCGGCGTCGAGATTACATCTCATCAGGATTCCATTTGATAGGCTAGCTTCTTCTCCTGACCCAATCGTCCAACTGTAGCTGATCTCAACAACGCTATCATCCTACGATGAGACACCATGGCACAACTTGGACCGCACGAATAGAGGGTATTCTGGGTTCTCTTTGGGAAGGTGCTGCTGATATAGATGTAAGAAGTAGGCAAACTGTTCGCACTGAAGATACCGGCTGCAGATAGAAAGAATTAGCATCACCGTAAAGCAACTTTACTCTTGACTAAAGAGAGATTGACCACTTCAAAGTCTTAGTGACAGATGCTTTCGAACTGGCGTTAGACTTTATTTCTCCGTGATAAATCACTGGCCCATGCCGCAGGCGTCGAGAAAAGCACATTCGCTGACCAAGCTGACCTGGTGTCTAGGTTAGTCTCAAGATCACTGCCACGAACTATGAGACAGGCCCTTCAACATACCGATTGCCACAACTGCTTCCTTCTGAAGGCTGAGGTAATTTACTTGTCAGATGACACCCGATTGGGAACCTAGCGTAGCACATTAGGATTGGCCATTCCTGTCGCCAGGGGGCACGTGTACTGGCTCAGACTTCGCCCAGGTAATGAATTTCGCGTCAGGTCTACCACCTGCACCTATCTCGGGAATATTCTGCTTCGCTTCCAGATTGATAGCCACGTCAATGTACGGAAGAATGGTGAACCAATCAAGGCGACTGCATGTTAGACGCTGAGACAGCACCAACTTTATCAAGCATCCACGTGGTAAGCCTCCGATGAAATCAAGAAATTTGGCGGCCACATTTATGGGTAACTAGTTAGGGCATTGGCCAGCAAAAGGGTGAAGACTCACTCTGAACAGCGGGAATATGAAACTGTACTCGCCGGGCATTCCATAGCAGAGGAAAAGGTACAGACTGTTGGAAAGAAAAATCTAAATGTATGAACCTCCAGTATTCTTACTACGATTGAATTGGAATAGTGCATTTAAGCTCGTGCTCACGCGTTACGCCATACCTTAGGATATGGGCAAACATGCGTACAATGACAGTTGCTAGCAAGGACCCGTCCGGTGGTGTCCGGGAACACTGGTAATACTAATCGAGACTGTAATCAGGAAGCCTGTACAGTAGAAGAACGTAAGAACTGGAATTTAATGCGTTGTTGAGCCTGATCGTCGATCGACGTGCGTGGTTCATCAAACGAGAGATATCCAAGACACCTTCGACCTAGCCAACCGCGCTCGACCTTGTTTGGCACTTCCAATGCCATGTGGCGTGTCAGTGGGATTTGCTATCCTACGTTGGGACTGCCAAGATTGTAATGGAGAGGGAATGTGCTGCCATCTAATATGCAAGGTCCGTGGCGGTTTCCGGCCACTATACTACAGAACCCACCGATACCCTGATTGCTCTCTTGAATCTCTTCACTTTTTCCCTTGTTGGCCTCTGGCTCACCCGCCTCAAGTTCCCATTGATTGTTTTTCATTTAGGACACACCGCTAATTATAGCCAACTTCAGAAGCTTGCGTCCATCGAGCTCCCCGCTGCGCCCAAGGTCTTGCGCCAAGCAAGGGCGCCGGCAAACTTACGCCACATCCTTACTGCCATGCTTCAGCGTCGTTCGTTATTGGCAACATGATGGATTGAAGTCTATTCATAGCTGGTCAAACCAATACGCACATCCAACCAAACTCGAACACACAGCGACTTATCAAGCTGTGGGTTTAGGTTTCGTCAGCCATGATAGTGCGAGAGTTCCCGGCTTGCAGCTGGCATCAGCGCGTGATTTCATAGTTCACAAGGGTACTGAGACGAGGATGTGGCCGGTGAAAAATTGGCTCTTACGGATAAATCTCAGAGCCCTATCGATCTCGTGGAAATTGCGAAGATGGTTTTGCATATTCCCATCGGTGAGACGGTGGGGTAAGTCGACAGAGTCTAACTTGTGCAACACAAGCCTCTGGCTACAGGGATGGGGGAGCTCAGCAAACACCTTGTCACTTTGGCGGTTGATTTATTTTAATTCTCGGGACAGCCAGCTCACACGGTTTCCTGGTTTACTGCCTCCAGCTCGGTCCTACGAACACATGCAGCTATACCCGAAGAACGCCATCAAAATGATCGGACACTTTCCCCTATCGGCAGTACTCTGTGCACTCAGCTTGCTGCTTGGTGCACAGTCACACATGATGATCAACTATCCAGGCTCGCGCGGTTGGAATCTTGTCACCAATGGCACTGTGGCAGACACGGATGGACTCTCCATGGGTGTTGCTCCTGGAACAAACGATCCCGTTTACCCCTATGGGATGCAATGGCAATTCCCTTGCGGCGGACTGCCGATAGCCCAGAACCGGACGAACTGGCCTGTGACAGGTGGCCCACTGGCAGTCCAACCTGGCCTGCAGGCTCGGCACTCAGAGGCCATGATGTGGGTAAACCTGGGCTTGGGGACTGTGCCGGCAAACTACAGCCTGATCATGGTGCCCGTATTTCGAATCACTGGGCCGAGCAACGAGGAATACCACGACGGCTTCTGCTTATCACATGTCCCGCTTCCCCAGGGGGTCACGGTCAATCCAGGAGACAATGCGACCATCCAGGTCATTGAGACGGCAAAGCAGGGAGCCTCGCTGTACACTGTATGATATGCATCATTCTCCCTTGTTTCTAATCCGTCATACGATAGGCTGAGTCTGATCTGACATTGCCATGTAGTGTGTGGACATTACGTTTGTCGATTCTTCTCAAACTCCATCTCTGGATAGTATCGGCTGCACCAACTCATCTTCCATTGGCTTCAGCACTGTGTCTTGGGAGGATAATTCGAGCTGGGCCTGGTATCGTTCTGGCCAGACGATTGGCCTTGGTCTGGGACTGGGCCTCCCGTTGGTGATCGCCGTTGCAGTTCTGAGTTATTTCTTGTGGAAGGCGAGAAAGCAAATCAAGACACACAAGAGGCTGTCGGGTTGATATCAGCAGTACCTGTGAATTGAGTAGGGTCGCTTGATACTCGGAGTGTATGTCCAAGGTAGAAGAGGGAAACCAAAGCATAATTTAAGGTGGCAGAACGGGAAGAACCTTTTTCGATTTAAATTTTATCGCAATTCTGGCCCGGCCAGTTCAGCAGTACACCCTCGCATCTCTACGTGAGGACCCAAAGCTCAGTGCGTTGTTTTCACAATATCATACTGAATAGCTGGGAGAAGTTCACTCATGTGAGTTTAATTATGAGTACAGCGAGAACTTCATGTATTTCCTAAGGCTATGCAAGTAGCGAAGGTTTTTGTACTTTACCAATTGACAAGGGTGATGAACTCGCAGATCATCCCCACGTGGAAGACTCATCTATGCCGCTTGAGGACTAGTTCGTGTATAGTCCTAGGGTGTCGTTCGACTTCATTCCTTACAAGTACGTGCTTTCTTGTTAGAGTGCACGAGCAAAATGTCACTTTCAATCCTCTTAAGCTTCCTTTACCATCGTAGGAGCTTCGTACGCTAGTTCACAAGGTGTCACAAATGTTAAAAACTGCCATGCATTATTTATGTAGTTGGGGAATACTCAAGTTGGAACTAAATTCCATGGCAGTTCTGACTTATGACGACTATCGTGAATCACAAAATCAAGCTCAGGGATATTGACATAGTAATTGTCTCACTATGAATGACTTAAAAGATGAAGTACAATAAAGCACCAGAATGACAGTCTCATTAACTATCTACCGGCAAGCTATCTATCTATCTACAAGCTATGGGCCTCAATTGAGGGCGTCCTGCACTTGGTCTCTTAGCGAGTCCGAGCAAACCACGGGGAGGTAGCAGGTCCGACTTCTTTGCTCATTAAATGCTCAATCATATGGCAGTAGTAGATGGCAGTAGTAGATGGCAGTAGTAGATGGCAGTAGTAGGTGGAAGGTGTAGATGGCAGTAGTAGGTGGCGGTTGTAGATGGTGCATGTAGATGGTAGATGTAGTTGGGAGTCATAGGTGTAGGCAGTAGATGGCAGAATAGACCGCACTTGTAAATTGTAGACTTGTGGCAAGATAAGTGATAGGTAGATGGCAAGAATATGAGAAAAAGGGAGAGGGACTTACCGTTCTTGGGCAGTTTTACGTCAGTGCCCAGGACATATCTAGTAGCGCGCCAACCACGACCCCTGCACCAGCCTCCAAGTTCACCTGATCCAGCTCCATCGCATCGCAAATACTTGATCGGCTTTTCGAAGGCCTGGCGTCACGGTCTGTTACCTGCCCCCTTTACACATCTGATCAAGGCAGACACGAGGAAGGTCAGAATGAACAGGGCGAACCATGCTCAGACTGACCAGCCTCAAGTACTGCTCAAGGTCAGACGTGCCAGGGTGGCAGGTAACAGACCGTGGTGCCAGGCCGATCGCAAAGTCGATCAAGTATCTGCGGCGCAGGGAGCTCGAGTCGGAGAACTCGTCCCGATCCTCACCTCCTCAACCCAAGTTCTTCTTCAGCAACTGCTGTGCGATGAATTCCTTCGACTCCATGCCTTATGTCCATTGACTGCAGCAACTCCCCGCGGCACTCAACGCATTACAACAGGAGACCGGCAAAGAACAGACCGGGCGAACCGTATCTGCTCTTCCCGGCCTACGACTGTTATATGCCTTGCATGCTGCAGAGAGACGCTGCGGCCAATGGACACAAGGCATGGTGTCAAAGGAACTCGTCGCACAGTAGTTGCTGAAGAAGAGCACAGGATGAGGAGGTGAGGTCGGGGCCAACTTCCCCGAGACTCTGTTCGCAGCACCCACTCAGATCTGCACAGCTGCACTAGCGCGGACATCCCGATTCAGTTCAATCCTGCACGACATCCAATTGCACGATAACCATCAACCGCAGGGAGGCAACAGGAGGTCGGCCAAGTCCAGTCAGGGCGAACCATACCTGGACCTTCCGAGCCTCGAGACTGTCACCTCCACTGCGGGATGGTCCTCGTGCAATTGGATCTCGTGTCGGATTGAACTGAATCTAGATGTCCACGCTAGTGCAGCTGTGCGAATCTGAGTGGTGCTGCGTACAGAGTCTCCGGGAAGTTGGCGAGGGAAGTGCCAGGGTCGAGGACGGTCGCGCTACCAAGGCAGTTTAACGTCGTGCGCTCTAGACGGGGCAGTTTACCGTCGTATGCCCACGACCTTGACAGTCGAGATGATATTGTGTGATGGTGACAACAAAGCCGAAGATAGCAGGCAGCCAGTGGGATGAGGGCGCGATAGAAACCGCTGGTATGATGCGCAAGTCAGGACGGCGCGGAACGATTGGTATAATCAGCATGAGTGAATACGTATAAGGTGGGGTGGCTGCTACTTACCAGAATGATTGGTGACTTTGGCGGCTGTGAATTGCAGCTATATGGAGTGAGTGCTGTGCTGCGAATAATGAGGGATGTAGGAGTTCGAACTTACCATAAAACGATGATTGTGGGAGCGAAGATGATTCAGACAGAACAACGTTGTCGAGGCTGTTTGGCATTAGTAGTAGAAGGCAGTTTTGTGTCATGCAGGACATTGGAATGTGGGCTCAAGCGAAAAGGAAAGAGGGGTGGACTTACCTGTGAGAAGAAGAGAATATCTACCAGCGCCTCTGCGACCTCGGACACCGATCCTGATTCGTCCTCATCGATCTCCTGCGAAGTTTCGCACCATCACTGTCAACAGCTTCACGAAGGTCTATCGCCTGTAGCTGTAACAGCAATCTCAGACACTCATCAGGGAAATCAGCAAGGAGCAGGCAGAGCCTTCTCCCCCTGATCTACGACCGGACAAGTGCAAGGATTGCTCACAGCCACTGGCGATAGTCGCAGGGTAAAGCCGTCAACAGTGCGGGTCCAAAAAAATCGCAGGTCGACGGGGGCGTATCAGGATCGGTGTCCGAGATCGCAGAGGCGCTGGCAGGGCATAGCTTAACGTCGTGTCCGTTGACGGCTCCTGTAACGTCATCGCTGGACGAGGCAGTTTAATGGTCATGCCCGGGACCCCATCTACCGGGCAGCTCAGTCCTTCTGATCGTCCACCAGTCTCTCCAGCCTCTGCGTTTCGACTCTTCGACTCCAGACATCGACTGCTCAGGGACACTTGAGCCAGTTCTGTCGCTGCGATCATCGACCACTTCTGACAGCTCAGCAGGAGTCCAGTCCGGTCACAAGCAGGGCGTACCGTACTTGCGACACAACTGGTCTACGACTGCTGTGCATGTCGAGATGCGATCGAGTTCGCAGCAAGCAGACCAGAGCCAAGCATCGAAGAACAATCGTTATCTGGGGTCGAAGAGTCGAAACGCAGGAGCTGGTGAAACTGGTGTCCGGTTCGAAGGACTTGGCCGCGCCGGCAAGGTAGTTTAAGGTCAGTGCACTCTGGACCAGGCAGTTTAATGGTCATGCCCAGGACCCAGTCACCAGGACTGTCATCTCTTTGCCTCGAACACCTACCTCTCTCCACCTGTGTCCTCAATTATCAGCTCTAGGCGCAAAGTGCGCTTCGGCAGTCGCTTGGATCCAGACTGTATTCCGTACAGGCTGCGTCTCCAGCAGGAGCAGAGCCAGGCTACAGGCATGGCGTACCACACCCGTCTCCCGCTGAGCTACGACTGCTAGAGACGCTGTCTGTTCGAGACTACAGTCAATAGACCCAAGGTACTGTCGAAGACCACTTGCCACTAGAGCTGACGATTGGGTCACAGGGAAAGAGGCCGGTGTTCGAGGCAAAGAGACAACAGACCTGATGGAGCAGTTTTACGTCGGTGCTTCCTAGACGGGCAACATTTTCAAGTCATGGACCTTGGACTACACCAGCTCGCCAATCGCATCTCTCAAAGATCGGTCTCTCTCGCATCATCAACACCAACTTCAGACGCAAACTGCTCTCCGACAGTACGACAACTGTGTTCTCCTGAGGCCTTGAACAGCACCTTGTCACCAACAGGAGCTCAGCCAGGTTACAGGCACGGCGTACCGTGCCTGCCCTCACATGAGCTGCAACTGAAGGAGGCGCGGAGTGCTCCAGGTCTCATGAGACAACAGTCGTCATGCTGTCATCGAGCAATTGCCGCTGAAATTGGCGACGACAACGCAAAAGGAGACCGATCTCTCAGAGATGTGGTTGGCGATCTGGTGGAGCAGTTTAACGTCGTGCTACTTTAGACGAGGCCTTTTCGCGTCATGAATGCCCAGGACGACCAAGTTATACTCGTGGACTAGAGTGCTGGAGGTCGTGTTGCAGAAGGTGCTGTGATGAGTGAGTGGTCGATGTCCAGGGGTAATCCAGGCGGCGGTGCAGACAATTGTGGGATTGAGTGCAGTGGACCATCAACTCACTAGTGTCATAGTGGCCTTCAGTGAAGAGAGGGTGCTGTAGGCCGAAAAGCGCAGGCCCCAAATGCTAGGGACAGGGGCAAAGCCAGTTGATATTAGTGCCAAGGACCGGTGCCATAAGGTTGAATAGGGGCCCAAGAGACAAGGAAGAAGAGTGATCGAGCAAGGGAAGAGAAGGGGCAATGCAGCTCAAACCAGAGTGAGTGATATGAAGGGCAGGTGGGGTGGTGAGTCGGAAGTCAGGTCAAGTTTGCATTGGGCGCGTCATGGCGCGCTGTGTGCGAGGTGGTTGAGATGGCAGGATTAGTACATGGCAAAACTTGGGAGGAGAGGAAGGGAGCAGTATGAATAATGGTCAAGATGGGGGATGAAGATGACAGAGAGATCACATACCATGTAGGAGAGGGTCGTGACTTGTGTCGAGAGGGGATGGTGGTTAGAAGCAATGATGGACCAATGGATGGACCAATGGATGGACCAATGGATGAACCAATGGATGGATGGATGGAGTGATGGGTGGATGGAAGGATGAATGAAGTAATAAAGCAGTGGAAGAAGGTGATGAAGATGGATGGTGGAAGGATAGATGAAGGTGAAGGTGAAAGATGATGGGAGGAAGGATTGAAGAAATAATGAGTGAAGCAATGGATGGAGTAGAGAAGGTTGAGGTCTCTGCAGGCAGAGCGCGGAAAGTGTGATGAAGGAGAGAGAAAGGAAATCCAGACACCGGGCGCGAGGAAGTTCTTTTATGCTTGGGAAATGGCTGATCTGAGCTGGCTGATTGTGCACTGAGCAAGTATGTACGTATATATGTACCTGGGTGTCCCTGATCTGATCCAGATCGACAAATGAAAAATCAAGTCAGCCAGACAATTCTGTCTGGTTGTGGTTGGGCCCGATCTCCACCCTGGCATTTCTGATTTGATCCTGGCTGCCATTACTTGCTCACTGGTGGAAAACATCTGGTAGCTTAAAACAGAGTTCGCAGCGCCCTCCGAGGCTCCAGGCGCTCTCAGTGACGCGGAGGTGATCTGGTGAAGTCGTGACAATATGGGGCCAAGGGATTTCGTCTTCAATGATACACTGTTCCCTTCAAGTACGATAGCTAGCAGTCTCAAATGTCTAACGGCTGGTAGTGCATGCATGCATGTATGCCCGTTTAATTAACCTAACCCATTCCCACTTTTACCCGACGTGACCTGCATTGCCGCCTCTCCAGGATGCTCTGCCAAGACAGCCGCGGCAGCGCCTGAAGCAGCCTAACGGGGAGACACGAGTGCTAAAGGGGCAGGCCTTGAAGCCTAGGTCGGCTCCCAATGCTAGGATACGCGCAATCAGTCGATCTGCGGGTGGACGGCTTGTTCTAGCTGTACGTACCGCTTCACATGCTCCTGATGGTATGTCAATAAGGTTTGAAGAGCTCTCGGGCCGGTCCCACAGCCCGTTGACAGGGGTTGTCGACTTGCATGTGAAAAGGCGTTGGAGTGCGTATCCCTGCTGCAGATCACCCAGATCAGCCCTAGCCGAATCTGGGGTATCGCAACACTGCGCAGTAAGCTCAGTGTGCATCTGTAGCGTGTTATGCCATTAAGAGGGCTTATGCATATTCTCGATATATGGCCCCTGTGGATGTTTTCATGGCGATGGCAAGAGTGAGATGGTGCCAGGCGAAATTGATGTTACAACTAAATGGTAGTCATATCAGTACATCTACAGGGCCATCATATTGCGCCTGCTAGCGCAGGGTGAGGCGCGCTCCTGGTGTGCTCTGGGTCTCGATAGGTTGCTCTTGCCCAACAGCTCTCCCCCGCAAGTCGTGACGCGTGCTCCGTGATACTTGTTTTGAATTAGCACGTTATGTAACATTTGATTTAGATCCTTTTGTGTTGGAACACAGAATCAGTGATTTGCTTGTGTCTCTTGCTGCTGGCGGTCGCTATGTTGAAGCGAATTGGTTGCGCAAGAGACTCTTCTCTGCCAAAATGGACGATCAACGAGACCAACGACGGTTCAGACTCCCGTACGATACGCTGCCAGTTCGACGACTCACATTCCGGGTCCTACAGTTTCGAAACTTGACTACTTGATCTCGTGCTTTCACCCGGCTAGAAACGTCCGTGCATGCCTCTGTACGGCCACCAATAATTCGACACACGACCGAGAGAAACACGCCCCTCAATTGCAGCCTACGGCGTTGATACATTCCTCACTGAATACCCTTGAACTGCTCCTGTACACCGCGAAAGAGCGGCTTTCAATCGAGCTCAACGAAATCTATGCAGAACCCGTCAATAGCAACTGGAAGATCCTCCCAGGCCTCTAGAGCCCCGATCAAGAGCTTGAATACTAATTAGCAAGGCTACATTTCGGGACGTTCACCCCCTTTATTTCTCCCGAGGAATTGACTCTCTGAAAGTCGCATACTGATGTTGTTGCTTTGGTACCAGATGACCAGACGATATTTTCGATGTCAGTGAAATACGAATCGAACGCCGAGAGAACAAAGTCCCCTCAAGTGGAAACGTTACGTGAAGGCGATGCTATTTGTTCCTAGAACAAATGGATCTATATGACCTTCTATCAACGCCCCTTGCGGGCATCAAGATCGTAGGAGCTCGGCTGGCCAGGGCCATTCACAAGCGTAACCTCCAACGACTACGCCGCCAAGAGTTGACGTGAGGGCATGCACATGGCTGACTGATTTGCCTTGGGAGGGAGATGTTCTGCCAACAGTCGGGAGGGATATTAGACGTGCAAAATGGCCTGGCCAAATTTGAAAGGAGCTGCTTGCAGTTTGGAGCCAGGACTACAGACGCTGGAGCAGTACAGTATCTTCATCATGCAGGTTCATGAACAGTGATCGAACCAATCAATTCCTCGCCTACAGTTCGTAGCCTACTGCAAAGGTGCCTCTGTGGTGATGCAACACCTACGTGGTGATTGCAGGTACTCTGCCTTGTACTAGCTGGTTGCATAGTACCTGCAAGAGCTACCCTGTTGTGTTGCATACAGCCTCGTGCAGCACATCTATCCCTAGCTACCTCACTATTGTTGCTATTAAATATACCAAATCTGCCCCAAGTATTCCACTGGCAGATCTTGCACATGTTGACGACCTGGGGACAATTGGCAGGGGGGCCATCCAGTATGTCGGCCAGTGCCCACCTAACAATCCAGATGTTCGGCAAAGCTAGTCCGACGCGCAATTGTCCAGTATTCGGTCCGGACATCGCAAGCGAACAACAGCTCCTACAGTCAGACCTCCACAAATGATCTCTCCTTCTTGAAGGGTGGCACTTGTCCGGGAGACTAGTTACTCCCCACATTCACCCGGAAGCGCTGTCGTTGCAGATCTCCTACCCCGCGGGGATGACAATCTATTCGTCAGCATGGGAGCAGAACGCGATTGGCTGCACCGACCATGATGATGGGGAGGGAATGGCAAACCCTGGTCTATAATCAAGGGGCTCTGGCCAATTTTGCCAAGATTTCCGAGAAAACGGTCGGGGCTGCCCAATGGTGCCAATGAGCCGTAGCTGATGACCCGTGCAACAAGCTTTCGGGAGCCAATGTCGGTTATTACGAGCTGCCCGGCAGATTTACCCCTGGTGGTTCTTTTATTTCTTCAAGAATTGCACAATTTTCGGGGCCAAGAAGAGCGCGGGCTCGTAAGTGTGGGTTTTCCTGAATGTTCTGAAGGAACTGTGCTTGGTAGCAAGCTTTCCCTTCCAGCCACTGTGATCGCCCTTGCTTTCGGGCCTGGTGTACTGTCCATCAATTTTGAGAGCCTCCGTTTCAGCCGACAACATACCTAGGTACCTAAGTATTCTAGTGGAAAAAGCGAGATCGCGGGCCAGTGGTGCCTTCCTATTTGTGCCAAACTTGATTTCCAACCCGTCTCGAAAAACAACTTGTTTCGCCGAAGATGGCTGTCGATAATATGATCGAGGAGAAGGGCGATACATCTCCGAGCCCCGTGGGCGGTGTCATCTCCAAGTCCTCTGATCGTGGCATTCATGATTACAAAGAGTCTGAGGGCTACGAGGTCGACATTGAAGATGGCGTTCCGAGTTCCGTGAAGCTCGCTAAGGACGGCCATACCAGACTGATCCCTCAGCCGAGCGACGACCCCAATGATCCGTTGAACTGGTCGTCTCGGAAGAAGCATCTGATCCTCTATATCGTGGCTTTGACTGCTTTACTGCCAGACTATGGTTCCGCTACAGGTGAGTCTGTGTCGACGTCAGGACCTTGTAGTGTCTAACATCACTGGCGAAGGTGCCGTCACACTTATACCCCAAGCTGAGTATGTTGCCAAATCATCCCCACAAGGTCTATCTAATACCAGACAGAGAATGGGGCATGACGCCCGATGAAGTAAACCACTCGCAGGTGGGCAATGTGTTTATGCTTGGTGCCGGAGGTATTTTTGGTAAGTCGTCGCAGGCTGCGGTGTTGGTAATTACGAGATGGCAAGCTGCTGACTATTGTGTGCCAGTTGTTGTACTAAGTGCCTACTTCGGTCGACTTCCCGTCATGTTCTACTTCGTCGTTGTCGCCCTTGCTACGGCCATCTGGTGCGCCGCTGCTACAACTTTCGACTCGTTCATGGCAGCACGGATATTGAACGGATTCTTCTCGACTGTAGCTCAGGGAGGCGGTTTGATGTTTATCCAAGACATTTTCTTCTTTCACGAGAGAGCGCGGAAGATTAATATCTGGGCGTGAGCAACCCGATACTTTGATATATACCATTCTAACCTTTGCCTAGGTCATTCTTCGTCATCAGCCCGTACCTCGGCCCGTTACTGGCAGCTTTCATTACCGCCACCAAGCCATGGCCAACGCCCTTCTGGGTATACTCTGCAGAAACGGCTGTATGCTTGGTGCTGACCATCTTGTTTGTGGAGGAGACATTCTATGACAGACGGATTCCCCAGGCAGAACAGCCTCCAAGGGGTTCGCGGCTGGCTCGACTTCTCGGGATCGCGCAGTTCAAGTCGCGACATCTCCGAAACACGTTTGGACAGGCGTGCATGCGGCCCGTCAAGGCGATTTCGAAACCTGTGGTTCTGATCTCCAACTTGTACTATCTGCTGGTAGGTTTTGCTACACGTCAAATAGTCACTTGAATTCTAACCAGTCCTCAGACGTTTGCTTGGGTCGTCGGTATCAACACGACGCTATCCATCTTTCTGCAGCCGGTTTACGGGTTCGGCCCCAAACAGATTGGCTTTTTCTACTTCACACCAGTGACCGCTGTTATCCTCGGAGAACTGGCAGGCCACTTCCTCCACGATGCCCTAGCCAAACAGTACATCAAGGCACACCACGGGCACTTCGAACCTGAGGTTCGCTTACGCGCCATCTTCATTGCAATGCCGTTTATGCTTGTCGGACTCGTTTTGCTCGGCCAAGCGCTGGAGAACCAATGGCACTACATGGCAGCTTCGATCAGCTGGGGTCTGTACGTCTTTGGTATCATGATCACCACCGTTGCAATCTCATCATACAACCTCGACAGCTATCCTGAGGCTTCGGGTGAAGTTTCTGCTTGGGTCAATATGTCAAGAACCTTGGGTGGATTTATCATCAGTTACTTCCAGGTGACATGGGCTGCAGCCCAAGGTACGAAAACAAGCTTCGGCATACAAGCTGCAATCTGCGCAGCTGGCTTCTTGCTCATATTACTCCTGATCTGGAAAGGCAAGGCGATCAGGATTTGGTCTGGGCCTTTGAAGTTCGCAACATCTTAACGATCCATACATCATTGTTTATTTGATCAATGGAGAACATGTGGGTGGCAGCCCGAGATAATTCGTTTCAGTCCTCCACGACCCCAATATACGGCGATCAATTTAGAAGTTCAATTTGTATTATGTTGATATGTCTGAGAATTTAACCGAGCACAACCAATCAATAGCTCGTGATTCACAACACGTCAGGTGATAAGCCATCAAATGAAGGTGAAACTCGGAATGAGAGTCGTGGCCACCTGGAGTAAACTCCTGGGCGATATGTCACTGACTCAATAATGGGGGCAGATCGAATCATGTGCTACAGTTTAAGATCGCTATACTTGCTGGTGAGCTGGTATCGCTTACTGGCGAACTATGGAAGCATGCTGCCCTCGGTAACTAGTGGCCTGGGGATCAGAGCCAGAGCCACCAGTAACCCTTCGCATTGAAAGCACCAAACCCAAGACACGCCTGCCCTCCGACGTCTTTCGAGGTTTGCGCCGATTAACTCGATGGAGAAGCATCAGCAAACCGTCGCTCCGAGTCCTATTGGCGACTGAGCGAGACGTCACCCGTCATATGTGCAGGAGAGGCTGATCATAGACCATAAGCATCGATCACGAGGCCAGTGTTGCATGGTCATACAGTTACCATCCCACACGACACTTGTTATGTATGCATAGGCAGGAAAAGCATTCCTAGATACTGAGCCTGTGGAAATAAGATGGCTGCCGCAAGGTGGGTTTGTACCTTATGTACTATTCGTCACGTTTGGAAATCAAGCTCCCCCAACAAGACGGGAACCACTCGGATGGCGCCGAGTCACACCGGTCTCACCCAATGATGAAGCAGTCAATCGAGACCTACATTGGTGTTTTCAATGTCACGGGGCTTGGCAGGGATGCGAGGTTGGATATTGAAAGGCTCGATCAGGTAAGTCGCAGCATGCGACCCCGCGTGCCCGTTGCGCAGATCAAGTCGAAGTCGACAAGTCGGCGCGGGGATCGTGGGGGTCGCACGCCCGTAATACAGCATCCGTCTTGGCTGCCGTACGGATGGAACGACGCGAGCATGGTTCTCGAACCTCGATTCGCTCTGGAGGGTTGTGAGTAACAAATGCCAAGTTGACTTGCGTTGCGAAGCAATCAATCGCTAATAAAATTGCAGATGAATCTTCTTTCCTCCCCGTGTTGGCAACTGCACCACTGCAAATCATGTTGGTCTGCCCTGCAGTAGATTCCGTGACATTGCAGAACTGTAGGACCGGAATGTGCTCACGGCAGATGGCAACTAGGAGTTGACCGCCAAATGACTGCAGTGGTTTCCCGCATAACGCCGCGGACGGTCAAAACAAAAGAGGTGTGCAATGACTAATAATAAGGGTCCTGCTCGTGGAGACAGATGAGCTGGGTGAGCACAGCCGATCGGGCCAGAACCGTCTTGCCGCGGGATTACCGGTCTGCCCAGCGCTCGGGGGGGCTCTGTTTCCCGGGGTCCTTCTGGCAGGCATCTGGGTTTATGGGGCCTATCCACTGCCCCAAGTATAGTCGCGCGCGCATGACGGCATCGCCAGACGTCGATATCGGCCGCGGTGGATATCTTCACGGGATAGATAGTCAATCCAGGGACCGTTACCCGATGGAGATGGAGCCTCCCAAGATTATCTCTGATGCCAAGACCCGTCCTCCGAAAGGCACGATTCGGTTGTGTCATCAGCTTCGTCCCTGCAATGACTCGGCCGGCTCGAGCCATTACGTTACAACTACTCGCCGGGCTAGCCAAATCGCGATATCTATTTGGTAATGAGAGCAACTCGCCCAGACTTTGTGTGCCAGATGCACTCCACCGCCTGCATGTCGGCTTGGGTACCGACTACGAAAGAGATACAAGCTCATGTGCTCCTTGCAGGCGCCCGGTCCTGACTGAACTTGCGAAGGTCACCAAGGCGGAAAGAGGCAGCGCGACCACGCGAATGTGGAATGCTATAGCAGGTGGTTGTTTGGGGGTGCGTCCTAAAGGCGCGGTGCATGTCGCACACTTCCGGCGGATCGGTTAGTGGAGCCTGGAACCGCCTTAAAGGCAGGTAAGTTAGGTGATGGCCCTCCCCACAGCGAGCCGCCCGCGTCAAAGGACCCGACGCTGCGGCTGCATGAGGTTCCCCCCAGGTACCGTGGACCTGCTGAGAGCCTCCATCAGCCCATCGCTGGCTTTTGGTGCTGGAAAGCTTCGATTAACCCATGGAATTCTTACGATTATTTATATTGTCATTTGACAAGAGATAAGGCTTACCGCTCTTATCAGCGCTTCAGCCGTAATTCGCCGAATCCAGTAGGTTTCTTTGCAATAGTATGCGCCGAGATATGTCATACATTCGTCGCATCTGAAGGGCCAAGCCTGTATCTTCCCGCATTCCTGTGATCACCGCTTTCACCAAATCTTCTAGTAAGCACGTGCAGCCTATCAACGGAGCGAGAGATCCGAGCTTTGGCGAATGCTATCTTGCTAGCCCGCCGTTTCAAGGTTTGCCTGGCAGCCCTCGCTTCTGTCCAGCAACGGCCGGCCCATCGCCTGTTTTCGCAAAACGATTTTCCGCCCTCTTTCCTCGAGTGAGAGTCAGCGCCATTTTTAGTAAATAGCCAGCTACGGGGCCATCTCATCAATATCTGGAGCCCTGCGAAGAGCTAGCCTTGCTCCTTGTCGCGTGGCAGCCGATCTTGACTCTCTAACTGAAGGTGACAATCTCTCGCTGGCTCCGCTGGGTTATCTATCCCCGGCTGCGTCACCTCCCCCAGAACACCGACTTCGATTAAACTTCCGGTCGGCCACAGGCACTTCCTGATTACTGGAGACTCTTCTGGCCACTTTAAGTGCCTGCGCCCCCTATCAGTTTCCCTCCTCTCAGCAACTCGCGGGACTGTGTCTTCTGGTACACGAACGAATAACGGCGCCTCAATGACGCACATAAGCCTAGCTTATCTTATCCTTGTCTCGATCGTAACCTAAGTTGGTGCTGCCGAGCCTGGGTCTTGAGAGCACTTGAATACCCAATCCAGTTCGGGTGGCTTTGCGACAGCTTTTATCATCTGCGGCCTGTTCCTACTCGCTGGGCCCACGTCTGCAGGTGAGCCTCATCAACGGAAACAGCTGGCCCCTCGGACCCGTTATCACCTGGGATTTATAGTCTAATAACAACTTCACCTCGCTTCCTCTGTCGATAAGGAACTTCGCTGGTACACCAGCCCAACGAGATCTGGTTGGCCTGCCGCACAACGCCGCCATCCACCACTTAGATCCTTATCTTGTATCTCTTATCAGCCTCACATACTACGCTGAAGCCCCCCTGCCTGGGATCGGAGAAGCATACTTTGGCACAATCTAATGTCATCTTGTACCGGTTGACCTTGCCCGTTCTAGCTGGTCGATCCTTCTGTCCAGCCAAACAGAGACCGTCGCACTGGTGTTCGTGGGGTTATACACTGACAGACACTCCGTACCTGGTGCCGAGCGGACTCGATCCGGCATCAAGTCGTGCTTCGTACCTGCGAGGAGCCAGGATCGAGACAGGGTAGCCGCCGGCCGCCCACGTTTTTATTAAACATGGCCAACTCTAGTGTCGTCCCACGGACGGCTCCTATTGCCATTGCCCCCAAACCCTCCAACTTCAATCCTAGAAGCCGCCACGGCACACCTGGAATAAACGACGTGTATGCAGGTGGCATGAACGGCAATGATTCTGGAGATTCGGATACTCCCTCAAGTGGGAGTTTCCTCTGTGCTTTTTGCATGCGTCGCAAGATCAAGTGTGTGATGAGCGAGGACGACGATAGCTCATGCGTCTCGTGTCAGGCCAATGGCGTCGAATGCTCGCTGAACCAGAGTCCCCAGCCGCTGAAAAGGAAGCTGGCACGCGACTTCGTTGATGATAGCGGACGCGGGTAAGCTTCACCCATATCTTTCCTGACCCCCATGTTATTTCATCATCATGCTTTGGCAATTTGGCCAATCCACGCGCTGCGGCGTAAGAAACCCTAACTGAACTTGGCTGACGTGCCATTGGCTCAAATAGATCCCCTGGTCGGCATGATAACAGAAGACTGCGGCAAGAGGCGTTCAGTCTTTCTAGCACCGCTGCCAGCAGTTCTCTGATCGAAGATATGGCTAATTTCGGGGGGCCTGCTTTACTAAAAAGAACTCTCGGACTTCAAAATGATCGGTTCAGTCAGTATATCGGACCGACGACAGACTTCGAGCCGTCGTTGATCAACCTCTCACCATTTGACCCTCAAGATGAAAGTCTGCTTGCCAGAGGGACTCTTCGAAAGGTCAGTGATCAGGATACGTTTCTACTGCTGCCAGACAGCACAGCTCCACACTATGATCGCCAGATCGAGGACGTCGATGAGATCGAGAGGCTTGTCTCTCCAAACGGTCGCAACCTGATCGACCTGTACTTCGACGTTGTCCACCCTTCTTTCCCTATCATCCAGAAGGAGGTCTTTCTCGAAAAGTATGAGCGGTCGTATCGTGAATTCTCGCCGCCTTTGCTTGCTGCTGTTTATCTCCTAGCAATCAACTGGTGGGATCAATCTGAGGATCTCTCATCGCAGCCGCGTCCAAACGTGAAAGAATTGGAAAGACTGATGAGGTCTTCCCTTGCTGATGCTATGTGGAGACCAAAACTTTCCACCGTCCAAGCCGGCCTACTACTCTCGCAGCGGCCAGAAGGAGACCAATGGGCGCCAACGGCTCAGCTGGTAGCCATCGCACAGGAGCTCGGTCTTCACCTCGACTGCAGCCATTGGAAGATCCCACTTTGGGAGAAGGGACTGAGAAAGAGACTTGCCTGGGCCTTGTACATGCAGGACAAATGGGGGGCGCTCGTCCATGGGCGTCCATCCCATATCTTCGGGTCTAACTGGATAGTGCAGCCTCTACTTCCTGGGGATTTCCCGGAGGCCGACTACGACGAGGAGGACGCTGAAGAGAGGCTGGAAATCGAGCGCGGCAGGACGTTGTTTGTTCAGATGGTACAATTGTCGCAGATCCTCGCCGAAATCCTTGATACATTCTATACCCTCCAGGCTATGCAGAACGTCACCAATGCTGGAGCCCAAGGCATCCACCTTGTGCTGTCGCTAGCAAAGCCGATACAGTTGAAGCTGAAGGAATGGTATTCGTCCATACCTGCGGTCATCCGAATGGATTCATCCCTGTCGGCCATGTCATCCGCGCGGCTTTCGAGTATCGGACACATACACTTGGCATATTTCGCCACCGAAATCACGTTGCACCGCCGGATAATTCGCTCACTTGCGGCCGACGAGCAAGCGGTAGACTTCTACCTTCTGCAGATCTGCAGGAGTGCGGCAAAGGCAAGGCTGATCTCTGCAATGGACTTTGTCAATAGGTTGACACCGAACCACCTTCGAGCGTTCTGGTACTTCGCATCGAAGACGAACTTTGCGCTGATCGGCACCTTCGGCTCCCTCCTGTGGGCCACGTCGCCGGGCCGCGAAGAAGCGGACTGGTACCAGCGCAGGCTCGCGGAGTACCGCTGGACTCTGAGCGTCAGTAGCAAGCCCGGCGAGGGCAAGGGCTTGACCATGTTCGCCATGGGCATGCTCGACATCTCGACGGGTCTGCTCAAGAAGCTCCCCGAAAAGCCCGAGCTCAGCCGCAGCGGCAGCACCGTCGAGATGGACGCCGGCCGGAGGCAGAGCTTGCTGTCGATGAGCATGTCGGGCATGCGCATGGAGTTCCAGAGCGGCATGGCCAGCGGCGACGTCAGCGGTGCCGTGAGCCCCGGCAGCCAGAGCGACGACAGCAGCGACGAGATGTACGAGACCTTTGCCCCGACCAGCGGCATGGCCTCGATGCGGGACTGAGGACGAGTCGCGAAGAGCAGGATATGAAATTTCGCTCCGCCACTCAGTGTCCCCAGGCTTCACGAACTATACCCCGGAAGCGGGAGGGCGAGAGAGCGGTTAGAGTAAATATACATTTCCTGCAGCTGGCTGCGCGGCTGATGCGGTTGGGGGCTATTACGCCATTTACCCCGGACCTCTTACCATCGCCAATGGCGAGCTACTGGCGTGCTCTGTCACAATGGGCCAGCTTCGGCTCAATTGGGATGTGCTTTTGCTTTTCCATTTGTCACGGATACCCCCCCAATTTAGAGAGTATCTTTTTTGATTCCCAGGCTTCCGACTAGAGGGACGCTGTTTCTGTCGCTGTTACTTTACGTACATCGTCGTCGTCCGCGGCCTGGGCTGGTCTTGGTTTGGAAACGAAGGGGCATGATTGATCTGCATGGATTACACAAAAATACCTGGACGGGCGTTTGTGCATAAATGACGATGTTTGTTTCACGAGGCGTGGGATGGATGGCGGTAGGGTAGATTGTCACGAACCGAACTGATATCATGAATTGACGTGTATGCATGAGCATTATCCATAAATAGATTCTACTTTGCCAGTGCCTTGGAAATGTGTTTCAGCCCAGTGCGCTTCAGTATTTCGTCTCTCAGATCGTTGCCCAGTTGCCTTGCATGTAGACAGACCCCCTTTGGTATCCGCTCATCAAGCGCAATTGCATGCTCATTGATCCAGTGTTCCTCCATAGGCTCAAGTAGCTATCTAGGTAGGATGCCCTCATGGGAAGATGTTTCGACATGCGATGCTATTTGATACATACGGAAAATCAAACAGCAGAATTCTGGAAGGCCCTCTTACTGTGCATATGAAGCAACCGTGCATCAAGTCACCCCGTCGTTCCGGGAGTTACTCCAACCAGGATTTTTCGCTGGCTCGCCTTGTCCGTGCAAATGCAGGTATACCTTTCATCCAGTACGTAGAGCCTGGGAAGACACCACTTCCAGCAAGCGCTTGTTGCGACCCCTTGACGGGGACTTCGGCTCAGGGGCAACCGGAGATTCATGAGCAGCACCAGCGGAGCCACAATGGCCGCAGTCCCAGACGAAGGTGCAAATCCATGGTGTATCTACCACGTCTTCTCCAGAAACTCGCTGGTCGCGCGCCTGAAGGAGGTTCTCAGAGTGCAAGAACGCTGGAATCAGATGGTTGGCCTACCAAGGACCAGACTGTTGGCTGACTTTCGCGACATGAATGCGCGCGACGAAGTGAGCCATATCTGAAGGCCCCGGGGAAAAAAAAGTTCAGGCGGGTAGCCCTGCATGCAACAAGTCTACGAATGAGCCTACATTGATAGGGGTCGCACGCATAAAAGGAAAAAGGCCAAGAACATCCGGATATGAACCCGCGACCCTCGCCCCCAGCCGCTTTTTCCGATTCTACTGCTTTAAAAAGGCAGCCAAAAATATATATTCGATCATTTCGATGTTCGATATTGAATGAGTGTATATATATATTCGATCGTGTTGGAACATTGGAGAGAAGAGCTCCCTTTAACCGTATCGAAGTTTCTAACCATTCGACCAACTTGGATTTTTTTCGATTGCCCGTAGGCGAAAATCCATCCACTTGTTGTACCCTATAAGGTCTCCTAGGTTTCCAATTAGTTTGGTGCTAGGGGTTGCTGGGTGGTGATGGTGTGCTTGCTGGCGTTTGGTGTTGCCCGGGGGTACTCGTGGCGGTGGTTACCCCTGACGCGGCGGGCGCCCTTGGCGGCACAGCTGGGAGGTGGCTCACGTCAGGATTGACTTGGCCGAAGACACCGTGAATGAAATCGAAAGAATAGATATGTCGAGTGAACGCCGATTTGCGCGATGCCAAATATTGAGATCAAGGGCCGTCGAGACCTGCATCGGCTGTCGGGTGTGCTGATGGGGTCTTCACGCAGCAGAGTGAGCGTCCCCGTAGCTGAGAAGCCAAGTATGGAAGGAAATCGAGAAGAAAGTCGGTGCAAGAATCCCTCATTCCCGGAAAGTATCAATGAGGATAAGCTAGGTTGTTGAAGCGAGCTGTAAGAAAAGGGCGTGGGACCATTGTGACGTGACTTGAACTGATCTGGAGTGACGTGCTCTGGAAGACGAGCAGTTGGCTACCTTGCACATTCAGAGTGGACTGATGCAGAAGTTTGCTGGATTTTGCATGCTGCAAATTCCGTCGCCCCGGGGACGGACGCTTTTGGTCGAGTCCAGTATGAGACTGGGTGGTGTAGCAATCCACGCGTTTCCTCCTTGCAGGCCGAAGTCAATCCTCCCACCTGGCCAGATCACTTGGATTGTAGCTGCCCGGGATCTTCCGAGTCTGTGAATGCTGTGTCTGGTGGACTGAGGGCTGATGGAATTCGATGCCGACTTCTGAGGTAGCCTGTTCTACGTGTTGCTTAGGGAGAGCGCTGTGGCCAGTCGCACGCATAGCATAGACACCTTCAGGACTTTGGGGGAAACCTTGTGTCGGCTTCACTAGCAGAGGGGGGGTTCCAAAGATGGGGAGAGAGGGCAAGGCGCACTTGATTTGATTTCCTCGGTGGTGGTTTTGTCCCTAGGAAGGAGATGTGAGGTCCCCGTAGACCGCGGATCAGCGGCAGCCCCGATCAATATATCTTACAACTTCCAACGCGTCTCATTTCCAATTGCCACCACTTTCACCAGTTCCTTTTCTCTCTGCCTCGAGCATGGCATCAAACTCCTTCTGCGCCTGGCTTTTGGCATAGTCTTTCGCCTCGTCAGCTTCATTGTAAGAATAACTGTCCCGCGGTAATGTCTGGTCCTTGTCTTTCACAGTCGACGCAGCGTCCTGACGTAATCGACTCCACGATGTACCCTGACCAGACCCGTCCCTTTTGGCAGATGGTGAATCTCCAGGCTTAGCCTGTTGTCGCAGACGATCCCATGCTGAAGCCCCGCCGACGGGCTCAGGTCTCCCTTCACGTTCCGTCCGCCTGGCAGCAGCTGCGACAGGGGAAGCATCATCATCTTCAAACAGGCCCGCATCTGTCCATGAGCTTGATTGGTCGGCTTGTCTGGTCTGTTGCGAAGAAGGTTCGGCTGACTGCGCTGGCTGTTGGCTTTCGGTGTAACCCCATTCAGCAGGAGCAGTGGATTCTTGACTCTGCCAAGGTTGGGATTGCTGCCTCTGCTGACCCATCCGTCTCACCTCTTCTGGTGATGGTGGGGGAAGGCCGACCCTACGATACGTGTCGTCTCGTCGCTCTGCATCAGAAAGGTCAGGCGGCTGGCGCTGCGGCTCCTGAGACGCAAACTCCGGGCGCGGTCTCCTGCGGGCGCCCTTGGGGTCGACCAATCTCATGATTGCGTCGTTGACGCGTGCCATCCTCTGGTCGGAGACGGTGTCGGCAGCGATGCTCATCCGGATGATGGATGCGTAGAAGAGGCCAGTCCCAGTCTTGACCAACTGGAAGTAGGCGAGAAATCTGAGGGCGTGCCAGGTAGCCACCGCACTGGTGCCTTTCAGGAAGGACACGCGCCGGGTCGGGAAAGACGAAGGGCTGAACCATGTATCCGGGTTTGGGGTGTAGAAAGGGAACCTGAAGTTTGTGCGGTTGTTGTACACAATAGCGGCCGTGATGGTAGAAGCCATGGGGATAGCCCAGGCGGAGCGGTTGTAGTTCTTGGCCGAGGTCTGGGAGATGGCGTCTATCTCGGACTGGGAGAGCCTGAGATTGCTTTGCACGGCGATGCGCACAGTATTCGAGATGATAAAGTTGGAGCGCTTGGCCATGTCGACGCCGAACATGGGCGCCCAGCTCTGCAAGGGCGAGAGCCTGTCAAAGTGGATGGTGGCGCCATCCTCAAAGCACTTGTTCTCGATGGCCGTTTGCTTGAAGGGGTTGGCCGCGGGCCAAGATGCCCTGGGTGTAGCTTCAGAGGGCAAGTCCCTGAATATATTCTTGACAGCCTTCTCGACGTCCATGATGGCACATGCTAGGGCAAAGACGTGAAGGACAGACAGCGGGCGGGTGAATGAAATCCGCAGGGACCGGATCACTCGCCAGGCCGGAGTTCGAAATGCCGAATCAAGTCAAGTGAAGCTCAGCCGACGTCGCCGAGCTCTGTGTGATGACGCTGTCCAGGTCCACGGGTATTGCTGAACCCACACTCGCCAAGCTACTGGCCAAACCGGGCACCTCGCTGGCCCAAGCTCCCAGCTGTCCACAGCGCAACAGCACCCCCGAGGGCCCACTAATTGTCCAATGATGGCGGGCGGTTGGCGGGGTAGTACAGAAGGTCCACAGGTGGTCGCGCGTGCGCGTTAGTTGGGTGTCATCCTTGGCTACCGGGTCCCTTAAGGGAGTTCGGTTTGGTTGGTTGCTTTTGATTACCGACGCGCTCGTCGCGTCTTCCCACTTTACGGGCCCCGGATCACTATCACCGAGCACCACACTCAGCCCATCAACCAGCACAGGCTCCGGGAGAGTGTGCCAATTGACACCAAACATCGGCCAGTCTGAGCGGCCCTTGACTGTCGCCCGTGTTTATCAATACTGTACCTTTGTCAGACCTGTGCGCCCCTCTAGACCCCGGCTTCGACACATAATCACACATATACAAACGCTTGCTTCTAGGTCTGCATTCTGAAGCATAGCATCGGAGCTAAATGGAGTCGACGCAGTGATTGTCTGCTGCTCTCTCAGTCTACGATACCGAGATGCCCCTCCAGAAGTCCTTCTCCGAGCAGAACGGCTCATCGAGGAATCGCAGCAACTGGCACCGTTCAAAGAGCCATACTGGTGTCAACACGTCGACCCGCCCTCCTCCACCTGCAAAACCACTCGAACCCGTCTCCGAGACCAGCAGGAACAAACTACATGCGTTCGAATACCGCCCACCCGCGAGGGACGTCGAGCCTGCCGACGAGCATGTAGAGACTGCTGCTACCAAGAAGAACGCCTCCGACCTGGATCCAGCCAAGACGTCCGCCGTTCCGCCCCGACATGTTGACCAGACGGCCATGACGCCAGTTGCCAAGTTGGCATGGCAAGACCTTATAGGCATGCGCGATGCCGAGGAAGAAGAGGAAGACACCAGCCCGAGCGAGCGCATCTTGTGGGAGACGAAACGAGAAGATGGCCAGACCATATCACCATCCATGATGACCCGCAAGCGGAAGCGAGCACGCAGCTCCTCGCCCGTCTCCTCCCCCCTGAGCCATTCAAAACCGACAACCCCCGCAGTGAATCTGAAGAAGCTGGCACAGGCCGCCAAATCTTCACATGCCGACCCGGCCCTCGAACTGTGGGATCGCTTCACCCTCAGTGGCTCCACATCGGTGACCCCTAGGGGAGGTGCCAACCCGGCCCTGGCCCAGATCATGGTGTCGTCCTCGCCACAGCCCTCAAGAGTACTGTCTGGAGGAACCAAGGCGCCCGGTACACCGTCGGGAAGCGGCCTGAGGCGAGCAATCAGTTGTGGCGCGAATTGGCCTAAGCGCAGGCGAGGAGATCGTCCGGATACTGCAACGCCACTGGCGCCTATACAGGATCAGAGCCCAAGCGAAGGGACAAAGTCTTCCATGGTGAACGCGTTATTACGGAGTGTCAATGGCGAAATTAACAGGTCGAAAGCCATCCAGAATCGGCAGGAGTCAATGAGGTCTCCATCACCCAAAAAGCAATCCAAGTACTCCCCAGGACTACACGAATCGCCTACAAGAAAAGTAGTGCCACCGAGGCCACCACCGCCGCTATTCAAGTCTCCACCAAAGGTCAATTTGTCGCACAACCCCACAGCACATGTCCCAGCCTTGCATGACGGGGATTCATCTGACTATGGCGAGGATGACTTTGACGATAATGCTCTTATGGAACTTGACGCGACTTTGGCACCGCCTGACGAGAGTACGAGTTCAGCGGCACGCGCACCAGATACGATTATCACACAACCGGATCGCGTCTTAGGAAACCCTCCCAATTCAGATGACGATGAGTTTGGTGAATTAGATGACGATGTATTTGCTGCAGCGGAGGACTTGATTGCTGGCATTGATTTAAGCCATAGCTCTCTTGGTCGCTCGGGGGGGGCAGCAGACCGGCCTGTAGACACAGGCCTGAAGGCTGTATCGGGTAATCAAGCACAAGACTCGGGTGATGACGCATTTGAGGACGATTTTGGGGACGACTTTGACTTCGAGGCCGCTGAAATCTCGGCCACACAGACAGCTAGGCAGATGAGTAGTGCCAGCGGCGCCCTGCCTCCTGTACGTACGTAAAATAGATGAATATTGAAGATTTGCTAAACTATGGTTGTAGGCATCACATAAGCCTAGAGCGATCCAACGATACCTAGTGACCAAGGTCCTGCAGAGCGAGTTTCTGGATGATAATGGGAGATCGTTTTCAGAAAAGGTAAGTGGTATTGCGAACTCCTAACGCCCATATGCTCACGACTCCAGATCCTGTTTATCCAGGTTGATCGAAGTAATGTAATGAAGACTATCCATCTTCGGGGCGACTGGGTCGAAACGCCTGTCAGCGATAAAGCTTTCGTGCATGTCATCGGCGTCTTCGAACCAACGGGACAATGCATAATCGATAATAACCACAATATCCTTATTCTGCATCCCGACCAGTTGATATCAGCAACGGTTGTAGCGGATAGCTTCACTTGCATGCGGCGGGCTGTGCTCCAGGACCGTGTCAAGGCAACTAGCGAGGCTTCCGCACCATTAGTCTACGGCACTTTGTTACATGAGATATTCCAGGAGGCAATGATGACCAATGACTGGAGCATGTCGTTTCTCGACTCACTGATCCTGAAGATTACTGAGAAACATGTGGAGGATCTGTACAAGATCAAGGTGTCGATGAACGATGCTCGAGAACACCTGAGATCGAAAATGACGGAGTTGAGGTGCTGGGCCTCGGCATTTGTGTCTGATAAACCCAAGGTCAGTTTAGAATATTCATATGCGCCATTTCCGGAAAACTAACATAAACCTTAGCCTGACGCGGTTGTGCAGGGCCGCAACGGAGACAAGGCAGTCATGTGTGTGAGCAAGTTGCTTGATGTTGAGGAACATGTGTGGTCACCCCTGTACGGGTTGAAAGGCAACATCGACGCCACTGTACAAGTCACCATGAAAGATGGTACCCAACAACGAACTTTGACGGTGCCTTTCGAGGTCAAGACGGGAAAGAATGCAACAGCCAATCACCAGGCCCAGACGTCGCTCTACAATCTGCTCTTGTCGGATCGCTACGACATTGAGATAGCCTATGGCATCCTTTACTACATGGAAACCTCAAAAGTTACCCGCATCCCGACCATCCGCCATGAACTTCGCCACATGATCATGCAGCGGAATCAGTTGGCCTGCCACGTTCGAGAACGCAGTGTGCAACTTCCACCAATGAAGCGAAGCACCAATACTTGTGGCAATTGCTACGCAAAAGTGTCCTGCTTCATCTACCACAAACTGGCAGACGATGGCGATGTGGAGACAAGTGGCGTGAAGAACAAGTTCGACGAGGTCGTCAAGCACTTGACAACGACACACCAACAGTTTTTCCTGAAATGGGAAGATTTGTTGACCAAAGAAGAGAAGGAAAGTCAGAAACTGCGGCGCGAGCTGTGGACGATGTTGAGCTCAGAGCGTGAAAAGGTCGGTAGATGTTTTGCCAACGTTCTGATCGAAGAAGGCTCTGCATTTGAGGAGAAAGACAGTCCCAAGATCAACCGCTACAAGTACTCGTTCATCAAAGACACTCCACCGGCAGGTTTCTCTTTTCTGGATTCCCAGCTGGCTGTTGGTGAACCCATCGTAGTCTCGGATGAGCAAGGGCATTTTGCTTTGGCACTGGGCTTCGTCACTTCAGTGAGGAAGCAACGAATCAGTGTAGCTGTGGACCGGCGGCTGCACAATGCTCGTATTCGTCGGCCAGGATTCAATGAGACGAGCAACCAGGTGTTTGCCAGCATCATGGAGGTCGTACCGGAAGGGGCGCCGCCCACAGCATCACAAGGCAAAATCAAGAAATCCCCCATCCGCTACAGACTCGACAAAGACGAATTCAGCAATGGGATGGCAACCGTCCGCAACAATCTTGTGCAGATCATGGCGAATGACATCTTTGGCTCAAGAGAAATTCGTCGCTTAGTAGTCGATCTTGCACCGCCAACATTCAAAGCCGCATCTACGCAGTACAGTATCAATGGTCAGGAAAGCCTCAATGTTGACCAAAAAAAGGCGATCGAGAAGGTCATGAGTGCCAATGATTATGCCTTGGTACTTGGCATGCCCGGAACTGGTAAAACTACAACCATAGCACACATCATCCGAGCTCTTGTCAGTCAAGGCAAGAGCGTACTCCTAACTTCTTACACGCACTCGGCAGTTGACAATATTTTACTGAAGCTCAAAAAGGACAGCATGCGGATCCTGCGCCTTGGAGCTCCAGCTAAGGTCCATCCTGAGGTACAAGACTTTGCCATCCTGGCAGGGCAGCCAATGGATACTTTTGAGCAAATACATGATGCTTGGCACGGAACCCCTATTGTTGCTACAACATGCCTAGGTGTAAACCATCCAGTTTTCAACGAACGAACCTTCGACTACTGCATTGTCGATGAGGCATCACAGATTACCTTGCCCATCTGTCTGGGTCCTATCAGGCTAGCGCGGACGTTCGTCCTCGTCGGAGACCACAATCAACTACCCCCACTGGTCCAAAACGAAGATGCCAGAATAGGAGGCTTGGACATCAGTCTGTTCAAGCTTCTCTCAGATACGCACCCGGACTCGGTTGTGAACCTTGAGCATCAATACCGTATGTGTGAGGATGTCATGACTCTGAGCAATACTCTGATCTATAATGGCCGGCTGAAATGCGGCACTGAAGCCCTTCGCCATCAGAAGCTGGAGATTCCCAACATGGATGCCGTCCGCCAAAAGCATTACGACGCCTCGACAATTGCTCGATTCAGTACGCCGCGTTCATTCTGCACAAACTGGACGAATCCCTCATGTTGGCTTCGCTCTTTGATCGACCCCCAAGCCCCGGTTCGTTTCATCAACACAGACGCCTTGCCTGACGCGCGCGAGGAGGCCAAAGGAAATCGCATTGTCAACCCCACCGAGGCTCGCATCGTGACCCAGCTCGTCGATGCCTTCCTCTCCGTTGGCGTGCCTGCGTCTGAGATTGGTGTCATGACGCATTATCGAAGCCAACTTTCTGTGTTGAAGCATAATCTACGCGGCCACGGTTCAAATATCGAGCTGCACACTGCAGACCGGTTTCAAGGGCGCGATAAGGAGGTCATAGTGCTCTCTCTGGTTCGTTCGAACGAGCAGCACAACATTGGTGATCTTCTCAAGGATTGGAGACGCATCAATGTCGCATTCACACGTGCCAAGACGAAGTTGCTTGTGGTCGGCAGCCGCGACACCCTGAGGGGATGTGGCGAGGACGAGATGGTGTCGAGGTTCATCAGGCTGATGGAGGAGAGGAACTGGGTGTATGACCTGCCCAGCGACGCCCTGGAGAGCCACTGGTTTGAGGAAGGCGCAACACAAATTACCGCAACCGGCGAAGGCGCGGTGGTGTCTCAGAGGTCTCAGGATCTGTCACCAGCCAAGAAGATTTCGAAGAAGAGCCCGCTCAAGGGTCGTGTCTCTGCATTCGGGAAGGAGAACATGAGGCCCGTGCCGTTGAAGAGGGGCAAAGTCACTGAGCGGGCTTTGTTGAAAGGCAAGCCCATTTTGACGGATATTTTTAATGACATGATGAGCAGCCCTGGTGGATATTAGATATGGGCGAGGAGCGTGACGGCAACCTGAGAGTTGAAGGTTTGATTATATAAATAGGATTGGTGCTCCTGTTGGGATAGCATCGCTAGAATATCTGCATAACCATCCTATAGTGAGAAGGGCTTCCCGGGAAAAGTGTTTACCTTGTTTTGGCATGAAGAGATCACATTACGATGGGCTATATGGCGCACTTACAAGATCGCATGAAATCAGTCACTGTTCGACGGTCCCTGTAATTAATTCGACAATTACTGGGAATTTGACCGAGAAACAAAATGAGCAACTAGAGATTATTTGTTTACATGGTCAAGGTGTTCTAGTTTTCTGAATCAGTGTACTGGATGCCGCTGATTTAAACTTTAGCTCCCTGTTCAATAGTATAATTCGCGCAGTCCGATTTCGTCGTACGACTTACACATATGCACGGCATCGACAGTTCTCATCTGGCAAACTCCAAGCGCCAAGGCCCTAGAAGTTGCAACAGGACCGAATCAACATCAGGAAATCAAGACGAAGTGACTCAAACTGACTCGCCGTGCCTGATTGATACCCCGAAAAGGTCAAGAGCAATTCCGCAATGCCGGCACTTCCCCACAGCCAGTCCCCTCACTTGGACCGCGTCCCCCACATCGGCTGGCCCTGGAGGCGGCGATCCAAGACAAAACAGAAGAAAAGGAAAATTAGCGATGGCTGGGAGGACCCCGGTGATGACCTCATTCGAGCGATCCCGCGTAAACAACAACCCGTGCGGCCGGCACTGCAACCCTCCTCGCGATGGCTTCTCCGCAGGTGCGGGGAAGTACAAAACCCGCCTCGCCCGCTGCTGCTGTGGCTGCGGCCGGCTCCCGTCGTGAGAAGCGGAAGGCCGATGCGATCTCCGGCAGCAGTAACAGCACGACCACGACCAAGATCGGTGTAGCCATGGCTCTCACAGTGCTTCTCGTCGGGCTGCTCGTCCCCCTGGGCTTCAGCCCCTTCTCTCGGACCGCTTCGGCGCGGGAGCTCCCGGCCTTGGCCCAGGTCATAGACCAGAAGAGCTTCAACGTCCTCGAGACGGTGCCGCCCCCCTCTGTGGCCAATGCCTCCACGGTACGTTTGTTGAATGTGATAGATTGATTTATTAAGGAAGCAGAAAGACTTTGCTTCTGAAATTGAGTGCTAATTGGGTTCTCTAGCTGTTCATCTGGCCTGGAGTTACCGAGGAGTCCTTGACGGCAAAGCCATTTCACATCTACGATGACGACTTCTACGAGGTTATCGGCGACAACCCGACCTTGACTCTGCTTGCGCGAACTGAGTCTGATCCCTTGTTTCACGAGGCGGTCGTTTGGTAAGTCCAGCCGATCGACACGAGAGTCGAGCGCGTGCAGAAAAGCTAACACTTGTGTTCAGGTATCCACCTACTGACGAGGTGTTCTTCGTCCAGAATGCCGGAGCCCCTGCTGCGGGAACCGGACTCAACAAGTCGTCCATCATCCAGAAGATTTCGCTTGCCGAGGCAGACGCCGTCAAAGGTTCCAGGAATGCGACTGGGAACGTGACGGTCACTGTAGTGCCGTCGAACCCGCAGGTTGTCAACCCCAATGGTACAGCTCAATTCTGCAGACATGTCAGTTGTTTTGCGAGTGCTGACTTTTCCAGGCGCCACTTACTACAAGGGAAACATCATCTACGCCGCCGAAGGCCAGGGAGACAACGTGCCGTCCGCTCTCCAGTTGATGAACCCAGTAGAGCCTTACAACACGACCAGTAAGCAGATTTCTTTCTTAGAGCCAAAGCACAGCTGCTAACTCTTTGATGCAGTTCTTGTGAACAACTACTTCGGTAGGCAGTTCAACTCGCTGAACGACATTGCCATCAACCCTCGTAACGGAGACATCTACTTCACCGATACTCTCTACGGCTACCTCCAGGACTTCCGCCCGGCACCTGGCCTGCGAAACCAGGTCTACCGACTGAACGCGGAGACCGGGGCTTTGACTGTTGTCGCTGATGGTTTTGTGTTACCCAACGGTATGGCACCATTGACGCAAGCCTTAACTTTAAATTGGAACTAGAAATACTGACAAGAATTACAGGTCTGACCTTTTCGCCCAGTGGTGGCTACGCTTACGTGACTGATACGGGTATCAACCATGGCTTCTTTGGCTTCAACTACTCGGACCCATCCAGCATGTAAGTCCATGTTGCTCCTCCCTCCCCCTTTTCCACTGCTATACCCGTGATAACCCGAGGCGCTAACACTTTCACCCAGCTACCGCTTCGACGTCGGCGACGACGGCACCTTCGACAATCGCAAGACCTTCGCCTTCGTCGCGTCGGGCGTTCCTGACGGCGTGCACACGGACTCCAAGGGCTTTGTCTACGCCGGATGCGGCGACGGCCTGCACGTCTGGAACCCGTCAGGCACCCTGATCGGCAAGATCTATACGGGCAGCACCGCCGCCAACTTCCAGTTCGCAGGGGACGGCCGTCTCGTCATCATGGGCGAGACCGAGCTGTTCTATGCTACACTGGCTGCAAAGGGCACGCCGCTATACGAATAGGCTGGTAATTGGGACGCGCGGACGTGGATGGCTGCACTAGTCACTAATCTTTATATAATCAAAATGTATTCCTGGAATATATATGCAGCTTAATATGACAATGACAAACTTCGTGCCACTTGCTATGTTCAAACGAAGGACCGAAGGAACTTAGAGAGGCGCCGACGGTCTCTTCAATAGTCGGTTTCCTACGCGTTCAGCTAACTAAGAATTATCTGAATCCCAGAAAGCTCTAACACGTGCGTGAAGGCAAACAAGACGTTCAAATCTTTTGCCTCCCTACGTAAGCATATAAGTGCTAAAAGTAGTTTTCATGTCCGTGGTCGCTTTCAGCTATTCGCGAGAACGGAGATCTCGATGGCCCCACCGGGCACGTTCTTGGATGATTGGCCAATGGGCCTGGTTCGGAAGCGCAACCGAGCTGCCCAGCAAAAGATCTAATGTCGTTAATCACGAACCACCCCACTGTCGCCCTCGATCATGAACGGAAAACGTGCTGAAAGGTTCCCGAGATGCATGCAGGAACAGATAGTTTCGGGAGGGACCCGACTGAGTGGTTCGGTCGTTGGGCGTTCTCCCGGGACCCAGACGCACTACAGCCCCCGGTCTGCTTGATATAAGGACGGATCGCCGCGGTAGAGTGGGATTGGGATCTCCAAGTCCGTCTTCGTGCTTGTCAACGTCGCGCTTCCCTGATACTGAGGCCTCGCCCCGCGCCCTTCGTTGAACTACCAGTCAAGATGCTCTTCAGATGCGCAGCCGTATTTCTGGCGCTGACGCCAACCTCACTCGCGTGGGAATGGGGCAAGTCTGGCAAATGGACGGGTACGCAGCGGATGTCTTGCCATGGCGGTAGCTCGTATATCAACTACACCACCGTGACGGGCTTTTTCCAGCAAGACGACGCGGCTACCGACCCCAGCGGGTTCGATTATGTCAGCACTCCTATCCATGAGGACGCCAGTCGGCTTCGCTGATTCATTGCTAACAAAGTACAGACGAAATCAAACTATGGTCTCATCAACCAAACATACCCTACGGACGCCAAGTTCGACGTGGACGGCACCAAGACACAATGGCAACGTTTTGAGTACTACGTCAACACCCTGAACGTGGAGGCCGACTCCAAGACCCAGTACAAGGTGTTGTTCTTTGCGAGACATGGTGAAGGATACCACAATGCCGCCGAGACCTTCTATGGCACTCCCGCTTGGAACTGCTACTGGTCGGAGCAGGATGGCAACGGTACCGTGACCTGGGCCGATGCCTACCTGACGGAGGCGGGTATCGCGCAGACGACCAAGGCCAACAACTTCTGGAAGGGCCAGCTGAAGGACCAGAAGATGCCCGCGCCTCAGTCGTACTACACCAGCCCGATGAACCGGTGCACCATCACGGCGAACCTGACCTTCAACGGCCTGGATCTGCCGGCCAAGTACCCCTTCGTGCCGACGGTCAAGGAGCTGTTCCGCGAGGGCATCAGCATCCACACGTGCGACCGGCGCTCCAGCAAGAGCCACATCCAGAGCCTGTTCCCGTGGTACCAGTTCGAGGCCGGGTTCACGGAGCACGACGAGCTGTGGAATGGGACGTACGCCGAGACGTCGGCGGCGCAGGCGGTGCGCAGCAAGCGCGTGCTGGACGACGTCTTCAGCGGCGACGAGCACACGTGGATCAGCGTCACCAGCCACTCGGGCGAGATCCGCAGCCTGCTGTCGGTCCTGGGCCACCGCGCCTTCAGCCTGTCGACCGGCCAGGCCATCCCCGTGCTCGTCCGCGCCCAGAACCTCCGCAAGGTCGACGCCCCCACCGCCACCGTCAGCTCCTGGGCCCTCGACCCCACCTGCACCGCGCCGCCCGTCACGAGCATCGCCGGCACCGGGTGTGTGTGCTCGACGGCTTCGTCGACGCTGGCCAGTGCTACCTCTACTATCACTTCTGTGTAGACTAATGGGTGACTTGGACGTGGGTGATGGTTTGGTGTAGAAATAGCCAGTATGATGCTTGAATAACATATAATGCCTAGTATTCAAAAGATGACGTGCATCAAGGTATGAAAATATAGAATTTTGGGGTGAATCAGGCCTTGGCGTTGGAAGGCTGTCAGGTTGCTCTCATTTAGGGCAATAGGCCAGCCTTCACATGCAGATATCTCTCTGTGAAGCATACTGTCAAGGGTGAGTGGAAAGATAATAGTAGTCTCGAATGGCTATTCTTTGGATGCTGGGACCGCAAAGTTGTGACGAGGTGAACGTCAGAAATACTTGTGAATCAGCAGCCAAGGAAGATCATCAGCTCTCTGGTTTTCAGGTAAGGGGTTGGGTGATCGTCAGCAGGCGACCTGTATGGCATTATATCATATCAGCTTGAGATCGAAGGTTGGCTGTTCTAAGTCCCCCTGGACTGCCTCAAGCGCATGCATGGGGAGTTATTATGCGTGTTAATCAGGTACTAGGGTAGGTAAGGGACGGTTTGACTGGTGACTGCGCAATCGCAATAAGGATGGAATCAACGCAATGCTGCATCAAATTAATCAAGCTACTCTTTTACCAATGTGGCGACTCTCAAGCAGCCAAGAGATCCATGTGCAGAATATCCCAAGTTGTTTTTGCTGCAACTGCAGCTTGCCACGTTGTATATGGGTGACCCAGCTGCTCCCAGCTGACGGCATCCAACACTGGCGAGCGAGTACGAGTGACTAGCGTGACTAAGGCGCATCAAATGCACGGGCCTGGCGATGCAGGCGGCTGTTGGAATTCAGGCCAATCATGGGTAGCAGAGCCTGATGGATGCCGAGGGCAGACACGGCGGGATGGGGGATATGGCATATGGCCCATCATGGGATGGATATGGAGTTCGCCCGAAGAGTCGCCCGCCGCCTTGTTGCCCAATTGTGAATTGTGAATTGAGACCTACCAGTCAATTCATTCATCGTCGACAGCCATACAGACAAGGATACCTCACTTCTACCGCTGCAATCGCCCGCCTCGTCCGCGCGCGCTCCCCTTGCTTTTTGCCCCCCCTCCTCCAACGAACCCTTTCCGTCGACGGTAGCACCAGTTGTCGAAGGTAGGACCTGACTGGCAAACCCAGGCGTGGTCTGTCCAAGTATCTGTCCAGTAGGGAACCAGATAGCGTGGTAGCGCGGTAGCGTGGTGGTGTCCAGTGGGCCGCACCTGGGCAGCCGGTGGACAGCACAGCGCAGCCAGCAGGCACTGACTGCAAAAGCACGGGCCAGCAAGGCCCCAGAATCTTCAAGGCTCAAGGCTCAAGCTGTCAGCCCGCCCGCCAGCCAGCACACACAGAGAGCACACAGCACACAGCACACAGCAACAAAGCACGAGCACTCCTCCTCCCCGTCCTCCCAAGACAGAAACATAACATACCTACATCGTCACCATCATCGGCAACGGTCCCCCCATCACCTCCCGCACCCGACTGGCCAAACCCATCCAGGCTACTGGCGACGAGCGCATGACTCCCGTGACCGCCCATCTACGGAGTCTGCGCATAGTCTCCCTCTCCCTCTGCCTCTCCGCCCCTGCACAGCGTCACTCTGCCTGACCATCCACACGACACACCCTCCTCGTGCTGCCGTGCATCGCCTGAGCCCGGCCGCCCAGCCGCCCAGCCGCCCACGCCCGCCCAAGCTGCCCCGACGCGCACCGGAGGACGACAGCGAGGCGCAAAGGGAGCTTCATTCGGTTCGCCGCCAGCCTTCCCTCCCGAACCGCGTTCCGCACCTCCTCCCCCCGCAAACCTTATAACGACCCTCATGGTCCCTCCACCTCCGCCTGCCTCCCAGTCACAAACTTCAGGCAGGTCAGGAACCTTCTCCCCCGTCCCGCCCGGCCAGCCTCTGCAGACCGCCGGCGTCAGCTCTGCAGCGAGCTCCATCATCGGTAGCCCAACCGGCAGCCATCGATACGACCGATCCACCACCTCCGTCACCGTGACCCAGGTCTCTGTCCTCTTGGGTCAGCTGCAAAACGACATTGCGAACCGTACCAAAGTCACAGACCAGTTACAGAAAGTATGTTTGCCCTGTCCCATACCCCACTGTGCCACACGCGCTGTGTGAAGCACATGATCCCTAAGCACCCCCGAATTTCCCATCAGTGCTAACTCGGCCCCTTCCCCTCCCCTAGCTCATCAATGACAACGGCATGGAAGTCTTCTCGAAATACTTCACCAAGCTGGTGAACCAGAATGCCGGCGCCATCTGGCCCGGCATCAACCGGCCGGCCTCGAGCCCCGGCAACTACTCTCTGCTGGCCGCCGAGATGGCCAAGATCTCACATGACCTGGACCAGGCCCCAAAGATAGCCGAGTCGATCGAGAACGGCACCGAGGACCTGTTCCGCGTCAACTTTGATCTGTCCACCTTCATGGAACACTTCAAGCTGGATGCCTTGGAGAAAACGATACTGGCCCTGGCCTTCAAGTTCGGTCCCAGCCAGGATCTTAAGCTGAAAGGTACGTTTGATTCCGACCCCCGTTACCCTGCCCCTTACTCGTCCCGGTGCTGACACGTGCCTCTTCTCTTAGCCGATGCCATTCTTGCCACAAATTTCCCTACCTTTGTGAATATCATTGCTCGGCCTGACTACGGCGCGCATAGCGATTTGACCGCCGAATCTATCTCTACCATCCTCGATCGCTTCATCCAAGGCCACCCGCCAACCTTTACTCCCACCGCCAAGTCGGAGCTCATCCACAAGGTCAAGTCACGCTGGGCGCAGCCTGACCAGACGCCGCCTTTGGAAGTGCTGGCTTCACTGGACCTGCTCCGTGTTTTGGGTGATAAGTCCCCCTGCGCGCTTGCCTCGTACATACAGCGGGTTGGCACCGACTTCACGCGCGACGAGGAAACGTGCTATGGGTACCTTCAGAAGCGTACAGACAACATTGGGTTGAGCACGGAACAGGTCTCCTCCGCACTGACATATACCGCCGTCAGCCAGACACCAAGATTCAACGCCTCTGTCCTGGTTGCTGCCCTGCGGCGAGTTCTCCCGCCTTCGTTTGTTTGGCAGGACGTCGTGGCGTACTTCGACCAGCGCGACGTTAGGGTGTCGCCGGAACAGTTTTTACGCCTTTACCACGCCTTGTTACCCCTCGCCCAGCCTACTGACTCAACCGAACAACTCGACATACAAGTGCTCTGGGGAGGCCTGCACTGGGAATATCCCGAGACCCAGCTGGCTTTCATCTGCGCATTCGCGTCCCTGACACCGGAGCAATTGGATGCCACGACCATCCCCGGCCTACAGCCAACCTTCACTCTCGCTGAGTATGATCAATCACCTCCAGCAGCGCGTGAGAGAGCTGCCGTGGCCGTGAAGCATCCACTTGTATCAGTCGCCGCACTCTCGGCTATCTTCCAGGTTGCTCTTGACTCTATCCACGCATCGCAGGGTCCCGAGGCGAAACGGCTATTCCAACAAGTTGTCATTCCCAATCTCGACATCTTCCTTGTTTCAGCCTTCGGCGTACCCAAGCCTTGGACGTTGATGGCTACCGAGACTTTGACATCTCTCTTCGCAGAGTTTCTGTACAAGGGTCCTGAGGCTAGTGTCTTCGTCATGGACAGTCTCTGGAGGAAAGACAAGGACTGGGTTCGTCAGCGTCTCATTGATGCCCACGCGGTCAAGCCCCTAGATTTGGCCACCATCTTTGAGCATGCTGTGAGGCACAACTGGCTTGAGGATTTGGTATACCTGCCTAACGGCTTTGGTTACGACATTGCTGCTCTGGCCCACGCTCGCGGTTACCTCAATCTGCAGGAATGGGCCGGCACGATGATGCAGGAGTCCACTGACGTCTCCCGGTCGCTTCTACAATTCTTAATGATCAAGGCGGGCATGGAATTCCGATTTCAGCGCACTCCGGAAGGCCAGGTTCCGCAGAAGGAGAGCACAACACTCCACGTCAAAACCGTGTCGGCCATGCTTCAGATACTCGAGGACTTCATGCCCAAGTCGCCAATCCACGAGATGATCATGATACAACGCCAGTGCATCATCGCATACCCGCGGCTTATAAACTACGGCGAGGGATACGACGACATCATCGACGCCAACGGCGCGGCCGGCAACGCGTTGCCTTCACAGGCCAACGCTAGGATGGAGGAACACTACAAGCACATGTACTCTAATGAGATACAGGTCAAGGATATTGTCGATACCCTCCACCGGTACAAGCACTCACGCGAGCCGCTCGAGCAGGACGTGTTTGCGTGCATAGTTCATGGGCTTTTTGACGAGTATTCTCATTATACCGGTTATCCTCTCGAAGCCCTGGCTACCACTGCAGTGCTCTTTGGTGGTGTGATTTCGCACAAGCTCATCCCTGATTTACCGCTGAAAGTTGGCCTGGGCATGATTCTCGAGGCTGTAAGGGACCACCCGCCTGAACATTCCATGTACAAATTTGGTCTCCAGGCCTTGATGCAGCTGCTCGGCCGTTTCCGAGAATGGCCTGGGTTCTGCAAGCAACTCGTACAGATTCCTGGGCTGCAGGGAACGGAAGCCTGGAAGAAAGCCATCGAGGTCGTGAAGGACCATGAAGAGGACATGGCCCATGGCAAGAACGGCGCAGCGGCTGAGCCTGACATCATGGTTAATGGCAACGGTGGCGGCAGCGATGGGCGAGGTGGTGAGAATCCTACTCCGCCATTCGCATCCATCAGCGCCGACCCAGCGCCTGCGAATCTGCACTACGACGACCCCGACGAAACTGTTCAGGATTCGATACAGTTTGGTCTCAACAACCTGACCGCCGCCAAGCTGCAGGCTGTTTTCCAAGAAATCCGAGGCAGCTTCGAACACCGGTATCAGCAATGGTTCGCAAGTCATCTTGTCGAAGAGCGAGCAAAGATGCAGCCCAATTATCATCAGGTCTACCTGGACTTTGTGCGACTCTTCCAAGACAAGTCTCTGAACACTGAGATCTTGAGACAGACCTACATCAGCGTTACACGCATGATCAACTCTGAAAGCACCCTGCAGAACTCTACAGAGCGAACTCACCTGAAGAATCTGGGCGCCTGGCTTGGTCTGCTCACCATTGCCAGAGACCAGCCGATCAAGCACCGCAACATTGCATTCAAGCAGCTTCTCGTAGAAGCGTATGACACGAAGAGGCTCATTGTTGTCATTCCCTTTGTCTGCAAAGTCCTCATTCAAGGTGCTAGGTCCACGGTCTACCGGCCACCGAACCCGTGGTTAATGGACATTCTGCACTTACTTATCGAGCTCTACCACAATGGCGATCTTAAGCTCAACCTGAAGTTCGAGATCGAGGTTCTTTGCAAGGACCTCAACCTCGACCACAACACCATTGAGCCGTCCCAAGAGCTTTCTCAACACCGAGCCCAAGTCGACGAAATCGGCGACCTCACAACCGTCGATGCGCTGGATCAGTTCGACAATCTCTCCCTGAATGGAATGGCCGGCGCTGTCTCTACTGGCCTTTCCCCGCATGCCGTTGTACAGGTGACCATTCCAGATCTCGGACCCCAGCTACAAATCCCACCCGTCAATGAAATGATTGTCAGCACTGCTCGGTTACACGAAATGGTTCGCACGGCACTTACCAGGGCGCTCCAAGAGATCATCACACCTGTTGTTGACAGATCAGTAACTATTGCTGCCATCTCCACACAGCAGATGATCCACAAAGACTTCGTCACCGAGTTGGACGAGGCCCGGATTCGAAACTCGGCCATCACCATGGTCAAAGCTACTGCTGGCAGTTTGGCACTTGTTACTAGTAAGGAGCCACTACGAGCCAACATCACCAACTACATGCGCCAGCTTTCTAGCGAGCTGCAGCAACCTCTTCCCGAAGGCACTCTAATCATGTGTGTCAACTCGAACCTCGAGCTGGCCTGCAGTGTCATTGAGAAGCATGCGGAAGAGAGAGCCCTTCCGGAGATTGAGGAGATGATGGAACAAGAGTTGGAAGCTCGCCGTCGTCACAGGATGCAGAGGCCTAACGAGCCATACTGCGATCCCGGCCTTAGCCGCTGGTCTTTGACCATTCCAAACCCTTACAAGCTTGCCCCCAGTCTGACTGGCCTCACCGCAGAGCAGCTTGCAATCTACGAGGAATTTGGACGACAGTCACGCGCTCCTGCTCCCGCCAACCAGGCTCACGCTGCTTCGGCTTCCGATGCTACTCGCAGTATCGCGAACGAGGTTCTTCAGGATCAGTACAGCTCGGTCCCAAATCTACCAACCCCAGCCGAGACTCCTTCCTTGCCGCACCTACCGACGCAGCTCCCATACCCTGTTCACCAAGCAGCTGTGACGAATGGACGGCCCTCGGTGTCCACCCAGGTGGACGCACGGGCCCTCATTGAGCGGTTTGCCAAACTGCTTGGTGAGCTGCAGCGTGCCGCCATGGAGTCGCGTGAAGAACACTTCACTGATCTCCCAAGGCCTCATGCCGTGTTGGATGCTGTTGATGCCCTCACACAACTGATCATCAGGACCTCCCAAAGTTCTGATGAGTTTGCGGTGTATGCGGCGGAGAAGATCTGTGGAAACCTATTCTCGCAGGTCGACCACACACTCTTCCTCGAGAGTTTAGTCCATGTGCTCGAGTCCTTGTTGAAGATTTCTGCCACCTCTGGCTCCGGCCTTCTTGACAGAGTTCAGACACTCTTCCGTCAGCAACTGCCCCAAAGCTTCCTCAACATCTCTCTCATCACCGCCCTTCTCGGTACGACTCTGGCAGATCTCTTGAGCCTTCAGACTCTCGATGAAGCCGTGTCGCAGGCGCTGGCTAAGAGGGACGAGGGATCCCTGGAGTTTTTCGAAAGGTTGTGGGATCTGACACTTGCCACCGACAGGCCAGTTGCGCTTTACGGTGACTTCCCTGCAAGTCTGTCCCAAGTTTGGCCCTGGATCAACCAGGAGCCTGACCTTGAGGTCTCTCAGCGCTTGAAGTCCAAGATCCTAGGTTCCGGGCTCCTTCCTCCCGGACAAGCTGGAGATTCTCACCAGAACGAGCAGTACGAATACATTTTTGAGGAGTGGGTCCGCCTATGCTATAACCTCAATGCCCCAGAGAAAGCAGTCATCTCATTCGCCAGACAACTTCTGGCAAAGGGCGTCATTGCCAACAAAGACGGGCTTGTATCCTTCATTCGGTATTCGTTGGACATTGCCATCGCCATGAGTGAGCCGGCTTTGCTTGCTGGAGCTAGCGGCCACGATGCCTTCCTCGGTATCGACGCACTGGCTAGACTTGTCGGCATTTTAGCCCATGAGAACATCCTACAACTCAGCGACATGATGGTCGGAGCCATGGCAGTTTTAGATGCCGCCCTCAACATAGGCACACTGGTCCTCAACCATCACCATGTGCAGCGAGGCGAGAACTTCAACTCACGCGCCTTCTTCCGCTTCTATAACATGCTCATGTCCGAGGCGGATGCTGCATTGAACTCCGCTTCAGCCGCCGACCAAGACATCTCCGAGCCACATCGCCGCGAGTTCCTGCTCAGAGCAGCCGACACATTCCTACAGATTGCACCGAACCGCTTCCCTGGGTTCTCCTTCTCCTGGCTGGAACTGATTCAGCACCGACTTTTCATGCCGTACCTGATGAACCTGGACGGCAAGCAGGGCTGGGAACCCTTTTCCAAGATTGTGGTGGCGCTCCTGCGTGACGTCAGCGCATACCTGAACTTCGTCGAGATTCACGATGTTGCCAAGGACTTCATTCGGGCTGCTACCAAGCTCGTTCTGATTTTGCAGCATGACTATCCCGACTTCCTCGCAGCCCATCACGTCCGATTCTGCGCCAATCTCACACCTCACGCTATGCAACTCCGTAACATCATCCTCTTCGCCAATGCGCGCCAGGATGCTGGCGAGACATCGGGTTTATCGGCAGACTATGAGTCCGCCGGAACCTACATACAAGAGAATGGCCTGCTTGGACTCGTGGACCAGCTGCTGGAAAATGGTCCGTCGGAGGATGCTATCGCTCACCTGACCCATGCCATCCACAGGAACGATGGGCGATCATCCGTCTTCGGCAACGTCGCTGTCAGCACAAACACTGCGCTTGTGAACGCTGTGGTACTCTACATCGGCACTTGCGCTGTGAAGCGAGCGGAGGGCAAGGCTGACATTTTCGTCCCTGGCTCTCCCGATGTTGCGACACTGTCCCTTCTCGCCCACGAGCTGAGCCCCGAGTCGCGTTATTTCCTCCTGTCAAGCATGATGGACGAATTACGGGCACCTAGTGCCGTCACTAGCTATTACAGCCAAGTCCTGCTTGAGCTGTGGGGACACGATGTTAATGACCCCGAGGAACTTGATATCCGTCAGCAGATTGCTCGCATCCTTCTCGAGCGCTTCTCGGGCTTCTGGCCACAGCCGTGGGGTCTAGTCTATGTTACTCTCGAACTTGTAAAGAACGAGAAGTACATGTTCTTTGATCAACCATTCATCAAGGCCGATCGAGAGGTTCGCGACCGATTTCAGGCCATCTTCCGTAGCATCGCTGACATTGCCTAGGTCGGAACGCGATTCTTGCAAGTCGCCAACAACGCTCCCTAGCGGGCCGAGTCGCCTTGGTGGCTTACCGAGCGCAGGATTCGGAGTCACGCGAAAAGATCCGCTAGTCTTGGATCTACTGCATCTATTGTTGCAAGACAACGTACGCCGAAACGTACGAAAACAAGACCTTGAATAATCCATATCGCCGCTTGTGGTGCTACCCACATCGGCCCAAGTCACTCGTCGGGCCATTCTCTACCCCATGGTCAACGATGATAAACAACCGCTTGCGACAAAACTATCTTGAGCACTTTGAATCTGGTAATGGAACCTTTTGGGAGGAAGGGGACAAAAACTATGCCTCGGGCAGATCATGATACCACGCTTGGCGTTGAATCGACATGATGGTGATTGGAACGATGAACGGCATTTTAGAGGCGTCATAGGGGGGCAGCATGAATTTTTCTACTTCGACTGTACTTTGGTTTGAGAGGACTGTATGATAGGATTGACTGCTTGGGCAGGTGGTCAAGCCTGCTTCCTTCCCGGATTGTGTATTAATATATAGATCGTGCACACAAGCATCGATCCCCATCCCCATCACTGTCGTGATGTTTTGATTCCCTTGCTCTGATTATCATGTCTGGCTTGTCAAGATCCTTGTTGCGTTGTGGCCCCGGCAGGATGCAGAAGCGCTCAAACGTGAATAAGGAATAATAGGTAATGAAGGGCATATATTACACGGCTTCCCGCAGCCAAAAACTCCAAGCTGAATGTCTAAGGGGCAATGCTGACCGGTGACTGCGTAATCTTCCAACTTGGCAAGATTATTTGCCAGGTGCATTTCATACAGCATGTTTAGGGCCATAGAACACCCGGGTATTCACTTGCCTAGCCAGATTTCCATCTCGCGTACTCCCTACATAGTAGGAAGAAAAGTGGGACTCTATTCCCGGTTTGGATGGGCTTCTTTCTATCTCTTGAGCGACGGAAAAGCAATCGGTCACAGACAGCGAGCAAATCGTAAAACCACGGCGAATATACGGTGTCTTTGCATGATACGATGAAAACATTGCTTTCATCCTTCCGGAGCCAAGGGTGTGGCCGGGCTTTGATGAAAAGTCCGCTCAGCCCTGCTTTGCCGGATCGGACCACCCTCATGGGTCTGCCATGGATCCCCCGGGACTGAAGCCCCACAGGACGGGGACGGGACGTTGGACTGTCTTTGTGTGATTTCGGGACCGTGCCGTAATTCCTGTTGGGTGTCATCAAGTCCGATCCCGAGTGATATAGATATTTTCCGTCTCGGAGAGGTATAAGAGGAACTCGGGATGGCATCATCCTCAAGGTGTGGAAACCCATTCATGAGAAGCCTTTGCACCTGCTCAATAACTATCTTGACATTTCACATACCCCCTACCAGGCCGTTCTTTATATTTATTGCCATTTACCAGCTACCACTTAACATCTGTATTCTACACCATGTCTATACCCGGCCCTAAACGTAGGCTCAAAAGGACTCCACTTGACTATTTGGCAAGATAACGCTAACATTACCGCTTCTCCCAGCTCTACCAGTTCTGGGTAATCTCTTGGACATTGATGTAAATGACGGTCTCGCGTCTTTGATCAAGCTCGGCCAGAAATGGGGTATGATACAGCCTACCACCTCCTATTGCCTCCCTCCAAGCTAACCCTAAATCGCACTGCGCAGGCCCCATATTCTCCCTCACCTTCGCAGGCCGCCGCGAGACCTTTGTCTGCTCGCGCGAGCTGGCAGACCAGCTCTGTGATGAGACACGCTTCCACAAGCTCGTCAACGGACCCGTGGAGAAACTGCGGCCAGTGGCTGGCGATGGGCTTTTCACCGCGCCGCACGGGAACGAGGACTGGGCTATTGCGCATCGCACACTGGTGCCGTTGTTTGGTCCCCTCGGCGTGCGTGACATGTTCGATGGTATGCTCGATATTGCCGGCCAGTTGTGCCTGAAGTGGGCACGGTTCGGAACCAGCACGAGCTTCGACGCGGCGAGCGAGTTCACCAGACTCACGCTGGATACCATTGCCCTGTGCACAATGGACTTTAGGTTCAACAGCTTCTATCGTGAAGGCGATATGCATCCATTTGTCAGCAGCATGGTGGTGAGTTTTTCTGAATCTCTACTATTCGAGGTAACTCGACGAGCCAAGTTTGCTGATGAAGCAATCATATATAGGCTGCACTCTCCGAGGCAGATAAACAAGGTGTCTTACCTGATATGGCAAACTTGTTCCGCAGCAAGAGTATTGCAGAGTACAAGGACCACATCGAAAAGATGAATCAGGTATGCCGCGAGATCATCGCGCATAGAAGGAAGCATCCGAAGGAAGGGAAGCCCCGCGATCTCCTCGACACCATGCTGAATGCAAAAGACGACAAGACTGGCCGTGGGTTGAGCGATCAAAGTGTCATTCACAACTTGCTGACCTTTTTGATCGCCGGGCATGAGACTACAAGCGGTCTGTTGTCTTTTACCTTATATTACCTCCTAGAAAATCCGGAAACTCTGGAGAAGGCCAGGCAGGAAGTGCTCGAGGTGCTGGGAGCTGAGGAGCTCTCTGTGAGACACCTGCAGAAACTACCCTATCTCGACGCGTGTCTCCGCGAATCCCTGCGCCTGTCACCCACCGCACCTGGTTTCACGGTCACGCCTTTCAACAATGAAATCGTCCATGACGGTGACACAGAGTATATACTGCAGAAGGGAAGCCCCTATTTCCTCCTCCTGCACTCGATACACCGAGACACCGCGGTATGGGGCCCTGACGCCGACGAGTTCAAGCCAGAAAGAATGCTCAATGTTGAATTCGACAAACTGCCCAAGAACGCATGGAAGCCATTTGGCAACGGTGTCAGGGGCTGCATTGGCCGCGCCTTCGCGTGGCAGGAGAGCCAGATGATCTTGGCCATGCTATTGAGAGACTTCGATATCCGCAAGGCGGATCCCAACTACAAGTTGAAGATCAAACAGACCCTGACTATCAAGCCCGTGGGCTTTGAGATCAAAGTAAGTCCCAGGGAAACTTGGCGGCCATCGAGCGCATCCACCGGGTCCTTGCGCCAGACGCAATCAGAACGCCATCGAATCCCAAGAGGCCCGGTGTTACAAGGATCCATATCGAACTTACCAAAAGGCCACCCGATCTCGGTCTATTTTGGTTCGAATTCTGGTACATGTGAGGCGCTAGCCAATCGAGTGGCACAGAATTCCGTTGTCAGAGGTTTCTCGTTGCAAGCTACGGGCCCTATGAATGAAGCCCACAAGAACTTGCAACGGGGACACCCAGTCGTCTTTGTAGCTGCTTCATATGATGGGCAACCCGCAGAAAACGCGTCGGAGTTCATGGCATGGTTGAGTAGCCTGGAACCTGGTAGCTTGACCGGGGTCAAGTATGCCGTCTTTGGTTGTGGTAAGTTTCCCGCTACAAGTCGTCTGGACTTGCATAACAATATGGATACATGAGATGGTACAGATGGCTGATCTCGATAACGACAGGAAATCGCGACTGGCAAGCAACGTACTTCAAAGTTCCGAGGGTTCTTGACGAAGGCTTGAGCAAGGCGGGCGCAGAGAGGCTCGTGACAATGGGCATGGCAGACTCCGCAACGAGCGATGTGGTCTCAGAGCTGGAGGATTGGATGCAGGAAAGTCTCTGGCCACGGCTGTCCAAACATTTCAACGTCGCAGAAGGCCCAGCTGCCGTCAAAAGGGGTAGTCCGTCGAATATCACCTTGGGCGAGCCAGCACGCCTCAGCACTAGAAAAGGCTTCGCTAAGGCAACGGTCACAGAGGCCCGGGTACTTTCTGCCCCAGGGGTTTCTCAAAAAAGACACCTTGAACTCCGTCTTCCGGAGGACATGGAGTATGACACTGGTGACCACCTCCAAGTGCTCCCTGCCAACAGCCACACCCTAGTCCAACGCGTCCTGTCGAAGTTCCACATCAGCGCCGATACGACCGTGACGCTGAGCGGTGCAAACTCAATAGGTTTGCCAGTTGGCGTACCCATCACGGCAGGCGACCTATTCACATCCTACGTCGAGCTGGCGCACACGGCGAGCGCCGGGCAGATCAGGTGCATAGCCGACAGCGTGGACGTCGCGGCGGAGGCAACGGGGTCGAAAGCAGAGCTCCAGCGGCTCGCGAACGGCGACTGCTACAAGACCGATATTCTCGAGAGGCATACATCGGTCCTGGACCTGCTGGAGCGGTTCCCGGCAGCCAGGCCGCCCCTATCCGCATTCCTGTCGATGCTCCCACCCATCTGCCCGCGCACCTACTCCATCTCGTCCGCGCCGTCCTGGAAGCCCGGTCACGCGACGCTGACATACTCGGTCGTCGGGCCGCACGACGGCAACATGGCGGGAGCAGCCGCGGATCTGCCTCGCGTCTTCAGGGGCACGTGCTCCAGCTATCTGGCGGCCCTGGAGCCGGGCCACGTGGTGTACGTGCGCAGGGGGGCGCAGAAGAACGCGTTCCGAGCCCCGGCGGTAACGGACGCCTCGGTGCCGTTGATCATGGTCGCGGCGGGGTCCGGGCTCGCACCCTTCCGGGCGATACTGCAGCAGCGCCTTCTCGCGGCCAGCGCGGACGGGGTGTCGAGCAGGCCAGCCCCGGCGCTTCTGTTCTTTGGGTGCCGGGGCCCGGAGCTTGACTCGCTCTACCAGGATGAGCTCGACGTCATGGAACGCGAGGGCATCGTGGAGGTGCGGAGGGCATACAGCCGTGGCGGGGACGGCACGGAAGGCCGATACGTCCAGGACGCCGTTGTGGCGGCCAGGGAGGAGGCTGGCGAGCTTTGGGACCGAGGGGCCCGTGTACTTGTATGCAGTAGTAAGAAGGTCGCGGACGATGTTTTCAGGGTGATGGGGCCGACACTGTTTGAGTTTGATCGTGTGCAAAGCCGAACGAAGAGGCAAGGTTTGGGGGACTGGGGAGATGATATCAGAAGTCAGGGGCGTTGGGTTGCCGAGGTTTTCAATTAATGTTTGATGTGTTACATACTTGGCCTGCAGTTATACAATTCCGTACACAACCATTTTCGAAACAAGGTCCCAGTACGCCATGGGTATCAATCAAAACTCTATCATCAGTCATAACGTCTCAACAGTCATTGCCCTTTTCGCCGCAAGTCAAGGATCGCTTTCAAATGCAGATTTCCCTTCGCGCCCCAGCCAGAGGGACCACCCTCGACCTCAGGTCTCACAGCGACGTACCAGCCCCAAGCACGTCGATCCAGCTCCGAGGCGCTCAGGTGATCAGCCCAGCTATCATATAGCATCCTGAGAGCGCCGAGTAGCCGTCCTAAATTCTCCTCCTTCTCGATATTCATCGCCTTGACCGTCTTCTTCTTCGGTGTCGTTTGCTCCTCGCCGCCTCCGGCTTCTAGTCTGGCCGCGAAGCTCTTGAGGAGATAGCTTCTCGCGGCTTCTGGCCTGTGAACCGGCATTCCGATGACGCCAGCCTCATGGGACCTCGACCCTGATGCTGTGGAAGAAGACTTATTTCTCATGGCCTCGAGGTCAAGTCCCCAGACTGCCTCGCCGCCCACGCTGGCCTGCTCGCCGGTGACTCTGAGCCGCTCGGCTAGGGCCTCCTTGAGACAATTGCGCATGATCCGCCAACGGTCTGGGCCGAGCATGATGCCACCGTACCACCTAGTCATTACGACGAGTGTGTCCACAGCATTCACTTCGCGCATGTTCTTCAGCAGAAAATCGCCACAGCCCGACTCCCCATCATCGAATGACTCCTCCTTTATGGTATGCGAGCCAAACATATCCGGCTTCTTGACGCGATACGCCCAGGCGTTGTGTGAGGCAGTCTGCAGATTGGGAATGGCGTTGAAGAGGGATTGCAGAGTGGTTTGCCGTTGCGAGGCTTGAGTGATCTGCGTGGCCCGTACAATGAAGGTCGATTGCTTGAACGAGACCGGAGAACTCGCTGACCACGACCTGGAGATACTTGCTGCTGTCTCCTTCTCTTGTTTGATACTGTCGCCCGGGTCCGCCGGTTCCGTGACACTTGATGCCACGCTATTTGGCACCTTTGGCGTATGCTCCTCTTCTCCCTTCCACTCGTATCCACTCCTCTTCAACACTGTGATCTCTCTCCCCATGATCTTCAGCCGCGGTTGTCCGTGCCCCCAACCCTCGTCATCCGCACTTGGTCCCTTCTCGAGACCAATGGAGACGGCCTTGCTCCTTGAGTTCGCACTCACGACCGCCTGGGCTAGACTAAGCCTCGAGCTCGGCGGCTGTTCCGGCATTGTGTATCGCAGCAGCTCGACTGCAAATGCTAGCACAAGGGGAGCCCGGTTGGTCACCAGGGTCGTCTCGGCGATGACTTCTTCGTCCGTCTCCAGGGGGAGTACGAGGGACGCCTCGACCTCAGCCGGCGAGAGGGGCGTGGGTCCGTCCAAGAAGCCGGCATCGTCTGAGGCCTTGGAGCGCTTCTGCGCGGACTGCAGGAGCTCGGCGCCGGCCCGTTTGCTTGTCGACGAGGGGTTTGGGTTCTTCAACCGGGCTTTGCAGGCATTGTGTAGAGACCTGGCCGCCTTGGCGTCGGTAATGGCGGCTTCGATATCGGAAAGTGGCGCTTCTGCTATTTGCTGAATGCTGTTACAACATTGCCACCGATTAGCCTCCGATTCCAGCGCTGGTGTCTATGGGCGGACTGGTGATGTGTCACACACCTCCGCAGGTTCTTGGCCTGGAGCGCCTTCACTCGCATCATGGCGTCCTTGATCGGGACCTTGCCCAAGGTCAAGAGCCGAAGAAGCTCTTGGAGATCTTGCTGGGACGCCATTTGTGGGTTGGTGTCGATTGAATATTATGCAGATATATAGTTGCACGAAGCTGGACGCTTCAGCTCATTGAGATGCACTCTCTCATACGCCGGGAAGCCGAAGCCGAGAACGCGTCTGTGTGAATGAATGAATGAGCTGTAACCACGACCAGAAGTAGACGCGTCTTGGGGAAGCTGCTGTGCGTCATCGGCCTGCAGTGCCTGGAGTTAGCCAGCGATGAACCCACCGGCGCCCTGCGGCACAAAATACCCATCCGTGGGCGGCTCTCCCCGCACTATGCAGCCTGCAGCCTGCAGCCTGGCAGCCCACTCAGGTGCGTTCGCGCGCAGGATCGAGCATGGTGAGCGGCACTGAATAGGAGACGCTCATCTGAGGTAGGGTGCACAATTTTATACAATATAGTCAGAGAAATGCATCCCTTTGGGAAAGCACAGCATAATTGTGTTATGTACATGCCTGACCCCTGAGCGTTCCCCAAGGGTCGAGTTGCCATGGGTCTACTATGTACTACTTTGAAGGGTCCCCCAAGTCCCCCAAGGCTCCGTGCTCCACCCCGGACGGCCTTCCAGAATTTGGATTGACGGGAGCCGGCGCGCCGAGTCCGCCAAAAAGCAACCCAGAAAAAAATATCCCAACCATTGCAGATCCGATCGACAAGGAAGCTGCGTCATAACGGTACACGTTCCCGAGGGGTCGAGGGTTAGCTCACGATCCAGGCACTCGCTTCTTGCAGATTGATCAGATCAGCGTATCCGGGCCCTGAATTGGCAGGTGCGCTGCCAGGAGGACAAGCATCCGTCTGGGTCCTCAGTTGTCGACGGAGGGACCGTTCGTTCGATCAATTGGACCAGGAACATAGCCTGTCAGGGGGTCAGCACAGGAGTTCCGGGGGCCAGACAGACGCCGTTACTCAGAGACCCAGCTGTGGCATCCTGGTTGGCAACGTCGGCGGCGACCTCAGGCTGCACCCCAAACTACGGCATCAAGCCGAGTGGACGACGGCCACGGCAGCAACCACCTATTGGACCCGGCCCACCAGAATTCACTCCGGGTGGGATATCGAATCTAGGGGGGAAGTTGTCGACGGTCGTCATGTCGCTGCAACCGGTGCCAGCCCATCATGCGCTTAGAGGCATATCCTTGCTCCGTGGGAGCAGGGCATATCTGAACCAGCTCCCGGCACAGCACACCGGATCACGATCAGTACGCAGGGCATCGTCGGGCATCAGACGATCAGCACCACCTCACAGGAAGACCCAGGCTGCCAAACCACTCCCGTTCAAGCCCGCACCACCCAAGGCTGCATCACCGCCTCCCCCGTCATCGCCTGCAACCCCGGGACCAGAGAGCAGCAATGACAACAGAAGCGGCACCGGTACCGGCAGCAGCGGCGGTGAGGCACCCCGCAAATTCAGCGTAGCCGAGTTGGTGCGCACGCGGTGGATAGCGCTCTTTGGCGCGGGAGCCATGGCCCTGTGCCTGGGCTCCTTCACGGCCTCCTTCGTGTACCTGAACCTCTCGCCGGCGCCCAAGTACGAGACGGGCCACGAGCCCACGGTGCCGACGGGCCGGCCGGGCATCCAGTCGCCGCTGGAGTTCGACCTGCACCTGGACAAGTCGGAGCACCGGTACGGCATCACCAAGCTGCGGCGGCAGCTCGGGGAGCGGGCCACCGGCCACGTGCTCGAGGTCGCCGTCGGCACCGGCCGCAACCTCGAGTTCTACGACTGGGCCGCCGTCACCGCCGCGCACCTCTCGACGGGCGAGCGCAACCGCGGCCTGCTCGAGAAGAGCGGCTGGGGCGCCCGCCGCCTCGAGGACGTCCGCGAGATGCTGTCCTTCACCGGCCTCGACATCAGCGAGACCATGCTGGACATCGGCCTGCGCCGCGTGCGCCAGGTCGTGCCCCACGGCGTCGACCAGATCCCCAAGAAGGCCAGCTTCGCCCAGCAGGCCGGCCAGGGCGGCGGCCACGTCAGCCTGCTGGACGGCAAGCTGCGCATCATCCAAGGGGACGCCCAGGACGGGCTGCCGGCGGGGCCGGGGCCGGCGGGCCGCTACGACACGGTGGTGCAGACGTTCGGGCTGTGCAGCGTGCGCGACCCGGCGCGGCTGTTGGCCAACATGGCACGGGTCGTCGTGCCCGAGACGGGGCGCATCCTGCTGCTGGAGCACGGGCGCAGCTGGTGGGAGCTGGTCAACGGCCTGCTGGACCGCAGCGCGCAGGGCCACTTTGACCGCTTCGGCTGCTGGTGGAACCGCGACATCGAGGACATTGTCGAGCGCGCCCAGGCCGCCGTCCCCGGGCTCGAGGTCGTCGAGATCAGGCGGCCCGGCTGGTCCACCTTGGGCACGCACCTCTGGATCGAGCTGAGGGTGCGCGAGGTCGGGGGGCAGGAGCCCAAGGAAGACGGCCGCAAGCCGGCGGCAGAGGATGGAAAGGGGTGGGCAAGTTGGTTGAACCTGGGTTCCTCTGCCTTGACACCCAAGCCGCAAGGCGAGGCCAAGAAATGAAGTGGCAGTATGTACGTGTACGAAATGTAGAATACCAGGTGCGAGAACCATGTGTACAACATCTCAAGAGCATAGTAGACAGACATTAACGATAATCGACGACGCTAATAGTTTGAAAGGGGAATTTTCTTCTGTTTTTGGAAATGGAACTATCAGTTTTCCTGCTCCTGGCTTTCATCGCTGCCGTTGGCTTGGAGCTCTAGCCTGTGGGATCATCAAACGATCCCTTCTCTACTTGTACAGGTATTTTCTCTAACCACGAAGACCGGCTTTTTGTTTCGCTCTCTCCTAGGTATCGGTACAATTTTGATTCCCGCCCAATCTTCGCGGCCGGTTTCATCCCCCTTTCTCGCAGGGTGCTGGGGAGCTGCGGACTCTTCCAGCCGCGTCGCCCGTTCTCACGCCACGAGGGGTCCACTCTTGAAACTTCTCCTGCCAAAAGACGATTCCCAATGTCTTTTTCTAGCCAGTAGCCAATCCGCTGGCCACGGGGAATGTCACCTCCCAGTATCCAAATCGCCAGAGGTATAATGAGAGTAAGGGGCCTAACCCCTAAGGAAAAACAGAGACCCTGTAGCAAAATCAAGTCCCAATGAAGCGCCAAGAACGCCGATGCAACCCAGTAAAGCAACTTTCTGCCGCGTCGCATCGCGCTCCCCGGTCTACAGTATTATCGTCTTCAATCATACACAACTCGTGGTGTCGAGTCACGACCTAGTAGTCGTTCAAGAGACAGTCGAGCTCGTCGAGCTCAATTGTCTCGGGGCTCCTGTCCCAGTCTAACATGGCGTCGAGCTTGGACCAGCCTTCTGCTTCGCCATCCTTCTTCGGTGGCATGGCGAAACTGGGCCGCATCGCCGGGCTGGTCATATAGGCCATGTGTGGCAGCAAACCGGGAGCGAGGTTGAGGCCTCTTGGTTCGCCAAACAAGGCGTCGTTTTGCATGCCATCGTACACATCCATATTTTCGACAGGGTTGACGGACAGTAAAGACCCGCTCAGCTTCCGCTTCTGCAGACCATCTGCAGTCTGAGTAAACTCCCTCTCATCCTTCTCCAACGGAGGCTCGTCCTTCTGGTTGCGCGACATGGACGACACACGCGGCCGGCCAGACAGCGAGACAGACCCGATGGGTGTACCGGGCATCTGAACATCCTCGTCCATCTCATCGAACTCGGGCGATGAAAGGTCTACCTCGGGGGAGAGACTGAGCTCTCTCCTTCGGTCGTTGTCGGCACTCTCGGCATCCTCGGTTGTCGACGTCGAGCTCGACAGTTCGGGGGTAGCCATCGAGCGCTGAACAGAGGATGGGTCAGGGAGAGGCTGGTGTGGGCAGGTCGTCAAGTAGAAGTAAGTTCGTCTCGGGTGAACCGTCTCGAGCTCCTTGGCGAGGGGGCAAGGAGCCAGAGCAGACCAACAGGAGCGCCTCAGGTAGCCTGACAGGCGCGAGGAGATGATTGCGCACGGGTTTGCCGACCTTGTAGAGTGTAAGCCCATGTCAAATCCCATTTTTAGACGACGAGGTGGTTGAGCACGGATGGACTTACTGTTGGACTATCTTGACTTGGTCGACCAAGACGGTGGCCAGATCCTTGACCAGGTGAGGGCGGTTCCTCGACTCTTGCAGGCGCACAATAACAGCCTCGACTATTTCATCGTGAATACCCTCCAAATCAACTTTCTTCGTGTCGGCTACCCCGGAGGACTCGGTGTCGTCGAGTTCAATCGACATGTGGAGTCCCGGCGACGGCGGGGGTGTTGTCTCATTCTTGGCTGGTTTCGAGGCTTTCGAGGTCGCTGGCTTGGAAGCGTCCTGGCCGTGCGACTTCTTGGCCTTTTTGCTCGGACGCGAGTTGTCGTCCTCTGATACTGATGATAACGAGCGCCTCGACTTGGGCGACATGGTGCTGGGTGTTGTGCTGCTGTGGTTCGCAGGCGACTTGTTGGTCCGGGGATTCGACGACGGGACGTGTATGCCGAGCGAGGGCAACGAGAGTGACTTGCGACGGGTGTCGTACGGCATCTTGACGAGGGGGCTCGAGGGCGGTTGCAAGTCTATCCGGGTAGTCTTATAGTCTATTATGTATGTGGTGGTGGTCGTCAATGCAGCCCGTTGAAACTGTGGCACGGCTGCAGGACGGGGCGGGCCGAGTCAAAACAATGGGGGATGGATGGGGATAGGAGATGGGTATTGATGGAATGTGGTGAGCAAGATACAGCACAGGAATAGTAGTACTACAACAACAATAACAAGGTATCAGGACGGGGGGACGGTGGCTACGGTAAAGGCGGTGGACAGGCGAGATGCATGCACAGGCACAAGCACAAGCACAAGCCAGGAGGCAATGAATGAATCGAAGGGGGTGAGTGAGGGTTGCCGGTAGGGGTAGGGTAGCAAAAGGTGGTAGGTAGGGGAGGAGGGAGGAGGCGGCGTCGATGGATGATGAAAGGCGTCGAGACACTGCGTTTGTCGATGCGACGAATGAACGGGGACCCATATGCGAGAAAGAAAAGAGCGTTCGACTAGAGCCCACACAGCACGCTACAGCTGGGTCGATGGATTATGGGGGGGTGGATGTCGATGGGTGAAGGGATAGGGATGGGATGTGTCAAGGCTGTGGCAGGCGGGCAGGCTACCAGAACCGCGCGAACTCTGACTGGGTCGACGGCAGAGAGAGCAAAGAAAAAAAAAAAAAATCGATGCGAGAAGTGGAGATGCGGAACCAGTGACATCGGGCTGGGCTCTACTGGCGAGGCCATCCCTGTACCTGGCCTGCGCCGAAGCATGGAATCGAAACAGGGATCATTGCTTGCTTCGAGAATGGCTGGGTCCCTCCGCCAGACCCTGATTGGCCCGCGTGCCCGGCCGGGCGTGGTCAAAGTGTTCGTCCTGTCAAGCTTGGTGTTTTAGGGGTCTTCGGGTTTTTCATAAGTCGCCCAGCTATGGCCGGAGCACAACTTGCCACTTGTACGTAATTAGTGGCTCGGATGCGCTGTTTTGCTACGTAGTTTATTGTTGACACGACTCTCTCTCTCCCGAGGTCCGTTGATGACGATAACTGGCCCCGAGGGTTGCCATCGAAACCACAGGCTGATGGGGAAGGGGGGGCATGATGGCGAGGAAGACCAGGGGAAGAGCGGGAAAAAAAAACGTAGATTGAGGGATGGGATAGACTTCAAGTAGCGGTAAGTGTGTAAACGCATAATGCAGTCGCATTGCTTCCCATGGCACAGGCAACGTGCGTCTGCTGCTGCAGGCGCATGTCCAAAAGCAGTCAGGGCACTTCGCATCGCAGCGCTGGTTGGCTGGAACAGCCGGCTATGGAACGCATGCCAAACAGAAAGAGGCGCCGCCAGTGCGAATGGGACGAGGGTCAGTCGTCAGCCTTGCTCCGAAACAGTGTAATTGCGCCGTTTTGTGCAAGGGGGTGATGGATGAGCGAGTCGCCGGAAGAAAAACTCGGAATGAACATGCGACTTACACAGTACTAGGCTGCGGCTGCTTGCACGCACTGCGCAGGGAGGCCCGGAGCGACAAAAAAGAAAAATTTATGCCCGCCTAACGGGAAAGTAGAAGACGAAAAGAAAATTCCACTGTGGAGTCCAAGCTCCTGTGCTGGGCGCTGGCACTTTCAGCTGCCGACAGCCAGCTCGCCCACTCTACTGGGAGGGGGAGGTGCGTGGAGCCTGTGTAACTCGGCATACTTTAGTACCCCTACATAGGTGAAAGTAGTCGTGTGTGACCATTTGCGTGCACCAGACACTCTTTGGCGAGGTTTCACCTAGCCCGCCGTTCGTTCGGCCGTGCAAACTGAGGCCAACCTGAAGGGCCGACCTCCTACTTATGGCACCAACATGGCTTCCAGGGCCCTGTAAGCCCTCGCAACCAAGATACCAACGGGGCCATCACAGAATGATGTGGTGCGTTGCACCCAATCGCACCACAAAGCTTCTGGAAAGTGTGCCTCGTCATATTGATCTGGCTTGAACTTACACAGTAGCTTAGCCCCCCCTCGACAGGTGCATAGTCGATCCTCAATACACATCACTGACACGGTAGTATGACTGCATAGTCGCCGGCGCAACCCCCTTCCTCTATTGTTACTCCATGCTGACGGCACCCGGACCGCATCCTATCGTCGTCTCTGCCTCCTCTGATCGTCGTCGAGCCCAAGACACAGGGAGTTAGGGACACTGTCAGCAACATTCATCCAAGTGCCTTCGCGCTACGTTGCTAGCGAGAGCCTCGGATGGATTGCCGCGGCCACTACTGTGTAGGCTCACCAAGCTTATGCCCCGCTAGCAGCCCTTCGGTCTTAGGGCCGACTGGGCTCTCGTGCTTCTGGATTTTGCTGGGCCGGCTCTGCTGAGGCCTACCCAATCAGCCAATCCAAGTCGTATCGCTGCGTTTGCGCCTGCATGGCCTGTCGAGTACATGACGTTTATACCTGGTTATCTGCTGCTCACGCGAGATGCTCCCCAATTCCCCAAGGATGCGACAGGCTGCCATTGGCTCTGCCGTTCATGGCTGGAGTCATATCTCTCCACCCTCTAGATCATTGATCGCGATCAGGGATATGCAATTTGGCAATGCGCATGCGAACAGTCTGTTGCAGAATCCTCTTTTACGAATTCCTTCGCAGCCCCGAGGCTGGCCTTGTTGCCGTTCTGGGACGGACCTGACTCGCTCCGCCTAACCATGGCGCAGAAGGAAGTCCCGTTGCAACTCGCCCAGATAGGGACTTGTAAGTTGCTTCGACGCAGTGTCTGCACATACCCATCATACGTCGGATCACCGGCATGTGCAAAGACATTGCCCATTGCTATTTTTTGAGACGAGTCAATTAAAATTACCGAGTTACCAACAACTTGCTCAATACTGCACTGAAGCTGTGAGTCGCGCGGAGTTCAGTCACTTTTCGGACAGTGTCTCATTAGTATATGCCTGCCAGCCTGCCTTCGCGAGTTTAGAGTTCTAGGCTGCGATCTTGCCTGCTACGCAGAGTTCCTATTGGCCACCAGCTCCGGACCAGCGAACCTTTTCCTTCGGCGCTATCGCAAGCCTGGCAGCTGCAGCGAAATCAACGAAAGACTCCGTAGCGTGGCTTTGTCACGAGGTGAGATTGCTGTGTCCCTGTCAGCCGGAAGCTTAGTGCACGTCCTATGTGCTTCGCCTGTCAGGCTGTCACCCTGTGGCTGGCACTTTACCGATCCAGCTTGGCCGGCCCGAGACGTTGGCTCGGCTGCGCATGTTGTCACCTCTGGAATTTTTGTATATACATGTACACTATGTGATCCAGCCCACGTTATCGGTTCGGGATAGGATAGCTGGGTCGCACTGAGTCCTCCCGTTTTCGAAGCTCCATTCGTCGGGTCATGGAAGGAGTCACTCGTCATGAATTCGTAATTCCGACCGGAGTTTCTTCCTAAGAGGAACCAGGTTTGCAACCAACGTTGATCTATAGCTATCCAGTAAGCTCCCAAAGATCAGCTGAGATCTCGCGAGTCAAGGCCAACGCCTGGAACAGAGTCTGTAGCTGGCCTCTGTATAATCCCTAGCGGAAAGCTACCAGCTCTATCATCGCGCTGCCCTACCTCTGGTGCCAAACGCCGCGCGACAGCTATGTCATAGCTTGGGCAACATGCAACGCTTTATCGAGCTGCCTCGTTGCGCCTAGGTCTATAGCACTTCACCCGGCTTAGCATTAAGCACCCTGATGTACTCAGTAGTTCTAGATTGGGCATCATGCATGCCAGGATATTTCTTTTAATTGTATCACCCGCGAGCCACTTACCAGCGGGCTGTACCTTCATCTCTGCGGAATTGGCCATCGAAGCAACTCGCAGCGATGTACTTAGCGGGCCATCAAGAAATCCGCCGCGGCACCTCCGCCTTGTTTCCTTTCTAGTGGGTTTGGGTTATCCGATTAACTTCTTCCAGATACAGCGCCGACGGCCAGGGGACATGACTCTCCAAGGCGCTGACCAGAGAGATATCACTAACTGTTAGTCAGTATAGCCAAGGCTTAGCGCTTGAAAGGCATCACAGGTGTGCCGTCTAGCCGTGTGTTAATCCGGAGAGTGGCCCTGTAGCCTTCGGGTGGAGGCTACTATACTAACTATATTTGTCGACTATACTTTGGCCAAATTCCTGCCCGAGACCATCTCGAAGCCCCGAACTTCTGGCTTATGTGGGCAGTCGCAGTTGGCCGTCAAGACATGTCGACCTTTGAGATGCTGTTAGTTATGCGTTGGTTATGACTTATCTTTGAATCTACTGGAAGTACGTCTAGCCATAGATGCCATCCGCTCCCCACAGCTGAACTGGTCGCCGGATTATTTCGCCTGAGTGATAACGGACAGCCCGCCATACGCTAGGGGTCATCCCGCGATACGGGGCACCGATGGGACTCGTCGGGCCTCGCGGAACTGTTATCTCAGCTGTAGCCCTGTGCCGAAACTGACCAATGGCTAGAATGTCTGGTGCCAACTGTCCTAACAGCTATCGAGCTTACTCCCGTTTCAAGTAAGCAGTGAACGTAGACGTAGGGGACAACTACACAGCAGTGATCGACATCGAGGCCAATCGTTTCCGGAGATTCCCGCCGACTCCTGTCCCTGCACCGAGTTATGTGATCCTAATGCCTACGTACAGCAAGATTTGCGATTGCATGCACCGTTGCAGTTACAGGGTATCAATGGCAATGCAACGCTGGTATCTTTAACAGTAGGTCTTACGGAAGGTACCTCGCTATAGCCAATGAGGAGTTCGACGAGTCGAGTGCTTTCATACACAGGAATCTTTCTCTGATAACTCTAATACTCTGCAGCGGCTTTCTTATCAGCGACTCTGAGCCAGGGCACAATGTACGTCCGTTTCGTTTAGGAAAGCCGATCCATAGTTGAGAGCTATCAAGGGGAAGAAGACATTTGCACGATGTGGCTCAATTCAGGCTCGAAACATGCAACTCTATGCTACAAAATACCTTCAGCAAAGGAAAAATGCATGGACGAACCGTGGCGCTCGGGAGTCTCACATCTCGGGTTCGGTTGGTTGACTCAAAGGTGGCGTAGTTCTTGTCTTCATGTCAACGATAGAGTTACGCATCTTAAGCCAGCCACGGCTTGCATGTATACGAATAAGCCAAGGCGTATGTCAATGACGATGTGAGGGCGAATTCGGACAAGCACATGGATCCAACAGGTATTCGGAAAGCCCCTAACTAATAGAAGGCAGCGAGTCTTACCGCTTATTCGAATGTAGTTCTACTACTTATTACAGTGGTTGCAGAATGGGAAAACGCCAATCTAATAGAAGGCAGCGATTCTAACCGCTTATTCGAATGTTGTTCTACTGCTTATTACACTGGTTGCAAAATGGGAAACCACCTATTTAGTAAAAGGTAGCGAGTCTAAACGCTTATTCGAATGTTGTTCTACTGCTTATTACATTGGGTACAAAATAGGAATCCATATAAGGGCGAGTTGGCCATTCGTCATTTCGTTTATCATTATATCTGGTCGTTGCTAGAGCAACTTGGGCTTCAAGCCACAGCAAGTTGGCCTCGCGACACATCGTTTTGTATTGTACTCAATCCTACTATCGTATCGGGCTTTTCAAACAAACGATTACCCGAGTACAGCAAATTCAGGAGCGCATTGTCGTACTACAGAAGTGAAGGATCTGCTGATGAGTCGTTCAACTGTTCAAGCCAGCCAGGATCCTTCACCAAGACCATCATTGTCTCGAAAGAGACTGGCCTTTGTGATGCACGGCCCACATATTTGAGAAGCAACTTCCGCGTAGTGATTCCTGCCGTATTCAGTGATTTGTTGCTGATGTTTGGAAAGTACGATGGTTGAGCAACAGTTGACCCAGCGTTTTTGAATGGGCTGGGGCTGGCCTGGGGGGCATGCGCGGGCGGTCGTTGTGACCTTCGGGCCAAGGTTGTCTTCCCACCAACGTCGGCTCTGTAGTCAACTCCGCTCAGTGAACCACAGGACTCGCCATAACATCTGACACTATCCACTCGAAAATAGTCGAAAAATTTGCGTCTTATATTTTAAAGAAGTACCATCACTTCAAAGATCAAGATCGACCCAATGGCGTAGCGAGAGTGATAGTGATCGGGCTGCGCCTTGCCGCATTCTAAGACCGCCGTTCGACCGCAAAGGCTATATTGCAATGCACGCGCAAGTCTCCTCAAATTTCTCACGTGGTATCACGAATGGCTGATAGCGCTGAGAATCAGCCACATCTGACTTGGCTGGCAGGGCTGGGAGTCAATGACTGACAGACCGACTAGCCATGCAAAGCATGGTTGAGACCTGTTTTATATGCAATCGCGTTGAGGCGGCGGCTAAGGCACGATCTCGGGATCTAGTTCCTTTCGGCTGCTTTACGGATGAGTACGATCGACGCTGCGCGCCACCGAACGCTGAGCGGAGACATCGAAATTTACACAGATCAAGGCTCGATCCAATTGACTGGAAGCCAAGACCAACTTTCCAATGCAGAGCCCATTAGCGTTGTCACAACGCACGGCGAGTGAGAGTACCTACCCGGGTATCGATACGTCGAGTGTGTCTGCCAAGCAAGGAGGAGATGGAACTGAGTACACATCAACATGCGTGTTCTGATGATGGTAAGGTCTCAGCCCAGTCCTGTTACGGTGGTAACTTCCGTGAGGTCACTGAATGTACCTGTTTTTACTAATGTTCCATCAACGCTTGGAGATGGAGAGCTCGGCATGAGATATAAAGGAAGTATCTCCACAAAAAGGAGACGTTCTGTGGATTGATAGTACGGAAGATAGGCCAAACCACGAGGGCAACGACCAGGGTGTGACAATGAGGTCGATACTTGGATTCCTCCTGATCGTGCAGGGGTTTATCTCTCCTGCCGAGGCTGTATTTCCCTTCCCGGTGAACGGCCCTGCGAATCCGCCGTTCACTTGCGATGCCAATGGATATATTATCGAGATCGATGACTTGTACAGCATCAGTCTTACAAATGCTGCATACAGCCTCGTCAAAGCCGCTGTATGGCCGAACCCTATCAACGCCATGGGATACAACATCCTGGACAATTACATGTATGGAATCGACCAAACCACCAATGCGGTTTTGCAGATATCTGGAAACGGGAACACGAAATCCTTAGGACTCCTCCCTACCGCCGCCAACGGTATCTTCTTCAACATCGGAGATTTTGCCCTCGGTGGTCAGTTCTACATTTCTGATGCTTACAACGTATGGTACCAGGTGGATCTTGCGCCTGGATCTGCGACATACGGGAATGTTATATCGTCTGGCGCGCTTGACAACCTTGGATATTATGTCGCCGATTGGGGATTCTTTCCCAATGCGGGAAACAATTTCTATACCATTGGCAGAACCATCAATGCGCCCGTCGTCTCAGTTATGTTGCGCTGGAGTCCTATTACGCACACATTTACGGTGTTGCAAACGTTCGGTTCCATCGTTGGGTCTAACACTTGGACATCCGTTTTCCCATCTCCCGATGGAAATCTGTTTGCGTTGGAGAATACTTCTGGACAGCTTTGGAAGTTCTTACTGTCAGGGGGAACACCCGTGTTGGTTGGGAACGGCCCAGTCCCGAGTGGCCGAAGCGATGGAGCACGTTGTGTCCTAGCTCCAACGTTTCTCGTGACCAGAACCACCATCATTTCAGCGACTGCGCCGGCTTTCACGTCGACCATCTCACAATCCGGTACTAATCCAGCCCAGGTAATCATCGGAGCGCCTGCAAGCACAACCACAATCACGACCTTGATCCCTAGCAACAGCGTCCCCTTCACGTCAACCGTCACGCAGACTGGCACCGCTCCAGGCCAGGTGATCATCGGGAGTCCATCGACTACGACTACGTTTACAACATTGGTGTCTGGTCCTGCCTTCACCTCGACCTTTTCACAAACTGGTACTGGCCCAGGGTCTATTGTTGTCGGAGCACCTTTGAGTACGAATACCGTCACAACTTTGGTGTCTGGTCCTGGCTTCACCTCAACTGTTCCACAGACTGGCACTGCCCCAGGAACGATTGTTGTCGGAGCCCCCTTAAGTACGAATACCGTTACAACCCTAGTATCTGGTCCTGGCTTCACCTCAACTGTTCCGCAGACTGGCACCGCCCCAGGGACGATAGTCGTCGGAGCGCCTCTTAGCACGAATACCGTTACAACATTGGTGTCCGGTTCTGCCTTCACGGCGACTATCTCACAGTCTGGTACCATCCCCGGTACCGTTATTGTCGGGAATACGTTTACAACCACTACGAGAACGACACTAGTCTCAGGTTCAGGCTTTTCTTCCACTATCTCGCAGTCAGGTACCGTCCCAGGTACTATTATCGTCGGAGCCCCTCTAAGCACGAATACCGTCACGACATTAGTGTCAGGTCCTGGCTTCACTTCGACTATTCCACAGACTGGCACTGCCCCAGGGACTGTGATTGTCGGGAACATGTTTACGACTACTACGAGGACAACTCTCGTCTCAGGTCCTGGCTTCACTTCGACTATCTCGCAGTCAGGTACTGTCCCAGGAACTGTTATTTTCGGGGATACATTTAGTACGAACACCATTACCACCCTAGTGTCTGGCCCTGCTTTTACTTCGACTATCTCTCAGTCTGGGACCATCCCTGGTACCGTTATTTTTGGGGACACGTTCTCTACTACCACGAGGACGACGTTAGTTGTAGGTCCTGGTTTTACTTCGACTATTCCACAGACTGGTACCATCCCTGGTACTGTCATTATCGGAAACCAACTAAGTACAAATACGATAACCACCTTGGTTTCTGGTTCTGCTTTCACTTCGACTGTTCCACAATCTGGTACGATACCGGGGACCGTTATTATTGGGGGTCCATTCAGCACAAATACGATAACCACCTTGGTTTCTGGTCCTGGGTTTACCTCGACTATTCCGCAAAGTGGTACTACACCGGGGACTGTTATTATCGCAGATCCACTAAGTACCAATACGATAACTACTTTGGTCTCTGGTCCTGCTTTCACTTCGACTGTCCCACAATCTGGCACCATACCGGGAACCATTATTTTCGGGAATCCATTTAGCACAAATACGATAGTCACCTTAGCCCCTGGCACAGGGTTTACCTCGACTATTCCACAGTCTGGTTCTATTCCGGGGACAGTTATTATCGGTGGGCCATTTGGCACAAATACGATAACCACCTTGATTTCCGGCTCAGGGTTCACCTCGACTGTGCCACAGTCTGGTACTATACCTGGAACTGTAATTATCGGAGCTTCGCTGAGCACAAATACGATAACAAGCTTGGTTTCTGGCCCTGCTTTTACGTCAACTATTCCACAAAGTGGCACTACACCGGGGACTATTATAGTTGGGGATCCCTTTAGCACAAACACAATAACTACCTTAGTTACTGAGCCACCCTTTACATCGACTGTTTCACAAACTGGTACTGTCCCAGGAACTATCATTATTGGTATTCAGTTGAGCACGACTACAGTAACTACCTTGGTAACTGGACCAGCTTTTACGTCAACTGTGTCTCAATCTGGCACTGCTCCAGGCACGGTCATAATTGGTAATATGGCTAGCACGACCACGATTACGACCTTGGTAACTGGATCGCCATTCACGTCAACCATCTCGCAAACTGGCGCTATTCCAGGCACCGTTATTATTGGAGACATGCTTATAACTACCACGATTACGACCCTGGTGACTGGAGCACCGTTTACGTCGACTATTCCGCAGTCTGGTACTGTTCCAGGGACGGTGATAATTGGAGATATGCTAAGCACTACCACGATTACGACCTTGGTAACCGGGCCAGCCTTTACGGTGACTGTGCCGCAGTCTGGTACTATTCCAGGAACAGTTATTATCGGAGACACATTAAGCACAACTACAGTCACGACCCTAGTTACTGGGGCCCCCTTTACCTCGACAATAGCTTCGCAATCTGGTACTATACCTGGAACAGTGGTGATTGGCGATACTCTAAGCACTACTACGATTACGACTCTGGTGACCGGTACTCCATTCACGTCGATAATAGCTTCGCAATCTGGTACGATTCCAGGAACTGTGGTCATTGGGGATACCCTAAGCACAACTACACTTACGACTCTGGTAACTGGTGCACCCTTTACCTCGACGATTGCTTCACAATCTGGTACTATCCCTGGAACGGTGCTTATTGGAGACATGGTCAGCACTACTACAATAACAACCCTAGTCACTGGTGATCCCTTCACATCGACGGTTGCCTCTCAATCTGGTACTATACCAGGAACCGTTGTTGTGGGGGACACACTAAGCACGACTACGATTACGACTCTGGTGTCGGGAGAGCCATTCACCTCGACGATTGCTTCGCAATCTGGCACCATACCGGGTACTGTCCTTATTGGAGATGTGCTGAGTACTACTACTATTACGACATTAGTTTCTGGGCCGCCTTATACCTCAACTCTCGCTTCACAATCTGGCACGGTTCCTGGAACTGTTCTTGTCGGTAACCCGTTCAGTACGGATACGATTACAACCTTGGTATCTGGCCCTGCTTTTACCTCAACTGTCGCCTCACAGTCGGGGACTGCTCCTGGAACCGTTATTATCGGGGATCCCTTTACTACAGATACGGTCACGACCCTGGTATCAGGCCCTGCATTTACCTCGACTGTAGCCTCGCAATTTGGCACAGTTCCTGGAACTGTCATTATCGGCGATCCGTTTAGTACTAACACAATTACAACATTGGTGTCTGGACCTGCTTTTACCTCAACTGTTACCTCGCAGTCAGGGACTGCTCCTGGAACCGTTGTTATTGGGGAACCGTTCAGTACAGACACGATTATCACCTTGGTGTCAGGTCCAGCCTTTACTTCTACTATAGCCTCGCAGTCTGGGACTATTCCTGGAACCGTTGTTGTCGCGTACCCAATTAGTACAGACACGATCACCACCTTAGTATCAGGCCCGGCTTTTACCTCAACAGCTGCTTCGCAATCTGGCACTACTCCCGGTACCGTAATTATCGGCGACCCGTTCACTACAGACACAATTACCACGCTTGTGTCTGGGCCGGCTTTTACCACAACTGTTGCAATCCAGTCAGGTACTATCCCGGGTACTGTTGTTATTGGCGATCCATTGACCACTGATACCATAACCACCTTCATCTCGGGACCTGCTTTCACCTCAACTGTTGCATCCCAGTCGGGCACCACCCCCGGTACCGTTATTATCGGAGATCCATTTAGTACAGACACGATCACTACCCTCGTATCTGGGCCAGGCTTCACCTCCACTGCTGCAACTCAGTCAGGTACTATCCCGGGTACCGTTATTATCGGGGATTCTTTTAGCACAGACACGATTACTACCCTCGTATCTGGTCCAGCTTTTACTTCGACTATTGCGTCGCAATCTGGTACTATCGCGGGTACCGTTGTTATTGGAGAGCCATTAACTACAACGACAATTACGACTCTAGTTACTGGTCCTCCATTTACTTCGACTATTTCGCAGTCAGGTGAAATCCCAGGTACTGTTATTATTGGAGATCTGTTGAGTACGACTACTATTACCACGTTTATTCCTAGTGGCCCTGCGTTCACTTCTACCATACCGCAATCAGGCACCGTCCCCGGAACAGTGCTGATCGGCGACCCGGAGACTACAGCCACAATTACGACTCTAGTTACTGGTCTTCCGTTTACTTCAACTATATCGCAATCGGGCACTGTCCCTGGTACCGTGATTATTGGGGACCCGGAGTCTACAACTACAATTACCACACTCGTCGCTGGTCCTGCATTTACTTCGACTATATCCCAATCTGGCGCCGTCCCTGGGACCGTGATAATCGGCGATCCGGAATCCACTACTACTATTACCACTTTCATTCCCAGTGGTTCTGCATTTACTTCAACCATTTTACAGTCTGGCACTGTTCCAGGGACTATAATTATTGGGGACCCTGAATCTACCATTACGATTACCACTTTTATTCCCAGTGGTCCTGCATTTACTTCAACTGTTTCACAGTCAGGTTCTGTCCCAGGAACTGTGATTGTGGGAGACCCGGAGTCTACAACTACAATTACCATACTGATTCCTACTGGCCCTGCATTCACGTCGACCGCTTCGCAGTCGGGCACTGTTCCTGGGACGATAATTATTGGTGACCCAGAATCTACGACTACAATCAGCACGCTGATTCCCAGCGGGCCTGCATTTACATCGACTATTGCATCGCAGTCAGGCACTATCCCAGGAACTGTCGTTGTGGGAAACCCGGAATCTACGACTACAATCAGTACGTTGATTCCCAGCGGACCAGCGTTTACTTCAACTATTGCGTCGCAGTCAGGCACTGTACCAGGAACGGTTATTGTCGGAGACCCGGAGTCTACAATTACAATTACCACAATCATCCCTAGCGGCACTGCGTTTACTTCGACTGTTGCTTCACAGCTAGGCACCATCCCAGGAACGGTTGTTCTCGGAGACCCGGAGTCTACAACTACGATTACCACGCAGATTCCCAGCGGTCTTCCATATACCTCCACCATTGCATCGCAGTCTGGTGCCGTCCCAGGGACCGTGATTGTTGGAGAGCCGTTAACCACAGTTACAATTACGACCTCAATTGCCAGTGGCCCTGCCTTCACGTCCACTATTGCGTCTCAGGTCGGTACTGCTCCAGGGACCGTAATCGTTGGAGAGCCGCTCACTACTATAACTATAACCACTTTTGTTGCCAATGGCCCAGGATTTACGTCGACTATCGCGTCGCAGTCTGGCTCGGTGCCTGGTACGGTAATCGTAGGGGAACTATTGACGACGACCACTATTACCACCTTGATCCCTAGTGGTCCTGCATTCACCTCGACCATATTGCAATCTGATACTGTTCCTGGTACAATTATTATTGGGGATCCATTCTCTACGGTCACCATAACTACTACAATTCCAGATAGTAGTCCCGCTTATACCTCGACTATCTCGCAATCAGGCACCATTCCTGGTACAATTGTTATCGGGGAGCCGTCAGCGAGTACATCGACCTCGCTCAGCACCACCGAGACAAGCTCTAGCGATGTTGAGCCCACTCTGAGCAGCACCTCCTCCTTCCTGACCACGATCCAGAGCCTGACAGACACGACCACATCATCCGTTAGCAATACCAGCACATCCAGCGATGAGGCGACATCTACTACCGAGTCATCCTTCTCGACCAGCGAGTCCAGCGACGATACCACCTCTACGACAGCGTCACCCGTCTTGACCAGTACGTCCAGCAACGAGCCCGCGGTTACTACTGAGTCAACCTCTTCGACCAGTACGTCCAGCGATGAGGCGACATCTACTACCGAGTCATCCTTCTCGACCAGCGAGTCCAGCGACGAGGCCACCTCTACGACAGCGTCACCCGTCTTGACCAGTACGTCCAGCAACGAGCCCGCGGTTACTACTAAGTCAACCTCTTCGACCAGTACGTCCAGCGATGAGGCGACATCTACTACCGAGTCATCCTTCTCGACCAACGAGTCCAGCGACGAGGCCACCTCTACGACAGCGTCACCCGTCTTGACCAGTACGTCCAGCAACGAGCCCGCGGTTACTACTGAATCAACCTCTTCGACCAGTACGTCCAGTGAGGAGGCGACATCTACTACCGATTCATCCTTTTCGACCAGTACGTCTAGCAATGAAACTACATCTACAATTGAGCTACCCGCCTCGACCAGCACGTCTAGTGAGGAATTCACGTCTACGGCCGAGCTACCCGCCTCGACCAGTACGTCCAGTGAGGAGGCGACATCTACTACAGAGTCATCCCTCTCGACTAGCGAGTCCAGCGAGGAGCTCAGCTCTACGGCTGAGACTACCCTTACTACTGAGCCCACCCTTACTACCGAGTTATCCCTTTCGACCAGCGAAACCAGTACCTTAGGCTCGCTGTTGACCACCGGGATGGATACGAGCTCCAATGGTGTGGCACCAACTCTCTCAACTTCGGCTCCCCTTTCGACGGATAGCTCTATGGCAATCACCTCGTCCTCGACTGTAACTACTCCTACCTCACGGAGGGATACGAGCTTTAACGGTGTGGAGCCAACCTTCGTTGTTATAACCTCGCTGTTTGTCAGTGGCTCGGTAACCTTCACGTCGCTCATCACCATTGCTATTTCTACCTCTAAGACTGACACGAGCTTCAATGGTGTGGAGCCAACTCTTTCGATTTCAACGTCGCTTTCGACAACTGGCTCCCAAGCACTCACCTCGCCCTCAACTTCAACTATCAGCCTTGCTATCTCAACGACGATTACCTCACTCTCGGTTAGTGGAACTGACACATCAACTTCATCATCAACCTCAGACATCACATCAAGCCAGCCGACTAGCTCTGATGGGGTAGAGCCCATCCTCTCAAGTTCGACATCGTTTTCAGATAGTAGCTCTCTCACAATTATCTCGCTTCCAACGTCAACTGTTAGTCCCATCATCCCTACCACGATAACATCGCTCTCGGTCAACGGAAATACCACATCAACTTTGTTCTCCACCTCAAGCCTCACTAGCGTCGTTGCGTCTACTTCAGAACCCATCACGTCTAGTTCAGCGGCTCCAATCACTTCCACATTTGAGAGCAGCACCATCACAAGCGATCCAGTCACTATTGTGACTTCGTTGTCAACAACGGGAAACAGCACGTTTCCTATCATATCTACCTTGACTCTCGAATCTAGTGGTTCCACTGTCGAGACTAGTTATTCTACCACTTCAACTACAGAGTCTAGCATCTCTAGTTTATTGGATGTTTCTACGTCTACATCGACAAGTGGTACTAGTATCTTTACATCTCTTTCAACCTCGTCCGTTTCGATATCAGAGTCATCCACCCAGTCAGTGGAACCTATTGAGACATCATTAAGCTTCACCATTTCAGTGTCAACTTCCATCTCAGTCAGCGGCACTAGCACGTCAACGTCCTTATCGACAGTCAGCGTTCCGGTCAGTAGCACGTCACCGACTGATACAACTTCAACTACGGAGACTTCAACTACGGAGACTTCAACTACGGAGACTTCAACTACGGAGACTTCAACTACGGAGACTCTGACGACGGAGCTTTCAACGATGCAGCCTTCAACGATGGAGCCTTCAACGATGGAGCCTTCAACAATGGAGCCTTCAACGACGGAACCTTCGACTAGAATCACAAACGAGACGCAGTCTTCGACCTGGAGCGTTGCACCAATCACATCTGAAACTGCATCAATAACATCCACAGTAGAGTCGACCGGCTTCACCATTTCCATTTCAACCTCCTTGGTTACTAGCGGTACAAGCACGTTTACGACTCTCTTGACCACCAGTCTTCCTCTCACGTCAGTTTTACCAACCTCATCATCAGCTGAATTTCCGACTACAGAGACTATTTCAACTACAGAGACTGTAACTTCCGAGAGCTCAACTGAATCCGTGGCTCCGGGAACAACATTTACAACCTTGGAGAGTTCCACTGAATCTGTGGCTCCTGGAGCACAGACTACAACTACCGAGATCTCGACTATCGAGAGTTCAACTGGATTCGTGGCTCCCGGCACCCAGCCTACAACTATCGAAAGCTCGACGGATTCAGTCGCTCCCGGAACGCAGACGACAGCCACCGAGACACCCACTTTCAACAGCTCGAGCGAGTCTGCGACTCCTGGAACGCAAACTACACCTAATGAGAGCTCGACTGCATCCGTCGCCCCCGGAACACAGACCACAGCCACCGAGAACCCTGCCACTGAGACCTCTATCACCGAGGACTCGAGTACAACTACCAGGATACAGACCATGGAGAGCTCGAATGAATCCGTGGCTCCTGGGACACAGACTACGTCCACTGAGACTTCTACCGAGTCCGTAGGCCCAACACCTACTGTCTCGACTACGGAGTTAGAGGTAACTGCTGCGGAATCTTCGACCACGGAGACTTCATTGACAGAGTTGTCTACTATCTCTGTCGCTCCTGAAACGTCAACAACGGCAACTGAGACTGAGCTTTCCACCACTTCGATTGGGCCTACGACTGATAATGAGGCGTCCACCGTCTCGATACGCCCAACATCTACTCAGACTGAATCTGTAACGACTGAGACTGAGCTTTCCACTGCTTCGGTTAGGCCTACAACAGTCATATACCCAACATTTATCCCCACAGAATCTGCAACGACGAAACTTGAGTCTTCCACTGCCTCCGCTGAGCCAACATTTACTCAGACCGAGCCCACAACGACCGAGACGGAATCTACAATGGCCGAGACTGGGTCGTCCACCGCCTCGCCTACGTCGGATGTATACCCCACCTTTGCCAAGACTGAACGTGCAACGACGGAGCCTGAGTCTTCTGCTGCCTCCGCTGATCCAACACTTATTCAGACCAGACCCACAACGGCCAAGACGGAACCTGCAACAACAAAGACTGAGTCTTCCGCCGCTTCACTTGGACCTACGACGGTTGTCTATTCCAAATTGACACAGATTGACACTGCAATGACAGAGACTGGAACCGAATATGAGACTGGTGTATCAACAGGATCGGTCAGGCCTAATACCTCGATGGCAGGATCCTCAATTGACTCTGGTGAGCCAACGATAACAGACAAAAAGGTCTACCTGACCGGCCCTCTAACGGAATCGACTTACACTTCGACGTACACCTATGCAGCGGTATACCACACTGATGGCAGTCCAACAACGGAGACCAAGACTGCGACAACCACATGGTGTCCTGGTGAGAGTAATCATGCAAAGTCACCCTACACGAAGGGCCATTACGGCTTAGGGCCTGTGGAGCCAAACCATTTTAAGGGCCTATACGACACCGACGGTGCCCACGCGGTACCTAAACCCCCATACAAGAAGCCAACTTACACCTCCACGTATATCCAGCCAACAACCTATACAATCACCTCGTGTCACCCAGCCAGTACGAAGTGTGTCGTTGGACAGCTTACCACCGAGACTAAAACCCTAATCACGACGTGGTGTCCTGGAGAGGAGAAGTCTACGAAGCATGTCAAGCCGGATGTGCCTAATGTTTCGGATCCTGCTAAGCAGCACCGCAAACCCCAAACAGGCAAACCGCCTGTGATGGACTACAATGCAATGCAGCCACTTAAGACTTCGACGTATACCGAGAAGACAACTTATACTATCACGTCATGCCATCCCACGGTCACCAAATGCCATATTGGTGGTGTTACTACGGGTACTCACACGCACACTTCCACTTACTACGCTGGAGAGGGCGAGGCTGTTGGTGTGCATCACCCCTTTAACCCCGAGGGACACCACGTAGAGGATTACTCGAATACCCCCGGTCCCAAACCGGATAGCTATAAAACTACAGCCAAAGACCCGGCTCAGGACCTGGCTCATTCCCCTTCGACTTTTCAGGCATCTACCTTCAAGGTTTCTACGTACCCTGCTGCCGCTGAACCCGGAAAGCCGGGTGCTCCTGGATTACCCCATGCAGACACATCTAACTGGGGCTCATATAGTCCCAAAGGTGGTGAGAAGCCTGATTCTGCGGCCAAACCCGGCCCTGGCCCAGCTGGTAGTAAGCCAGGACACGAGAAGGGTGACCCTACAGCCACTTCCAAGGCCGATGCCGCTGGAACTCAAGGCAATGAAGCTGCAACCGCACCGGGCCCTCAGCCGACGTACGCTACTGCTGAGGCTTCCAACATCCAACTCTTTTACGTATCTGCTTTTATTGCAATTATTATGAGTTTGTTATAGATTGAGAGCATATATAGAGCACCGCGAGGGATATTGCTTTAGATACTCATATATAACTCTTCCAGTAACTTGCATTGTCAATAAACTCGGTGAATGGTGTCACATATTGTATCCTTAGGTATTTGGTTTTCTCCAAAAGTCGAGATCTGTTCGTGAATTATACACATTAGTCACTCTCTATTACGCCATGGGACAATAACGAAATGCAGTTCGAATGATCTGTTAGGCAATAGAGTTGTCACCATGATACATTCATCCGAACTAGTAATGGATGAAATTCAGATCATGTTCATGATTTTTTTTTACTGCTCTCTATCTGCTATGAGCAATTCTCATTCCATCGCTGTCAGTAAAGAAACACATCGCTCCTCATCTGCCGCGCTGTGACAAGAAAACCCCGCTGGACCCTGCTGCTAGGCTTGGTGCGTGTAACAAAAAGTTTCGTCACATGCACGACGTACCGCAGACGCCTGAGATTCTATGCCTCACGGCAGTTTCCAATGTTCGGGTTACCGGAAACCCCGATTCTTGTCAGCCTCCCTCCCGAACACCGTGCTTCGTTCAAGCATGGCTCGGGGCCAAGCTGGTGGCCCCCCTTCGCCTGAGGGAAGCATAGTGGACTGCATCAGATGTCTCATAGCTCTGGGCGCCCTTGGCACGCCCTTCTGCAGTGGCAGGTTTACCACGGTTGAGGCAGCATTGACAGCGCCTCGCCTCTCGCTCTCCCATGTTCCTGGTTGGTCTTTCCTTTCATCAAGGGCATCTTGCATGATGTAGGCTTTGTGCTCATCAGCTGTGATATGGGCCAGGGGTTTCTGCTCCTAGCGTAGCCCTTCAAAATTGAAGCCCTATCTCAAATTTGATGTTCGGTTTCCCGTCCAGATGGGGCTGCTGCCAAAAGCGCCCACACCGCCTCCCGCCTTGCGCACGGGTGTACTAGGGCCTGTATTGCCGTCGATGGGGGGTGTCTCAGTTCGGGGTAAAGTGTTCGGGCCTTGCTTTGAAGGTGGCTTGAAATTCATGGCGAAACCCTTGGAGTAGATATCTTGCAGCATGGACTCGAAAATACCGGCGTCTGTGAACTCTTGGTACTTGCGGTACAACCTGAGGGCTGTCCGCGCATCCTCGATAGAATCGTGGGTCTCCAGTTGGATGTCCTCTTTGAGCAAGCACCACGCAAGGAACTGCAGACTGAGCTTTCGTTTCTTGCTTTGCTGGAAGAAGAGGTCGCTCGTGTCAATGATTTGAGCACGAGGCACGTGTATGTTTATCACACGGAAATCTTGCTTCAAACCGTGTCCGAGGAACATGCAACCCAGGTTTAGAAGAATCCACATCTTCTTATACACGATCTTGAGTGGTACCAATGTGTGTCGTGTTCTCCTAGGATCTAGATCGTCGGGGACGATGCCAGAGTATGCTGTCAGGTAATCGACGACCTTCTCCTTGATATGGACATAGTCGTCGATGAAGGGCACGCCTTCGTCAATTCCACTGCCCCGCAAAACAGATGTTCTCGCAAGAGCATGCACTGTTGGACGGACCGTTCTCTCGTCGCCATCGGAAGTTATCTCGATTTCGGCACTCGAGGTCGATACAAATTCGGTATCAATAGCGATGATAGTGTCGGGTGTGACCTTTTCCTTCCCTTCGTCCAGAGTTCGGTAGGTCTTATCCGGCATATTCGGCCTGTGTCATGTTAGTAAGCTGTAATTGATACAGTCTAGGTAACTTACTTCATGTCATAGTAGAGGAGACTTGTGTCTAACCTAGCCTTCCAGCTATCATCTATCTTGTTGAATTCCTTCAGCTGGAAGGTTATGACAGATGGTGTTTTCCATGACGTATTAAAGGTTAAGGCTTCCTTCGTAGAGATAGGTTTTACGTGGAAGTCATTGAATATGTGCCATTGACTTTGACCCGGAGTATTGGCTGCGGAATGGGCAACTGTATAGCACGTCAGTATGTGGGGCTCAACCTGAGAGTTGCAATAGGTTAAACGCACCATTCACCATAGCCACAACATGACAGTCTCTGTGACCGGTGTCAATGTTGACCGCTACTCCTGTCAGGGAATATTCAACAATCTGGTGGTAGCTGCGCTGTCGATGGTACTCCAGGTCTTTCCCTTCATAGCAGAAGAATTGGCCACCATTCACTATAATTCCGATCTCTTCCGGCAACCACCCTGGTGTAGCCCACAGCCTACGGTGCTCGTCGCGGATGTTCCCAGCCAGCAGAGTCAGAACAACGGGTAGATTTCGTGTGACCTTTTTGCTGCTCAACAAGTTATACTTTTTGCAGGAGGCGCACCAGCCCTTGGTCGTTATGTCTCTCTCTACACTCTTCTTAAGAATCTGAGAAAACGTGACTCTGGGGCTCTTAGCATGCCTGGACCCGGATTTCTAGACTATGTCAGCTCATATTCTTGGAACCCCAGTGGGTGGCAACTTACGCTCGATTCGTATATCAGCTCCTGCACATAACTGGAAGCGGGCTTAGTAGTCTCGCTTCCGCAATGAGTGCACCTAATGGAGCTAATTGCGGTGGTTTCCAGAAGCTGAGACGGTGAGTTTGTAACGGGATAACTCAACATAGCATCATGACATACCTTCTCCATTGGCCTTGTCTGATCTATGCGTTTATAGTCGGCCGCAATCTTGTCAAGCATGAATCGGGAGAAGTTTTGCAGCATGGCCGTTCGGGTTGTCGAAGAACGAGGAAGCTCCTCGAGGAGGCCAAGGTTAGACGCCTGCGGATGATAGCTCACGATTCTGAGGAGGTTGGATGCATGGCAGGGGGCTCCATCCGCTTTGGAGAGCATGTCGAAGAGGAACCCTAGCTCGCAGAGCAGGCACAGCTCATCATAGCAGTGCGAAGCAGTATGCTGCATGGCAAAGTTTCGAACAGCAGGCGTGAAGAACAAGACCTGGAGAAGAGAGTTCGCATAGCAGTTCATGATGTGGTTCTGCAAGCCTGCATATGAAGTTTTGTTGTAGAACCTGCAATCGTCAGTCATTGGGATTCTAGTCAGGGCATGGACTTGCTTACCCGAAGTCAAAGTCGTCAATGCCAAATTTGCTAAATTGAATATCAACGCTCTGATACAGCTCAGGAACGTTAACTTTGCTGCTCTCAAGAGGCGTATTGGTCACTGTCGAGAGAGGGTCGACAACTATCTCCTCCGGCGCCGGTGTGCCGGCTGGTGAATGTGCAAACTCCCTGGCCTGTTCACTGAGAAACTTGGGCTTGTTCAGCAAGCCTTGCTCTTTCGTATTTTTGAGTCGTCGAGTATCTTCGGCTTGGTTCCTGCGAAGGCCCCTTGTATTCTTGCCGTAGAAGCCCCAATCCCTGTGCTGAAGACTGGCCAGGAACTGGGGGTCGTCCTTGACCGGAGGAGCGCCAACCTCGTAGACAGTATCCGTTGGCCACGCTGACAGGAGTGTCTCCCTATAGTACGGCATGCCAATGGAGCTCAACGGTCTGCTTTCGATATTAGCAACTTGACAGAGGACAAGGAACAATCATGTGCAACCTACGTGCTGTCTGCCCAGTCCACGCTGGGTGCTGGTACCTCCTGATCTGCGGTCTCGATGAGGGTAGGAAGCTCGGCGAAGTGTATCTTGGATGGTGAGCCCCACACATGGATGTTGCAATCACCGTCAGCCAAGGCTATAGCCTCACCAGACGGCGCAATGTCAACGCTGTTTAGAAACAGTGTGTTCGCTTGTCGAACGTTGGTCGTGTTGGGATTCATCAGGTCGACAACATGCATCTGACCACTCTGGGACACGACAATGCTGGTGGTCGACATCCTGGGATGCATTCGTACATAGGCACCGCCGGCTGGAAAAGGGACAGGACTCATGGATACCATGTTCTTCAAGTCGAAGACGTTGACGTAGGGGTCAAACATGCTGTACCCTTGCTGGCGCGGCGTAATACCACAGGTGACAATGAAGTCGTGCTGTGCGTCCATGTCGCTCACGGTGCCCGAGTGCGGCGTCCACACCTTGTTAACCTTGAAGGTCAGAGGGTCCAGGATGTGGACACTGGACCCCGTTGTCGCAGCGCAGATATACCGGCTCCTCCTCATGATCTTGTAGTGCGTGTCGGCGGGGATGACCTTCACGACCTCTCCTTTGTTTACATCGATGACGAGCATCGTGTCCTGCTCGCCTGCGACCAAGATCTCCGCGGTGCCCTTCGAGGTGAAGGTCATGCATCGTAGTTCCTTCATGCCCTCGTGTCGAATAGTCCATAGCGGCGGGCCCCTTCGCATGGCCATGTGTACACTCTTGGAGCCGAGCACAATAACACCCTTATCGTTGAAAAGCAGCTGGTGCACTTTTCCATCCTGCGACGCGTGGGCCTTGAAGGAGGTGTAGGGCTCCAAGGCCGTGCCGTAGAAAGAGCACACCCTGCCATACTCATTGCCCGCCCACAGCAGCTCCTGTGTCGTATCGAAGGACAGCGTCGTTACTGGTGTTTGATGCGCTCTAAGTCCCGGGGGAGGCAAAGGTACCCGGGCAACCTAAAGATGCAGAAGAGGCCTGTGTCAGTATGATACGGTTGGGCGCGCGGCTTGCTTGGCCATAAGAGCTGGAACAGGTGTGCCTGGAGAGACTCATGGCACTGAATCCCACCACGCCAAGGTGCAATTGGGGTTCCGACCACGGCCAGAGGCTGCCCTGCAGTGTGCGACACGTACCTCGTCCCAGTCCGGATCCATCGTGACGGCTGTCTGTCATCGTCTCCCAGCGAACGAGTGAGGGGAATGCTTCGTGACCGGAGCGACTGCGTCCGTGAAAGAGCGATCTGGAGTCTGTCGGTGCTGCTCTGCTGCCGTCCGCCCTTGTTGCTGAGCAAGCGGGCTCCCCTGCTACATCGATATTGCAATGAGAATGCGAATCGAGACGGCAGATTCCAAGCTGCTGGCGCGAGCTCACTGTCGGTTTCGGTTTGCTTGAACGCGAAGCGAGCCCTCCAGATTTTAGCGCGGGGCAGCCTGGTCCGAGCGCCTCTTCCTCTTCCTCTTCCTCTTCCAGCCAGATAGCCTCCAGTCGCGGGGTATACAGAGAGAACGGTGCAAGTTACATCACATAGTATAGCGACAGCGGCCCAATCGCGGTGCTTATTTGATTTTATTTATCTTATCAAGCCTATGTGGTGAAAGAGTACAAGACGTAGACGAGGAAAGAGGACATAATTTTAATAGTCGGGATATGCAACGACGTAAAAACCAAACTACTAAGAGTAAATAGTGACAATAGTCGCTAAAAATCGCCGTATTACAAGACTGAACCACTTATAAAATACATGAACAGTTTACAGATGACCAGAACGGGACAATGCATGCGCGGACTCGAATTACTATTAGTATCACAACAACCTAGTCATCTTATGTTTGTTTAGAAACTTTCAAATTTTTATTGAATTCCACCGGGCCAGTCTTCTAATTGACTAGAACCTGGCATCGGCGGTGTGAGGTTTTGACTATCTTCCATGCGGGGGGTCTCTTTTAGCCTTCAATTTGCGGCCATCACTCATGACACGGTAGGCTCTGCACTAGAGCCACGTGCTACTCCTCCTTCTTCTCTCCTTCCAGACGGATGTTCCGTACAGACCCAGGGCACAGGTCGTTCCATACTTTGACGACGTCATGCCTTCGTACATCATTTGACAAACTGGAAAACATAAAACAAGCTGTGAAGCCAGCAAACGTCTAAACAACAGGGCCAGCGGCCTTGACCTCGTCGGTGGCCTCGGACTCGTACTTCTTGAAGTTCTCAATGAACAGTCCTCCGAGCTTCTTGACCTCCTGCTGGAAGCTGTCGGCACCGGCGGTCCAGGCGACGGCAGGGTTGAGGAGCTCTGACGGGACACCGGGGCAGGTCTTGGGAACCTGGAGGTTGAAGACCTCGTAGTTCTCGTACTCGACCTTGGCGAGCTCACCCGAGTGGATGGCGTCCAGGATGGCACGGGTGTACTTGAGCGGGCAACGCTTGCCGCCCTGAGTGTAACCAGCACCGGCCCAACCAGTGTTGAGGAGCCAGGCGTTGGCCGAGTGCTGCTCGATCTTCTCGGCCAACATCTTGGCGTACTTCATGGGGTGCAGAGCCAAGAAGGGCTGGGCGAAGCAAGACGAGAAGGTTGCCTGGGGCTCGGTGATACCGTCCTCAGTACCAGCCATCTTGGAGGTGTAACCGGAGATGAAGTGGAACATGGTCTGGGCGCTGTTGAGCTTGGAGATGGGGGGCAAAACTCCGCGGGCGTCGCAGGTCAAGAGCACAATGTTGCTGGGGTGGTTGGGCGACAAGCAGGGGATCTTGGCGTTGCTAATGTACTCAATGGGGTAGGCGCTGCATAATTCATTAGCACAGTTGGAAATATGACCCCAAGTCATTCAGTGCGAGGGAACTCACCATCGAGTGTTCTCAGTCAGGGTGGCGTCATCGTAATCGACTTCTCTGGTCTCCTGGTCAAAGACAACGTTCTCCAGGACGGAGCCGAAGCGGATAGCACCGTGAATATCGGGCTCCTTCTCAGCCGACAGGCCAATGCACTTGGCGTAGCAGCCACCCTCAATGTTGAAGACACCACGGTCGCTCCAGCAGTGCTCGTCGTCACCAATCAGGGCACGGTTCGGGTCGGCGGACAAGGTGGTCTTGCCAGTTCCGGAGAGACCGAAGAAGAGGGTGACATCGCCATTCTTGCCCTCGTTGGCCGAGGAGTGGAGGGTCAGAACGTGGTGCTTGATAGGCATCTCGTAGAAGAGAACGGTAAAGACTCCCTTCTTCATCTCTCCGGCGTACTCGGTACCCAGGATGACCATCTCCTTCTCGGCAAAGTTGATAGCAACCGAAGTGCCAGAGGTCATACCCTCGGTGTATCTGTTGGCGGGGAAGGTACCGGCGTTGTAAATCGTGTAGTCCGGGTGGAAGTGCTCCAGCTCCTCACGGGGAGGGCGGATGAGCATGTTGCGCATGAAGAGAGCATGGTACGCGCGGGCGCAAATAACTCTCACGCGGATTCTGTACTTCTCGTCCCAGCCGGCATATCCATCAACAACGTAGATGCGAGTTCTGGTGTTGAGGTAATCAATGGCACGTTCGCGGTTGATTTTCCACACCTATAGGAGTTTCTGTTAGTCTCTCATTGGATGCCATATAGCCGGGTTGACAATCAAGGAAGCACGTGAGCGGGTCCCCACTCAAGCCCTTGGCACGAGTTTGGTCCGGCTTGTGAAAAGGCGGGGTGCAGCTATTCTAGGCCACGGTCCGTGGGCTGGTTGCAGCCATGACGCCACTAGACAAGGGGGTTTCCCCAAATGACACAACACAACCCAGTACCGTCGCAAGCCGGATGCGCAGGAGTTTGGCTGGCCGAACGCTCGAGTTCCGAGGTAATTGATCATGCGCCAGTGCCGTAGTTGGAAGTCAAACCAGGCGCATGGTGACGCAAGGCCAAGCTCATGACTAAGGGCCGAATCCCTTTGTGTCTGCGGGGAAGCATTCTCAAAAGCGGCGGGGTGCGTAGCCGGTCGCACGAGAGCCGTGATTGTGGGACGAAGCGCACGAAGAGCAGTTGTGGTCAACGGGCTCTCTCTTCGAGATGACCGTTGATTCACCAGGAATGTGTAGAGATGAAAATGTTGCAGGGAGTTTTCATATTCCTTACCTCTGGAGCCATGGGCTTGTTGACTGGTCCCCACCTGTAATATCGAATCAGTATAGTGCTGCCGGCAGGAGAGGCATTGTGACATTACTTACCAGATGTCATTTTCTGAACTGGGCTCCTTTACGATTCTCTTGTCTGAAGGCGAACGGCCAGTCTTTGCACCGGAGTATGCAGTCAGGGCACCGCTGGACGCGATGGCTGATCCGACTTCGTATACCTTGAATGGCGATTAGTCTGGTTGTTTCGGGGCTGGATTTCGTTCTGTTTGGTATAGCCTTACAAGAGCATCTTCGTACAGGGCAGCGACGGAAGGGTTGGGGATCTAGAAGAGAAGTGGCAGGTTAGTTTCTTGCACTGGCGAATAAAGTAGTGTGTCGGGCAGAAGAGTCGTCTTACAATTGCAACTCTGTCGTAGTCGATGTGTGCCTTGTCGTGGAGTTCGATCTCAAGTTCTGTGTGCTCCTCCGTCTGGGGCCTGTGTGGTAGAAAACCGTCAGCAACTCAGTCCTGTTGTTGGACCGGGAGAGCGACGTACTCAATGCCGCCAGGGTGGAGGGCAGTTTTGTTGACTTTGGTATTCGAAATCACTAGCAGCAGTCAGTACATTCTGCTGCCTTCTGGTGCAAACAACGGGCAAGCCCAAGGCAACGCTTACTCTTGCGGTCTTGGAGGAGAGAGTGGGCGAGTTGGGCTTGCTGTTGCTGAGAACGAGGGCCTTTGACGGAGGAATCAGGATAGGGAGAAGCGGTCCTGTGAACGGGGTCCTTCATGGTTCTTAAAGTTTGCGAGAGTCTCTGATAACGCTGACTTGTGATGGATAGCGAGATCCACTTGTCGGTGATATACGGGCGCTTCTGGGCGACGATAATGCTGCTATGCTTGTAGCTCGTGGGCCTCCAACCCATGGGCCGAAACCGAGGATATAATAAGTAGAGCGCATGTGGAGCCCCCCGAGTCCAACGGACGCATTCCATAGGCCAACGGTGGCTGTTAACAGTGATTGGGCGCTGGGGCACGAATTCAAACCGGAGCCATGGCCCCTGCCATGTCCGGGGCGACCTGTACATGACAGTGCATCAACCTGAGCATGACGGTGCCGCGAGCCTTTCTCGTGAAAGTGATATCATTAGGGCGAAAAGGCAAGCCCGACTCGTGGCCAGTCTAACGGCAATTGAGGCCTCAGAACTGGAAGATCGCGTGGGCAACGTGGCAGGTTGGCAGAATACGGTCATCGACTACCGGCAATTCCTCATTGGCGAGCGACGAGGACCGGGTGGCAGCCCACCTTCCCCAGATTATGACTTACACAGATCCGTCGAGCCGGGTTGTATCGTCTGTTGTACCACCTCTGTACCACTCTCCTGCTTTTCCCTTTTCTCGACCGCATTTTTTGTGCACATTCTTTAACCCCCTTAGTTCTGCCTGGAGGGGCTCGCTCGAGGCTTGTGCTACTGGCCTTCTGAGCGCATTGCAGCATTTCGGCCCCCCGACACTTGTCTGCCTTGCAGGAATCCACTGTGTGAGAAGGAGGATCCAGCACTTCCTGGATGCGGCCCCACGAGGATTGGTAGGAGGGGCATTTTCGTGGCTTGACGGGGGTCTAGTTCTGGCCGTGTCAAAGATCACCCTGGCCGTCCCGAAATATGTTCGGGTGCTCAAAGCGGGAGTGTCGCCCAGGAACCGTGTAAGTTGGAGATGTGGGGTGTAGGGTTGCCCCGGATCTGAACAGCCTCAACCCATTGACTCGGGCGCGGCAAGCAGCCCAGCCTGCCAAGCTCTCTAAACGGTTCCCCAGCTTTACTACCTACGCAATACCCGCGGGGTACATGGTGGCCATTCGGGCTTTCTGCGTCTTCTTCACAAGCTATAGAGTTGCGAATTTTGCCATACCGACAAGTTCACTCAAATCTCGCTGCCATTGGCGTGTCAGAGAGTCAGGGCCCTCCAATAAATTGTGCAGAACGGCAAAAGCAACCAGCAGCGCATCTACGGGCACGCACGCACGCGCAAACCCCACGTTGTTTCCGCCTGGACCCAAAGTCTGCAAGACGTTCAGGTGCCTGACGCAGCCCAAGCGCCCCGCATGTACCGAGCCCCATCCCGCGATTGGACTAGGCGCCTTGCAACAAATCGACGTCTGTTCCGACATCCTCCGCATCTGCGGGGGAGTCTTGGGCGTCTCTGTCTTTTTGGAGCACTGCAAAATCCAGATCGCATCGTGATCCCCAGAGATGGAGCGAATAAGATGAGCCGCAATGTCACTTACGTAAATAAAGGGTAAGTGCAACCCTCTCCGAACGAGGAAAGTCACGAGCTGCCGTCACGAGCGTGACCTTTCAATACGGGCTTGGAGAGAAAGAGTTTACACGAGCGGTGGCTTTGCTAGTTGCCCATGTGATGGAGGGCTGAAATTAAAACGCTGCAGCATGGATTCTCTGGCAGCTGAAAGCGATCTAGACAACCTGAACCTTACCACGGGCCGCTACTAGCCAGCTTCCGCCCTCCACCGGCATGGCTCGGAAACTTCCCTGTCTGTAGCTTGTTCAGAATATTGCCTACATGGGTATCGTGAAGTCATAACTTGGCGCAAACCAGGTCCGCATCTCCGGGTCTGGACTAATGCAACACCGGCGTTCCAGGCTTTTGAAGACTGCATACCACTTTTCGTCTCTGTTTGGGGGCTGATCAACACGTGAGCTGGCTGTTGGCTGGCTCTACGCTCTTCCGTTCCTCCGGGCATAAAGTCAAGGAATTAGTATGCGTCTCATCAGCAATTCACCAGCCCGAAATCTTCCGTGATCCGTATCTTTCAAATATCCTCCTGAAACAACGAAGGCAACGTCAGTCCTCTGCGCATGCTGGCTAATAATAAAGTGCGACTCAGCCTCCGCCAACCAGCCAATGGTGCTGGAGGCCCTATGGATGGCGCTAACCCCCCCCAAGCGGATCGCTTGTGCAGCCTGCCAGAATAGGAAATCCACTATGCACCCGAAAACTCCCGATGTTGTATACTCGACATTGTACGCGGGCAGATTCGGACCCGGGACTCAATGCGCTTGTCAGAGTGTCGTCGTACAGCAGCCAGAGAGTCAAGGACTGTAATTCCGGTACTTGGCAAGCGGGCACAGGAAATCAAAGTATTTCGCCTTGTTAATATCTCAATTTCGGAGGTCTTAATCCAGGCAAGGTGAACGGTGAATCCACAGATCACTGATCCTTGAGATTCAACAAATCTGTTTGCGAGATAAATTGTGCAATGAGACGGTGCTTTGTATAAATGCAGCATCTAGAAATGCCCGGAACGACTTTTGATCTAGGCTAGTGGCATGATATACTCTATCTACATAGATGGACCACCAGACTAAGACGGCTCAGATCTGGGGATCGTCAAAATACGGGATAGTTCCCGCGGTTTACATGCATCTATGGGCCCTCCCGCTCCTGGTCCATGTAACCAAGCTCCAAAAAAACACGTGACCTCCCGTGATGAGACCGACCTTCGAGGCCCCAGTGGCTGAGGCCGGAGAAGGGATAGGGTGGTGTAGGTCCGGTGGCTTTTTGGTTCCTTTTTGGCGTTGTGACCTCGTCAAATCATGAATCATACCTCATTTAAGCAGCCTCGTCGGTGATGAGCTTGATGATCTTGCCAATGGCAATGGTTTGACCCTGATAATGTGTCAGTAGCCGATCGAATATAGGGACCAAGCATCAGCTCTTTACTTACCTGGTCTCTCAGGGTGAAACGACCCATCTGTGGGTAGTCTTCGAACCTCTCAACACAAATCGAGCCAGCTCCTCCAATCACCTTCAACCGCGCAATGATGCTGTCGCCCCTCTTCGCATGCGTAGGGGGCAATTTGCTCTTGCGGTTAGTGCCCTTCTGCAACTTGTGCATCAAAGCATCGAATGTGACCTCCTCAATCGCTGTGTGCACGTGACATACACAGTTGAAGCCGGCGGTAAGAATGGTCTTCAGGTCCAGGATACGAATCTGACATTCAAAGGTTGTGACAGTGTGTACCAGACGCTTGGGTGAGCATAGCACAAAGCCAGGCAAAATATCTTCTTCTTCGAGGCCTCGCAGGCGTAAGCGGACTTGGTCACCACTCTGTGCAATCTTGACTTCCTCCTCAGTCTCGGTATATACTGCGGCGATGTCGATCTTGTCCTTGTTTGGCATCATGATCAAGCTCATGCCCTTCTTGACGACACCGGCCTCGATCTTGCCCTCGATCATGGTACCCATATCACGGTACTTGGCTGCGACGGGCATCATGAAGGGTGCGTTGAGCTTCCGCTCCATCGTCGAGAGGTTGTCGAGGTACTCGAGCAAGGAGGGGCCGTCATACCAAGGGCACTTGTCCTTGGGCACCCTGTTCTTGATGCCCAGAGTCTGCTGTGCGGCAATGGGCATAAAGTGCACATCCGTCTTCAAGTTGAAGCCCGTGCCCTTCAGGAACGTCGCCAGCTTGGTAGAACACTCCTTGTATCTGTCGTGCGACCAATCGACAGTTGGATCGTCCATCTTGTTGATGACGACGACAAGCTTGTTGACACCCTGGGTCTTGGCAAGCATGGCATGCTCTCGGGTCTGGCCACCCTTTTCGAATCCGGTTTCGTACTCGCCCTTTCGGGCCGAGATGACGAGGATACCAACATCAGCTTGTGCGGCTCCTCCGATCATGTTCGCGACATAGGTCTTGTGGCCGGGAGCATCGAGGATACTGTATCGACGCTTCTCGGTCTCGAAGAAGCCTCTACCGACCTCGACCGTCTTGCCCTTGGAGCGCTCCTCCTTAGTCAGGTCCAAAGCCCAAGACAGGTACCAAGTCTCTCGGCCCATATCCTTGGCTTCGCGCTTGTACTTGTCCAGGGTTCGCTCGTCGACCATGCCGGTCGCGTAGAGGATGGAACCACCCAGGGTCGACTTGCCGGCATCGACGTGTCCGATGAAGATGATGTTCATGTGCTCCTTGCCGTAAATCTCCTTCAAGGTCTCGTCATCGACATCGGCAGCCTGCTCGTTTGCGACAGCGTCTGCATCGCGCTTCGCGGCCGCCTTGGCAGCTCGGCTAGGGCTGGAGCGGCCCGAACCCGTTGATGGGGTGGGAGATGTCTTCCCGCTGGCGGTCTTGGTGGTCTCTCCGGTCTTCTCCAAAGCCTTGGTTGCGGTGGCCTTGGCGCCAGCCTCGGCGCCGGCTTCCTCTGGCTTCTCCTCTGCCGGCTTTGGCTCCTCCTTAGGGGGTGCTGGGACGCCGATAGACAGGACCTTTGCGGCCTTGGGCTTTGGCGCGTCCCCGCCGATGCTCAGCACCTTGGTGCCGCCCTCTTTCGCGACGGTTGGCTTGCTGGCTTCCGGTGCGGCGGCCGGGTCTGGGCGCTTCGCAATGGTGGGGGTTGGCTTCGGTTGGCCCTGCTGAGGCGGCGTCGGGGCCTGGGCGGCGTTCTGTGCTTGCTGTTGGCCGTACTGGGGATATTGCTGGCCTTGGAAGAGTCAGTATTGGCTGAGGAGGAAAGGTTCTGCTGTCTGGATCGTACCGTAGCCTTGATTGAAGCCGCCCTGCTGCCCGTACACTGCGCCGTAACCCTGGCCCTGGCCATACTGGTTGAAGCCCTGGCCCTGGCCGGCGCCGTACTGAGGGTAATAGCCCTGCTGGCCGCCGTAGTACTGCTGCTGCTGCTGATACTGGGGATAGCCTCCGTAGCCGCCGGCCCCTGGCGTGAATGCGGCAGCGCCAGGCTGGAAGGACGAAGCGCCGGGGCGGAAGCCGGACTGCTGCTGTTGGTTGTTGAGGTTCATCTGCTGGGTCTGACGGGACAGGTTCTCCTCCTGCGCCGAGGGGTCGTCCTCCCAGGAGTTGAGGTCGGACATGGTGACTGTGATACTCGACAAAGGACGAACGAAATGAGCGCTTCTGAAGATCCCAGTGGGGCCCGAGGGTGAAATGCGGTGCTCGAAGTCGGAACCGACAAATGTGAGGTCAAGCTGAAGTCACGAAAGTTGCGAAGAGAAATGTCGGCGACTTGGGAAGGTGGGGCAATTTTCGTTTTTAAGGGCCAAAAGGGCTCTGGCAGTTCTGGTCTGCTGGGTCGGCCGGGGGGGCAGCGGGGGACGTGTGCGATAAGCCCAAGTCCCTGGACAACCAAACCCTTTCCGTATGTGTCAATATGGAATCTTCTGCCTTGAAATCAACCCAGCAACGTTGGCAGGCTGGTCTGGTCGACTTCGCCCTCGAGAAATCTTCAGTTGCTCTGCCGTTATGTGCCACCGTTGACTCAGCTGTGCCTGATGAGGGAGGGGTTTCCTGGGCACTACCCCACCAATGACAAAATGGGGGGCCAACATGCGAGGTAAAAAGCCGCCCCATGATGCCCAATGGCGAACCGTTGGCATAGCCTTATACAGAACCTTCACCGATTGTACCGTGGCAGAGACTGCTCTTATTGATTGATTCACCTAGCACTTGTCACTGAGAGAAACTCACATGGGACGCGCCGCGTCTACATTTGCATAATTGAAGTGGGAATAGAACCCATGATCAATTGTGTCGTTGAAGATTCCCAGCGGCTGTCCGTGGATTGAAAATGGACGGTGCACAACTTTTTATACTAAATACCTGACGTTAGGTAGGTAATATTATACAACCGAGCGGCATATCTAGGACCTTGAGGCATAGAAGCAAGACCGAGTGTATGCGAACAATGTCATGCTCATAATCCTTATCAGCTGCCAATCACTACAAGCAGCCACCTAGGCAAACCTTCGAGTCGCACGTTAGCATAAAGCCTCGATGTTCTACAGGTCGTGAATGCACAGTGTAGAAAAAGCACCTCTGCTGCCTGGCATTGGGATGACGGTGGTGCCAAACTCACCAAGGCCCCAGTGAATGAGCCAAAGCTCCTCTCAGCTGATTGGCCTGCGGACAGCAAAGGCGGCCCCACGCACTGTGCCACAGTGGACGCCAGGTCGACGACTTCACGCCGTGTTTTCAATTAATGTACAGCATTCAATGCGCTGGCAGAAGCCCCAATGTAAACGGACCTTTTCATGTTGACCGCCCTACTGGGTGGTCTGCTACACAGTTCATACAACTCATCTACCGGAATCAACGACCAGTTCACATTTTTGACGCGTGACGGACTTATGGGGAAAGCAGAGAGGCCACTGTACCCAGGCACAGCCGTATTTGCTCAGTGATACACCGTAGAGCGAGTGAGCCGTTGCCATGGATGCATTCATATCGCGGCTTTCCTACCACGCAACCAGCTACGCCATTCGGTCTTGCCTAGCCTTGACTTCGACCTTGGTGATCCAGCAAGGTTCAAGATTATTAAAAGTGTGTTTTTGGTGTCTGAGATTTCAGCCGAACCCAACCTTTGACACTTGCTGACCATTTTTAGACTGTGAACGACGATCCCCTCAGAGCTGAGCTGGCTTCACTGCAACGACGTTTAGCCCGCAAGATAGAGGTAAGCTCATTACTCATAACTGAATTTTTTTCTTCGTGGTCCTAGGAAAGTAATGATTCTCTTTGTGCAGCTTATTTCACCAATCTTGGAGTCAATCGAATTCCAGTACACCAGAGGGAACTTGGCGCTGGAGACTTGCGTGCAGACAACACGAGAGATCCGAGAAGACATCGATGCTCTGGCAAGGAGATTGCAAGATGCAGCTATTCTGCAGGAGCAGCCCGTGGTCGGGCACAAGCAACAGTCGGCTCCAGAGCGGCACGCCGAGCTGCTCTCAGTCTTGACGGAAATGAAGCAAGTCATGACGAGCATTGACGACGCCATCCCTTCAATTAACCTATGGGTTTCCGCCATTGGAGGCATTCAGGCCCAGCCCTCGGCCTTTTCTCCTTCTCGTTTGTTGCAGGCGAGCATGCTGGTCAATATTGGCGACACGCAGTACGTTCTAAATCCGAGCCAGCCTATGCAAATAGGCCCAGATTTCGCATTGTCCCTTTACATGTTGTTCCAAGGCCATGCTTCACCTCAGGACGGCGAAGGCTATGGGTTTGACGAAGGGCAGAGAAAGCCGACTTGGCAGGAGGTTGTCCATAAGGCTCGGGTTAGATTGTATCGACTACCGCCCCAAAATGACGGCATATCACAGGATGAAGAGGTAGTAGGAGGCCAGGGGTACGCCTATTCATTGCAAATTGTGGAGGATCTGGACGATGGCCGAGTGCACACTTTCGAGGATGGGAATGCACAACCAGGACCCTACGATGGTGTCCTACTTGCCGGTATCAGGGAACTCATACCTGTGGGCCAGGTTTCGAAGATGTTCTACGCCGACGTCGGAAGGATCCTGAATATCCAGAACGAGGATGGCGCGTCCAGCAATCCTGTGCTCCTCCTCAAAAAAGACACCACGCAACAGCTGCCAAGTCCTGTCAACTTTGAGACGAAACCGCAATTCCAGACGTTAGAAAATGCAGAGGAACCAGCCGTCCCTTCTTGCTCTACGCCATCAGAGTCAAGTACCCAGGATGATATCGACCGCCAGTTGCGCGAGGAAAGCCTGGAAGAAAACGTCATCGAAGGGGGTTCCCACCACCAAGAAGTTCAGCCCGTAGAGACACCCGAGCAAAACCCAGCCTCGTGGACCATCCCACACAACCTCGATCCTGAATGGATAGCCCTCGAAGTATATGACTTTGACGACTCGGTATCGTCGACAGATGGAGACGAAACGGGATCTATACCCGACGAGAGTGATACCGGCTCCAAACCCCCGCGCCGCTCCGCAGCATCCCGGATGTCCGTGGACGGCAACCTGATGAACCAACTCCACCGCATGAGCCTGTCGCGGTCTCAGACTCCGGACCCGTCATGGACTTCCGGCGAGCTGATGAGGTCTATCGGCGGCCTCCGGCCGCCAATGAGCCCGTCGCTGGTGGAGCGCTCGCCGTTCGGCGCCATCAAGACCTCGCTGTCGCTGCTGGAGATGCTGCTGCGCCTGACCAGCCTGCAGGAGTTCGAGCAGACGACGCACCTCGCCATCCCGGACCACGTCCTCAAGTTCTACCTCGACGAGTCGGCCTCCGAGAGCGGCCTCCACGGCAAGGAGCGGTGGGCAGCGCGGGCCGAGGCCGCCCGCAAGGTCGGGTTCGATCCCTACACAGATGGGCCTGGCAGCAGTGCAGGGGGAGCCTAGACATTGCATGGGCGATACCACCGGGGATGGGCCATCGATGTCTCCATTTGTACTTACTGCTGTAACTAAAATCGTGATGCATTGCGTCTGGCTGGGCACAGAGCAGAGGTCTTGCATAAGCTGGAGTTCAGAGGCCTCAATTTAGAAACCAAGGAACCAAATAATGAACCTGTACAAGGTCATGAGATTGATCCGGGATGACCTTGCAGGTTCTCGTGACAGACTTATAGCGCTTTCGCCCATCAAAGTCACTAGCGATCAGACACATCATGGCTTAAAACGCGATTGCAATTGCGAGCGCAGGAGTTCTCTATCCAGCTACGTGTGTATGGATCTCTACCCTCTACCTGGCTAAACCACAATGATGGAAAAACAGTTGCGAAAATGCCTTCTCTTCCTCTAAAATACCAAGACAGACACAAAACGACAATCCTGCAAACGCCAGTCGTAGACTTCCCCAAGCCACGTCCACTCATCATATCCCACCCGTCATGTAATATCATTCATTGCCATCGTTTCATACATCCAAGGCCATGACATCTACCACCTGCGCCCGTAGACCGCATTCTCCTGTGGCCGCTGCTTCTTCTTCATCATGCCGGCCATGCCGGCCATGCTGGCCATCACGTCCTGTCTGACCACAGCATCGTCGCCGAACTGGGACGACGTCGACGCGCCGTAGTCGTCGTCTCCGCGCCGACTTGTCGGCACGTGGCGGAACAGCTCCATCATCTCCTTGACTCCAAGCTTGAGGGCCTCCTTGCGCATGCCGCCCTCGATGGCCTGCTCGGCGAGGAGGCGTTTCTTGTCCTGCAACTCAAGGATGCGCTCCTCGACCGTGTTCTCAACTGTGAGCTTGTAGACGACCACGTCAACCTTCTGGGTCAGACGGTGGACACGGTCGATGGCCTGCTCCTCGACGAAGGGGTTCCAGAAGGGCTCCAGGATGACGACACGAGATGCTGCCGTCAGGTTCAGGCCTAGGGCACCACACCGCAGCGAACAGAGCAACACGCGGGTGCGGGGGTCGTTGCGCAGGGAGTCGAGCGCGGCCTCGCGTGCGTCGTTCTTCATGCCACCATCGTAGCGGGCGTAGCGGATGCCATCTTTGCGGAAGAAGCGCTCCACGATGTCGAGCATAGATGTGAACTGGCTGAAGACAATGAACTTGTGGCCATCAATCTCCTTGTGGAGGATAGTCATGAGCTGGCGGATCTTTGCCGACGCCAGGACGAGCGGCGTCTTCTCTTTGCTCTTATAAGTCATGTCTGAGATGAATGGGTTCAAGGAGCGGTTGTGCTGGTTGTCAGAGTCGGAATCGAATTCGGATCCGGAGATGCCGTCTTCAGAGTCGGTCTCTTCGGACCCGTCAGAGTTGACATCCTCGTCTGAACTGGCCACAACTTTCTGTGCTGCTTTGGCCTTCTGTGCCTTGACCTGTGACTGGATGGCAGAAATGGACTCGAATGAATCATCAGAGTCCGAATCTGAGTCCTCCAAAGCGCGTTGCACTTCTTCAGGTTTGGCATTGTCGTCGTTGACGATGAAGCTATCAAGCTTGCTGCCATCATCCTCAGAGTCGCTCTCTGAATCATTGGTGTTAATGGTCTCGCCTTCGCCCTCGGCATTCTCATCATCCGTGCCGCCGGCTTTGCCGAGCCGTAAGGGACCTTGCTCATCTCCAGACACAATCCAGCTTCCTTCGGCTTCCTCATCATCGCTGTCAAGTAGGGGATTGCGATGTCTGGGCTTCCGGACTTGCTTGACTACAGGTTCGTCTTCCTCATCATCACTATCCAGAACAGCCTTTCTGTTTCTAGGCTTGCGCGAGGGTTTGGCAGCCTCGATTTTGACCTTTTCTTTCACCACCTTCTTGACCTTGGACTTGGGCTTTCGTTTCTTCTTCGGGGCCTCGTTGCCGACATCTTCATGATTGTTGAAGTAGTCCAGATCCTCCTTACACGATTTACACACATCGCTGTCTGGCACGCGATTCTCCTTGTCGAGTTGCCAGCCACAGATATCGCAGTGTGTCGCGTGGACGTCTAGGCCACCGAGCAGGTCAGCCAGGGCGTCGACGTCAGCGTCGTTGCTCTTGGGTTTGGATTCTGTAGTTAGAGCTTCCCTATCCTTCTCTAACTTTCCCTCGACCAGCTTGGGGTGGTTACAGACCTGACGCAAGCGCAGGAGGAGAACCAATGCATTGGCGTAGTTGACTTTGCCTTTGGTCTTCATCATGCTCTCGATACTTCTGTCTGTTCGCGCTTCTAGTCGGTCATAGAAGCGCCGTTCGGCCGGCGAAAAGACGGCTTCCACGGTGACGACTTTTCGCTCGGTGATCTTGAAGCCAGATGTAGCACTCTCTTCCTCGCCGTCCTTGGTTTTGCCCTTTCCTCCGGCATCCAGTGCGCCCGGCTGTTTGAGAATCTCCTTTGTTCGGCGCTTCATGAAGCAGCGGAGGATACTGTGCAGTCGACGAATAGCGACCTCACCCTTGCCATTCTTCATTGGTAGCTCAATGTGATCCTTCCATTCACGGAGGTCGTCATAAGGCTTGATCCGTAGGAATTTAACAAGACTTTGGAGCTCGTCCAAGTTGTTCTGCATGGGTGTACCGCTGAGACACCAACGGTAGACACTGCGAAGATCGTAGCACGCCTTTGTAGACTTGGCGTTGCGATTTTTGATGGTGTGGGCTTCGTCCAGGATGACACGGTACCAATGAAGGCCGAAGCAGCCTGCTTTCAGTTTGCCATCGGAGTGGCCATGTTCAGAAACAAGAATCTGATAGGTTGTGATAACAACGTCATATCGGCGCAAGTCTTCAAAGCTCTTGGTCCGTTGTGGCCCGTGATGTACGAGCACCTTTAATTTGTGAGTGTCGGCGACCTTTTCCTTCAGTTCTGCCTCCCACTGTCGGATCAAGGCAAGAGGGGCCACAACCAGTGTGGTTTTATCCACGCCAACCATTTTCTCCGAATCCTTCGGCTTGGGATTGGTGAGGATCAAGGAGATGGATTGCAGAGTCTTGCCGAGACCCATATCATCTGCGAGAATGCCGCCTTTGGGTACCTTGCCTTTCTTTACGGGGCCGAGTTCACGGCCCTTCATCCATTCGACACCTTCGACCTGGTGTGGAAGCAGCCGCACATTGAGACCGTCCACCTGGGAGCGGTCCTGGCCATCGTCGGTGGGCACTTTGTCTTCTTCATCCTCGACGGAACCTTCGATGAGCGCCTTGAGGTCGGCAGCAGCCTTCTTCGGATCCACATAGTCCGACGAGTAGAAGTTGGGCTGGCTGTAGATGGACTTGGGGGTGGTGTCGGCGACGGATATGGGGTTGGCGGCCGAGCCTGCAGGGCCCAGGGTGCTGTACAAGGGCTGCGGCGGGGGCTTCTTGTCCTTAGCAGAAGGTCCCAGCGGTCCATTGATCCTGGTAGGGCGGTGGTGTTCGGGGCGCGACTTGGGCTGGATGAACAAGTGGGCGTACTTGTCCTCTAGGGAAGCCTTGTTTCCATATGCGCTTGCCTTCACAGCAGGTCTCTTGCCAGAGCCCGAGGAGCTGGTGGATGTGACGGGGCCGAAGCCATTATGCTTGACAAAGGGCTGGGGCTTGTTACCCTCCTGGGTCGACGATGCGCCGGCATTGCCGTGGTTGCTTGAAGGCCGGAGCGGTGCCTTGGGAGGGGCCTGCTCTTGGGCCATGGTAGGCGAGGGATCGAGACTCGGGCTCGGGGACCGTGGGTGTAGCAGCTGGTTCAGGCCCTCCTTGAAGGTCTCTTTCAACCCCTCCTTCAGGGTCTCCCTGAACCCCCTGTGGTCCTTGTCGTCCTCCAGCTTGGCGGTTCCGCGCTCGTGCGGATAATCGAGTGTGTGGTGGTCAATGTTGGGGGTTGAAACCGGCGCTGGGCTTTCTGAAGGTGCAGACTGGGTTAGGGCCTGTGGCGGGCAATCGAAGTTTTTCGGGGGCGCAAGATGGGAGCGTAGATTTATACTGACCTCATGAAAGTCCCTCGGGCGCAAGTTCAAAGTTTGGCAGAGAATGTATCGCGGTGCCCAAGTCGGTCGCGTCACGCGTTTGCGATGCGATTCATCAATCCAAAGTACTGTACGAGGCCATCCGACGTTGGCGGCACTTATTGATTGGGATACCCTTATGACATAATCGCCCTGGCAACGGGCGGTGGAGTCCACTTTTTAGGCGGCGACGCCCCCTGTCGGGCTTCATCAGGGCACTTGTGCCAACAAGGAAATATGCGGCTACCGGGTCGATAACTCAGCAGCTTACCCCTAACTGACCTAGGTACTTGACTACCTACCTCAGGGGGCTTTTATACATACCTAGGTAGTACAGTACCCAAGCATACCACCAACGAATCACTCCGCTGCTTCAATACGTCGGGATTCTTCCTCCCCCCTTCCAGCTGAGCCTGAGCCTCTTCTATTCGCTGCTCTGAGACCGAAGCTACGCGGAATAATTTCAGTTGACCACCCCCCATTTGATAGCGTACATGGGAGACCGACCCTCAGACGTCCCCAGATCTCCACCGTTCCATGTCTGCCACACAGGGCGAACCTGACGATGAACCAAACGACGGACATCTGGCAACAAAATGGCTCGGTCAAGATGCAGTCACCAGTGTGCATTCGCAGGCTCAGTCGCCACTGTTTCGCCTGCCCCCAGAAATGCGACGCCTGATCTTTCTCATCGCTCTGGCTGAAACCAACGTCGACACCAAGCCGTACGTCCCAGGCATTAGTGAATCTCATTTCAACGACGTTTCCCTGGAGCAGATGACGGATATATACACCCGACGCTTGCGGCACAGAATGTTCGATCTCGAGTGCCCGGCGTGGCTACGCCCGGGCAGTGTGTGTCCGCAGACCATCCCATTAGACCTGCTAGTCACCTGTAAGCGCGTGTATAACGAAACCCACCGTCTGATACCATACATCAAAGTGCACAAGTTCTATCTTGTCCACGGACCCGGCGCGACCTCTAAAAGCAGCAGGGGGCCGAAGCCGGCCCTGCAGTACATTCCACCGCCTGGCGTCGAAGTGCGGAACCTTCACCTGCTCACTCAGCTCCGCTACTTCAGGTATTCGCGGCTGTCACTCCAGCACCAGCTTGCCAAAGTTGCCTCGGACATCGAGCATCTCCAACTCACACTACGGCCGCTGAGCGCCATCGTTCCCGGTCGTTGGATCACCCTTTTCCATGAACCGTTTCTCGTGAATCCCTACACTTTGTCGTCTACCAGCCTTGAGGACATGGAATTCACTCGGAAGAGGATGGCGCGTGGCGAGACCCTGCAAATCGCAACGGATGGGTGGGCTGGCGCCTTCTTAGATTTTCCTGCCCTCAGAACCTTGACCATGGAGTTCGACCATAATGAATTGCAGCAAGAGAATCTCGAGAGGCTCGCGCAATGGTCGCGCCAGTGGAGGCTCCCCTTGCCAGGAAACCGTGTTCTCGTAAGCGAAACCCCGCCGTCCATGCGCACATGGAGAGGTATGCGCACTCATGATGACTGGAACTGCCATGTTTGCGGGAAGCCATTCCCTCAGCCTCGGACGCAGTGTGAGAACTGCCAATGGAGAGCTCGAGGGAGAGGCCCTCGCATGATTACATGGACCGTCACTTGGGTGGCGAGGAAGAGCGAGCCCTAGCTTACTCCGTATTAGTCGGAGCAGTCTCTATATACTCCCTAATTAGGTATATTGAAATTTGGAACCTGCCGGGACGGACTCAGACATCACTATTACAGGTATAAGCCTTTACTAGCTGCTCAAGGCCGCCTGACGGAATAGCCATTTTTTAAAGTAAAACCACCACGTATGCGAAAAGTCGACGAAATCAATGCGACCTAGGCATATCTCTTGAATACCCCCGAATCGGGAGTCGAATATGCGCCGGATCCGTTATAGTGACCCCGGTAGTATCCACCGAACCCCGCAAGTCCCGCTTCCGGCAACGGCGACGGTACTTGGCGTTCGCTACCTACACAGGTCTCATCGCCGTGATCTCGGATCTGCGTAGACGGTGCTACTGCGACTTACCTGAGAATCAACCGTCAGCAGCCATGGTCCTCAAGTATTCCGTCCCCGGAGAGCACATCAACCTCCAAGGCGGCTGGCCAACCCCGCGTCTCCATCCCGCCGCGGCCCTGGAGCAGGCCTCCGCCCGGCTGTTCTCTGGGCCGGACATCCAGCAGCTGCTGCGCTACGGACCGGGCCAAGGAGTGCCGGCCCTGCGCGAAAACCTGGCCGCATGGCTCACAGAGGAGTATCAGCCCTCGGCGGGCCCCATCTCCCCTGACCGGGTCTTAGTCACCAACGGGGCGTCCAACGGGCTCGCGACCATACTCCAGAAATTCGCTGACCCGGGGTATACGCGGATCATCTGGATGGTCGAGCCGGCGTACCACCTAGCGGCCCCTATCTTCCGGGACGCCGGCTTCGCCGGCCGGATCCGTGGCGTGCCCGAGGGCGAGGCCGGCGTCGACTTCGAGTACCTGAGAGCCGCGCTCCGGGAGGTGGAGCGGGACCTCGTCCTATTCGGCGGCGGCCCACCACCGGGTAAGTCTCCCGAGAACGGCTACCCCAAGATCTACCGCCACGTCCTGTACATGGTGCCGACCTTCTCGAACCCGAGCGGGCGGACCATGAGCCTCGACGACCGCACGGAGCTGGTGCGCATCGCGCGCGAGTTCGACGTGCTCCTGGTCACGGACGACGTCTACGACGTGCTGCGCTGGTGCCCAGAGACAGACTGCGGATGCTTCGGGACGGGCGCGCATCTGGCCTCGCCTCCGCGGCTGGTTGACGTCGACCGGCTGCTGCCGGGCCAGGCGCCGTTCGGCCACGCCGTCAGCAACGGCTCGTTCTCGAAGATCGTCGCCCCGGGGGTGCGGCTGGGTTGGATGGAGGGCACGCCGGACTTCGCCAAGACGTTGGCGCGCGTGTAAGTCCCATCACCTGAGATATCTCAAAGACTCAACCACCTTCGCGAGTCCTCGGCGCTGACCAATCCCCACAGCGGTGCCACCAGCTCGGGCGGCAACCAGGCGCACCTGGCGTCGCTCATCATCGGGCAGCTGCTCGCCTCGGGCGACCTGCAGCGGCACCTGCGGCAGGTCCTGATACCGACGTACCGGGCCCGGTACTACGCCATGGTCGCGGCCATCCGGCAGCTCCTGTACCCGCTGGGCGTGCGGATCGTCGGGGACGATGGCCTCACCGGCACGAGCACCAGTGCACAGCCAGCCGGCGGCTTCTTCCTGTACGTGCTGTTCCCGGCCGACGGGACCCTGCCGCACGCGGCCGAGATCCAGCGGGTCGCCCTGGAAGAGTTCAACCTGCGCATCGCGCCGGGCGGGCTATTCTCCGTCGCCGACGACGACGACGGCGACGCGTCGGAGAGCAGGATGGCACGACGGCCCCGGGCGTTTGTCAACGGCGCGAGGCTGTGCTGGGCGTGGCACGAGGAGGGCGAGTTGGTCGAGGGCATCGAGCGGCTTGCGGAGGCGCTGAAGACGGCCAGGAGTCGGCGGACTGTGCTGCCGGGCCGATGTGAGCGGTGAAAGTCTTTAGAATATAGACGGGGAGTGTTTAGAGCGGGACGGGGGAAGGCATATTGCCGGCAGTGCTTTGCTGTAGATCATGATATCCAAAGAAGCATAGAAGCAGTGGCGTCTAATACTACGTGTCATTTGAACAATCCAGATACCACTTCTATACGATCACACAAATTTCCATAACTTGGTCCGTGTCTGGCATCTACGTTTCGCTCTCTTTGGGATTCGTTAGAGTTATTCGTGGCCAAACTCATTTTGCATATCTAGGGAGCCATGGCGATGCTCAAGCAAACGACAAAAGCCCCCGCTCCCCCTTGAACAGCGCATGAGTTTATATTGTCTAGTCCTCTTCCCTCAGAAATCGATTTGGACCAGACGACCGAGTCCAGTAACTTTACATGTTTAGGCTAACGAGGAAACTCCTGTTGACTTGGGAACTTGAGCGCAGTGTGTAATGTTGTTCGCCCCATGTCATCAAAACTAAATCACTGACTGGAAAACCTGTGAATTGGGAAAATTCATACAGCGAAACATTCGCCTATATTACAGATTGGATTATCTACCGGAAATGCCCGCTTGCTCGCCAACCGACGGCCCGCAATGAAAAGACAGCATGCCAACCTAACCTATGGTGGTCACTCAGCCCACCCAAATAAGGGAAATACGCGCGCCCATGTCCTAGCCCATGAGTTCGTTGGATACATCGATAGATGCACTTCGACCCGATCCAACTCCACTCAATACCCGGCGATGTCCAAGTGCCATCTTGCTAACTCTCTCTGGCTGCATCATCTAGTACGCAGCGCTCTGGCGGTAGAAGTCCTGCGGCGCGCTGGGCTCACCGTCTCCTCCGCCGGCCATGGGTGGAACGTAGGGTTTGTATTGGGGCTGCTGCGGTGCCCCATGGTGTCCTGACTGACTAGGCAGACCGTGTCTAGCATCGTAGGCAGGTCCACTAGGTTGCAAAGGCGGCGGCGTCAAAACAGCAGGATGGTTCACAGCACCTGGCGACGAAGTAGGTGGCGGGGCCGACCCAGTGGGCACTGGGGGCGGAGCGTTTGTCGGCGCGGATGGCGCATCGTAAGAAGGCTGAGACTGATGTTGCAAAGGATTGTAGGCGGTATACTGAGGTTGCGATGGGGCAGATGGCGCCGATGGACCACCGCCACCGGCAAAAGCGAGAGGCGTGGGCACACCCTGGGGTGGACCTTGCGGTGCTGATGGCGGAGGTGCAGAAGGCGCCGTCGGGCTGGTGCTGTAAGGATCCTCTGTTGAATAAACTGAGGCCGAATAGGGGTCAGGCGCTTGATTGTGAGAAGCGACAGGAGAATCATAAGCCGATGTAGCTAGCTCTTGAGGGTGGCCATATGTACTCGGAGGACGTTGGCCGTTTTGAGTCGGGGGATGCGAATATGCTTGATACTGCTGTTGAGGGGGTGGCGAAGAAGTCTGAATTGGAGCAGGTTGCTTCCCTGCCGCGGTGGCTGATGCTATGCGTGAAGGTTGATCTCGAGGAGGATACTGCTGCTGGACCGGCGTTGGACCCCCTTGAGGGTACTGTTGCTGCTGACTAGGAGGCGGGCCACTTTGAGGGTACTGCTGTTGCTGTTGCTGTTGCTGCTGCTGCTGCTGCTGCTGCTGCTGCCCCGGCGGTGGGCCGCCCTGGGGATATTGTTGCTGCGCCTGGGGTGGACGGTTTTGAGCAGGGACTTCGGCGCCTTGCAGGTAAAAAGGAGCGGGTGCCGGGGTAGTCCGCTGGAAGTTAGGAGCTGGTGATGAAGCCTGGTAGGGGGGCTGTTCTGGAACGTGTCAACAGAATCCATGAGGTACCCGCTCAATAGAACACACCTTGCTGAGGAGGTGGTCCCTGAGGACCCGGAGTATAGTATCGTTGAGGATCTTGTTGTTGCAAGTGCTGGGGTGGCCCCTGAGGCGCATATCCCGGGGGACCTCCCGGATAGCCCCCCTGACCAGGCACAGCAGGTCTATGAGCATACTGATGGTAGCTCGGCCCAGGCGGGTGCGACATGGAAGACTCAAGCAGAGCCTCGTAATCCCGCCTGGCCTTGATGAACTTCTCGTTCAGCTGGGTGAAGTCGTCTTTCTTCTGCGAGTACTTCTCGATCAACTTGATCAGCTTCGGCCTGATGGCCAGAGTCTGGTGGTACAGCTTCTGCACGGTAGTTAGTAAGAATTTCCATGTATTGCCGGCGTTTCCAGTACGTACCGAGATTTCCTCATTATCCTCCTCTCTCGGAGCCGTGTTGGACGTGCTCAGCAGCGTCAGCAGCTTCTCCACGTTCTTGATCTCGGCAAACACCTCTGCCTCCATCTGCGCCTCGCGCTGCAGCTCGTCGGGGGTTGGGTCCGTCAGCTTCTCGACGTAGTTGAGCGGGAAGATGCCCGTATTGCCCTTGAGCGAGCCGCGCCACCAGTCTTTGAAGACAGACTCCAGCACGGCAATGACATCGCCCTTCTTGAACTCCAGCTCGCCGGGCTCGCTGGGCACGAAGTCGTAGAGCGCCCGCACCCGCGAGACCGTGGCGGCCGTGGTGCCGGTGGGATGGGCTGGGATGGGTTGGGTCTCTGCCTGTCCGGGCTGGGCGCCGGCAGGGCCAGCGCTCCCTCCTGCAGCAGAGCTGGGGCCTGCCGCGGCGGAGCTGCTCTCGGCGGCCTTCTTCTTGCGCTCCTCCTCCTGCAGGGACAGCTGGAGGGCCATCTGCAGCTCCTCCTCCTCCTTCTGGCGGTCGACGTCGGTCAGGCGGTTCTTCTGGGGCGCGCTCGGGGCCTGGAGGGTGGGGTTGCTCTGCTTGAGGCGGAAGTAGGCGTCGTACATGATGCCGAGGTCCGGGTCCTTGCTGAACATGTCGCTCCACTCCTTCATGCGCTCGAGGATCTTGGCCTTGACCTGCTGGTGGGTGTTGCGGTCGGCGGCGAGCTTGAGCAGGGCGTCGGTGAAGGCGCGGGAGGCCAGCTCGCGGTGCATAGGCTTGCCGCAGTTCTGGGAGAGGGCGTTACCCAGCTCCAGCGTGTACAGCTGGACGTTGGCGTTGCGGTGCGCCAGGCGCTTGATCAGGCCCTGGGCGGCCTGCTGGGGCCCGTTGGGGTCCGACGACACCTTGTCGCATACCTCGATGATGGCGCCCCAGTCCTCCGAGGTGAGGTTCTCGTTGGTCGCCTTGGCTGCGAGAGGGCGTGCACTGTTAGCATGGACAAGTCCGGGCTTCGGGAGGGCGTCGCCCACCACGGCGGCGGCGGCGCGTTGTGCAGCGCTGGGCTGCCATGGGGAGCGGACGGCGGGCAAGATGACGATGACGTACCGATGGGCTCGTCGTACGGGCCGGGAGCTGCTGCTCGAAACATGGTGGGCAGCGAGGACCGTCCTCCGATATAAAATGCACGCTTCTCTGCTCGATAATTTCCAGCGCGTTCGTACTCTCTTGTATTAAGGCACCGTCGGGGGGATGCAGGCTGCGCAAAAGACCACAAAGACAGCAAATGCGGTGGTCGGGGGTTGGGGGGAGTTGATGTTGTATGCAGCAATCAGCTGCAGCCTGGCGAGCGGATGTCGTTCATGTAGGATGGATTGCGAGTCCACTCGAGGTCAGCGGGCGGCGCTACTGCTGCGGTGTTCCTAGGCTAGCTCCCAACACCACTAACGGCACCACTCGACTCCGCTGGAAATCTGCGCCCCAGCGATCGACACCTAGGACTGGTGCCCAGGGAGGGGGGGAGGGGGGAGGTTCTGGCTGCCCAGCCTCACTGCCCGGGTCTTGCACTGCACGGATGAGACCTGCCGGGCATCAACTTACATGAACTAGGTACCCAAGTAACTTGGGAACATGTAGGGAGTAATAGCATGCGTTGCAACGGATGGAAACACTTATCGTTCTCCATGGTTTTCTTTTCCCTCCCTCTCTTTCTATATATATTGCAACGCAGCGCATCTCTCTCGCCGTCGCATGTCAGAGTCGTCACTTTATCGAAGAGAATTAGATAACAGTCGGCAGGCGCAAGCGAGTCCCAAGAGTCCCAGTTCCGTCTTCAGCGGGTTACTACAGACGAGCTATTTTGGGACAAGCTTTAGCGAGCAGAACGCGCAATGGGGCGTCGAAAATTCGTCCCGTCATGACAAAGCTCATGATTGCGCCACACTCTGGCCTGGCCACCCGAACGCAGCCCGAATGCGATACTCGTCCCACCTTTGGTCAAAGGTGTTGGGTTCCAGAAGCGGAAATAACACGTCTTTCCTGAAGACCGTGAGGTCTTGTTGGATATACCCGGACCTCCCTGTATTGCTCCGATATTCTAGAGTTACTCTAGATTCAGGCTCGCATCACTGGTCTCATCGTCTCATCAGTCTTTATATTCGTTCTATGTGACTCCTGTGCCTGCTGTGCTATGTAGTCAACGCTGCAGACGCTGCCACCTATGTACACGCAATTCAATCCCGCCATAAACTCCTATGACTAGCCACCCTATAGAGCCACCATTGCTGTGGGCCCGGCCAGTCCTGTAAGCAATGCAAACAATTGGCAATGATCCAAGAAACGCCCAAGAGTCTTCTTTCCTAAGCCCGTATGTCGTGGTGCTTCTTGGAAGTCCGCCGAAAGGTGAAGAAAGCAGCGTGCTATAAACGACTTCTGAAGGGCGGCCGCCCAGGCGAGCGTTCGCCAGTTGTGTGTATAGACATGCAGTCAAAAGCTGCACAAGATTTTTTTGGCTGGTCACTGATGTTAGACTTTGCTTGCCTCATATAGTACCTCCGCATATCCGTCGGACCGTCTTGTCAAGTTTCTTGCCTCTCCTCAGAGAAGGACAAGTGACAGGATGGTCGCAGTTAGATCCCAGTCGTGTAGCGTCGTTGTCCCTACCAACGGCGACTGCCGCCTCTCGAGGTATCATAACCACCTCGCTCGGGTGCGGATCCTACGTTTCCACCTCCTCTTGCTTCCTCCAAGCTTCGTCGGTTGAGTTCACGTCCAAGCTCGGACATGTCAAAGAGCAGCGGCTCCTCCTCCGTCTCTTCTGAAGGTGCACCAGTAACGCCTAGTCCCGTCGCTCCACCGCGTGAGTAGCCCCGGCCATATCTACCACTGGTCCCCGTCAGGCTGCTGTTGCCGGACTGCGGCGTGCTCGACCCGCGTCCACCGCCAATGCCATAACGTCTGTAGGGCGAGCTCGAGAATAGGCTGCCTGGTGGTCTGGTTTCCCTCTCGGCCGATGATGACCCCTGTCTCAGCATCTCAGACGAGTCTGCAGCTCTGATATCGGCAGGTGCTTGCAGGATGGGCGAATCCCTAGTTCCGTCCGCATCCTCGATGGCGGCTTCGTGCCGACCTAGCAAAGCACTAAGACTAGGTGGCTCACGATCATCCGCACCGAGGCTGAGGCTGCGATGAGCATCGTCGTCGTCGGTCAGCACCCTATTTTGGTGAGCCGCAGAACTCGACCGTCTTGCGTGAGGATAGGGTCTTGGCGAGAGAGGAATGTCGATGGCGGTTGTTCCCTCCAGGGTCGCAGGAACGCTGGCAGGTATCTCCGAGGCACGACCGGTTCGGGCTCGTATAGGGGCTTGCGCCGGTGCTGCATAGTCGGCGCTTGAGTTCTCGCTCAGCCGTGATGGTATCGCAGGCGTATGAGGCGTATGAGGTGAAAGCGGCTTCCCAGGTGATGATGACACAGACATGCCCGGCACGTTTGCAAGTTGCCGACTCGAAGAACTCGACGACGGCTGCAACTGCATGGACGAGTTGAGTGACTCGGTCAGTGCATTATTGGATTCCCGCATGAGATGGAACTTTGACAGCTGTGCCGTGGTTCTCTTGGTAGCCGACTCTCCCTTCTTTGTGGGCTCAAAGCTTTGCAGAGTTCGCTTGCTTTCCAACGCCTTCAGAAACTCCTGGATGTTGTCGTCGTCAGTTTGGAACGAGCCCGAGCTGCCTCCACCACCAGCCTCGTTCAACAGTCCCGACCCAGGCTGTGCAAGCGATGATGCAAGACTCTGCTTGCCGCTGCTGGTTTGATCGTCGTCGCCAGCACGGCTTGCGCCGCCGAATGATGCTCTATTACGACGGTGCGTGAAACTACTGCTGAATCGGTTGGTAGCACTGGGTTTGGGTGAGCCCACAATGGGTATTTCCACAGCCGCAGGGGGGCCGCCCCGCAACGAAGCAGCCATTCCAGCTGTTAGAGAAGATCGGTTCCTCGCATGTGTTAGCGAAGTTAGGCCAGGCCCACGTGTTAATGAGTGCGGCGAGGCCGGCACTTCCCCATCATGCATTCGTGGCACGGGGGACCCAGATAAAGACCCTTGTTTGAAGGGCTGGAATGATACCGAGGGCCTTCTACCTGTTCCGTCAGGTCTGATAGACGGTCTGGTAGGTGCATTGATGGGAAGTGAGTGAGGCGGGACCTCAACACTCGCAGGCCGAGAATCTGGCGGTGACGTCGTGTCCGAACCAGGAGATTTGATGGCTCTGAGGGCTGAGATGGGGCTGGTGCCGTGGGGGCCTTCGCCGTGGAAGGTTGACAGACTTCCATATCGTTGCTGGTTCTCCGTTATATCCGCAACACGGCGATGGTAAGGTAACGAGCCGATTTCCGCCGACGACTCCCGTCGGTCATCTCTAGCCGGCAAGGAGGGTTTGAATATATCATCCGATATAGCCAGGCCAATCCTCGAGCTCAGTAACGATTCCGTCTCGACGACCTTGAAGTCGCAGTTGTTCCTATAGGAAACGGACGCATAGAAGCGACCCACAGGGACCTCGAGTAGGCCGAACATGTAGTCGGTCGACACATCGCCTCTCCCCTCGTAGAGCGGACTCCGCAAAGGGTCGAATCCCGATGACCGTGTGTCTCCGGAAGAAACGCGGCATTTGATTTGCAAAGCCGGGTGGGATCCTTTCGATTTCGAGTTTCGGGCGAGTTTCCAAGCCGGCAAAATTCCAGTTGTTGTATATATGGACCGGATGAAGATGATGGCCTTTTTGTATATGGTGGGTAGCAGATGCCCGAACTCTTCAATATTGTCGGGAACGGCTCCCTTCAACTCCACACGCCACCTCTCCAGGACGAGTTGAGTATTTGACTTTTTAGACCGGCCGCCAGAGCTACTGTCGCTTGAGAAATCGGAAGAGTTCATGGCTTCTATGACATCCCATCGCTTTCCATTCTCGTCGACTATCACCAGGCTTTGGCCGCCTTTCAAGCGGGATGTATCGATATATGTCTCGATGATGATGGGGGGAGGTCGGTTCTCGAAACCGCCGCACTGCTTCCACGTGCGGAATTCCTCGCGGAAGTCCTCGATTTCGTCGGTGTCTATTTGAAACTGCAGGCGGCCAACATTAGTCATCACCAAGGCAGCATTACCTTCGGGGGGGGGGGGGGGGGGG